AGCCTAGACGGGCGGTGTCAGCCTACGCCAACAACCCCAGCCTACACGGACAGCCTCAGCCTACGCCCGCAACCTCAGCCTACGCCGACAGCCTACACGGACAGCCTCAGCCTACGCCCACAACCTCAGCCTACGCCAACAACCCTTTTTGTGGCCCCTCCGCCCGCCGCTACCACGCACACCGCTCCATCACGCACTGAAAGCAACATTACTACTCACACCAATGAGCTCACACCAACAAGCTCACACTACAAACACAACAACAGCCATGATGAAGTGGCCAGCCGGGAAGGTCAAGCTCGTGTTTGTCAAATCGAAGGTGTACGTACATCCGTCCAGAAGAGCCCAGGACAACATCTGTGGGTTCCTCTACCTCTACGCGGAACAGGGCTCCACGGACTCAGACTTGGTTGTGGGCTGGGTGCCAGAGTCGTTCCTAGCAGCTGATGAGCTTGAGCAGTTCAAGCAGGCAGACGTCAGTGCCTCTGGTGAGGTGTTCTTCGTGAGAAGGCCCAGCACTGGTGGGTCCTTCAGCTGGCAAGTGCCGCTCAGGGCGGTCTTCAGCATCCAACATCGCCCTCCGAGCTTGGGGACGATGAACGGCAGCTTGTTGTTCAATACGAGATCCTCCGAGGAGAAACTGCCCTGGATGTTCTTCCACGACGTCGAGTGTCCCTCGACACAGGCCTCTGAGCGCCAACGAGTCAAGGACTTCAACGTGTTTGGCGTAGGGACCGAGTTGTTCTGGGGAGGTGCGCAGTTCCTGGAGGAACTCGGGAAGCACTGCGTATTGGAGAGGTCAACTCTTGAGAACAGCGTGCTCTTGGTGAATCCTACGCAGGACGACTTGAACAACTTCAGCCCAACGAACGTTGAGAAGCCTCAGTATGGGCTGAAGAACTTTTCACAGGCCGTGAGTGAGGCTCGCTGGAACGTGCTACAGGCATTGGCAAGGGTGACGACTTTTGCCAGAAGCCACGTGAATGGTGCTATAAGGGACTCGTCTACTCTCAAGTCGTTGCTCGTTCATCCTGAGGTGCAAAAGGTCAACGAGGACTTTGACTCTGCCAGGATCTACCTTGCGAAATGGGCCCTGGGAGTCCAGGAGGAGGCAGACCGTAACCGTGCTCAGATGCTGTTGAACGAGGAGATGAGACAGAAGCTATACAAGGAAATGGGGATTGATTGTAACAAGCTGTCTCCTGAGGAGATCCAGAAGGCCCATGAGAACAGCAGGCCCGTTTCTCTGTTGGAATGGAGTGGATTTTTCGATTCTACAGGCAGATTGGCTATTACTGTTGACGAGCTCAAGGACCGCGTGTTCCACGGAGGATTGGCCCCTGAAGCACGGCCAGAGGCATGGCCTTTCCTACTGGGAGTGTATCCGTGGGATTCATCGTCACAGGAGAGAGACGATCTACACAAGGTTATGGTGTTACAGTACGACATGCTAAAATCGAGATGGCTGCCAAAGCTCACGGACGAACACGACGAATACTTTAAGGACCAGAAGTTCAGGATTGATAAGGATGTTCAACGCACAGATCGTTCCATGGATCTGTTCAAAGACGAGGATTTACCTCCATCCGATGACTATGATAACGACGACGTTGCCAACATCAAGAACCACCACTTACAGAAACTTCAGAGCATCTTGTTGACGTTTAACGAGTACAATGACAAGTTGGGCTACGTGCAAGGCATGAACGATCTACTCTCGCCTATCTATGTGATCTTGCAGGACGAGGTGCTTTCATTCTGGTGTTTTACCAAGTTTATGGACCGAATGGAGCGTAATTTCCTCAGTGATCAGCGTGGAATGAAAGATCAGATGACCACGCTCAACGAGCTTACCCAATTCATGCTTCCAGAGTTCTACATCCACTTGGAGAAGTGTGACTCCTCAAACCTCTTCTTCATGTTCCGTATGTTGTTGGTATGGTTCAAAAGAGAATTCAGCTGGAATGATACGGTGCATCTATGGGAAGTGCTATGGACCGACTTCTACTCCTCACAGTTCCACCTCTTCGTCTCATTGGCTATACTACAGAAGCACGAGAGGATCGTCATGGCACATCTGACGCAGTTTGACCAAGTGTTGAAGTATTTCAACGAGCTGAATGAGTCTCAGACCGTGGGCTTCAAGTTGAACGAGTTGCTAACCAGAGCAGAGCTACTCTTTTTGAAGTTTAGAAACACAGTGAGTGTGATGGATACCTACAGCTCGACCGATGATGGCAGTGCCAAATCGCCCATCGACGACCACTTGAGGAAGCTCCTCTCACGTGAGCTCGTCATCCAGAAGGAACTACAGAGAGTGAGTGGCTAATTCACCAATATACGAAGATATGATCATGTTTCAGCAATCCACTTGGTGCAAAGTTTCGGTACCGTCTTTATCGATGACCAAGCAACTGAGCTGACCACCGTAGACACAGCTGGAGTCCAAGCCTTTTGAATACTTCTTCAATTGAAGCCCTGCTCTAGCAAAATGCCCATAGTAGATCACGTTTCGCTCATGCTTAGGCAGAGTCTTCTGGAGTTGATTCCAGGAGTGATACCAATCTTTGTCCATAGCGAGCAGATCAGAAACCTGTTGCTTATCCAAGGGCTGGGACTCAACAACGCCCATGTGTGAACATATACCAACGCCCTTGATGTTCAACACGACCGGCAACCTCACCAGGTAATGGATATCCTCTGGAGTCAGTTTCCTAGCAATTTGCAGCTCGTTGTCATACTTGCCCACGTGCTTGTCCAGCTTGAACACCTCTTCATCTTCGAACATCAGAGGTCGAAAGCTCTGGTATTTGCTCAGGATGTTGAGCTCGTGGTTGCCCAGCACACCGGTGGCATTGGCCTCCCTTGCCCATTTCATAACTCCAAGTGAGTCTGGTCCTCTTGATAGGAAGTCTCCCAGCAGGACCACCTTGTCAGTGGTGTTATCATAGTGGACTGTGTCCAGCAGCCTCATAAGCTGGTCAAAACACCCGTGGACGTCTCCAACCAGTATGAGCCTCTCATGCTGTGGCTCCCAGACGTCGTACTTCACCAGCGAGGGCAGCTCAACCAGTGGAGGAGAATACATTGGCAGCACGATGAAGACATAAACCATTATTGGCAGAGCAATGAGAGCACTTACCCAAATTGTACGGCTTGCAAGTATACTCCTGGCCCCTGTGTCTAATTGTTCATAGTCCTGTCTATTCATCTTGATCGGCGAGAGGTATTGGAGCCAGAGGTTATGGAGTAATAGACAAGAAGAAGTGGAAGTAGAGCCCCATGAGAGCTTTCTGGTTGCACGGGAAACCAGCACCGCGAAGCCAGCACCTATGTGCCAGGATTAATGTACTAATCTGGAATATTTCCGAATTAGGCAATCCCATCTCACTCTACAATGCTATGGTAGTATTATTCCATTAAGCCGTTACAAACAGCGTGCTGCTTACATTATCGTGCAGTCCTTATCATCCTTCACACTCTTGGAGAGCCTCTTGGTATGCCTTGACTGTGAGAGGTTCGAGTGAGCATGTGTCTGGTATTCATTATGGGATGAGCTGTGTGATGCCTTCCGCAGCTGGCTGGGCAACGGCTTGCCCGTCATGGTGTAGGATGACTGGGATGCCAGTCTCGACTGTGGCTGATGCTGTGCACTGTGGTTGACGTTATACAGGGACGACGTGGAGGTTGTTGAAGCTGATCTCTGGTCGAATAGCGTGGTGGACGAGTTCATCGTCACCTGAGTGCTGGTTCTCTCCAGCACGGCGTACATGTCACTGTTCAGCTTCTCCACCCTGAGAATCGGATCAATGCCACCCTGCAATATGGAATTCGCAAGATACGTGTAGAGACGAGCCCAGCACCTCTCCATTGCCAGGGTCAAGCTGTGGCCAAAGCGATCCTGTACGGTCTTCAGAAACGCAGCGCCCATAAGTTCGAAGTGTGGTGGATCAATGCCGAGTATTCTTGCGTGTCTCTTGCCCAGGTTGTTCAAATAGTCGTCCAATTTGTCCAGGTGGTCCAGGTTGATGATGGCAGTCGACAGCACCCCGGAAAACGACATGGCTTGGTGCTTTATGGAAGGGAACATCTTCTCCAGCTCAGGCTCCATGGCCATGAGGTTCGAGTAGAACTGGATGCAGAAGAGAGACGATGCGAATGAGCTCTGGTTGCCCTCCTTCGACAGGTCGTCGCTGATCATCTCCTTCCACGACGAGCGAACCATCTCGATCTCCTGGGCAGTGAAGTGGAGACTGGGCTTCACGTTCGCCTGTGCATCGAACTGGACGTCGGAGGAGAGCGACTGTGTGGTGGTGGAGCGTGAGTGCGTACGTTGGATATCGGAGAGCATGCTTCAAAGGCCAGGCAGTGGGATCAGTGGCACATCAGATAGCAAAGACATAGGGAGAAGTTCACGAGGTCACAATCGCACCGACAGAGGTACATATATAAATACCACATAACATTCCCTCCCACTTACAGTCGGCTCCCCCATGATAGAAGAAATCGTTCGATGAGGGAGTAAAAAAAAAACCTTACAAATTCTTGCGTCATTGAGGATCTGCAATGCACGCCTTTTCTGCCCCAACCGATAGCGTGCGTCTGGGTTTTTTATGCTTTCTCACAGGCTTTTGCCGGAATGCTAGTGGCTGAGTGGGAATGTTAGTGGATGGACAGGAAAAGGGGATGAACAAGGGGGGGGGGGAGCATACAGGGCATGCGAAGAGGGTTTTCATTATGTCAATGAAGGATTCCATGACGGCACTCTGTGGTAACGCGGGCCTCCAAGCAGAGCGAAGACATGATGGATTTGGTGAAGAGCATTAGGCAAACCAGGTTATTATGGTGCATACAACGGCTGAGCCGGCGGAGGGCTACTTGTCCTTTTCTTTAGGCGAAAAAGGCCCCTTTTTCCTTCCGTGGTTGATGTCATGCCAGGTGCAACGTGCGACTTTTCACGTATACCACTGAGTCGTATTAACACAGCATTGGCAGTACTTAGTAGCAAACCAATGGGAGAGCTGGTTATGAGATAGATCACAAACCATCGATAAACAAGTACGTGTAGTGGCCTTTACATTGAGTCCTCTATCCAGTTTAGAGTTCTGGCTAACGCCAAAAAATAGAGTTGACGCAGTTCCTGCAGCCACCGACATACAGATCACCAACCCAACAACCTGCCTAGGGAAGCGAAGAAGAGCACGGTGGGCTAGGCCTGGGATCAAGCAAATACACTTGGGAAGGGTGAGAGCAAACCGTACGCTGGCAGGCAGGGTTGTATCTCGCTGCGCGTTGTCAAGATCAAAACGCATCTCATATAAACGTAAAGCCCTCGAGGTAATTAGCTCAGTTGGTAGCAAAATAGCCTTTTTTCGTGCTTCAATGCAACTAATAAAAGGTTTTCCACGATAAGCTCATCATACAAGCTTCATCTCCTCTGTTCCGTCTTTTTTTTGGGGGGGGGAGGGGGGTTCCTTGACACACTGCTCTTATGCTTCATGCTCTGTGTATAGAGCTTCGAATTTCACGCTGATGACTTTGCAAGCTGTGGGAATGTATACCGTTTCCAAATCCCCTTTCCGGAAGGAGAGATTTTTTGAACAACGGCTCTTTTCCCTTTCTCTTTGCCATGACAACGCTCCTTGATGGAGCGCATACGCTTACAGTGTTCCACTTTAGACTACATCCTTTACTGCACGATAAAAAACTTTAACCAATGTATAGTTCATAATGAACACTCATCACCACTTAAGTACGCCCAACAACTACCACACAGACACGTTCTGTTATACGCAACGGGCCAGTGGTTCGTGGACCCGGTGATTCCCTTTCCCATGATGTAAAAAACGTCATCGTTATCGCCACGGATGTACTCACAACGTAAACATCTCTTCAATTTCTCCTTATTCGTAATAACCATCTTGGTGACATCATCAATGAGGTCAGTGCTGAGATCAATCACAATAGGAACTGGGTCATCATTGCTCAATAAAACCTTTGATGGGATAGTGTTAGGTGCAACGTCCAGTTTTAACCATCTGGTATCATGGAAGAACAACTCTGAAAGTGGGTGTTCCTCATAGTGCTGTTGGAAAAGAGAGAGTAGTCGACTGTCCAACCCTGCAAAGTTACCAGTAAGTTTACATTCGAAAACCATCGCTTGTTCCACTGATAGACGGTTCTCCTTCTCTTGTGGAATCAACGTTTCAATCTGCATCAAAAATTTCTCAAAATGTTCCAATTCTACAAGTTCCAGCAGACTCTTGAACCTTTCAGCACTCTTTTGCAAAATCTCAACGTTTAGAGAACTTGGTCTCGGTGTTTGCATGTGCTGTTCCATAACTTTGGTCAAAACACCATCAATCTTCTTCACACCCGCAAGACTGTAAATCAACAAGCTTCTTGGAACGGTACTCAACAGCAATGTGACAATAATGGATTCATGTCCAGAGCTTTGAGAGAGTTTCATCAGTTCTTGAATAGTGAAAATGACAAAATCTATAAGCCAGTTTATCGTCCCCACTGTACTGAGAACACTCTCAGATCTATATACACCATCAATCAACGATTCACTAACGCCCTTATTGACAATCCTCTGCTGTTGGTGGAAGAGTGTACGTAGTGTAACCATGATACTGAAGGAGATTAATCTCAAGTTCAATATTGCCAATGCAATTGTACTCTGCTGATTTGTAGGAAGAAATTTACCCAAGGAATATTGCAAAGATAACAGTTTTTGCATAGGCGGGTTCACCAACAATCGATCTATCTGCTCTTTAGAAATATCAAGGGTAAAGTTTAATGACCTATGACTTTCCTTTAAAGTTGTAACAATGATTTCATACCTTAGCTCTGGGTCGAGTTTTGAAAACTCATTTAGTATGAGCGCTATCAACTCATCAGCAATGGTATTCGTGTAACAAGCGGAGCAGAAGAGGTATGCAATCCCAGATGACATCTTTAGGATGTCTTTTGCATCCCATGCATTCTGAGATTTCCTCACAACTGGGTGGAATTCAAGCACACCAGAGGTTAAACTGACAAAGCCAGCCATCGACGGACACACTGCGATACAATCAGGGTTGGTCTCTGTCATTGGAAATTCAAATCCACAATCCAATAGAGAACTCATCGTTGAAGATGCACCGATGTGCAATTGTAAATTCTTTCTAGAACGGAGATGAACTCTTCCAGCAGCTGAGGTGACAATCACGTTCATATCGAAGTTTTTCAATTCGATATCCAGGAGTTCCCCATCGAGGTAGTCTTCAGCCTTTAACACCAAATTTGGAAACCCTTCAACGGTACCACCATCCGTCTTAAACCTTAGATCTTTGTAAACTGTTGATATTTGGTACTTTTGTAACAACGTACGATTGTTACAACCAATGCCTTTAAACGCAATCAAGATATCCAAGTCAGTATCCATGGAGTAATTAGGACTTATAACTTCTATTTGATCCAATTCCATGGTTAGGCCGTTTGAACCAATTTTATTCAATCTCTCCATGAGTAATTTCTCCACTTTGAAATTGGGCTCACATGATTTCAAATTCCACGACACCGAGAGTTTATAAACCTTTAGGGACTGGTCCTTTGGACAATAGCACACCACAACCACATCTCCATCCCTTAAGAACCCGATACTTGCCTGGCTAACCCACTCCCTTGCAGGTTCTAACATTATTCTATGCTTCTTAAACTCCATTGTGATTCCCTGGTAGTAGAAGTCTACTGAACCATCTCTTCTTGCAATGAAACACCCAGACTTGCCGTTTGGATGAAGAAACCCATACGGTTTATACTGATGTACCGAATAGTTATACCTATTCTGTTCTTCGCTGAACACCGCCGGCGAACTCGAAATCACAGGCTTATCCACGTTAATCCACTTGAAGGCAACACATTTGGACAAGCTCTCATCCTCACAGCGTCCAGCATCGTCCTGGTAAAGGATCTCAACGTCCTCAAAGCACGAAAGCTGGTGCACGTTACCGTTCTTAACGATTCCTGTACCCAATATTGAAACTCCTCCAACCTGGTCAACAACCAGCAAATCCGCACCAGAGGGGGACCACACAACAACCTGAATCGGCTTACAGCTCGTCTGTGAAGCTGTTTTGATCTCGTAGCTCTTCTTCGACGACAGTCTCCACGACTGCCCTCTCAGCGACTCCAGCTTTGATATCGATAAGTTCGTGGAGGAAGTATGGTGTGCAAACGCGATGAACCCATTCTTCGACCAACTTATAGGGCTTGAAACGAGGTGTTAGTACAATCATAGGGCAGGAAACGAGTGAATAAACCCACTTTGAGCACCGATCTCTGCGTATTATCGTCATCTTTCCTTTGACAACTTAGGAAGATGGAACGGTTTGTTTATATTTATAATCAACGGTTTTGTGGTTCTTTTTTTTGGGTTTTGGTGGGCGGCTAATTATGAAGCTCGGGGAAAAACATTGTAAACTACCCGATTAGGGAATTACCGAAAGAGGAAATAAGTATACACTGCGTCGGACTGCGTTTACGTCTACAGATGAATCATTAACAAGCAACAAATATATTCTTACGGAGATATACAATTACAGACTACTTGACAAGGTTCTTCTCGCCGAGGGTGAGCTCGGTCTTGACAATTTCGTCATCCACAGAGAGCTCGTCAGAGGATTTGTCAGATACGTCAAGCTCGTAACGAAGATCGCTCTTGTGCTGTTTCTTAGCGAGGTAGAAGATGACGTAGAACAAGATCTGGCCAATGAACACGAATCCCAGGTTAATGGACCATCCCATGAGGAACCGTGGCGAGTGTTTCAGATTCCATTGCAGAGGAATGGTCCAGGCCTGAGTAGCGTAGGAGTAAGAGTGCATCAGGGCTAAGATTAACCCCTTCTTCTCGGCACTGTCTTTACAGATGATCGCAGCCCAGGAGTACCAGGACGGTGCAAGGCCATACCACACGGTGGAGAGGAAGAAACCCACAAACTTGAGACCCTGAGGAACATTCCACACGATGAGAATAATGTTCGAGAAGTACTCAATAATGAAGCAAACCATCGTTATGTTAAACCTTCCGTAGACATCACACAGTGTCGGGACGAGAAGCATGGAGACAGAACCGATTGCCGCACTAACTGTCGGAATATTGTTTCTATCAGCGACACTGTAGCCTTCACTCTTCAAGTACAAGGAGAAAGCTGAGGAGTATGTGATTTGGTGATGGACAATCCACAAGAATGGTAGCAAAATGAACTCCCAGGAGAAGATAATCTTCTTGAAAGTAGCTGCATCCCAGGACTTTGATTGGACAACCTTGTGCTCTTTCAGCCTTCTTCTGGCAAACACCAGGTCGTCGTGTCCTAGAATTGCATGTTTCTCTATATGATTTGGTGTACCAGGGAACACGATGATACCATAGATGGTCACCACTGCGGTGATAAGACCATCAATGATGAACTGCCAACGCCAGCCTTCGAGGCCATTTCTACCGTTCAAGGAGCTGTGCGCCCCACTTTGGATATAACCAGCAACCATGGTACCAACACCAGAGCAGAAGTTATAGAAACCTGCCCTTCTAGACAATTCCTCAGGCGTGTACCAACTTGAGATGATATAGTACTGGCCTGGGAAGGATGCAGCTTCAGACAACCCAACAAAGAATCTAATGACGTAGATGTGCTCAGCAGTATGGACAGCAGCATTGGCAAAAGTACAGATACCCCAGATCGACTCGCAGACAATCAAGAGCCAACGAGCCCAGCCCTTTTTGGTGATGAAGAACATCGCAGGAATCTGACCAACACAGTAACCGATGTTGTAGAAAGTACTGAAAATATTCAGCTCATTACCGTTGAGGTTTAAATCCTCCTTCATACCAGTGACATAAGCATTGGTCAGGTTCATCTGATCAAGATACTTTGTGAAGAAACTCAGCGCACAGAATAGTGTGACGGCAATGTCCACCTTGAAGACATGCCACTTCTCAAACTTTGAATAGTGAGAAGGGTACCAGTCAAAGACGTAGATAAAGGCAAAGATCTTTTGCCATCTTCCATCACGCTTAGCGGGCTCGCCTCTCGTGACATCGATACTTTTATCTAAGAACTCATCTGGCAGGCTTTTAGAGGCTTCAGACTCATTGGTGATGAGATAGTTACCAAACTTCTTCAGTCCAGAGGTAATACCCATGATGCCTCAATGTAGTCTGCTACTGCTGGTATAAGCTCTACAGCGACGTGAGAACTGCGACATAACGCTTGTCTTTATATACTTGGGGTCCAATAGAACCAAAATAATAATAAACCAATCTCTTCTGTGACCGACTGATCAGTCAGTGATTATACACAAGTCATATTCCTGTCCTTGGCCAAGCTTGGAAGCAGTGGCTTCTTCTCTTGTCGGGCTACTAAATAATTATGAGCGTTTTTGACTGTCGGTGTGGCGTTGAAGGAACAACGGAAAAGGGTAGAACCAAGCGCCTGAAGCAATGTAGAGCAAACGGAAGTTGGCCTCGATGTATCCCACTACAGTTTTGGAGTACGTGGGCCCCACTACGCTGTGTAGTGCTACTGCTATTTATCGCTTGGACCGGATTGAATGTTGAGTTAAATCTTAAAACGAGGGTACTCGCTTTACTGGGTCATATGCATGGCATTTGAGACATGTGGAGTGCTCACAATGTGGTGATTCATGTCATATGTACAAGTACTGGAGCAATAGAGCTTACGTAGCTATAGCCTCCTAATCTAGAGTCGCCTGTATGTCACCAAGGTGAGGCTCACGCAACAGCTCATGCCATAAACGGAAATGTAAACGACTTTCAGAGACCGGAGTGCAGAATTTGATTTGGTCACCAGTATTTTGCACCTTTGGTTTCTTTGAGCATATGCCTAGGTGGCTCACATCCAATGACATCGATACTTTTATCCACGAATCCACCTGGAAGCTCAGACTCAGCATTGTTGTTCCTGATGAGGTAGGGACCAAACCTCTTGATCGCCAAGTCAACGGAATTCGTCATTTCTTTGAAGCAGAGCCACTGCTCGGTGCTCAGAGGATACAAGCTTGACTGGAAAGAATTGGCTTTACCGACGAAACAATCAGCTTTACCGACGAAACCATCGCTGGCCCCTGTATACACTCTACAATGTGTCCTTTATCTTCTATATAGCCTTGCCCACATATCGAGTGGTTTCCACAGCAACAATGGTACCGTCATCGCTGTCATCTTCAGCCCACCGAGACATGAAACCTGTCCATTCCACCAACGTAGGCATCCTGTAACAGCTCCTCCAATCCGACATTCCTTGATCCATGACAGTGGTGTAAATAGGTGCATATGTCGGGATACGTGTCGGTGTGGCGTCTTTTAGCTAGTTCGTACTGAGAAGCGCGCGCATGCACACAGTTTAACTCATTTATGTGCATAATTCAACCAACAATCAATTGCCAATTCCGCATCCATTGGTTGTAATGTGGTGTATTCTTATCTCTGTGGGCATTTCAGCGTGACGAGTTGCCCATTGGGACCAATGGGCTCTCTTGAAGATGTTTCTGGTGTTTCTGGTGTTTAAACTGTGGAAAGCTGTGTGTTGAGCTCTGCATATGCAACCCTGTGAAGAGTCGGACAGCAAATGTTCAGAAGCCTACAGATATCATGAAGACGTGGATATACTATACAGGTGCTTTAAAAGCCCTCATGCTGTATCCTAAATAGGCGAATTAGACGATACACACAGTGAAATGTAGGTGAAATGGCAGTTCCTTTAGTAGCTGAGAAAATATTCGCTTTGAGGATGACCTTTGACCAACCACTTGGTGTTCTCTTCTGGTGTTCTCTTCTGGTATATGGTAGAGAAATAAGTCTTCACCATGCCAAACTCAAGCAATTCCAATGGCTCCGAGAGAGACGGTGGAATAGTAGTGAGCATCAGAGGCGAAGAATATGACTTAGGCGAGCTTCCAGAGAAGCTCAAGCTCAGACTTCTGGCTCTTCTTCAACAGAAGAAACAACCGTACGAGAAGCCACCGTTGGATAGCATCTTCAATTTGGCAGACTTCACAGACGTGGCTAGAAACACTCTAAGTGAAAACACATGGTCTTATTATCGTACAGGAGCAGCTGATGAGATCACGCTCAGGGAAAACACGCAGGCGTGGAGAAGAATATACTTCCGTCCACGTATCCTTAACAACGTCACAGAGGTTTCTTTGGCGACAGAGCTGCTGGGGTCCAAAAGTGCATACCCGTTTTACATCACTGCATTTGCAGGCTGTCATCTAGACAACAATGTCGATGCGGAAAAGCCTCTTTTACGTGCAAGTGACGAGTCTGGAGGTGTGTACATGTTGCCATTCCAGACCACCTTAGGGATCACACAACTCAGTAATGAAGGTGAAGGTGATCAGTGGCTTCAGATCTACGTTGGCCAGGATCGACAAAGAACTAAGGAAGTCATCAAAGAGGCTGAGGCAACGGGTAAGATCAAAGCTCTATGCTTTACAGTCGACATGGCCCAGATTGGACGTCGTGAAACCCACCAGCGTGTCACAGGAGATGGCAGCTTCGTCAAGCATTTCTCAGGCATTTCGAGTTCTTTCAGTTGGGATGAGGTTAGGGGATATAAGGACAGCACACACTTGAAATGCGTCTTGAAAGGCATACAAACCAAGGAAGATGCTGTAAAGGCCATTGAGTATGGGTTTGATGGGATCATCTTGTCAAACCATGGGGGCCGACAACTCGACACCGCACGCTCGGGCATCGAGGTGTTAGCAGAGGTTCACAGGGAGTTGAAGCTGAAAGGGCTAGAGGACCGAATTGAGATCTTTGTAGACGGTGGTGTCAGTAGAGGCTCTGATATCGTCAAAGCCCTTGCATTGGGTGCTAAGGGTGTAGGTCTAGGCAGAGCCATGTTGTATGCGCTTCAGAGCTATGGTGAGCCAGGAGTGGCTAAGGCTATTGACATATTGAGGAGCGAAGTTGAGCTAACGTTGAGATTGTTGGGTGTCCGTTCAATCGGTGATCTGGATGAGTCATATGTCGATATTACAAACCTTCCTCTGAACAGAGCTACCCACTGAAAGCGTTTTGTTCATAAGATGGGATTAACGTATGGAAACCACTTGTTGTTTCTTATCACCACGTGACCCTCACGTGATCAGATGGAGAAGCTCGAATCTGCAGAGAGCTCCGATATGCAAAAATTACGGGAATAACCGTTTTGGGAACTATGACGTAGATGAAAAGAGATCGGATTTGGCGCCGGAATAAGACACTGCCAGGAAAAATAGAGTTTTTTCTTTTCCAAGGCTGATGTTAAGAGTTTTAACAAAGAGTTCGGCGTAGCGTTGTTGTAACTTGTGACCTCTTTCTTTTGTTGAACAAAGCTTGTAGTTTAACGAATGGCTTTTCGTCCCTGTCTTCTTTTTGGCCGTGTCCAACGCTTCCACACTGTTCAGTGACGTGTCATGATTGTGTGTGGTTGATAAGGCGTAGGCGGAGTGAAAAGAGTACGTGGATATTATGTATGGCCGACATCCACGTTTTGAAATTCACACCCGATTTTTCTTATCAGACCAACCGTAGGCCTTCGAACTGTCCAATTGGCGAGGGAATATAACCGTCATACGTCCTAGATTTGCGAGGAGGCGGACAATAGCCCCCCAGTCCAACCAAAGGTAGTCATATGTAGTCGATTGGGCAGAGAGGAGGGCGAGGTGGAAGATATCATGTAAGGTGAACGAAGCCAGCTCGCTCATCGATTTGGCTTGGTCAATCGTGCAACTCGCCGGCGAAAGTGTAGCCCAGAGTGCAGCAGCAGCAGCAGCAGCAGCACTGCTTCCAACCCTGGTGGACTGGCCAAACCCGGTGCGAGAACGCTGCTCGCTGTACGGGAGATCTCCTTTGTTCGGAGTTTCCACAACAACAAGCCGGGGGGGGGGACCCCCCTCCCACAGATCGGAATTGCTTCACGAAGCGTCGGAAGAGCCAGAACAGCGACTGTGCGTTGCCGGGGGCGTGCTGGCGGGGGATATCCTATCTACATTGGGTTAAAACAGATAAGGCGCTTCCAACGCTCATCTGAGCACCACAATGCCAGCGGGATTAACACCCACAGGGTGTTTCCACCGTGTCGATTTACGCTGAAACTCGTCGCAAATCGCTGGTGTCGACCGAGCAAAAAAAGAAAGAAAGAACACGCACGCCGGAAAAGAAACAAATCCCCAGCGTCCCCTAACCAGAAAAAGCTTCTTGCCCTGGCAGGCCAACAAGTTCTGTCGTACGAGCGATCCAGTCGAAGCAGCCCATCCACGCGCAGCTGGCGACCACTTGGGCACCGTTGGAGAGCCACCATCGCCAGCTCCACGCTCCACTGGACTGGGGCCCGGAACGGGCCCACCCCAGGCCGCAGCGCGCTCTCCCTCGCTCCCTCAGAGCCAACACGCGCACTCCAAAAGAAGCGACATCGCACGGTACGCGCACACCGGAGAAAGCGTCCAATCACCGGCGCTTACCCAATCAGACCAGCCAAAAAAGCAATTCCAGCCCGCGTAATCTCTGGCCAATCAGCGCGCGCGCCGGCCCGGTGACTTAAACCCGGCTGGACGACACCGGCTCATCGAAACTTTTCACATATAAAGGCACGATGCGATTGCAATTCTTTTCAACACACCAATCGCCCATCCTCTTCTCCAAGGTAGCACTCTTATCTACAACCAACACCCACAGCACCCACAATGGTCCAACCATCCGAGCCAGAATTCGAACAAGCATTGAACGAGGTTTACTCAACCTTGAAGGCCTCCTCTCTCTTCGAGAAGGAGCCAAAGTACCTGAAGGTGCTCGACGTTGTGCAAATTCCAGAGCGTATCATCCAGTTCAGAGTTGTGTGGGAGAACGACAACCACGAGGTTGAGGTGAACAGAGGTTACAGAGTGCAGTTCAACTCTGCTCTCGGTCCATACAAGGGAGGTTTGAGATTCCACCCTACCGTGAACTTGTCTATCCTCAAGTTCTTGGGTTTCGAGCAGATCTTCAAGAACGCCCTGACCGGCCTGAACATTGGTGGTGGTAAGGGTGGTTCCGACTTCAACCCTAAGGGCAGATCCAACAACGAGATCAGAAGATTCTGTTATGCTTTCATGAGAGAGCTCTCCAGACACATTGGTCAGGACACTGATGTGCCAGCTGGTGACATCAACGTTGGTGGCCGTGAGATTGGTTACCTGTTTGGTGCCTACAAGCAGATCAGAAACTCCTTCGAGGGTGTTTTGACCGGTAAGGGTTTGACCTGGGGTGGTTCTTTGATCAGACCAGAGGCCACTGGTTTCGGTTTGGTGTACTACGTTGAGCAACAGATCAAGTACGCCACCAAGGGTAAGGAGGACTTCACCGGCAAGAGAGTTGCCATCTCCGGTTCCGGTAACGTTGCCCAATACGCTGCCTTGAAGGTTATCCAACTCGGTGGTAAGGTTGTCTCTCTCTCCGACTCTAAGGGTACCATCATCTCCGAGGAGGGTGTCACTGCTGAGCAAATTGCTGTCATTGGTAAGGCTAAGATTGCCTTCAAGTCTCTTGAGGAGATCATCAAGGACCCAGCCTTCGAGACTCACCCAGTTAAGTACATTGCCGGTGCCAGACCATGGATCCACGTTGGCCAGGTTGACGTTGCCTTGCCATGTGCCACCCAAAACGAGGTTTCCGGTGACGAGGCTAAGGCCCTTGTTGCTGCTGGTGTCAAGTATGTCGCTGAAGGTTCCAACATGGGTTCCACCCAAGATGCCATTGACGTTTTCGAAGGTGAACGTTTGGCCACCAAGTCCGCCTCTGCCCCAGCCGTCTGGTACGCCCCAGGTAAGGCCTCTAACGCTGGTGGTGTCCTTGTCTCCGCCTTGGAGATGGGTCAGAACTCTCAAAGAATCCAATGGACCTCTGAGCAAGTTGACTCCGAGTTGCACAAGAGAATGATCAACTTGTTCGAGGAGTCCATCAAGTACGCCACCCAGTACTCCAAGGAGTCCAACAAGGAGTCTCTTCCATCTTTGGTTATGGGTGCTAACTTGGCTGGTTTCGTCAAGGTTGCCGACGCCATGTTCGACCACGGTGACGTCTGGGCTTAGACAAGGTGCTATACATAAAAAGGGATACGTCTTCTGTATAAAGATTTAATGACTGTTTGGATTTTTACGTCTGGTTTTATTACTTGAAGCCTGTAGACTAGATGCCAATGCGTTGGTGATGCAAGCGAAGCAAGCGAAGCACACACCGCCATAGACTGGCGCAGCTTGCCATGTAAGGCCGTTACAACCGTGCAGCCTGCTCAACGGTGACGATGATGAGCCCGAGCACGCCACTGAGCACCAGGATGCCGATGTACTTGAGGACGTTTACCCTCAGGCTCAACATCACGAGCAACAGGAAGGCGAGTGATGTCATGGCGAGGAAGGCCAGAGAGCCTCGTAACGACGTTGTGAGCCCTGATGAGAGGTATAGAACAGCCCTGAGCACCGGGCTGGTCTCCAAGAGATCGGTGATGTCCACCATGAGCTCCTTTGCCTCAACCATGCCAGCTGCTAGATCATCAACGTGGTGATCCATCTTGCTCAGAGAGCTGTTCAGGTGGTGCGCAGACCTTGATGCGCCCTCCAGGCTGGCATCGAGTTCCCTGTGCACGTCCACGGTCCGCAGCAGCTGCGTGTAGAGACGCTGAAGCCCATTGCTCGTTCCTTCCAGAGACTGTGCCATCAACATGTCACGCTCCTCCAGGTCAGTGACGAACCTGAGCCTGAGGAAGTCCAGCTGCTGCGAGAACTCCAGGTCGATGCCTTCGAACAAGGCCACGAGGTTGGACTCGACGGCCTCGCTGCTCTGCCTGGCCAACGCCGTGGCGTTGGCACTCATCTCACCCAGCTTGGACATCTGCGACGTGACGTGGCTCCACATCGTCTGTAGCTGGCGCTTCGACTCGCCAGCTTCCTTTTCAATCTGAGCCATGAGCCGCTTCAGCCTGGCGAAGGACTGCTCGCTCTCCCTTTTCAGCCTGCTGGACTCATCGACACACTCGTGCAAGCTGTCAAACACCTGGGCGTAGTAGGAAGTCACGCCCAGGAACACCGACCATATCTCGTCCTTCTCGTAGGGCAGGCTCTGCTGATGGCAGATCTCGCCAATGGACCTGTAATACCCGCTGTAGGTTGTCCACCACTGGCTCTTGGTCTCCAGCGCCGTGACACAGGCTGCGTACTCCACGGAGGCCTCACTGGGGGCCTCCCCAGTGGAGCGGTCCCTGCCTGTGGAGCGGTCTCTGCCTGCGGAGCGGCACTCAAGCGGATACTCAACATTGGCAACCTCGAACTCGCACACGGACAGCTTCGCCGCTGTCATTGCCCTGATCTTCGGGTCGATCTCGTTCAACGGCGTCTTGAGACACTTCGACAGGATCGGCATGATGGCTGCTTTCACACACGACGTGTCGTACTGCGGCTGCTCAGCAAACAGCGACACTTCTCTGCTGGCCCGTGTGAGGTTGCGGTACCGTTGGACGATGTCGTCCACGGTGTACTCTCCAGTAGACAGCGACGATACAGAGGCGCTCGCCACCAGGACGAGGGCTAGACGGAAGAGCATGGAGATGCTCTTCCCTGCCTGGCCCACGGTGCTGCCTCTCACATCCCACCACGCTGCTTTTATACTGCTCTGTCCGCCCACCGTGGTGTATCAGAACTGTTTCATGAGACACATCGCGTGTGCCTTCGCTACACTTCTACACAGCCAAACAGGGCCTACAAGGGCCTACAAGGGACGTAGAAACACGCGGAAAACGGCCCAGCACACCCGTGCCCACCAAGACACTACGAGCTACACACACACAACCACACACCTCCGCCAATTGGGCTCAGCGGGCAGAGAAGCCAGGGGAAAAGGTGTCAAAATTGGTTGCAAACTCGCCCTTGATCATCCACCTGTCGGCCTGAGCTCCCGAGACGCGCCGACATCACCAAACTCCGGAAAAACACCGTGCCGGGGTGGCATGTCTTTGAGCGCTACATCAACACACAATTGTGGGCAAATGAATGGGAAGATCCTCAACAAAATGGCCCATTTCAACCGTAGAGCGGTGTTTCTGGTGCTGTTCTATGCCTGTTGTGCTCAATGTGCGGATATGGTGATGGAAGGTGACGACTTGCCGTCACCTCAGCCCACGCACGCCGCGTCGAAGACGTTCCACTGGATCATGACACTGGGCTTGACGCTGATTCTTCCCTCGATCTCTGGCGTGCTGGTGTTTGCCGAGAGACTGCACGCTGCTGTGATCTTCCAGCTGGTGTCAGCGGCGTACGCAGTGGTTGAGGTGGTGTTCTTGTCGTTCCCTGATGGCGATGGTGTTGAGAACAGGACGTCAAGGGGAACGGGCGTGACGTTTATGCTGATGAGTGCCGTCACCGTGGTGTTTGCCCTGGTGCACTCGGGCTCCAAGGTGCTGCAGCCAAAGGCCATGGGCAGGATAGCACACATGGGCGAAAGAAGCGTTAGAATCGTGCACAGAGCCCTCAGCGTGCTGGTGACCCTTGTAGGATGGGTCCGTGTTTGTATGGCGCCGATTGCGCTGTTTGGGTTCTGTAGGGACAAGCACACTGGCCAGTGTATTGCCCATGGAATCATGGGCTCAGCTTTCGTGTGGTATGGCTTTGTCTATGCGATGGTGCTGGTGCTGCCCTACTTCAGGGAGTCGAGCCATCCAAGATCACAGGAGTTTTATGACTCGACGCTGATGATGGTTTGGGGCGTGGTGAACACGTTCACTGAGCACCGTTGGGGCAAGGAGCCTTGGAACCACGGTGACTACCAACACACTGCAATGGGCATAATTTGGTGGTGTGGTGGCCTGCTGGGCATGTTTCTCTCCCGTGGAGGCCGTCGCTCCTTCGTGCCAGCGTTGCTATTGATATACACAGGCTGGGCCATGTCAGAGCACGTTCAGATGCTACAAGTCAGCACAAAGGTCCATGCGATGTTTGGCATAGTGCTCATGACCGGTGGTGCGCTGAGAATCATGGAGATCTCATTCCTGCTGAGAGATGAGCGTTCAATCCCTGGTAGGATCATGTCATTCCAGTACCTGCCTTCGTTCTGCCTTGTGGAATCAGGTGTTCTATTCATGGGTGCCAACGAGGAGCAGCTGGAGCTCGTCTTGAGGCTCCACGCTGATCATAGCTCGTACATCATGGTTGTGACGGGTGGTGCCTTCATGATCTACCTGTGGATGCTCCTGTTACTGGAGCTTTACCAGAGATTGACACTGACATCGAACATCAACCTCTCGAGCTATGCTGCGTTGGAGAGAGAAGCAGATGCCAGGGAATTCGAGTTGGACGATATCGAAGAGTAGATATATATATATATATATATACGGCTAATTACAAAGATAAAGACAGGTGACTCTATGTATGTAAAGATAAGCAGGGAAAGGAAATAAATGGCCCATCTTTTGTTCTTTTGGAATGGATCTTCACTTTGTAGTGCTTGTGCGGTTGTCTCCATCATCATCCTCATCAGTGTCCACTTCAAAGCTATCAGATCGTCTAGTGCTCGTGGTTTGGGAACCGGCCAAACGGCTGTCCTCATTGTCTTCATCATCAGACTCACCAACGTCTATATTGTCCAGCCTGTTGTTATCACTGGTGTCCAAGGTGAATATGCTGGTATCATCTTCACTTGTATCTGTATCATCTGGTCTGATGATATCGAATTCGTACTGTTCACGTCTTCTGATGAGACGACGAGTCAGCACAAAGTTGTATATGAGGATGGCGAAGAATCCCACGACAATAATGGCGAGGAAGTAATTGACATAGTGAGGAGACCATCTGTCAGTGTACTGGCCCTCCGTGGATTTGGACTCATCATCGGTTTGCTCCTGTGTGTCTGTTGGCACAGGCGAGGTTTCCGATGACGTGACTGCCACTTCGGATGATGTGGTGGCAGATTCAGATGATTCCACTTGTACGGATGAAACACTGGTTGCAGAAGATGAGGTGACTTCGGATGACACCGACAAGTCAGACACCTCAGACTTCTGAGAGACAACAGCATTCACAGGCTCTGTCACATCGTTGTCTTTCTTTTGGCCATAGAAGCTCAATTTGAAGTCCTTCAAGACCACGTTGTTGGTGTCATCATGGTTTTCAACACGAACTTTCCACTTACCGTTTGGTGAGCTGTCTCCCCAGTGTGCCACTGTCATGAATGTCCAATTCTTGAAGCCATCCTTGGATTTGTCCAGCTTTCTAACAACTCCCAGGTTCGACACAGTGCCACTTGGTGAGATCAGGTCTATTGATACCTGTCCTCTTATCGAGGTATCCATATTGAGATGTAGTTGAACGTGTTCCAAGTTCTTGAAGTCTCCCAACTGATCAATGTCGAATTCATGAGTGTACTCCTTGTCCACTTTGACGTTGGCACCAACGGTATCAGAGGAAATATGGACTTGCTCGTTAACGTTCTCCCATGTCTTGGCCAGCTCCACAATCTTCCAGGCATCCAATCGACCATAGCCGTACTTGTGCGAGTACTTCTTGCCCATTGCAGTGTCCTGGTACTCGCCATCGTTTTCGTTGATCAAGTCAGAAGACAAAATGGTGATGTACTGAACATCTCTCCATGTCAATTCTGGGTTGGCCTCCAAGACTAAGGTGTAGACACCAGCAGCAAGTGGTGCAGCTGCAGAGGTACCACCGTGGTGTGCAGTACACTGGTCGTGCAAATCAGTCGAGTGGATGTATTCTCCTGAACCTGAGCTGTAAGTCACCACCAAGACAGCTGAACATGCTTCAGAGTAAGGTGGGTGTAGTCCCTTGTGGTCAAGAGCACCAACTGTGATCGAGTAGATGCTGTTTGTATAGCCATCGTAGTTACAGTTATCGCCGTGCATGCCACCATTACCAGAGGCAAAGACATAGATAGCACCTTTCCCCTTTCTTCCCTCCTGAACACCTCTTCTGATAGCTCTTTTAACCAGCTTGCTAGGTGCCTCCATCGTTTTACCGTTATCCGAAGGCCCCCAGGAGCAGGAGTAGATGTCGTTGACGTCTAAGCCATAGACCAGCGCAGCAGCTTCATCCTCCTGTGTGATATCACCAGAAAGAATTCTGATACCAGAAACCTTTGAATTGAAGCCCACGCCGACACCACACACGTCGTTCTTTACCGCAGCAATCTCGCCAGCACATCTGGTGCCATGGTAGTCATCTCTCAGCGTTGGTTTCGGCAGCTTCTGGTTGGCGTTGTAGTCCCAGGAGCCTTCTTCACAGAAGTTATCAGCGAGATCCTTATTCTCGTAATCAAGCCCATCGTCAATGACTGCAGCAACAACACCATTCCCCGTTATGTTCTGGGCCCACACGCCCGTGACGTTCACGTCGTGCGAAGGGTAAGAGGGGTTGATCAGGTGCCACTGAGAAGCGAACTCAGGGTCCTGTATTTGGAACTGCTCTTGAGCGTCTTGGACACGTTGCATCGACGAATCCATTGGTGGATCAGCAAGCACCACCGGCACTGGCGCTCTTTTAACCAGTCTCCTTGGCGACAGCTGGTGTATCGACCTTATTCCTTCATCAGACAGGTCCAGCTCGGTGAAGTCGAGTCTCTTGTGCAGCGAGCCGCCGTCATCGTCGCTTCCATCACCGTCAAGGTGCTTAGGCTGAGAAAACACATAGTGTCCAGGATTGCCTCTGGCGTCGTGTTCGTAGTGCCAGTGAGGGAACGACAGCAGCAGGCTCCGTATCTGGGACCGGTCATCCAGCTCCACAGCGAAGTAGCTCTTCGTCTCGTAGTCCCTCGGCGGGATCTGCGACGAGTAGACACCGCACACCAACGTCAACAACAAGGAAGGCCTCATCGTTATCTCTTCCGCACAGACAAAAGGACACAGGCCGAGTCAGAACAAAGATATCGTATCTTCAACAAAGAATACAGCAACTGGCGCAGAGCAACGTTCACAGGAGAGCCACGGTGCCTCGAAGCTGAGCGTTGTTGAAGGTGGAAACAGCGGGAAGTTGATGGTTGTTTGGGACGAGTTTTATAGGCCAGCAGCACTTTTTTGGGTACTAAATGGCCGTGGGCCCCAAAAGGTGAATATTGTGACGGGGGAAAAAGGGGAGGGCCGGGGGTCGAACGCGGAACAGGGTTGTTGATTACATAAGGGATTACATAAGGGATTACATAACATCGGCACTTACCCTTTTTGTTTACTACGTGTTTGTTCTTCGTTTCCACCTTTCACCAGGGGCAGAGTGACACAACTAAGCAGTCAGTGGTTGTGATGTCAGACTCAGAGCTCAGTAGTGTTGATGCGTCGGAGGACTACCTCTCGCAGGAGGAGGATGAGTTCCGCGAGGACGAGGACGAGGACGAGGAGGATAACGGTGCTGGAGAGGAGGAGGATGACGATTTTGAACAAGTTGATGATAGGTACGACGACGACGACGATGACGACCTTGAAGAGGATAACGAGAGGGCAGTTGCTAAGCGTGGCAAACGGAAGTTACAAGTGAAGTTGACGCTGTCGAAAGGAGCAAAGAAAGCCACCAAAGGTGACGGTAAACAGCCCAAGAAGAAGCAGCCCAAGACCAGAGGTGGTTTCATTAGAGTAGTCCCGAGGATGAGGAGAACTGTGAATACCGTGACGGAGAGGCAGCCGACCAGAACCAGCGGACGCTCAACAAAGAAGACCACGAGCTATGCAGAATCATACGATGACGACTTTGAAGACGAGAGCGAGTACGGCAACGATGAGAACGATGTGATACCAACGCCTGCGCTCGACGAGGAGGACCTCAGCGAGGACGACGAAGAGGCCACTCCTTCAGCAGACGTGACAAAGATGACCGAGAGACAGAGGGCGATGTTCTTGAGCGAGGAGAGCGAGACCCCTCAGCCTGCACAGTTGATATCGTTGAGCAACGGTGTAAGCAAGAAGCGTGTGTTGTCCGAGGAGGAGAACCAGCTAAGGAAAGCAGAGATTGCTAGAAAGAGAAAGAACCTATCCGAGAAGAAACTCGAAGAGGAGAAACAGGATACCATCAACAAATTGCTCAAGAGAAGGGCTGGAAAGGCCAGCTCTGCGCAGTTAGAGGAGGATGAAGAGAACTTACTCAAGGACAAGCCTAGAAGACCGCAGTTGGAGCACAAAGCGTTGTTCACATGGGTCTCTAAAGGGGACTCATTAGCGTTGAGAGTACCTGATCCACTTCTTTAAAGGCTTCAATGGCACAGGGATGACTGTACAAATTGTAGGCAGAGCGTAGGCAGAGTGTAGGCGGAGTGTAGGCAGAGCGTAGGCAGAGCGTACGTCCCCTCCCACCGCGGTCCTTCGGCGTGCGCCGCCAGCGAGCGAACGTGGAAAAACACAAAAGCGAGCCGACCGCCGGTGTTTTTGGAGCTGGGAGAACAGTGAGGGCATATTGATAGGTTTGGCAGCTGTTGAACGAGCTTGAGGTACAGGGAAGAAGTACACAGAACGATGGCTACTGCGTCACAGAGTAATACTCCCAGGGATGAAGAGGATGAGTCCAAAGGGATGCAATTTAATGGTTCTAATAGTACGAATGGTATGAATATGAATGTCAATATGAGTGGTTATAGGCCTATGGGGTATACACCAATGAACATCCAGGCACAGCACTACGCCTCGATGCAACAGCAGTATATGGCTCAGCAACAGCAGCAGCAGCAACAACAACAACAGCAACAGCAGCAGCAACAGCAACAGCAGCAGCAACAGCAACAGCAGCAGCAACAACAACAACAACAACAACAACAACAACAACAACAGCAACATCAACATCATCAACAACAACAACATCATCATCAACAACAGCCGCAACAGCCGCAACTACAAAAGCATCAGCAGCCTCAACCACAGCCTCAGCCACAACCGCAACAACAAGGACAGATTGCACGTCCTATGGGACAACAACAACAGAGCCCTATGCACACACAGTATACCGCTCAACAGGGCCAGGGACAACACTCACAGATGCAAGCACAAGGAGTGAACGGCGTAGCGGGACATGGATATTCACAGAATGGTCCAGTTATTGGACCCCAACAACAACAACAACAGCAACAAACGCAGGGCCAAGCTCAAGGTCAGCCTCAACCTCAGCAGCCATTACAACAGCAAGCTCCTCAGCAGATACCTCAACAAGCTCCTCAGCAGATACAACAGCAGATACCTCAGCAAGCTTCTCAACAGTTACAAGGCCAACTAGGTGTCCCAGCTCAAACACCTCAACAACAGCCAATGACTGGCGCACCACAACCTCCAAAACCTGCTGGGCCCACTTCAGGTGCTCCCACCCCTGGCTTACAATCGGAGCAGGTGCCTGTATCTGGTATCAAGGATGCTAAGCTCAACAGTACGCAGAGAGGGATCAATTTGACACAACAGAGCAACACAGGTTCTTCAAGACCAGTTATGACTCGAGGCGTCATGCCCAATGGCTATTCCAACTCCATGTCCATGTTGGGTTATAGACGTCAGATGTCTAACGTTGAAGTGCTAAAGGTTCTGGATTTCTGTGAATTGGTTGGTGTGAGATCTGAGAGTACAAAGAACATCCTCTACTGGAAGAAGATCATCACGGAGTATTTTAGTGAAGTTGGTGTATTGAGATACTCTGTGAAGAGCGGCGTTGACCATAGACAGTTTGAGTTTAGCGTTCCTATTATACCTAGGTTCTTCTTTTCGATAATCCAATCTGGTGTTTTGAGGATTGAGATTCAACCAGGTATGCTTAGAACGCAGATGTTGGCAAACGGGACTACGTATATTGAGTCCTTGAGATGCTGCTTTACACACCACTACAACGATGGTTCCTATGTTAACATATACGGTACCATGAAAGGTGTATTTAACCAGAGTTTGAAATTTGAATGGCTTGATTTCCAAACTCACGTTTTCATACCTGGTGTTGAATGGCCGTCTTTGGAAAAAGTGCTATCAGATGAAACCAAGATGAAGGAGATGTTGAGTGTCTACAGTGATGAGACGAAGGATGAAAGTGGATCAAGTACAAAGCAACAGCAGATTCTACAGAAGTTCCGTTCTAATTACCAGGTCTTCCATTCGATGTCTAACTTTGGACTACAGGAGTCCGTCATGAGGGTGATGCAGGTGAGTGACGTTATGGCTCATCTTCGATCGTTGATGCTTTTTTCAATCTCCTCGAACTCGTGTGGACCGTTACAGGCGTTGGATGACTTTGTTGCCAAAGCGCAGTCGAAGGAATTCGACAAGGCGAAGAAGAAACTCGACGGGGGAGTCAGCAGTGGACAGGCAAGCGGAAACGTGAGTGCTAAGGACTCGCCAGCTACAGACACCATGACCATCAACAACACCAGCACAACCACCGCTAATCAGAACGCTACGAACAGCGAGCACAACCACAGTGGTAAGACTGGAACTAATAACGGCACTGCTAGTGCATCAACTACCGGGACGAGCAATTCCTCAAGCACCACTAACCTGGCCAACGGTGCCTCCACCACCACCACCAGTGGCAACGGAGGAGCTCCAAACGTACAGGACCGCAAGGGCGTCCACAGGCTGGATATGTCTCAATCCACGCTCACCAAGAGACGACGCAAGAGCACGCTGGGAGAGCTGAGCCCCAAGAGTATAGGCGAGAGCCCAAAGGTCAAGGCGAAGAAGACCAAGCGGTAGCACAGCCATGCAAACGCTCTTCACGCCATAGCCACCCACTTTTAGCACGTATTATACACCAAATCATCAATATAAGAGCGCTTTGAGGTATAACCCCCATAGTAACACACACCAACGTCTGAACCCTTTATGACGTAATGAGCGGAACAAATCATAACGGTGCTAAACTGGCCGTACCGATTAAGGCACCACCCGCACACAAGGCGAAAACCACACAAAACACACCGAAAACACACGACGTCATAGAAGGAAAGGAGGGCCATTTCAAGCAAAAAAAAACCGTCGTTGAAACGCTGAGAGGCACAGAGAAGGAGATTGGCCTGCAAATAGCAACAGACGACGTCACACCAACGAGGTTCTACTAATAACCTTGCACTCGTCTAAGAAACGAAAGAGAGACGCACAGAGAGAACAACACCCTCCCGTCACTCAACACTGCACCTCACAAGCATCCTGTTCGTTCACTTCTGGTTATACAAGTTCTGTGCCGTGACGTTTGGCCGCCACACCACCTGCCCATAACCGCCAACTCACACCTACACATCGCTTTCGCTAGAGACAAGTGGTTGGAAGTCCGATCAACTCGCCCATAACACGCCGTGTATACACCCGTATAGTGTCTTTTTTGTTTGTTTGTGAACCGCCCGCTGTGACCTGAGCGTGCCGCCATAACGAACAAGAAGAAGTGTTGATCTTTTAAAGGTACGAATTGTACGAAAAAAGGTTACAAAAGGGATCCAGATCGACTACACAGGCGTTTCGACCTCTTGGGAAGTTTGTCTGACCGTTCCGCCGCCGCCGCTTTGGTTTTATTTTTGGAAAGTGCCACCACATCGTGAACAGGCACCGCTTGCTATTGTTCTCAACAGAGCTCTCTACAACACACAGGCTATTGGCCGAGAACACGAACGAGTATGGAAGATTCTATCAATTGGACGATCTTCAACGAGCTGTTGCTCATGGACGAGGACGAGCCTGGGTTCTCCAAATCGCTGATCCAGACGTTTATAGAGCAGGCCACGCAGACCTTCGAGTCCATAGAGACGGAGCTCGAGGCCGAGGAGCCCGATCTGAACAAGCTGTCACAGTATGGACACTTCCTGAAGGGCTCTGCCGCAAGCCTGGGACTGTTCAGGATACAGGAGCAGTGTGAGCGGATCCAGAACTACGGGCTGAAGAAGGACTTTGACGATGGTGTCAAGGACGAGAAGTGGAGCGAAGCTATAAAACAGGCTCTGGAAAGGGCGAGACAAGAGTTTGAGGCTGCGAGAGAGGAGCTGAGCCAGTTTTACAAGGAGAGCCTATGAAGGCGTTGTGCTCTGAAGACTGCAAGAAAGAATCGTGTAAAATGTTGGGGTTTCGTATTAGTTTTATTTTGATCTTTTTGTTTACTTTGAATTTGAATGTTAGAGCTGACTTGCACGTAAGTATAAGCACCACAGGCTTGTGCGATGCCACGTCAGAGGTCTGGATCAACAAGGTCCCCCATGTGCTTCCCGGTGAGGAACTTGACGCCTCTGATGCTCTCCGGAAGGTACTCCTGTTTAACATTGCCATCGACGAAATTGGGGTTGTACTTGTACTCCTTACCATAGTCCAGCTCCTTCATCAGCTTTGTCGGAGCGTTTCTCAGGTGTAGGGGGATTTGTAGGCTGGAGCCTCGTTCATGGACCAACCGTTTGCACTGGTTCCAGCCTCTGTATATTTCAACGCTCTTTGGAGCTCTTGCCAGCTTCACAGCGCAGTGAACCAGGGCTAAGTCGGCCTCTGGTAAGCCAACCTTCGTGACGGCTTCATACGCTGCAATGGCGAAAGGTAAACACGAATCGTCCAATACGCCAATGTCCTCTGATGCGATCCGAATCATCCTTCTTGCAATGTACAAGGGGTCTTCGCCTCCTTCCAACATCAGCCCCAGATACCACATGGCGGCATCCGGGTCAGAGCCTCGGATGCTCTTGTGAAACGCCGATATCGTGTCGTAGTGGAAGTCGCCAGTCTTGTCATAGATCATATGAGATTTGGCCAACAAGGGCTTCAGCATGTCCTTGGTGATGATTCCCTGAGGAGCATGGAAGTGAGAATCGAGTAACTCCAACAACGTTATGGCGATCCTGGAATCTCCAGACGAGACGTCAGCAATGTAGTCGATGGAGTCCTTCGACAAGTTCAACAGCGGCTTGTCAAAGACAAACTTCCGACATTTGTTGAGGAGCAGCACACCTCTATGGATGATCCTGTAGAGGTCGTCAGTGGACATGGCGGTGAGTGTGAATACTTTGCACCTGGACAACAAGGCATTGTTCAGCTTGAAACTTGGATTCTCCGTGGTGGCGCCAATCAGGATCACGTCTCCCTTCTCGACAAAGGGCAAGAAGTAGTCCTGTTGAGACTTGTTGAACCTGTGGATCTCATCACAGAACACGATGGTCCTTCTCTTCGTCAAGAAGTACTCCTTCTGAGTCGATTCGAAGATCTTCTTCAACTCTTGAATGCCACTTGTAGTGGCATTGATCTCAATGAACCGCTGGCTCGTGGAGCGCGCAATGATCCTGGCTATGGTGGTTTTACCCACACCAGGAGGACCCCACAGGATCATCGAGGGAATACAGTCCCGCTCTATAAACCCTCTGAGTAAACCGTGAGGTCCCAGAAGCCCCTTCTGTCCAATGTAATCATCCAGCGTCGAAGGCCGCAGTCGCTCACTCAGCGGGACGTTCATCTGTTGTCTGAGCCGTTTAATCTCGAGCTCCTTCTCGTCAATCTTGGGCTTCTTAACGACAGATTTACCATCCTCAACCTTCACCTTCTTCAGAACCTGAACTGACGAGGGTTTAGCATCCTCTTTACCATCGCCCTGTTCATTATCAACCTCCTCATCATCCACAATGACCACCGCACCATCTGAGCTGGCGTGCTTCCGCTTCAACCCCACGAGAATATTCGACTGTTTACCGTTCTTGGGCTTCTCACAGGAGTCCAAGTGGTCATTTATAAGGGAAATGTCCATGGATCTACCACATATTGGACACTGAACCATAGTCCTCGCTCCTCGGTGTCTCGGTGTATAAGGACGCGAGACATTTGTCTATCTACATTTTTCATTTGGCCTCTTATCACCGCGACAACTGGTGCGGCCTTAACTGGATAATTAATACCGACACTACACAGGTTTAAACCATGGAGAGATATATCCAATTGCGGGTTGTTTACTCGTACAGCTCACTAATCACACCCAGGGAGTCGGCAATGTAGTCTGGAACACCGGACTCGAAGGCTCCCTTTTCAGTCTCGATACCTGTTAGGACCAGCAGAGTTGACAGGCCACCATCTTTACCGAACTTCATGTCGGTGTTCAGACGGTCACCAACCATTATACATCTCTTTCTATCCAATCCTTTATCGCTGACGATGGCATCCAGCATGTTCTGAGACGGTTTGCCGCACGCTGTTGGCGTACGGCCACTGGCATACGCCACGGATTCGATACACGAGCCTGCACCTGGTAGGATCATACCTTTTTGAGGGAAGGTTGAGTCGATGTTTGTAGCGATGAAATGGACGTCTGGGTTCAGCAGGTACTGAAGTGCAATGGCACTTCTGTGGTAGTTCATCCCGGTGTCCAATCCTGCCACGACGGCACCAACTTTTGGATCCAATGGTAAGAAGGGAGTGGTGGATGCGCTGAATTTCTCATTCAAACGCTCATCTGTGCCACCAAGGCACTCGTATCCCAACTCCTCCAACTCCTCAACGATACCGGATTCACCATAGACCCAGACCTTGGAGTCCTTTGGCAATTGGACAAATTTATCCAAATAAGTAGCAGCAGCATACGCAGAGCCGAAAACTTCCTCCTTTGTAGCGTCGTAGCCAAACTGGGCAAACTTCTGTGTATATGTCTTTCTCGACTTCGTCGAGTTGTTGGTGACGAAGATGACCTGCTTGTTCAGCGATCTCAAGAGCTTCAATGTTTCAATGGCTCCAGGGATAACATGGGAGCCTAACCATATCACTCCATCGCAGTCAAAGATGAAGGTATCGTGTTCATCGAGGATCTGTTTGATCTGTTCTTTGGAAGTGACTTTAACCGGCGAGTTTGTCATTTTGACTCTATACAGCACTCTATAAGTGTGGAACTAGGGGGCAATGCAGGAGAACAAGTGTATTTTCAGTGAGCAAGGGAGCGTTTTATCCTAAATAGCTAAATCTTCTCTCTTCATGTCTGCAGCATCCGATGGCATCCACCAACGGCTTATAGATTTCCACACCCAGACACCTAAACATCTGAACACCCAGATACCCAGACACCCAAACACCCAGACACCCATACACCCGAACACCAGTGCTCTTCCTCTTCAGGGGGGAAAGAAGGGAAAAAACTACATGAAAGCAGACGACGAATCAAAACAGAGCCAATACTCAGAGCCCACACCTCACGAGAAAATGCCACAAGACTTGCCACCAGCAGCAGGCTATTCGCCAGTGCAATGGAAACGTAACTTACCTTCAAGAGGGTTCAGACCAAAAGTTTTCCTTCTAATTATCGGGTCCATCGTTGGCTGGGGCTGGTACAGGGCCATTGCCGGTATCCAGGAACGTAGAGAGCTTACAAGGGAGAAGATGTGGACCAGAATCCACCTGATGCCGCTGTTGATAGCCGAGCAGGACAGGGACAACGTGAGAAGAGTCTACGCCGATAAGCAGAGAGTCAAGGACATTGTTGGAGAAGACGAGGCCAGCGTCTACAACGACGACAAGTTCAGAACACCAGGCTTCCACTGGGCGGGAAAGTGAGGAGGCGGCGGTACCGCTTCCTCTCACCCTCAGCAACACACTATTTATTCCTTTGAGCATTGCCAAACACTTATTTATTTATTTATATGCGTATACATATCTAACATTCCCCTTTTTGCCATGTGCTAGCGTACGCCGTCCCGTAGTGAGCGAGTCGCTTGACGAGGCCGTGGTGGGTAAAAAAAACATATACATACACATCACGTACAATATACACGCCAAAAGTATACATCAAAGGCCCATCACCAGGTACCTCAACGGTATAAAAAACATCTTCCCCGGCTCTCTCTGGAAAAAACACATCACGAGCGAAAACAACGGACAACAGAGGGCACGATGGTTATGCAATTGGCCGCGCTAGTCCTCACCAGGGCCCTGGACGTGCTCTTCACGCCCATTCCCGACTGCGATGAGGTGTTCAACTACTACGAGCCCCTCAACTTCCTCCTCCGTGGCTTTGGCAAGCGGACGTGGGAGTACTCGCCAGAGTACGCCATAAGATCGTGGGCGTACTTGGTGCCATATGCCGTGTCGAGCTGGGCCCTGCCTTTGATCACTGACCGTCTCAAGCTGCTACCACCGTACGCCACGTTCTACTTCCTGAGGTGTGTGGTTGTGTCCTTCTCTGTGTATGCTGAGTACCACATGTTCACCTCGCTGAGGAGACACAGCGCCTCTTTGGCGAATTGGTACCTGTTGATGTCAACGGTGAGCACTGGCATGGCACACGCCTCCGTCGCGCTGTTGCCGTCAGCATGGGCCATGAACTGCTGTCTGCTGGCGTCGTCGAACTTCGTGCGCTGGCTATACACGAGATCCAACAGGAATGCGCTGCTGATATCGTCGTGGTTCTTCATAGGCGCCATCTTCGGATGGCCCTTTGTTGGCGTGCTAGGGCTGCCGCCGCTGGTGTACATCGCCACCGTGCAATGGAACACGCCTAAGCTGTCGCAATACGTCAAGTGGTCTGTTGCGATCGGGTTCATCTACCTGGCGGCGTCCATGGAGGTGGACTTCTTCTTCTACGGGAAGACCCTCGTGGTGCCGCTGAACATCGTCCTCTACAACGTGATCTACGCGGATGAGACGTCTGGGCCAAACATCTTTGGCGTGGAGCCCGTCTCGTACTACATCAACAACATCCTCTTAAACTTCAACACGGTTGCCGTGTTGGCGGCGGTCTCCCCGGCGCTCATCGCCGCCTCCGCCATCATCACCAAGAGAACCGTGTACCTGGGCTTCCTTGCGGGCATCACGCTGCCGCTCGTGCTGTGGTGCTGGATATTCTTCTTGCAACCTCACAAGGAGGAGAGGTTCTTGTACCCGGTGTATGGGCTGATCAACGCCTCTGGCGCGTTCTCCCTCTCCTGTGTCCTCACGTCCATGAAGACCGCGCTACATGCTCTGTTCAAGAGACGTGTAGTGAAGGTGCTCTACCGTGTTGTTGTTGTTGGCGTCACGGCGTTGTTGCTTGTTGTTTCGACGCTTAGAAACGTTGCCTTCGTAGTGAACTACGGCGCTCCACTGACAACGTACCGAGAGATCCCAGCAGACGCAACAGGCAACCTGTGCCTCACCAGGGAATGGTACAGGTTCCCGTCGTCGTTCTTCTTGCCAGACACGTTGAGGCTGAGATTCGTCAAGTCTGAGTTCAACGGGCTGTTGCCTGGCGACTTCAACGAGGAACAGTGGCTGTTGCAAAGCGTGCAAGAAGAACCGCAGGGCATGAACAACAAGAACCTGTACGACGAAGGCAAGGTGATCGATATCTCACACTGCGATTATGCCATCGATATCGACCAAGGTGTTTCGCCAGAGGAGTATTCATTCACAAACTCAAGTGAATGGCAACTGCTGTTCAGTTCACCATTCCTCAACAACGAGGAAAGCTCTGGCGTGGGCAAATATCTATGGCTGCCAACGTCTCTCCATGGAGAGACACAGACTCACCTGGTCCACCATGGGTATAACCTTTACAAGAGAATCACTACAGAATGAAGTTCAAATAACACTCTCTAATATACAGTCCCAGAATGGACGAGACTCCACACACACCATCTATGATAGAGCACGAGGCACATGCGATCAGGTGTATCATCAGTTGACTGGCTTGTGCAACATGGACTCTCTACCTGGACCGGTACCGACCCATTCGACTGGAACCTCGACAAACTTCTCGATGAACTCTAGGTACTTCTTTGCATTCTCTGGCAACTCATCGTATGATTTGATCTTGGTGATGTCTTGGTTCCAGCCTGGCAAGGTTTCGTAGACCACCTCGACCTTACCCAAATCGATCAAATCCTCTGGGAAGGAGCTCAAGGTCTTGCCGTTCAAGGTGTAAGCCACACCAACCTGGATCTCCTTGAAGGTGTCCAAGACGTCCAATTTGGTAATGTTCAACGAGGTGTAGCCGTTGATCATTGTTGAGTACTTGAGGACAACGAGGTCCAACCAGCCACAACGACGCTTTCTACCGGTGGTGACACCGTATTCAGCACCAATGGTCTGCAGCTTCTCACCGTCATCGTTCAACTGTTCAGTTGGGAATGGACCTTCACCGACACGGGTTGTGTAGGCCTTGACGACACCGTAGATGTTTCTAATGGCCCTTGGTGGGATACCCAATCCAGTGATGACACCACCAACACCAGTGTTGGATGACGTGACATAAGGATACGTACCGAAATCGATATCCAGCATGAGTGCGTTGGCACCTTCAACGAGGATCTTCTTCTTCTCCTTGATGGCCGTGTGGATGAAGTCCACGGAGTCAACGACAAATGGCTTCAATTCCTCCTTGTACTTCTTGTAACGTGCCAGTTCACCCTCCACGTCGTAGTCGAAATCACCATATCTCGCCTGTCTAGTGGCAACGAGACGTCTGTACTTGGCTTCAAACTCTTCCCAGGCACCAGCGTTGTCGTTCACCAGGTGGTGCACTCTGAGACCCGATCTCGACGCCTTTGTCGAGTACGTTGGGCCAATACCCTTACCCGTGGTACCGATGGACTTCTTGTTACCAGACAACTCAGCCTCTCTCAGCTTGTCCGTTCTCTGGTGGAAGTCAAACACCAAATGGGCCCTCGACGAGACAAACAGACGGTCTCTCCCGTGCAGGCCCTTGGCCTCCAAGTTCTCCAGCTCCTGGAAGAAAGAGGGAACGTGGATCACAACACCGTTACCAACCAAGTTCAGGCACTTGGGATTTACCAGCCCACTAGGCAGCATGTGGAAGTCGTACTTGACTCCATCAACAACAATCGTATGGCCGGCGTTGTTACCACCGGCACAACGTGCACACACGTCAATGTCATCGCACAGCAGATCCACCAGCTTGCCTTTACCCTCATCTCCCCATTGGGAGCCTAAGACAACGTCACACATTGTTCAATCGAGAAGGACGAAATAGAACGGTTTTCTGTAATGAATGAACGAACAATTCGTTAAACCAAACACCAGCTCAAAAGAGCCAAAGCAGCGGTGGGAAGATGTCCATTTGGCGTGAAGAATTTTCCCTTTAAAAGCTGCGGTTGCCGGCTGCCAGCTGCCAAAGCGGGAGTTTCCGGGCCATTGAGTCATATGTGTGGCGCGTACCAGGGTGGGCAGGCGTGTGGTCTAGGGACGGGACTAGCGGGACTAGCGGGACTAGGGGGACTGGTCTAGGCTGTGTTTCGAGGTTGTCAGTCTTTTTTTCTTGTCGTTTCGGCCTAGTCCCACAGCGGTACAATTTTTCCTTCAACATCACAGCTTGAGCTACTCGAGCTACCTCTTGTTTGGCTTGTTGGAGGACAACAAGGCCGCTTCAGAGAGAGATGAAGAAACAAGGCTTCGACTCGAAGAAGTATAAGCAGATAAAGAGACGCCAGGCCAGGCAGATCAAGTCCCAGACACACGATCCGGGTACGTTGAATAGTCTCGAAAGAGCGAGAGAGGGAGAGAGATGAGCTGAAGGCCTCGGGTACTAACAGATACACATAGCGCTGAACAAAGATGGTATACTGAACACGGCGGAGTTTCTCAAATCGAGGAAGTTTGAGATCGGGGAGCTGGAGAAGGCCCAGCTGAACTCGAAGTTTGCGTCATCGACACGGGCATTCCAGTCGCTACCCAGAACTCTTCGACGCAGAACTGCCTCCCATAACGTCAAGCGTATTCCCAAGAGATTGCGTAAGAGGGCGCTGAGAGAGATGCAGTCGTCTGATACTCCAGCAAGCTCGAAGCGTGGGAAACTACGTGGCCGAGAGCTATACAGAGCTCGCACTGTGTCCTCGCTGTTAAGACTGGCAACAAGGTTGCAATTGCACAAGCAGCTGCCAGGTAATACTACACTGGGGCGGCTAAGGATGAGACAGAGAATCAAAGAGTTGAATAAACAACTGAAGAGCAGTAGAGATGCTGACTCGATAGACTTCAACAACACAATCGGATCGTACGACATCTCGTCAGTCAATTCACTCGCATCACCACCAAGAGGAAAGGTTAAATACACCAAACGTCAATTAGAATTCACATGGCTGAATACCCATGTTTGGCATGCGAAGAGAGCACACATGATCAAAAGATGGGGGTGGCAGATCCCTCTTCAGCCGACACAGAAGTGCTTCAGGTCGTCTCATAGAGCGTTCAATCTTGACGGGGCAGTAGTTTGGGACAAGAGCTTCATAGGAACTTGTATCATTCAGGGCGATAACGAAGCAAGCATCGTGGAACTCGTTAACCAGGTGATTGTCGGCAAGAAATGGACCAAACTGAAGAGCGATGGCCTTTCTATCAACACAATGGTCGAATCTGACGATGATATCATTGGGGAGATTACAATCATAGCTTTCCAAAGTCCAGCGACAAAGAGATGTGTCATCAGGGCACACCCTTCTATATACACAGAAGTTTTCAACTTACTGGTCTCTAAACGAACTGAGGACGTTGAGATCGTCGACTGCAGATATGCTCTGGGTTCAATTGAGATCACTGGACCTGTTGCCCTATCTTCATTGGCCACTGTTCTAAAACCAGTGGATCCTTCATCTGCCAATGCTCAAATCTTCAAAGAGCTGTGTTGTCAGACGCACCTTCCAGATAAAACCATGTTTACTCTGATGGTACAGGATCCAAGGCTGGCGAATAGAACTAAACCTTCACAACGTTCTAACGCTGATCCCCTCGACTCCTTAATCAGGATGAAGGCAACACGTGAGAATTTGGACCAATTTACCATAGAAGCACTGTTAACTTCCAAGGGGAGAATGGAATCATACAAGGATCAAAAGTCCCTGAAACAGGTTCAAGTCGAATTGAATAAACCTGTTGATGAGAGACAACCTGGTAAACCTATCCCTGTTATGCTCTTCAACAACGACGGTGTCTGGACGGTACTGGTTCCATGGTTTTGGACGTTGCCTATATGGCACGCACTGGTCCACATTGCCCATGTTAAGCTTGGTGGGTTGAAACAAACACATCAGCTGAAGTTTGAATCTGGGAAGTTGTTCTTCCCTGTGGACTTCCCCTTTACACAGGTTGGCGAGTTGGAGAATAAGCTGAATGCCGACGTGAAGAGGGAAAAGTGGGCTAAAAAGCCAAAGGGTAAGAGGGTCAACTACGACTCCATCAAAATTGGCAACAGCAGAGGTGAAGTTGGGGATCCATTCGGATGTGACTGGAGATATCTACAGGTGTTACGGATTGCCCTGCCACATGTGACCAACAACAGGTCAATATCCAGAACCTCTGTTTGGAATGAGCAATTCCAAAGAAAAATTGAAGAGCTACACGACGTCTACAACCTGATTGAGGACGTCAAACAGTCCAAAGTGAACAAGCTGTCCAAATTACCGATACGCTTATCAAGCGCAGTGGAGTATCCATCCACCATTGAATCTCCACTCCCAGTGACCACGATCAACGTCACTACCCTCTCCAGGGGGTCCATCGGCGACAACGCACGCCTCTATTCGATCCCAACGGAGGATTTGAGCGAATGGCTCTCCACCATTGACTCCAAGCACACCAATGGCAGGAAGAACCACGAGTCTTACCCACAGTGCCCATCACCGCAACATCTGGTCGGGTTCATCACCTCTGGCACATACAACCTACACGAGGGCCACGCCACAGGCGTTGGCTGTGTCGACTCGGTGTGGACTACACGCTCAGAGAGGTTCCTTCTACTGAGAAACGTCGGTGTTGATGTTGTTCGCCTGGTTACCTGGGAAGCCGTCGATGCCCTCAAGGCCATGCGCCCTACACGGAGATGACGCGGGAATCAAAACATTACCCGGCTTACACGTGAAACACACTCCAAGTAAATAGTGCGCCTACCAAATAAAACGACTATAAAAGAAAACAAATCCGCACCCTGTGGTTTCCAACCACCTTCCCTTTCTCTCTTTTTTTCTTCTTCATACTTACCTTAAGACGTCACCAGTGATCAAGAAGCCTGCGTGGCCAGTGTTTCCCGTTTGCATTGCACCAAGCATCTCGTAAACACTGCTGACATTCCCTCGGGAATGGGTGGGTCTTATAATTTTTGATTTCAATCCTTGCTTGTGATAGTTCATGGACTGAGGCTGCGTATGACGCTTCTTTGCCAGATGACGAACTGAACGCGAGATTTGTGAGCCTGTGCTTTCATAACCATGCCGCTTGGAGAAGGTCTTCTCTGTACTGGCGCCTCTTTTCAATTGATTTTATACCAGTTGGTGTACTTCTTTTGGAGACATTTGCTCTGCGTAGAAGCTGGCGGTCGGCGTTGGCGGCGGCGTCGGTGTCAACGACAAAACCAGCGGCAAAAAAATATCTTTCGGAATTTTTCGCGCTCAAATTCCGACGCGGAATTTGCTACCCTAAATAGGTTTATACACAATTCGCTTCCGGCAACACGTTGAACATGGCTGATTACATCGAAGGTTGCTCGAACAACGGCTACAACGAGCCCCCAACAGCTTGTCTACTGATTCGCTCTTTGTTACTGACGTGGAGTTTGTGCTTGACGTGACACACGTTGAGGTTTTTGCTGTTGTTTTGTTCTCTCAGCGCCAGCCGGCGGTGCCGTAGGGGATGGGCACGCAAACGGCCGACGGCACAGCGGCCCCGGTGGACATTGCCAGTTATCGTGAATTCTGTCTCGTTGTGTTCGTATATTTATGCAATGGCTGACCACACTGATAACCAAAGTTTCTGCATTGATTAGCATCAGAAGGGTCTATAAATTCGGCACTGTTTCCATCGACTGTTTGCTTCCATCAACACATTTTAGAGACTGTTTCTTGGTGATTTCTCCTTCGAATGACTGGTGCAAAGCTGAACGTCCGTGCCCTATACAAGGGAACTTTTATACATACTCCGGTGCTGGGGTCCTTGGAGGTGATTGAACATGGCATTGTTGGTGTCGATCACGATGGAACCATCGTGATACTGGAGCGCAACAGATCATTGGAACAAGTCATCGAAGACTTTGATCTGGAGGAGGTTGAGACTGTTGATGTTGACCATGGTGGTAACAAGTTCTTCTTCCCTGGGTTTATAGATACGCATATCCACGCCCCACAGTATCCAAATAACGGTATCTTTGGTAACTCTACACTGCTGGACTGGCTGACAACGTACACTTTCCCATTAGAGGCTTCGCTCAAGGATTTGACCAAGGCAAAGTTGGTTTACGATAAGGTGATTGAAAGAACTTTGGGGAACGGCACTACATGTGCATCGTACTACGCAACGATAGATACAGATGCTACCAATCTATTGGCTGATTTGTCCATTGAACATGGCCAAAGGGCATTCATCGGGAAAGTCTGTATGAATCAAAACTCTCCAGATTATTACTGTGAAACATTTGAAGAGTCCAAAGAGAGCACTCTCAAGGTTATAGAACATATCAACAAAGTTGATCCACATAACAAGCTGGTTGCTCCAATCCTCACACCGAGATTCGCACCTTCGTGTACGGATGAACTGCTCCATTGGCTGGGCAATCTTAAGAAGGAGCATGGCTATCATTCCCAAACGCACATCTGTGAGAATAAGGATGAGATCAAATGGGTCCACGAGCTATACCCAGATGCAGAGGGTTACACCGATGTCTACAAAGACCATAACTTGTTGGACGAGAAGACAATCCTTGCCCATGCGATCCATCTAACTGAGCATGAAAAGGACATGATTAGAGATACAGGTGCAGGCGTATCTCATTGTCCTATTTCCAATTCCTCAATCACGTCAGGTGAGTGTCGTGTTAGATGGCTCTTAGACAACGGCATCCCTGTTGGATTGGGCACAGACGTTTCTGGTGGATTCTCACCTTCCATATTACAGACGGCAAGACAAGCTGTCCTGGTCTCACGGCATCTGGCAATGTCCACGGCTTTGGAGAAGGACAAGCTCTCAGTGGAAGATGTACTATACCTGGCGACTCAAGGTGGTGCGAAGCTCGTTGGTCTCAACGACAAGATTGGATCGTTTGAACTCGGCAAACAATGGGATGTTCAACTGGTTGATTTAGACGCTAAAGGGTCCCAAGTTGATGTGTTTGAGTGGCAAGTACCACACATAGTGGAGATTGAAACATACAAACTGAAGTGGAGTAACGTTATTGCCAAATGGCTATTCAACGGTGATGATAGAAACACGACAAAGGTTTGGGTTAACGGAAGATTGGTCAAGGCGTTGTGATTTTGCTTTACTGTTTTTATGTGTTGTTAATTAGTGCTTCTTTTATATTCCTATTTATATTACCCCATTCTCAATGGCTATAGACTCCATTACATATCATGGCCCTTCTAATAGTAGGCTGGTGCGTACAGCAACGGTAGAGTGGGATGCTTCTCTTGCCATTCAGTGAGGATATCCATGATTTTATCCTCAAAGGGCACACTATCTTCGTGTGTCTTACCCTTCTGGCATGCATCTGTCAGCATAGTAGCCAACTGTAGTATACCTTGACCACCAATTTTGGCATTCTCGTCGTCGTCCTTGATGTCAACATTGATAACATGAACAATCTTGTTCAAGTTCCCACCACGGTGTAGCAGATCTTCACACACCGAGTCAAAGCATCTCTCCTCGCACGTGAACACGAAATCGAACACGTCGCGTCCTTCGTGCCATTTCTGAGGTGCCAATTTGATCTTTTGGTTACGTTCCAACATTCTCGCAAGACCATTGGCTCTATACAGCTTCGAGTCCTGTGACATCAGCTCCTTATAAATCTTTTCGTACGGAGTTCCAAACGGATACACATTAGGACGATCTATGGAAGGGCCAGGGAGTCGTACCATGGATCCAGTACCACAGGAGGAAACGTTGAAGCCGGCGTCCATTAGCACTTTATGCGATTCCATTGAACTACATCGATGCGGACTGGTCAGTATTGCGCGCTAATCACGGCTCCATCACGAAAACCACACTTACCGGTTATTGTTCATCGCACACACGGTACAGAACTTCAAGTCGCTCATCGTTCTCTGCGTTCTATCAGCTATTTCTCGTGGCCTCAAGTGGTGTTGACAGGTTAAGGTGGTGATAAAAGTAAGCTCAGTGCTTAAGTAGCGAGTTTTCAGTGGTGTGCGGGTGTTGGTAGGAACCACACAGTAATAAGCAGGCACATAGGAGCGTTGCCATACGAACCAATCAAACACCATTTCTCCTTCTTTTCAGGCCTCTATGAGTCCAGTTCTTGTCCAATTGGCTCCATAGCTGAGGCTAGCGTTCCTAGAAGACGTCGTAAATTGTATATTTTACGTGGTTACGATCAGAGGCTCAGATTCAGCCGTAGTGACAAGGTGATTTAATGATCAAGGCATTGGTTCTTGACTTCAAACAGATGACTGCTAGTGCCTACCGTTCAATGTGGTTTACATCTACGTACACAGTGCCATAAAACCTCAAATCGCATTAAAACTAAATCATTTAACCTCAGAAACAACGTTCTCAGTGTGGAAGGCAACAGCCTTCTCCTCGTCAAGGTTCTCATCATCAGAACCCTTGTGTGTAATGATCTTACCTTGGCTAACCATCTCACGCTGTTCTTCATCAGATAGAACAAAGTTGATGTTTGCGTGACGGTTCTCTGGTCCGATAAATGAGATCAAAAACACGTAGGCAAACACTGCACCAACAAAGATTGCCATCACTTTAGCGTAGTCGTAGACTCCTTCACGTCTCTCACCAGTCTCTGTGTATAGGGGGAATCTCTCACCGATTGTGGTTTCAATGGTGGATGATGCACTGGACACCAAGTTACCCAATTGGTAAGAAACACCAACGACAAATGCTCTAAACTCTGGTGGAGACAACTCAGACAAGTGAATAGGAATAACACCCCATGCACCTTGAACGAAGAACTGAAGGAAGAACACACCGGCGTTGATACCATTGCCAGTTACAAAAGCCCATGGATAGATCATAGCACCACCACAGATGCAGCAAACCATTATGGCAGCACGACGGCCAATGAAACCAGAGAAATGACCAATGACCATACCACCAGCCATGGCACCTAGATTTGCAACAGAATTGGTCACGGTTGATCTATCAGATGAAAATCCCAATTGCTTTGTCAACATTGTTGGATACAAATCCTGGGATCCATGGGACATGAAGTTCATACCAGCCATAAGTAAGACGAGATAGCCCATCTTGACCCATTGTTGTTTGAACGTGTTCCAGGCATCTCTTCTGAAGGTCGATTTTCTGTTGGACATGTGTAGCTTCTGCTGCAAGAACTCCTCTGTTTCTGGAAGGAAAGCTCTCCAAAGGATGAAGAGAACTGGAGGACCAGCAGAGAACCAAAAGAGTGATCTCCAACCCTTCTCTGTTGTATCAGTGATTGCTCTTTGGAAAATAACAGCCAAAAGATAGCCAAGTGCGTAACCTTGTTGGAACACACCAGAGAGGAACGAACGTGCATCTGTTGGCAGTCCTTCAAGGGCCGTGGCAGAGGCCAATCCGTACATAGATCCCATAAAGATACCGAAAAGGGCACGCACACCAAGGAACTCGGAGTACGTTTTGACAAAACCAGTACCGATTTGAATCACAATAAGGCAGATCAGGTTGACGATCAACGGCCATTTTCTACCATATCTATCACCAAAGTAACCAAAGAAGATAGCACCAACAGATCTGAACATCAGAACCAGAGTTATACCCCAGGAGACGTCCTTTACTGAACGGTTCAAGTCTTCAGAGATGTTCGACATGTTCAAGGACATGGCGAAGAAGTCCAGCGCATCCCATGTCCACGCCAACATGCCGATGATATAGAACTGCCAATTACGCCAGGTCATCGCTCTCAAGCCAGGGAACGGGTTCATATGGCTCTTCTCAACCTCCCATTGCTCCCTTGAAGGGAGTAACGTTGTGAAACGCTCTCTTGTGTACTGAGCACACTCCGACATGGAGTACGTCTTGAATCCCATATTTTCCAGTTTGTTCACAGAGATTGTAGCCAGAAACGGGATTTAAGGATGAGAAAGAGACAGAGCTCCAGGCAGAGACGAGGGAGATGTGGACCATTGAAAGTATTTATAACTGGCTCCGTAGACACTTTCAAGGAAATGAACGCACAACGGAAACCAACCAAAATAGCAGTACCAATCAGAGAGATATGCGTGATCAAGCGCACAAGCCACAAACACCGCTGTTTAAACTTTTGTTGCGCGTGGGAATGGCAATGCAATCCCGCCTAATGCCGTAGGAAAACTTCCCTTTCCGCTTTCCATTACCCCGCATGACTGTCCGTTTGTCCCCTTTCATTTTGTCTGCATATTCTGTCTTTTTGGGCCTCAGTCTCCAACTCTATTTCTCCGATTTGACGATCCCCCAGGTAATCAGGCTGCGTTTACCTTGCTCCCTCCCTCTACTCCCCGTTGGCGGTAATACTGGCGGGTAAACTCGTCTTGTCGTTGAAATGATGGGTGGGGTATTTGTCTGCTTCCATATGGGTACCATCCACCGACATAATGATCTTTTGGTGGAGGCCTCCCATTGTGGCCACTTGGCTTGGAACATTGGCAACGGCCATGGTCCCAAGAACGTAGTCAAGCCTAGTCGTAGCAAATTGTAGAGATGTCGTAAGAAAACAGATCATGGCCCACGATGGAAACGATGACCACTCACTCTTGCTCATGTCCAGTTCCATGTACGAGATCCTTTTATCCAATTGTGTGTGTGTTTTATTCCTGTATGATTCATAATGACTCAGAATCAGATGACTGCGTCAACTCCTGCTTTTTTCTTTTTGAATCTTCAAAATGCATATTGCACGCCAGATAGCAAGCCTGAGTACTCATTCCCGGAACACTGAAGCCCCCAGATGAACTAAGGAGGTAGTTGATCAATGGCACTACAAGCCAGATGGCAATGTTCCACTGGTCTGTAAGTGTAACTCTTTTGTATATTGGCCTATGATCGTAATTGGTGCTCTCCAAACAGACAATGAGCTTTGAGAGCAAGTAGCCAATGACACACAAAGAGGCTGTTAAGGCGTAATTCTTGGCTAGACACCAGATGTAGATATGCCCTTCCTGCAATGGTGGTTTCATTGTACAATGGAACAGCAGTTGGTGCATCAGAACAGCGCTCGACGAAATAGGTATGACGGTCCAAGGAACAGCAAAGAGACTCATCTGTGGAGGGGATCCAACAGGAGCCGTACACGGTGTCCAACATTTATGGAGCTATGCGTCATAACGGGTATAATCGTATGAAATATGGGCGTTCCAAGAGCTCTTAGCAGTACCACATGTAGAAGTTGTAGACTACCATTGCCTGCCTTGGAAAGTTGGTATTGGAACAGTACGGAGCGAATACGCAGGTCAAACATGGGCGCGGTCTAACGGGCATACGCACCAGAGGTTGGAGGACCATCACGCATAAGACCAAATGTTGGAGTCCGAACCCACTCGATGATAGACATTTCAGGAATGAAGGCCTAACGTTGAAGAGAATCTCATCCATCACCAGATAGTGCCATGACACTAAGCTTCGTTAAAATTGTGTAGCAATATTATTTCAGACCAGCAAACGTATTCCCACACTCCCTTCGTTGAGAACTTGATTCTGTTGGAAATATCCCCACAGGTGATCTTTAAATGCAGGTGTTTAGTATGTTTATCGGACAATTCAAGATTCCCAACGTACATTTCCGTGGAGAAAGGCATATATGAAAGTACCCGGTTTCGTCCATGAGACTGAATTACTTCTCCATAGTATCAGAGGATTTGTTGAGATTAGCAACAACGATAACCGGATCCTCCGCCAAACTCTCCACCTCGATAGCAGAATCGTCCAATGCCAAACCACCCTGATTCTGTGTGTCTTCAACATCCTCGTAATCGTCTTTAATTTCTGGTTCTGAATACTCAACATATGAATAGAGTCTTTCACGCGTACTTGTTGGTTCTGAAATGGCATCAGAGGCTATCACAACAGGGTCTGTATCTTCACCAGCCTCCACACCTCTTTGTTCGTCATCTTCCTTGATATCTTCGTACTCTAGTCCAACATCGACAAATCCATAATCATCATCGTCGTGTACCACGAAGGACGGTTTCCTAAAAGATGTAATACGTTCTGGGTTCTCATCAGGTGAAATGTGAATGATTTTGTTCTTAGATTCTGGATTCTGGATGGATCTCTTCCAATCGTTCCAGTCATCTTCATCACGAATTAAAGTTCCAATCAACATAGAAGGATCAATGTCTGAAAGATGAATCTTACGAATCTTATCAGTGTGTACCGTGGTGATGTCCAACGCAGAAACCACTTGCGTGCTTTCACTGGCTGAATTTTCTGCAAGATCGTCATCCTTCAATGCAAGTTGTGGTATATGAGGATCTAAATAGAAGAGGTAATCACCCTGGTACCCAAAAAAGTAATGAGATGATGATGGTCTTCCACCAGCAATACCGACACTCTGCTTCAGTGCAAGGAGCTCCTTCAAACTTTGCCAATATATGCTGTTGACCTTATCCACTCCCAACCTGACACCTAAGAGCACCAACGTTGGTCTAAACTCCCCAGTTTGGCCATCCTTAACAACTTTGAACAAGTCTTGCTCGTAAATATCACCACTGTCTGCCCCGATATAGACCTGAAGCCCAGAATCGAATGTTGAGCAGAGCGCCTGGATGCTTCGAGCCGTTGCAGAGGGTCCAAACCACTCACCAGCTTTCTTCTGCGAAAGTACACGGCCCTGCTCCACAATGTTGTGGATAGAAAAGGGCCTCGAGGGAGTATCAGCAAACCATGAAACTATCTCATCATGTTTAGCGCATATGATACTGGGATCATACCTCCAGTCACGGTCAACGTGTAGATGGAGCAGAGCATTCCCTAGCATCGTCTGTCCCGTACGTATCATACACCCCCAGCCACAGTCACTCGTGAAGTGGTCGCTTTGTAGGTCGTAATTGGAGCCACGTATCAGATTCCCCAAGGAAAGAGGCGAAGGGCCATCGGCGTCTCTCTCCAAGGGAGGGAACCGTGTTCTATACGTAAACCAGAGCCTCGAGTTCACATCCCGCACAAACTCTTCTGGCCATTGCACATCCTTCGCTGCTCCTCTCTTTGTGAAGGCGAAGAAGAGCTGCTTCACCTGTGGCACCACCTCCGTTGCCGCCTCGCCGTCAACTTCATCAACACCATCTGACAGCTGCTTATCAGCCGGAACCTGGGGACTATACCTCCTTCCCAGCACAACAAGCTCATTTATATGGTCTTCATTCTCGAGCGGTTTGCTCCAAAGAAGATCCACAACTCTTTGGATCCCGCTGGTGTTCATCTTCTCCCTCGGCTCCCTGTTCGCTAGATATCTTTTGCTATAATCAGCACTATGAGATGTGTCCTATTGTCTGTTTCTGTCTGATACGCTTTGTTTACCTCCCGCCCCCAAGAAAACCACAGCCCGCCGCTTTGAAGGGGGGCAACACCTAGGGCGCCGAAACGAGATGGCGATGAGCTTAGAAACGACACAGCGGTTAACGGTAGAAGGAGACGAGCAAGAAGGCTTGTATATAAAGAATGCCTAAGCGAGGACACCGTGGCGGCTCCAGAGGAAGAGGTCAGTTTAGAGGTGGTGGACACGGGCGCGGACGTGGACGTGGACGTGGGCGTGGAGGACGTGGTGGGTATATTGGCGGTAAACGTGGTAGATCAAGAGGTGCACGTTCGGGTGGGCCTGGTGGGTTCAACGATGCCAGACACGTCCTGTTGGACGATTTGAGTGGTGATCCGGATGTTTACATCCCAGTGGACTCCATGAGAGCGTCTGCAAAGAGGACTCGAAGCGGAAGGTCCCGGTTACAAGATGAGGCCTTCACAACAGAAGAGAACGTCGAGAAGACGATGAGGTTGCCGCTGTGGAAAAGACCTGTTGAGTTTGTCCAGAGTGATCAGTTATCAGACACTACGAACGTTACCGCTCTGAAAGCCCAGGAAAGGGAGAGGGTTGAGGCCGATGGGTTGGCTGATGGTGTTGATCAGCCGCCAGAGGATCACCTAGACGTTGAGGTTGAGGCGGTTGAAGCTGGTGACGTTGTTGCACATTCTGAGATCATCAAGACAAAGAGCGCTGTGTCGTGCGACGTTGGAGAGCCTGTCTTGAGCGATAGAGTTGTCCCGGAAAGGCCAAAGAAGCCTACTGTCCAAGAGAAACTGCGGTCTCTGTCCAATGATAAGCTGTTCTTTGTAGATGAGACAGGATCATCGTCACGGATCCAAACAAGAGAAGAACCCCTTGAGCCGACTCAGCCAGTTACAGGTGGCCCCAACACTGAGTTTTCCCCTAACTTATCCATTGGCCATGGTCATTTATCCACTCAGATCAATGGGAATGGCGAAACAGTCACCCAGCTCCCTGGTGATCGAAACGATTTCCATGTTGAGCCCTCGGAAGGTGACCTCTACAAATCGTACCAGGAGTACATTTCCAACGTCATGGGAACACTATTCGAAAATGACGAGGACAACGAGGATGACGAAGATGAAGTCTTTGCAGAGCTGGACGAGGACTTTGAAGAAGAGGCCAAGTTCATGGCTGAAGGTGTATCAAAGGAGGAAGTGGCTGATACGTCTTACATGGAACAACGGACTTCAGCAAGCATTCAGGATGGACTAACACTCAAGGAGAAGGAACCAGATGATCAAGAGCCGGAGTATGGATTCTTACCCGAAGATTATGAATCGTTTGATCATTCCCTTGTGGATATATTTAATATCAGAGAAGGCTTCCAATCATCTCAGTATCTGATGAAGAGCTTTAGGCTTACAGGCTCCTATGATACCCATTGGATTGATAGGGAATTGTTTGAAGACTTTTTACTAGAGAATGGTATGCCAGAGCATAGGCTTAATGCTTACTTCAAATACGTAAAGGCAAAGCTTTATCCTGAAGAAGAGGAAGATGATGATATGGATGATATTTCATTCGATGATAGTGATAGCGAGGAGGTAGATGAGGAAGAAGAAGCAGCTATACCTTCTGATGAGGAAGGTCTTGCTGATTTGATCAACTTCACAAAGAAATATGATGGGCTCCGTGATATGGAGTTTGAAACACACACCTTGAAGACCAAGGGCAAAGGCCGCAAGAAGCAGCTCGACGTTGATAGTATAACTGGTGAATTTGGTGACATTTTACAACAGCAGTGGGCCAATGATCGCCAACACAAACGAGAAAAGCGTAAGAATAGAGACTCTAACATTGCAGAGGAGCATGCCACGTCTGTGGATCTATGCTTGAAGTACCCTTATACAATTTACGTCAAGGACATGCGGAACGAATTGGAGGAGTTTTTATCAGACTCTGTACGGAAATCTCTCACATTCCCTCCATTGGATCCTCATGGTAACAGAACCGTTCAAAATATGGCACACAAGTTTAACATGAAGTCAAGGAAATTTGGATCTGGAAATAAGCAGCACGTTGTGGTTATCAAGAACAAACGTACGTATAGAACCATTCCGGACTATATGGGCATCGATAGATTTCTTCATCAGAGACCTGTTTTCAACAGAACAGACCAAAGGAGACCACGTTCTGAGATTGACCAGGAAAAATCATCAAGACGTGGTAAACCAAGTAAGGCACATAACAGAGAAGGTGATATCGTTGGTGCCAATGCACCAGAGATCTCAAGCGATAACTTTGGTAGAAGACTGTTGGTCAAAATGGGCTGGAAAGCTGGTCAAGGTCTTGGTCTTGGGAATGACGGTATATCTGAACCTGTCATGGCGAAGGTTAAGAATTCCAAGCTGGGTATTCGTTAATTATAAATAGATACTTAACGTTGATGTCTATATACAGCATACATCTCTATTTCTTCTTCTTGCCCTTCTTAGACTTTGGTGGAGGGGCAGCGTGTCCAGTAGCGTTAACGTGTTGAAACAACTTATTTCTTGAAGGGAAGCTCTTCTTACAAACACTGCACTTTTCTGGCCCTGAGACCTCCTGTGGTTCAGGTGTTACGCTCTCTGAAGGTTGGACACTTGGTGTTGATGGCTTTTTACTTCTCTTCTTCTTCTCTTTCTTAGAAGATCCCCAATCATCATCTGGATCATTGTCTATGCTAAAGCCAGTGCCACTTTGCAGAGCAGCAGCAAGTTTTGTTAATTCATGTTCTTCCTCCTCCTCTTCGGCTTGAAGTTGTGCCTTGGGTTGTGAATACTTTTGTTTCTTCTTTTCCTTCTTCGAGAGCTTCTTCTTTGTCGATGATTCCTCACTGATTTCTGGTTCACTTTCATCAAGATCATCATCCACCTCAAAGGTGTCTTGCTCTTGAGGGTTGGTCTCAGGTTCTCCACAATTTACTGTATTGTCCATGCCCAGATTCTTCAACTGTTCTTCGATCTTTTGAAGCTCTTCATCTATCACATCATCATCATCTATCACATCATCATCATCTATACCATCAATATTAAGGCTATCGTCCGAATCGTCGTCGTCAGGACCTTCATCAAGATCATCAAGATCGTCACCAAGATCTTCCTCTTCATCAGCAGTCTCAAACTCACTCTCATCAGAGACTGGGTCAATCCCAAGTGATATTCCCTCTTTACGCATCTCCCATTTTAATTTCTTGAGAAGCTTCTTATGCTTTTGACTACTTTCATGGCTCTTGAACTGCTTCTCTGTCTTGAAGAATTTATCGCAGATAACACACTCAAACACTTCGATCTCGTCATCATTATGCTCTTCATCTTCAACTTTCCCGAACCGTTCTTCGAGATCTGCCAATTGTTCTTCATCCAACTGTTGCCAACTTTGCTCTTGAAATTGGTTCATGATGGCTTCATTAGCCAATCTATCTCTCTCCAATTGCTTTCTCATGTCTTCCTTCTGTTTCATCCTACGCTCTTCCTCCAATTTAGCAGCACCCTCTTTGACCCTTGGATCTCTCTTCTTTATGAACGATACAAAGCTTCTCACGGTCTCGTTGAACTCCCTTCTGGCACTGTCTCGTGCCTTTTTGTTCTCCTTCTCCATTGCACGTCTGGTACGACGATCACCGGCAGTCGAGTACCGGTACTCATCTTTCCAAGAAAACGTCTTCACGGATGTGAAGGACCCCCAGACTTGATAGAACTTACGCACTTGGGACCCATAATCCGAGTCAAGGTTACCGAATTTCGGGTACTTGTTGTTTGTAGTGTCACTATGATCATCGTCTTGGAACTGTGCGTAGCCTTCCAGCCCCTGTTGTCTCCCAGCAAGAATTTCCTCCTCTGCCAGCTTATTGAAGAGTTGTGTCACCATGGCATACATTCCATATGCGGAGTTATCTTTCCTCGTGTACAGAGATGGGTCGAAGAACTTCAAAATGTCTTCAACCGTGGTGCCAGCGATGTCCGGCTCAACATCATCAAACCCATCATCGCCATACTTATCTGAGTCCTCACGCAGAATCTGAGATTTGTGTGAGTCGTACCACGCTCTCTCCTGTGGATCAGACAGCACCTCATAGGCTGAACGAATCTGCGCAAACTTCAGCGTAGCCTCTTCAACATTGTCTGGGTTCTTGTCCGGATGATACACTAATGCCATCTTCCTATAGGCCTTCCTCAGCTCGGAGTCTCCTGCCGAGGCAGTGACCCCCAACAGCTCATAGTAGTCTGTTCTCATAGCGACCTCTTGTCAATTGGCTGAACAGTCTCTGCAATGGAAACTCACACTGATTCTTCTCTATGTCTATCATTATGTCCATAAAACTTTTCACGTTTTTTTTGAGCCTAACGCTGGTATCAAGCAGCCGGAGAAAATTTCCCATTTTGACACATCAAGGCTACAGAGATGAGACGCACTGGAACAACTACGGAACAATGTCAGTAATCCATAATGCACATTAGAGGTACAATAACACACAGACACAGGTATATGTCTATACTTAGTCAACATCAAAAGTTCAGTTTCATTTCTTCTCAAGAACAGCGTAAACCAGCTCAACGTTCTTCAACATCTCCGAAGTACACCGCACGAGACCGGTATTACCTGTTTCGTTGAGATACCTTGTGATGTCCATTCCTTGATCATAGAGAACCGTATGGAGCTTTCTCGTGAAATCCACGAGGATTTCCTCGTGTGTAAGCCTTAGCATCAACTGTGGGACCAGTTCCTTCACTCTGGAGAATGGGATGTTCAAATTGATCAAGATGTTCTTTAGCAAGTTCTGTGACTCAACCATGGTAAGGTTATCCACTTCACATAGGTTAAGCCCATCATATAGTGATATGCCGTTCGAATCCGTGGTGCTGAGCTCAGGGAATTTCAACGGCGAGATCTTTTCACTTGTATCGCCAACGTACTTGGATATCTCGGATTCCATGGAGGCGTTGATCTCTGCTATGGAATTTTCAAGCTCCCTTACGTTGTCTCTGCTCTCGGCAATGGACTTGTCCTTAAGTTCAACCATCTCTTTCAAGCTTATATTGGTGCTTTTGATTATCGTGGTCTCTTCTTTCAAATCGTCGTTCTGTTTCCGCAGTGACTTGATTTCCTCTTCTAAATCTTTCACCTTCTTTGCATTGGATTCCAACTCACTATCGTCAACGATTCGCCAGTGCTTTACAGGTTCACCGTTGACGATGCTTTTCAATACTTTAGATCCATTCGTGGAGGAGTTTAGGAACTCCTTCAACTTTGCCAGTTGTTCCAACTCGGCACTCCTTTTAGGGCTCAATCCTATTCCCTTATCTTCTTTTAAACTCGTATTCCTTTTTGCTTGTGGTTTCGATGGTGTATCGTCATGGTAGCTTGAGTCCTTGGATCCCAGTACACCTCTCTCTTGGTCTTCATCGTGTTCCTCGTCTCCAGAGCTTGATTCAGAATCATGAGCCAGTTCAACACTCTGTGCCAGTTTGGACAGCTTAGCTTTCAAAATGTCCTTTGGCTGGACACCTCTTGAGCTCATATGAGCAGGCGTCGATTGCATGATAGGGTTCCAAGCCTTCTCTGGAACTGGGCTGCTAAAGACTTGCTGTTTGGAGCTGGCTTTTTGAGACTCTTTGGAAGAATCTGTCTGAACACCAATGTCCAAAGACACTCGAGACCTGTGTAGTTTGGAGTCCAGGTAACGCGCAATCTCCAATTCATCCTTGTCGTTGAACTGTGGTACATTTGGAATCATAGGGCTCTGTGTCGATTCTTCAACTTCCCTCGTGAGGTACATGTAAGACTCCGTGTCGGCAAATGACATGGTGGCAGAATCAAAGAAAAGATAGATAATACTGCTTGCTAGTGCGCCAACAGAACAACAAAGAGGGTATGGTTGAGTAAAGCTCAATGGATAGAAGTACAAGCAGTGGTATAGTGGTGTGATAGTTGACCCTGTGCAATGCCTCTTGTTGGCCAATAAAAAACACAATCAACACCAGAGAAAAAGAGAGAATGAGCAGTAGAGATGGGCCTCGTAACCGTTTGTTTTGATGGTCTTCTTATGTTGATAACCAAGGCAATGGCGATGTAAACAGCGAAATCAAAACAGCGAAATCAAAACAAGCGTTTCTATAGCTTTGCAACCACAGACACCGATTCTCCGAGCCTGATGATGTGCCACAAAACAGTTACTGTTGCCGTTTCGATGGAAGCCAGTGAAGTTGAAGCACAGTGCCAACGTATTTGTGACCGATGAAGTTTGTCTGTCTCCTTCCGAAAATGTAAACAAACATAAGTGTGTGTGGCTCCTACCGTGTACTCCCTCAAGCAACCGCTCTCTTGTTGGCGTAACCACGGAAACTCGAGGGGCGTGTGCAAACCGGGCGGGGTAGAGGGAACATCCAGACACCGCGTCTGTACATGACGTACGCTTCAACTCTAAACCACCGTTACACATTATATTCAGGCTACACTTCTGGTTGCGTACTTACTCTATTGCTACTGTATGGTGAACAGCACTGGCTACTGCAATGAATACTGAGAGACTAAATCGTCTTATTATCGTGACTCATAAAATACTAATTAAAATCAAGCAAGAGAGTTGTCAGAGTTGGAAGAGTTGTTCTTCTCCAGGACACCTTCTTCAATGTTTGTAACCTGAGGCTTGTCAAAGGCCTCGTCATTATCGATAGCATTCTTTGAATACTTGTGATCGGTTGGGATGAAGTTGGATGATTGCCAGGCCTTGGAGTATGTGGCGTAGAGCTCGTCCACTTGTTCCAGAGTAAGGTTCTTTGTTTCGTAGATGAAGTAGAAAGCAAAGAAAAAGCAGAGGAAGTTACAACCACCCCAGATGAAGAACACGTTGGACTTCAAACCAGCAGAGCCCGGAGCCTCATCAACCAAGTATGGTGTAGCATAGGCAATTGCAAAGTTGAACAACCAGTTGGAGGCAGTGGAAAGTGCAACAGACTTGGCTCTTGTCTTCAATGGCATAATCTCACCGGTAATGACCCAAGCAACAGGACCCCATGTGGCAGCAAAGAACGCGATGAAAATACAGGTGAAACCAACCATACACTTGTTGGCAGCATCGGAATTGGTAGCGGCTCCAACAATGGCAATGATAAGCTGGGAAACACACATACCAGCGGCACCTCCAAGAAGAAGTGAACGACGACCCAGGTACTCAACCAAGATGATACCTGGAATAGTGGAACCGACATTGACAATATTCGTAGCCAAAGTGATTGTGAATTCGTTCTTGATACCAGATTGCTTGAAGAAAGTTGTACCGTAGTAAAAGATGAAATTAATACCAGTCAATTGTTGGAATGCTTGCAAGAGGATACCTGTCATAACACGCTTCAATTGGGAGTTTCCGAGTCTGAAACAGTCCAACCAACTACCCTTACCATCGGAAATTTCATACTCGTAGTTTGCAGTAATTTCACCGAGCTCATCGATAAGAACTGGGTGGTCAACTGGCAATCTTCTGAGTCTTGAAAGGGACTCCATAGCCTTGTCTTGTTGTCCCTTCTTAACGTAGAATCTTGGAGTTTCTGGAAGCATGAACAAACCACCGGCCAAAATGATAGACCATAGGAACTGAATGGCAAATGGAATTCTGTAAGAACCACTGTCATTTCTATCTTTGGTACCTTGGTTAACACAAGAAGCCAAAAGCAAACCGATGGTGATAGCCCATTGATAACAGGAAACAACAGCACCACGGATCCACTTTGGTGTGGTTTCAGATTGGTACAACGGAACACAAGCTGAGATCAAACCAACACCAAGACCACCAATGGCTCTACCGGCAACAAGCACTGGGATATCTGTAGCAGCAACTTGCAAAATGACACCAACATTAAAGACAAACATACAGGAGAGAATGATAGTCCAACGACGACCAAGAGTATCAGAGAAATATGGAGCAATCATAGCACCACAGAAAGTACCAGCAGACAAGATGGACACGATCAAAGAGTGTTCACCAGAGGTGAACTCACCAGGAGTATCTGGGAATCTTTCGAGCACATAGTTCATGGCCAAGACACCTGAAATAGTACCGGTATCGTAACCATAAAGGATACCACCGCATGCAGCAAACATACCCACAAAGATAGCCATGAAGGTGGAACCTTCTGTCTTCTCGTCGGGGTTGAAGAGGGTTTTCACGAGTTTTCTATCTGTAATACCCATTTTGTGATTGATATATCAGAATAATTGGGATAGGAATCTGGGTAAAGAATGATGAACTAACAATATGTTGTTTCTGGGTAAAAAAGAATGGAAAGAAACCTCCTTTTATAATGATTCTGAAACAGCTCGCTGGTTGGTCTGAAGTTCTACATCTGGATTCTGCTGTAGCGCATACTCTATGGATAAACTTGATGCAACACGAACTATCGGAGCAATTTCGTTTAAAGTTCCACCCATGGACCAAAAAGTGGGGTGCGCCTGGAAAATTGTTGGCAAGAATTCACAGAGTTGACTCCAGTTTATTGCAGCAATTCTGTAATACTCCCTTATAATTTCGGTGAAACTCGTTCACTCTCATAGAAATTACTGCAACTATCTGCGGGGGTGGAAAAATCACTCCTGTACACAAACGCTTAATGACCCGGAATAACTTCGAAGTGATGCAGACTCATGCAGCAACGAAAAATTTTCCCCGCCATATTGCCGCTTTATATGTTGAATTGGTTCTATCGCACGTACGGCAGAGAGAGAAAGGGCTAGAAGAGCAACAGGCTGCTAACAATCTGGCGGTGTTTGACTATGATGTTGGTGAAATAAAGACGACGATAGTGTTCATTTGCCTTCGTCTGAAGGGTTATTAAACAAGACTAACCATGTCTTTGAGAAAGTTTATCTAATGAGTCGAACGACCGTTAGTGCTTCTCACGGTTCTCGAAAAAAGCAATAGAGTTCATGAAACAAAATGTCTTATAATCCATATTGCGACGTCACACAGGACATAATAAAGGTGGGAGAAAAGTTGCATGCAAATCTCGTAAGTGGACTATATGAGTAAGTTGACCACGTAATTATGAATGTGAGTAGATCCGAAGGGAGAGCTGAGAACGCCGCATAGCACAGGACACATTTGTGGGGAATCTTTACTTCAAGAAAAGGACCACTTGCTACAATATCTACATTGACAATCACAGTGTGTGCCTGATTGTTCAAATTCCCTTGTTCGTCTATGACTCCAGAGTGACGAGCGTAGGTAATGGCATGATCCAGAGACGTTTCGTAACGGAACAGTCCACCACTCAAAAGGTCGATCAAGGAAAAACATATCACTTAGCTGCAGATGACTTTGTCGGCACAGGGGAAGGTCGTAAGTGGACTCATTTTAGATGCCTAGACCTCCTTTCGAAGAGGCCAAACTTCTTGCGTGTTTTTAATAATTTTTTGTGTGTACACATCTGTATGTGGTATTTATCCCGTGCTAAAGAATAACGAGTGTTTATTCCGCACCAGTGTATGAGTGTTCATCCAAGCCAAAGAACAACGTGTGTTTATCCATGTCAAAGAAACATAACCAAAGCCCCCGTCAATGAGAATTGTTGGCAAAGAATAATCACCAAGGCACGAGCTTGTTTATTGCTGGGGGTCCAGAGGAGGTCGTCCCTGAGCCCTGAAAAAATGGCAAGGCCGCCGCTCGTAAGATATCGGAATAACTGCCCCAAGTTGATGCATGCGCCTTGGAAAAACTGAAATTCTCCGGGACGTTGCAACTTGCAACATCGCTATGCATCTAGATTCCGCTACAGACCTTGGGGCCCTCAGACTAATGAGGGATATGTTGGCACTCTCACATGAAACGAGGGGGATCATTGTAGACCACATATGGTCATCCGAACAACAAGCTCATTCATCGTTATCGAAACAATACAGAACAGTTTTAAAACACATTATTCATATTCATAAATTTGGGATAAGAATCAATAAGAAAGATTCCGAGGTCGATTAACGGATCGTGCCCCCATATCCCACTAGCTAAGACATATATAAAAAACACAAGTACACCTAATTAACACCAAGAAACCAAAAAAAGAAAGGGGTTAGCAAAACTTTAGTTTACATGCATCCAGTGACAGAATGTAGCTGGCAGTGAGACTGTTCTTTCCAGTCCCCCATGTTACCAATTAACATTCGATACAATTCCAGAGAACGACACGTTGATGCATTCGATAACATCGTCTTGTGTTAAGTCGCACAGCAACCAACTCCCCATGTTACCAAGCGATGGTTTTAATCCCATCTAGCCTGGATAACGTTATAGCTCTTTGGTTTCTCAACGAGACCATCGTCAACAACCTCGAACTCCTGCCAGGTGTGCTCAGCGTACTCGACAACCTTCTTCTGGATGAAGTCGATGGTGGACAGTTGGTCGAAGCCGTCACCATTCTCAATGGATTCGTTGATGGTCTTCTTCAAGTGAGCCAATCTGTCCTCCAAGACACCAATGCGGTAGTTCATGTATTCCTGGTAGAAGTCGTTGTATCTCGAAGCACTCAGCTCGGATGGCTTGACAGTGGTGATTGGAGATTCATCCAACAACGTGTCTTTTGGTCTGTAACTGCAGACAGAGGTGATTCTCTCCACGTAATCACCACGAGGCTTTGTGGCGATGTGCTTAAGGATACGACCTTGAAGAATGTTACACCAGCCTTGCTTTGGTCCTTCAACCTTGATAACGCTGCCATCTCCCGTGGTCAAGGCAGTTTCACCACCAATCATGTCGGTGGTATCACTCATCATCAACACAGAAACAAACTGTGGAGAGTCAAAGTGCCATGCGACAATACCCGGCATGTCTTCGGCCTTCTTGGCCTCCTCATCAAGCTTGATGATCTTTGTCGTGTCCTGCTTGATGGAAACGTTGATGTGACCAATCTCGTAATCGAATTGGTGGACAAGCTCAACACCAGCCATCGTGGAGATGATCTCCAAGACCTTTGGATGGTTCCAGGCTTGGTATGTGAATGGACTGTACTTTTTCGCATAGCCTCTGATGTAGAAGTCCATGTCACCGGTTGTGGAGTGATCATTGACACGGCCACAGTTCATGAAGCACTCCTTCTGGAACATCTCCCATCTCATGATGGCGATGGCCTCCTTTGTGAACAGTGGGAAAGGCTCAGACACTCCGATTGGCGAGATCGGCTCCTGGTGTGTCTTGGTAACACCCAGGTCCTTCAAGGTGATACGCTTGGTTTTCTCGTAGTAGTCATCAGTGAAGAGCAAGTGGCGACCGAGGTCAAACTGCACGTTGGCAGGGTCCTTGATACCGAAATGCTCCATCTCAGCGAGAAGCGGAGCGACAGACTTCTCATAGACGGAGTCTGGAATGCTCCACTTCTTGTTATCGTTGATGACGTCTTCGGTGAGCTTAACTGGTCTTTGTGCGACTGCAATTGGCATTATGTCTCTGGCAATAGAACTATGTGGTGATAGTGCTGGAGGATACAGGCTGAGCTGGTGATGTTCAGAGACAAACAGATGCTCTTTTATACACTTCAAAACGGGGTGTCCTTCACAGCAGATCACCTGAGTTGGTGATACTCGTTTACTTTCCCATGGGGTAATAGCAAGAGAGAAGACATATATCGCTGAAGGCCATAGATTAGCGACACTAAACCCCCTTGCAATTTACATCTACTTATCTACGTACATAATGTCACACTGGTGTACGCTGCACTGTATCAGCAGCAACAGCCATGTACCTCAACGACATATCCAGCTGCGTGTGTGTTTCTTCTTTTAGTGGAGGGAGGAATGGCTTTCAACATCGAGGCCCACTGCTGAGATAACATCAAAAGCCCTGATAAGCCCTGATCTACCAGGATGAGTTCCCGTTAACTCGAAAAGGCTCGAGTGAACATATCGACCGTTCTGGACCCTCCAGCACGTCGTCTGTGGCTACTCCATGGGGGTTTATAAGGACTCGTGCTCGACTTCCCTGTAAGAGTGCACGCTTATCAGTCCGAAGGACATATTCCCCTTTTAGGACTAAAGATCCTCATCTCCGGCAAGGCGATAGGGCAGGCCAGGCACCACCACCCAGATCGGGCCCTCAGGGCGTAGAATCACACTGTAGAGACGGAGGCACCGGCTGTTCAGAGAGGAAGTACAGGGTGTTTGTTCCGAGGAGAGAGGAAACAGCCCAGAGTAACGGACAGCGAGCCGATAAGTGCTAGCGAGAGGACGTTTGGTGAGACACCAGCAGGCGTGAAGGACTGCTTGTGAAGGACTGCTTGGGAAGGATGGCTTCAGAGAGATGGCACATGGCTCAGAGTCAGGGTGCTCCAGCAGCTTGTTGACTCTGTCCAGGTGCCCTGGTGCTAAAAACTTGACGGCGTGGGATCTCTTGCCCTTATCAAGGTTGTTGCCCTTGCATAGCAACGCAGAATCAGCTACACACAGCGTTGTGATTCCCTGGGCTGCTGGAGGCCTCCGTTGTCGCTGGTGTGTGTGTGTGTGTGTGTTGATGGTGATATCCATGTGAAGCGTGGTCACTGGTGCTTGTAGAACACAATGCCTTTGTATGCTGTTAGCAGGCTTCTCTCTTTGTCTCGGCTTAGGGGACGGTCATGGTCTTCGCAGCCGGCCGGCGAGTTATGCCAGGCATCAATTGACTCTCCCGGCCTCCATTGAGTCTCCTGGTGCATCTGTGTGTGTATGTGTCGGTGATTATTTATCCCCTTTAGGCGTTTTATGACACAGTGTTTGCGAGCCGGTGCGCTGCAGCGTACACCTTCATGCACACGTCATTGGATAGAAGCCACTCATCTCCACGGGTTACCCCAAGCACAACACAGTGCTCAAGAGAGAAGTACGCACTCGACCGAGATAACAGCTATAGCGTCGTGTAGGAAGGCACAGTGACGTGTATGCGTCAAGGAATCCTTATCAGGATATCACCAGGGCTACCATTCCCAGAGTACGGTTGTGCGCTGTAGATAGGATATCACCAAAATAGTGGTTGTTGATCTAGCACAACCATGCGTCAGCGTTGGCGATAACGCTACAGGCTGATCTCCAAGACGTATATAAAGAGCTCCAATCCTTGCCAGCGGATGGCTATGTAGTTATCGTGGATCTGGCCATCATCATTGTCCAAACACACCAGCCATGTCCTTATCGTCTGATGATATGAAGAAACAAGTGAATATCGAGACGGGCTCTTTAGCGAGCATCCGCTCCGATATCGAGGTGGGCTCAACAACTTCAACATTTACAAGCCCACACATCAACACCACGAAGCGGACTCTCAACTCGAGAACCTTGCACATGATTGCCATTGGTGGGTCCATTGGCACTGCGCTCTTTGTCACCATCTCCACTGGCCTGCTCTACGGCGGGCCGCTTGGTCTGCTGCTTGCCTTTATGATCTGGACTGGAGTCATCTTCGGTGTCACCGCCAGTTGTGGTGAGTTCGTATGCTTCTTGCCTATCGAGTCGCCATTCATAACCATGGCTGGCCGTTGTGTGAACAAGTCTTACGAGGCCGCTGTCGCCTGGAACTACTTCCTCATGATTTCCATCTACATCCCCTTCGAAATCACAGCGGTTAACGGTATGATCCACTATTGGAGAGACGACTACTCTGCCGCAATCACGTTTTGCATCCAGATCTTCATCTACACCATGCTGAACGTCCTTGCCGTTAGATGGTTCGGTGAGTCAGAGTTCTACCTGTCCATAGGTAAGGTTGTGTTGGCTATTGGGTTGATCTTCTTCACGTTCATCACCATGGTCGGCGGTAACCCACAACACGACGCTTTTGGTTTCCGCTACTGGAATAACCCTGGTCCACTGGTGGAAGTCTACACAACGGGCTCTATGGGCAATTTCCATGGGTTCATGGCAGCCATGAACAAGGCATGTTTCACCATTGTTGGTCCGGAGTACTTGTCCATGGTTGCTGATGAGGCTGGCCAGGAGACCAGAAAGGTCCTCGCCAGTACCTTCAGAACCGTGTTCTACAGACTGATTGTGTTCTACATCATCGGTGCTCTGTCTGTCGGAGTCCTTGTCGCCTCTAACGACCCAACACTTGTTGAGCTGGCCTCCACGGGCTCCACCTCCAACGGCTCCTACTCGCCTTACATCATCGCCATGAACAACATGGGCATCAACGTCCTACCGGATATCGTCAACGTGCTCTGTGTCACTTCAGCATTCTCCGCAGGTAACTCGTATGTCTACTGCTCCTCTCGTGCGCTCTACGGTATGTCGAAGAACGGGCTTGTTCCTAAATTCTTCCAGTACTGTACAAAGGAGGGTGTTCCACTGTTCTGTGTAGGAATTGCATTCTGCTTCTCCCTGTTGTCGTTGCTCCAGCTTGGTGAGAACGCCTCAAAGGTTCTGAATTGGATCGTGAACCTGTGCTCCGGTGCTCAGATTCTCAACTACTTCTTCATGTGTGTTACCTACATCGGGTTCTACCGTGCCGTGAAAGCACAGGGATTGGACAGACGCTTGTTCCCTTACAGATCATGGTTCCAACCTTACTTGGCCATCTTCTGTGGATTCTTGATCCTTTGTATGGTTGGTGCCCTTGGATACACCGTTTTCATGCCAGGCAACTGGAGTGTTGAGAACTTCTTGACTTACTACTTGATGGTCCTCCTCTCCATCGGTATCTTCCTCGTTCATCTCGCTGTTTACCGCACAAAGCTCGTTGATCCAGCTCAAGCTGACTTGCACACAGGCATCGAGGAGGTACTGCTACACGAACAGACATACCTGGAGGAGCAGGAAAAGAACAATCATGGAAAGAAGAGTTGGAACAATAAGATTCTGGATACTATTTTCTGATGCAGATGTTGGCTCTACCTCTGTCTTATTTAGCACTTATCCATGAGCAGGTCTCGTGGGTGAGAACCAGTATTTATAATCGTTAACCAAGTTCAAGTGTTTCCAAATCTAAACTATGGTATACATTCATTTATAAAGCAACCCTTTGGCGAATATTGGTTTCTAACCGTTGCATAGACGGGCTTAGCCGGGACTTACCAAGGTGGAGCGAGTTACACATTATAATGATACTAATAAAATGATACTAATAAAATGATACTAATAAAATGATACTAATAAGTTGATACTAATAAAATGAAACTAATAAAAATAGCAAACTGGCCTTCAAATCTCCACAAGATATACCAACACCCAGCAAATATTCGAGAAAAGAGTTATAAAAAGTATGAACATTTAATCTTGAATACAGAATGTGATATAACCATTCATAGCTTGTATGGTATAATCAAGAAAAAACGCATAAATGTGCTTATACCTCAGCAACAAAACAACAATTGGGAAACCAAACGAAGAAAATAAATTGACAGATCAGTATCTTCATATACACCGACCGCCAGCTTGAATGGTTGAGTGGTTTTTTCAAAATAAACCATGACGTTGCTTTATATATGTAAGTCTTGCCCTTCGTTGCCCCAGCAATCGTAAAAATGCAAGGATGTTTTCAATCCTCGCCGCATTGTTTACATTATAAATTCTCATCAACACAAAATGACACAATACCAGTACAGCTTTATACATAGAATCAAAAAACATCACCAAAGAATGACCAGAAACAAAACATCAGGCAATAAAAGCAGAAGAAACCCGAGAATACGTCCTGGGAAAGAACCGATGACTCTTCATGGAACCTTCCAACAGCGCCCTCAACTTGGAGAAGAAACATCAGCGGCTAATCCAGAACCACAGCGGCAATTTGAAACCGATGGAGGTACGACACAACAAGAAGACCCAGTAATTATTGAGAATAACTAACTGACTTGTTTTAAGACCAAGATGCGGAACCAGGAAACCTCCATGTTCTGTCACAGAATACCGCTGCAGAGAGAACAGTCTTACCACAACAGCCGCCGTTACCTGAACCTCAGCCGTTACCTGAACCTGATAGTGGAACCATGGCAGATGGAATAAGTGTTGAGACAGATGTAGCAGCGAGAGCGTTAGAAGAACTTAAACGTGATGGTGCCTTTGATTGTGAACCCTACTTTGAATACATCATGAATAATGATGATCTATTTTATGACGAGCCGCAACAGTGGAGACCACATAGCTCTGCGTGCAATTCAGACTGTTCTGAAGAGCGCTGCGGTTATTGTAATGCGCTCGTTATCGAAGTTGAATTGCCTGTCTTTATATCGGATGAAAGCTTTCCGCATTGAGGCATTCAAAGAACCATTGCAGTACATGAAATATATCTTATTGGATCCAATAACGTCCAAATGTGCTTGAGCAATCAATACAATCCCTTTGCTATCGTTCTTGGGTTCTAACAGCGCTAGTTATTCAAGAGAGGCGGAACGTACTCAATGACTATCAACGAGTGTTTATTCCATAGAGTTGATGGTATGGTTACTCAGGAAAATGACCAAGCGAAGGTTACAGAAATTTAAACACTGGATCCTGGATTGGATAGAAAATGTCATCTTCAATCGCTTAGAGATGTTCTTCAAAAAGATGAAGAATACAACAAACTTGAGGTCCACATTGGCACGATTGGTGAGTTTGTCTCTCAACAGAAGCTTCATGCACAGCTAGACGCATAAACGACGAGATAGACCTTTTCCATACTAACGGGACTTAGATTAGTGTCATGCTAACTATCCACATCATACACACGTTTGCAGATCCATACACGAAATCTTACGCTACAGTTATAGGAGACTCTCTAGGCGTAGATTCCGTTAGTTCGAAAATCATCACTTCATTGAACGAGGCACCAAGACATTAAAGTCAATACCCCACGGGCCGCACGGCGCAAGTTGATCCCGTAGGTAGCGCTGATTCGAGATTTACAGGTAGCATTAGCTAAACACTACAGATCAACGTGTGATTCTACCTTCCATTCACGCAGGAAACACCTATGGTCACAGTGCTAGTCATCTAATTATCCACTCTACAGGACTCGTTATCCATATAATCTATTAGAAATCAAATTAAATATCCATCAAGGACGTGTTTGCAGAAACTAAATACAATGAGCTTAGGGAGTTCAACACCAGACTCTGTAGAATCTGTAGTAGAAAGGCTTTGAAGCGATGAAAGCCTTCTCCTCGGCAATCTCTTGCTTGAGCAAGTCCAAATCGTGCTCAGCTCTACCACTGTCCAAATCCATATCAGAGGCCTTAATGTACCAGGATTTGTTTCTCTTCCAGAGCTTGTGGAAGACGTAGAAGGCGATGATGACTGGCAAGGCCAAGTAAGCTTGGAAGAAATCACTTGGATCTGGGCTTGCACCCAATGGGAAAAGGGCAACCCAGAATTGGGCCACGAGAATCAAAATGTTGAGAATGACACCATACCAGGAACCAAGGAGACCACATTGAGACATGAAGGCCAATTCTTCGTTTGGATTACGACCTTGAGCCTTCATACCAGCTCTGAATCTGATATGAGCAAAGCAGACAGAACCCCAGGTGAAGACAGAGGACAAACCGGAAATGGCCAACAACCAGTTGAAAACATCACCTTGCTTGTCGGAAGCAGAGACGAAACACAAGAGACCAACAATCAAAGTGACAAGCGTGGCCCAGATTGGACGACCCTTCTTGTCAACGTACATCAACCAAGAAGGTGCGAAGCCTTGACCACCAAGAGAAACCAATGTACGAGAACAAGCGTAGACAGAGGAGTTACCGACAGACAGAACAGCAATCATGATAACCACGTTCATAACGTCATCCAAACCACCGATACCAGCGTTGTTGATGGCAATGACGAAAGGAGAAGCAGAGGCATCGGATGCAGTACCCAATCTTGAGTCAGTGTAAGGCACAAGCAAACCAACAAGGGTTAAAGAAACAATGTAGAACAAGGTGATTCTCCAGAAGACTTGCTTGGTGGCTCTTGGAAGGGACTTTCTTGGGTTTTGAGTCTCACAGGCAGCCAAACCAACAAGCTCGGTACCGGCAAAGGAGAAGGCAGCAGTGACAAACACAGCACACACACCCTTGAACCCGTTGGAGAACGCACCTGGGTCGTGCCAGTACTTTCCTCCGATGTAACCACCTTTTGGACCACCACCACAGTTCAGGATAATACCCAAGATGATGAAACCAATGACAGCGAGCACCTTGATGAAGGAGAAGACAAACTCAGCTTCACCGTAACCCTTGACACCAAAGAAATTAAGAACAACGATGAATACGTAAAAGATCGCCACCCAGGCAACAGAGTTGATCTCAGAGTTCCAGTAACCAATAGTAATAGAAGCAGCGACAAGTTCCAAAGGCATAACAATCAGCCATTGCAGGGCATAGTTCCAACCCATGGCAAAACCCCAGGATGGGTCGATAAATCTGGTGGAGTACACGTTAAAACCACCAGAGATTGGGAATCTAACAGCCAATTCACCAATGGCATGGACAGTAGAGAAAATCATGGTACCAACCAAACTCCAAGCGATAAGCAGAGCAGCTGGACCACCCTTCTTCAGAGCACCACCGGAACCGACAAACAAACCAGTACCAATGGCACCACCAATGGCAATCATCTGTAAATGTCTGTTCTTCAAATTCTTCTGTAAAGGTGACTGGGAGGTCTTCGCAATAGCCTTCTCCAGCTCACTCATGTTGGAGGTGTCAACACCCACAAGTTCAGCCTCCTTGAAGGAGTCTTTGAAGCGGCCCCACCACGACAGGTTAGAAACATCAACATCCTCGTTAGAGATGGACACGGAGTCACCGGCCTCCAGCGTATCAGCCACTGTGAAAGTGTTGATGTCCTTGGACTTGACCTCTGAGATATCGTTCGAGGACATGTTTAGAATACTATGCGTATGTATACAAGTCTGTAGTACAGTATGACACCACAGACAGGAGCAAAATCTACAACCACAGTGGGGGATTCATTGTGCTTTATATACCATTACAACTTCCATTATTCAGCACAGATCACACCGGGCCCGCTACCATGAGCACATCACCCCAACTTCCTCTCCTGGATGATAAAAGAGACATCACTTGTGCCTCATGGTTGGATCTTTGATTCTGGGATTGCTGTGGTTGCGTATCAGTATGCGTCGGCGTGCATAATTCTGCGGCGCATCTTTATCGTGCGCGCCAACTTGTGCTGCCACTCATAGGCGTAGACGACCGGCACTAGGAGGTCTTATCAGCGATGGATTGAGGATGTTATCGGTGTGCGTGTACGTGGATTACACAGCGTGAGAACTTTTCCTGGGAAGAGGTTAAGGGTGTCGTGGTTGTGGTGTGTTGTGGTGTGGTTGTGGTGTGGTTGTGGTGTGGTTGTGGAGTGTTGTAGAGACTCCAGACGAGCGTTAACAACGAAGCTGGCGTGTTGATGGGGAGAGCAGTATCAAGGGCATAGCGAGCACACCAGCGGGCTTTCTTCCCCACAAACAGCAGCTTCAACCGCACCAGCATGGCACGATTGTCATTGGAGCCACTCGAGCCATTCTTGTTCAACCATAGGTCCGGTGACCTCGTATCATTCGCCAACCCACCACAGTCACACACAGGTAGGGCCTCCCCACGCCCAGCTCGCGAGCTGGCCAACGGGACCAGATCTCCCACCAATCTGCCCCAATCTGCCCCCAATCTCACCCATATGCGGCCCGTGCCGAGTGCCTTGGAGGGGGACCACCAGAGGCCCCATTGATTACCAGAGGCCTTTCAGTTACTTGGCTTTGCCAGCGTTGGAAGTAGAGGTCTGATAGCAAGGGCTTCTCACAGAGCGAAAGCTCTCTCTAACGCCGTTGCTATGGAGGAAAACGCCACACGCTGCACCGGCGCCAAAAAGAAAAGAAACTTTTTGGTGCCGTGCGCAAGGTGCAGTTTTTTTTTATTTTTGTACGCGCTAAAAATGACGTGAAAACTATAAAAGTTATATCGTTGTTTCTTTTTGTTTTTTCTTCTTCTGCCTTTGATCTGTAATGAAATTCACACTGAGGATGTAACAATGGGCGTTGTGTGGTTTGGGAGGTTGACGTTGGCGTGATCTTTTAAGCGGATTCGTCGCTTGCAGAGGTTGGAGGAGAGCTTGAAGGGTACTCAGATGTCTTGTTAGGCTGGAGTTTGTAGAATATCCAGCACGTATGGCCTTGTAGGAAGTTGGAGGACCTTGTAGGAAGAATGGCGCCAAAGAAAGGCCGTAGCGATCTGCAATTGACCAGTTGTGGTGACCTTTGTGAAGAGCTAAACGGAGCTTGTAGAGGGGAATCCCTGTGCAACGTCGAGACGTCCATACGTCGATACGTCGAAGCCACCCGTGTGGGTTATCTATATGGGCATTTCCTGATGTCCGATGGTGTGCCCTAGCAGCGACGACTATCATGTTGATTGTGTGTCGTTTAGTCCTCTCTGCCTAGAAACAGGGCCCGTTTATCACAATCAACCCCGTTGCACACCAGTGGCACGGCATCAATGGTCATTTGGCCATGGACAAGAAACGCAGAATCAGTGCCGTTGGAGCCAGCGTGAAGTTTGGCGCATCTATGCATTGGTCATTGTGATGGCTACTTTGTAGTCTGATCTAAAACGCTTATAGCCCTGCAGAAAGAGTGGCCTCAACAGCCCAAATGATGAAACGTCACATGCATTCCATCCAGCGCTCAGGATTGAGAAGGTTGATAGAGCGCGTAGGCACCAGAGCTCAGAGTGCGAGCTGGTGATTGGCAGCCGTTGGCGTCCGCCTGGTTAGCCAAGTGGACTTTGAGAATGATACTCTACCCGCTTTCTTGTCTCGGATAGTGTTAATACATAAGATAAGGCTCCTTCCACCAAAGAGAACGTGTGGCGGCTTCCCACAGTGTTCTCACTTATGCCATCAATAACCTTGGATCGTGATCTTGTATCATGAGACCAATGTACAAACACGCCCACTTGTGGAGCTGTAACATTGGAAGCCCTAGTTCATCCACTGTACATTGCACATGGTTCATGTCCTCTTGGTATGTGGTCATGACTAAACCTGTACCTTGATAAGGTTGAGTTGTACCCAGCTTAATCTCAAGACCACATTCCTTAGCTGACTACTGGATTGTTCAAGATTGGATGATGTAATGTACGAATAGAGTCAGCAACACTGGGTAGGAATCAACCTGAAACGATGCATAAATCGCAAGCATGCGTCAGTTTCGAACCTTGATAATGATATCCTTACAGCCAACCCGTCAAATCATCACGATGGAACGATCCCAGCGTCCCTGAAGCTGGCCATATCTCACCACCTACTGTGCAGTGTCGTTTACAGCGTACATCTAGTGACTTTCCCCCGTATTCAAATCAGGAAATCTTGATGATCCAGGTGTCCTGGAACTCACGAGGCGGTACTGTTTAAGGCTCATAGGCAGCAGCTCTTTAAGATTGATAACACTGCATATTCTCTGACAATGGCCTCCTATAGGCCACATTTGTTAGATGGTGGCAGCCAGTGCGTTTAGATAACTTAGTGGTGCTTCCTGGAGCTCCCATGCCGAAAGCGAGCATTCGGTTATCATTTCCTTTAGGGTCGAATAGTGTGTGTAGCATATGATGATGCAGTCGAAATCATAGGCTCAGTATGTGGTGTGGACCAAGGGCTGGTGATGCCTGGGGAGCTACGTGGATAGAGACAGGAGACCAGACGCCCATCACAAGTTAGGCGACTGTGCCCTTGTGGATAGCAGAGCTACTGTAAACAATAGAAATGAGATTACCCTGACTGTTGCTGCGATGAAAGAGAATATGAGTGTTGTACAGTGGCTTCAGAGTGTCACTCCAAGGAGCATTTAGACAAGAGGGCAACCACCTGAAGCGAAGTGCTAAGAGTTGAGGAGCCTACCTTTCTGGTTTTGGAGTAGAGGAGGGTTCGGAGAGGACGAGACGCCAACACAGCCAACATGTTAATGCCTACAGAGAATGACTACAGAGAATGCCTACAGAGAATAACCACAGAGAATAACTACAGGGAATGCCTACAGAGAATAACACAACCAAACCACGCATCGCCGTCCAACCTGTAAAACATGGCAAGACCTACTGCGAAACCTATCCGAATACTTCATCACGAGGCAAAAGTCCTAAACCAACGCTGAACCTCATGATGATATCGTTGGAGATGAAATTGGCTCCTGTTTGACAGAACCAATCGCAGTACAGTCTGGATTGAAACACGGTTCAACCACGGGCTGTCATCGTTCTCTGCCCCATATCCTTACTTCCTCCACCAGCGTAACCCTCCCACCACTATCTACATACTACAGTAGACCTGCTCCATCCAATTGAAGGCATATGACACTCGCTAGGATGCAGTTGCTCCTACCCTGTCCTGTGAAGGCACCTGGTACGTGCCCACCCACCTACTTCATCAACTTCACACAGCATTAGGAGGAGAGAGACCACAACAGACTACTTGCCAATGTGCAAGTCGTGCACAACGTGTACACACTACGAAAGCCCAAGCCACGGCCTGTTTCCAAAGCCATTGGCCAACCTCAGATCTCGACAGTTAGCCCATTCCATTGTCCTCCACGCTGGCCTCATCAGCCATCACCAAGTAACAGGCATTCCTCACGAGCTTTCAACCCGGCTCATCACCATTGTTTCCCGCCTTCAGCTTATTCTAAAATGCTTGTATACATTAACGAGATTTTCCAGAAGGTTCCCACAAAGCAACCACAAAACCGAGCGAAACGTGAAAATGTTCAAAGGACAACAACGAAAAACACGCGCGTAAAATTTGATTCAAAGGCCAAAACACTTGAACAACAAACCCAAGCGCTGTGTTCAAAAGCATTGAGATCGACGATGAGTGAGCCAAAGATCGATTCCATTGCGTTCAGAAAACGTGTTGGCATCATCCAGAAGAGGATTGCGGAAGATGGTTTCAATGGCGCTGGTTCCTTGCTTGTTGTTGTTGGTTCATCTGACGAAGAGAACCCATATCAAAAGTCAACAATTTTGCACAACTGGCTGCTGGGCTATGAGTTCCCTGCCACTGCCATCTTCATAACAAAGGACAAGGTTGTGTTCATCACGTCTGTTGGGAAGACCAAGTATCTGGGTGGTATTAAGAACGGCGGCTCTGTTGATGTTTGGGCACGTACGAAGGACGCGGACAACAACAAGAAGCTGTGGGATGACTTGGTGAGCGAATTGAAGCAGGTGCACAAGGTTGGTATCATCACGAAGGATAAGTTCCAAGGTAAGCTCATCAACGAATGGGAGCCAATATGGGATTCCGTGAAAGGTGTGCTGGAGTTGATTGACGTTTCAGTGCAGCTGTCCCAATGTTGGGAAACAAAGGATACCAAGGAGCTGAGTAGAATCACCATGGCGGCGAAGACAAGTTCTGAGTTCATGAACTACTTCTCGGATGAAATGGTCCGTGTTGTTGACGAGGAGTTGAAAGTGTCTCACTCAAAGCTCACTGAACGTGTTGAAAATAAGATTGACGAGGATAAGTTCCTTGCACAGCTCAAGAAGAAGTTCGGCTCTCAGTTGGACCTGAACCTTCTGGACTGGTGCTATACACCAATTATCCAGAGTGGTGGCAAATACGATCTGAGACCAAGTGCACAATCCAACGATGACAACCTCCACGGCGGTGTTGTGATTGCCTCGTTGGGTATCAGATATATGTCATATTGCTCAAATATAGCACGTACATTCCTTGTGGACCCAACTCCTGAGGTGGACAAGAACTATGACTTTTTGATTGCAGTTCAGAAAAAGGTCATTTCCCTGTTGAAACCTGGCACTACTGGTTCAAAGATTTACACCGAAACCTTGGAGTTTATCAAGTCTGAGAGACCAGAATTGGAAAAGCACTTCACCAAGAACGTTGGTTGGATCATTGGGTTGGAGTTCAGAGACAATACGTTCTTGCTGAATCCAAAGAACGAACGTGAACTTCCAGATAACTCAACTTTTGACCTCACCATCGGTTTTCAGAACTTGGCTAATGAGGCTTCAAAGGATCCAAAGACAAAGAACTATTCCTTGTTGTTGACAGATACTGTCAAGATTGTTGATTCTACGCCATCTGTGATCACTGAATACACAAAGACAAGAGCTGATGTGTCTTTCTTCTTTAAAGATGAGACTGAAAATGTCAAGAAGGAGGTTCTCGACTTGGCTGATGACGATGTGAAGCCAAAGAGGGACACCACAGGAGCAAACTCGAAGATTCTCAAGTCCAAACTTCGTACAGAGACGAAGAACCACGATGAACTCGATGATACTCGTCAAAGACAACAGCAAAAGGAATTACATGAAAAGAGACAAAGAGAAGGTTTGAGCAGATTCAGCGATACAAGTGCTACGAATCCAAACGAACGTAAAGTTATCTTCAAGAAGTACGAATCTTATGTCAGAGAGACACAGATTCCAACGATGGTTAAGGACCTGAAGGCCCACGTTGATTTCAAGACTCAGACCATACTGATTCCAATTTCTGGTAGACCAGTTCCATTCCATATTAACTCTTACAAAAACGGATCCAAGACGGACGAAGGTGACTATACCTATCTGAGATTGAACTTCAACTCTCCTGGTGTTGGTGGTAATACTTCCAAGAAGGATGAGATTCCATATGAAGATGATGGTTCGAAGCAGTTTGTCCGTTCTATTACCCTAAGATCCAGAGATGCTGAGCACATGGCACAGGTTTTCAAGGATATTTCTGACTTGAAGAAAGAATCACAAAAGAAAGAAGCAGATAAGAAGAACATGGCAGACGTTGTTGCCCAAGCAGAGTTGATCCTTGCAAAGCCAGGTAGGTTAAGAAGAATGGATAATATCTTTGTTAGACCATCTCCCGACACAAAGAGAGTCCCAGGTTCCCTGTCTATCCATGAGAACGGTTTGAGGTATCAATCTTCTTTGAAACAGGACTCTAGAATCGATATTCTGTTTTCCAACATGAAACATCTTTTCTTTCAGCCCTGCAAGGATGAATTGATTGTTCTTATCCATGTTCATTTGAAGACCCCTTTGATTGTTGGTAAAAAGAAAACATTTGACGTTCAATTCTACAGAGAAGCATCCGATATTGCATTTGATGAGACCAACGGTGCTAGAAGGGGTGCCAGAAGAAGATATGGTGATGATGACGAATTGGAACAAGAACAAGAAGAGAGAAGAAGAAAAGCTGCACTTGATAAGGAGTTTAGAAAATTCGCCGAGTTGATTGCAGATTCTTCCCACGGTGCTGGTGATTTGGACATTCCATTCAGAGAACTAGGATTCCAAGGTGTTCCATTTAGAGCTGCAACATTCTTGATGCCGACTAGAGACTGTTTGGTGCAGTTGATTGATCCACCGTTCCTTGTTGTCACACTGGAAGAGGTTGAGATTGCCCATCTTGAAAGAGTTCAATTTGGATTGAAGAACTTTGATATGGTTTTCGTCTTTAGAGATTTCGGCAAAGCTGTTGTTCATGTTAACACCATTCCAATTGAAGTCTTGGAAGATGTTAAGTCGTGGTTAACCGATGTCGACATTCCATTTACAGAATCCACAATCAATCTGAACTGGTCCACTATCATGAAGACATTGCAAGCTGATCCAAAACAATTCTTCCTTGATGGTGGTTGGTCTTTCCTTGCTGGTAACTCTGATGATGAAGAAAGCGAACAGAGTGAAGAAGAGTCCGAGTACGAGGTTAGTGACGAAGATCCAGAGGATGAAGATGTTGACAGTGAGGATGACTACAGCGAAGGGGGTGATGACGATTCTGGAAGTGACTTTAGTGGTGATGATGACGACGACGATGAGGAAGAATCCGCTGATGATTGGGATGAGATGGAGAAGAAGGCTGCCAAGGAAGATGCAAGCAGTAGATTTGACTGATTAATCGTTTAGAATACCTCCTTCTTGTGTTCTAACTACTAAAGATATGGTTATATTGAATTTTTCAACGTGCGCTGGCATTGTAGAAGTACAGTGTAAAAACGATTGTCTAAGCTGTTATTATGGTTATCGTTCAACGTTCTTTTTGAGGGCCAATACCCCGACCATCAACTTTTCTCATGTATGTATCTTCAACCGATGCTCTGTTCCCATATCCAATAACAGCTGGTTGATAACTCGTTGCAACGTTATACAGAGGCTCCAATTGTTGGTGGTTTTGGTGAGGATGATGTTGAGGATGAGGAGCATACTGGTAATACAGTGGCTGTGGTTGTGGTTGCTGCTGCTGATGACGTTGCTGTTGTTGCACTGTGTAATCTTGTATTGGTGGTAAATGTGTAACCATCTGTGAGCGTGCAGGGAATACAGGACGGTTGAATGTTGGTGAAGGGTTCATCTGGTGAGGGTAGTACTTTTGTGCGATTGACGGTAAGTTCATAGGCATTGGCACTTGATGTATGTTCTGTTTATGTTGATTTCTTTGCTGCTCTACCTGCTTTTGGTGCTGATACTCCACAAGAGTATCCACTGGTGGTAACGAATAGCGATGCTGAAGGGTATGAGGGTGTGATGGGACCCTCATATCACGGGAACATGACAAACGACGTAACTTTTGTGGGTTTTCCAAGGAATCTTCACTCTTTGAATCTTCGCTTTTACTTGAATCGTCATCAACATTTGTACTGGACCCCTTCTTCGTGGCAGAATTCGAGCTTCTCTTCCTCTGTCGTATTCTTGCTCCGTGATTGAATAGGAAGCTCGTCAACGGAGAAGACACCGTGGATCCCGTGAACTTCTTTGGCGTGAAGATCTGAAACTCATCGGAGAGCGTGCTATTCCTATGTACAACCTTCCCATTGAATGCTTCATAGAGGTCAAAGCTCAACTTGAACTTCCCAATCTTCTTCACGGCAAGGTCAGAAAACACAAATGTTATTGCATAGTTGCTCGGGTCCAATTTCTCCACTGGTAACAGTCTGCCCAAATGGCCCTGAGATGACATGTTTATACGTAACGATATTGGCATACCAGATGCCACATTAGTACCAATCAGTAGGTCATTCGTAGATTCAACGGTATCTGGGTTCTGGTGCTGAGGCTCCTGAACATCGGTTGCCTGTAACTTTGCAACGACAAAAAACGTTGAGTAGTGAACCCATGGAGGCACTCTGTTTGATCTCATGGTCTTGATGATATCCAACTCCTTAATCCTCTCAATTGACTTTGGATCCTTATTTGCGCTCAACCCTTTTTTCAACTCGTCAATTATCGTCTCCTCCTGTGACCTTGGCTTCATATCATCAACACACAGTTGCAATATGGGAGGAGGATGTATTGGCCTATGCTCACTAAAGAACACTCTGCCTGAAGGATGGGTGGACACCTTTGCATGGATCGGTTGTTGTAGCAGTCTCAGCGATAGTTTGGGGTCCCTGGGCCTCCTAATGGTGCGTTTCTTTGGGTTATTAGTTGCCGGCACTGTCCGTGGTTCCACACACACTACGTCCACCGGGGTGCTGTCTGGCAGATCTCTGTGGGCTTCACCAGCGTTATCATTGTGTGGTTCGTCATTGCCCGATAGCAGAAAGTCTATTGACGACTTTGAATGTGAATTAGTACTGGGCATTGCGTTCACCAGAGATCCCGAGCTGTGGAAGTCTAGCGGTACTAAATGTGTAGATGGACCAGACAGCCAAAACCAAGCAGACACAGCAGAAAACAATGGACTGGAAACGAAAGAAGGAAAATCAGTTACAACTTGTGGAATGCTCGCGGAGTTATGTGGGTTGCTATGACAGTTGCTTCCGTAATGCTCCAAGGTGGTTGCTATTAAAAGGACGTGGTTTGCTCGCTGACCTCGTTGCCTCTTAGCAAGATGGGAAAGAAGGACCGGTGAAAATATATCAGAAGGAGAACGGGAAAAGACACACACACACACAGGCACCACACACTTGACCAATTCCTTTGATGTGTAAGTGAACACTCACAGCTGAAGGCTCCTCTGATCGTTGTTCCGTTCCCTTGCAAAGCTGGTTACGTATGCATCAATGCGCCTCTTAAACTTATGGTTAACCCGCACACGCTCACATGAGCGCACACAGCTCTGTGTCTCGCTGCCTGTCTGCGCGGTGTCGTTGAACCTTGTTTCGCTATTTGGGCGCGCATTGTCAGCGTGGTGCTCCAGTGGTTTAGTTGTCTATGGAGGCGTGGATACGTTCACTGGAGAGGTGCAATTGGGCGAGGTGTGGTGGCCTTGTTGGAAAACACTGGCACAGGCAAGCAGGCAGAGAGCGGGAGGACGGTTGGCAGATTTGGGGAGTGGTGGGGCCGTTTCAGCTAACTGTGCCTCTATGTGGTGTTGTTAAGTCCTTGTCGAAGGTGGTGATCTAACCACACTGTGACCTCAATTGGAACGTCCCGCAGGAGGACGACGGAGGGAGATTGGAGCACAGCACCATGTATGGATCGAGTCTGACGTATCTATCGTATGCGATGTATCTTTATTCCCTTAAGAATCTCTGAGCATCTACAAAAGACGCTCTCTTCAGCGTCGAATATCTTGCACAGATGAAGCCAGACTTGCCTTGTAACTACGGGAACGGTGTGTGGCACTGCGTGCTTGTCGATCCTTGTGCAGAAACACGCCTCTGGTTCTCTGACTTTGTGGGAAAGATCAACCGAGAGATATTTCATTCTGGTTCTCCCTCTCTCTTTCTCTGCTTGTTGCTCTTCCTGGCCTTCTATCTCTGTGCCCGGAGTTTGGAGCGTCGTGGATGCGTACTTGAGCCAGTGCTTTGATGTGCGATGCCCGGTGCATTCTGATACAGTGCTGCTTTGGAACTTGAGCAGATAGACGAGGTAAGTTTTCTAAACGATCGGCTGTGTACCCAATCGACATGATCTATGGGTCTCCAGAAGATGCTGTGCAGCGAGTCTCTCTACCGAAGGTATAACATCTCAGCGGTGTGGAACTGGTTGTGGAACTGGCTGTGGAGACACAACAGACACCTACAAAGCAGCAATGGGATCTGCTCAGGTTCCCTGGTTCGATGGAACATGCCCATGGAGCTTTATGCATAAAGCACACACACACACAGCCCTCTCCTTTGGAGTAACGTGTTTACGAGATGCCTATAACTTCTATGTACGCCAACTCATCAACTCACCGACAAGACAGGCTATCTCCGATGGCTTCGATCAGCGTGTATTACGTAATCGCTTAGTAACCTCTGAGTGGCCTCCCCCTCCAGCGGCCCCCACATCCTTGGGAAAAGTCCGGAAGAACGCAGAAAAAAAGAAACGTTGATCATTCTTTCCCATAGTCTCTCCTTCTCGTAGCAAATGGACGTCTCCGCCGGCGCTTAACATTAAACCTGCGCTTGTCCTGTTTTTCTTGCCTGCGTCCCTCTCCCGTTCGCAGGGGGAATTCAACAAGGGCGATGGGGCCTCCCTTGTGAAGAGGATGGCGAGTCTGGCGGCGGAATTCGATTGCTGTAGTGAACAATTGGGAGTTGGCACACGCTGTTTGGCTGGGCTGTCTAACTGGGCTGTTCAACCATGTCCCCAGTGTTCTCTTCTGTCCATGGTAATTGCAAAAGACACTTAAACACGTCATATGCAAGCAATTTACGCCACTAACTGTAGGAAACTTTATATACTTCGCCAACGGGGATATGACCCTCAATGACATTAAGGCTGTGTTAGGTTGAGTGTGCCTAAATCAGTGACCAGAGAGCAGATACCAAGAGGTGGTTCTACTCTTTTGGCTGCTCTCTTGGTACTGTCCAAGATGCCGATGTGTCACCTCCTCTTGTTGGGATTTATATATAATTGAAATCCGGTACCATCTCCCCTAGGTGCATCTTGTTCGTCTTCGAGTAGTTAAACCATTTGATCTTATTACGCAATAATACTCAATGTCCATTATAGAACTGAGCAAAAGACAGTACGTCTGCGATGCAAGCGGGTATTGCTATTACAGACGGAACAGCACGTACTGGTGGATTGTATTTGTTGTTGTGATCCCGATTCTGGTGTTTGCCATGGTTCTCATGCTCTTGAGAAGACGTAACCTGAGAAGGTCCCGTCAGGGACAGTCGTATATCCCATACACGGGCTGGACCACGTATGGTAATAACAACCAAGCGCAGACAATGCCAACGTACCAACAGGACTATCAACAGGGATACCAACAACAGCCTTACCAGAACGGATATTCGACGTATACATATACAACGTCACCGCAACAGCCAGCGTACAACAACGCACAGCAACAAGGTTACTACTACGACCCAAATACCAAACCAGCAGAGGAAACAGAGGAACAGCTACCGCCTTATAAACAGAACACGACATCCACCACCGAGACAGCGACGAATGAGTATTCAACGTATAGTAGGCCAGCAGGTGCGCCACCGACACACAATCAAGTCACAGGTGCAAACACGATACAGCCTCCACAGAACTCTTACCAGAGAACGTAACGGTCATCATAGACTTCGTGGATCAACACATTTCTTAATAGCTTTAAATAAAACACAAATTATTATGATTATGAGTTTTTATATACTCCAACAACAACAGAATAGTGTGGAAATAACATATAGAATACAACCCCACGATACATATAAAGATAGAGAAAGTTAAAAAAAAGGCATTCTCAAAGTAGTACAGACAGAATGTTAAGCGACCGAACTCTTAGAATGATCAATTACCAAATGGTGGGACATGGATGAACAAAACAAAACAAGTGGGCTGTGGTGTGAATCATTGTACGGATATCACCTTGATTTAAAACTCCTCCTTGAATAGGCTCTTGTGTTTCTCCTCAGTGGTTAATTCTTTTTTTTCATCACTGCCTTGGCTGAAGCCAGAAAACGTCTGTTTCAACTCACCACCATCTGTAGTGCTGGACTTGGCTTCAACTTGCTTTTTTGGCACATAGTTTAAAGCTTCATCAACCATGGATCTGTAGTTTGGATTGGCAACGACTGTTGGACCTGTTGATGTAGTGACCTTAGTGGTGGACTCCTCCGCAGCCTTAGCAGCTTCAGATTCTGCTTTGGCCTTTTCCCTAGCAGCATCCTCAGCTTTAGCCTTTTCACTTGGTGGTAACGTTTCTGCAATTTCCTTCTCCTCATTCAATGCAGCAATCTTTTCATTCTCCAATTCGAGTTGAATCTTAAGACGTTCATTGTCAACAAGGGCCTTTTGCTTGTCAATCTCAGCCTTTTTCAAAGCTGCTTCTGCTTCAATCTCTGCAGATTCCTTGAGAGCAACTTCTGCTTCAGCAGCCTTGATTTCAGCCTCTTTGGCGAATTTCTCTTGCTCACCAGTTGTGGTTTCAATTTCACCCTTCAATGTCTCCAAGCGTTCACGGGCATGAGTCAATTCAACCTTTGAAACATCTAGCAAGTTTTGAGAGTTCTCAGTATTCTTAATATGAGAGTCTGTAATCTCCTGAACAGCTTGTTTCTCTTCGTTCAAAACATCCAGTTTGTCCTGCTCAATCTTCAAGTTGGCCAAGATTGGAGCAAGTCTCTCATCACGTTCACGTTCAGCAGCAGTCAATTCTTCCTTGCGCTTGGCTTCGGCTTCAGCAGATTCCTTCGCAAGACGTTCCTCCTCAGCCTGTTTCTTTGCAAGGAGTTCTTCTCTCTTTCTAACCTCCTCCTGTTGCTTATACTCCAAAATCTCCTTTTGCTTTTCCAATTCAGCTGTCTTTTCCTTCTCCAAGGCCAGCTTGGCTTCTCTAGCTCTTTGCTTCTCATCCTCCAACTCTTTTCTTCTCTGAGCCTTGGCCTCGGCCTTGAGTCTCTTATCTTCAGCCTTTTGTGCCCTGATATCAGCTTTGTACTTTTCATGTGCCAATCTCTGTTCTTCCTTCACTCTGGCAGCCTCTGCATCTCTAGCACGCTGAGATTCAGCTGTCTTGTCAATTTGAACCAGCACAGGGTTCACGAATTTGGTAGCGATTGCATCCAACTCCGCTTGTGTCATGTACAATCCACCACCCAGGTTGATTTTACCTGTGTTCACGGTACGTGTTGCATGGTGACGAGAAGCAATCTCAAAAGCGATCCTGTTAAAATCTGTATTTGAGAACAAATTATTATCATCAAGTTGCTTTTCGAGTCCCTTGAGTGTATTTGAAGCATTGAGAGAGGCCAAGGCTAAAACCTTTGGAGAAACCATGGAATTCTTGAAAATAGCACGTGCCTCAAGGTCCTTATCCACTGGGGCTTCATAGCCTTGAGATGCCAAAGCACCTGCAGCGGCAAAAGCCTCCAAAGAAGCATCGTCAAGTTTTGGTTCAACTTTAATACCTGAGCGAGAGCAATCCCATTCTGGGTTCATTCTCTCAGAAATCATTGTATTCGCACGTTCTTGTGAAGCCTTTGTGACTTTTGACAAATTGATATTACCGATAACTCTCTTTTTTCCGCTTCTAACAGCGTCAAATTCGTATAATGAGGCCAAGTTGCTTGATGCCAAAGACCCAATGGTTTTCCCGGTTCTACCAAGTACAGCTGAAGCGGCACTTGCACCATCATATGTACTTTGTTCATCGCCACCATCAGCGTTCGGGTTTTTAGATCTGGATCTTGTTAAAACTGCAGATGCTGCACTTGATCCTTCGCTGATTGCAACTTTGGACTGGGCCTCGACAGAACTTGCAACTTCACCGTAGATGCTCTCGTTGTACAAGCTCTCTCTTTCACCTTTAATCAAGAATTTACCCACGGCAGCGGCAGCGGTTGAGGCCTCAGCGTTGACAGAATCTCTCGTCCATGCCTTTGGCGCAGTGTCCTTCTTTGCAAACAGAGCTGCTGTGTGTGCATCATTCGCAATGCTTCTCTTATAAGGCTCAACCTTCAAATCCGTTGAGGCAGCCAACAAAGCAGCAGTGTCTGAAGCGCTTTCGCTGTTTGGAACACCAACGGTCTTCGCAGACGGAGACTGATAGATACCGTACTTCATCTTGGCCTTGTAGAGCGCCTCCTTGGACAACGGTCTCCCATTTGTCTGATAAACAGAGCTCCTAGCAGACTTTGTGGAATACTCTGAATTAGCGATGGACATGGTCTTCAAATGTATAGATTCCTCCCTTTCTTTGTGAGCTAGATATCAACACACAGAGCCAAACTATTGTTATGAATCTCTCCGAATAATAAGAGAAGAGGTGTTGTTAGTGTGGCAGTAGCTGCTGTTGTTGTTGTTGGTTCAAGAGAAAACACAGGCACTCCTTTTTGTGGTTTTTGGCGGTTGCTTTCCCCTTGCAAATTTCACTTTTGCAATTTTGTAGCGCCCGCCCCTCCCCCTTCGTTTTACCTCCCTGTTTCTTGTGTTTTTCCCCTTGCTGTGAATGTTTGCGCAGTCGCGTATTTCCAGAAAGGAAATTGGCATATCCCAATGCGGTAATGTATACATAAAGGGAAAGCGTCGCGCATGTTAGTCATGGTACGCGCACGTCTATGGGCCCAGTTTCTTTCCAGGCTTTTTAGGCGTTCAGCTGTGTGTAACTTTGGAAACCGAGGCAGTTGTGGAAAAACGATTGTCAAAGATTGAAAATTACGTGCTTCTGCCTCGCCCCGGTGATCACGAAAGCATTGATAAGATGTATGGTTGATGCATGGCGATGGGACGCTGTGGTATTGTAATTGAGTGTCTCACCGCCTTTGGTAAAATCTGGCTCTGCTTTTGAAAAGGTTACAGAGCTTAAACTGGGTGCGATGGTCTGGACGTGATAATTTGTTTTCAACACACGTTCTTGTGGGAAACAGTGACTCTGTGTATATATATGGAGATAGAGTGTTATTGCTCTGTGCTGCGGTCTCAAGCTTAACCTTGGAGCGTAGCGATCGAGACCACTGTGTTCTTGCGCTTAATGGGACCGTTCAGAAGCTGTCGGTTGTGAAACTCGTCCTAAAGGCGCTGAGGACCGTGTGCTTTGGCCACTCTTTTCACAGTTCTGTAGTGTTGTGAAGAGGCATACAAAGTTTTGACGGTGGGGGCCTAGCGTGTAGCGAGCCTCCGGACCGCCAACTGAAGGCAGCATTCCGACCGTCAACTGAATGTAACATCCGGGCCGTCAACTGAAGACAATATCCGGACCACCAATTAACTGAAGGTACCACCCTCGCCAGGTTGTGGCACTCGTGCTGATGATGGAGTACTTGAGATAACGCACCCGATCTTGTTGCCGGCCGTGGACATCACAACGAGACGTGACAATTCAGCACGACAAATACCGTGATGCCAACGCTACTGCCATGCGCATGGTGCTCTACTCGACACACCTGCAACAACCGGCAGAGTACTCCGCATATCTACCACAATCACCTCGCACCCAAACTACAATGTAACCCAACCTGGCTACGCATAGAATCCTACAACAGTAACAAGCACTACAACAATAACAAGCACCACACCAGCACATCGCACCGCAAAGTTCTGTCCATCCACACTATGAGACACGCAATCGCAGCACATCCACACATCAAAACCCACCAAATCACAAGCAAACAGCCAGGTGGCCAGCGTTGCTTAGACAATCGTTTCTTTTTGTTTGTCCCTCCCAAACATCGCTGACGGTGCTGCTTGTCGTCGTCGTCTCCTTCGGTCTTTGTTTGCTCCCCTTGACAGAACCACATTTGCTTCAGCCGTGATTTGAAACACACCACCATTTCAAGTTGGTAATTACGGCTACCGGTTCCCTCCCCCAAATTGTTAGCTGGCCCTCCCACGGGAAGACGCTGTAGGCTGGAACAGCGAGAATTAGACAGGCAGGTATAAATAACAAAAAAAAAAGAAAAGAGCAAAAAGAAAAGCGGAAGCACACACAGTGACCGCATACAATTGGATACCCATTTTTTCCTGGCTTTCTCTCTTTCTCTTTCCCAATCTCCATCATCCATCTGCTGTTAGCCAATCTCTGTTGTCCATTTCTTTTCTCCCGTGTCTATCACAGCGCTTATAGAATTGCTCAGTGTTCAATTGGCAGGCTCCTTTTTTCGTAGAAGGGACGGAAGGAAACAGGCAAACAGGTGAAGAGCGAATTGTGTCCACTGTTTGAAACAGGTTGCAAAGAACAGGCGGCAGAGGAAAGAAGGACAGTGACGAAGCTGTAGGCACAGTGAAGAGCTAAGCGAACACACACGGCACCCGGGTTATTGCACACAGAGAGTAGCGAGACGTTTGCTAACTACTGTGTTGTGTTTTCTGGCTGGTTTGTTGTTTTGATTTGTGTGTGTTGTTTTGTTTTTGGGCCAATCACAGGTGAAGCAATTTCCCATTCCAAGCGCAATACTACAGGCTTCTTCGTAAGGAAGGCAAGAGCAAATCGTGGGCAGAGCAGCAACGATTACAGCGAGCAGCGTTAACAAGTGTTCGCACAGGAGAAGTGAAGCAAAATGTCTGAACTGATATCGTCCTTCCTGGAGCATACTCATGACCTGGAGTCAGGGCAAGAGGAGAGCTCGAATGAACTAAGCCAACTCCAATCGATGGATCTGTACAACCTGCTGTTACACAAGCCGCAGAACCAGGACGGCTTGTACGATGACTCAACTAATGCCGATGGTGTCAACTCGAACAGTACGTTCACGGGGCAAGGCTTCATGGATACGCTTTCGACGAATAATTTGGTTACGCTGAACAATGAACAGTTCAACACCACAATACCTCCAACAACAACGATAAACCCGAGAGATTTGAGCTCTCACCATGGGTCTATTTCGAGCGTTGCTAGTTCGGATTTTGATAACCTGGACGATAATGGTAGCGTGTCGTCGTCGGAAGATCAGCACCACTTTGCCTCGTCCAGGAGCACACCCCGTCCAAGGAATTGGAGCATGAATGATGAATTCAACGATGCCATAAACACATGGCTCAGGGAGAATGACCGAACAATGAAGCGGAACTCCATCTCACACATCGACCATTCTGCAAGAACACATGTGAGATCAGAACTGCTCGCTCCACCTGCAACCACGAACGTGAAGGTATCGAATACACACACCAATAACGGTGGTGGATATCAACGTTCTTCAGTGACAAAGAGACGTAAATCTGAATCACATATAAACGTTAACAAGAATACCCTTATGAGTCCCATGAGAGTCTCGATCAACAATTCCTCTACTACAAGAACCTCGCCGTTGTCATCTACAAATTCAAGTGTAATCACAACGACACCGACGTCCACTTCTGAAACGATATCCTCAACGCTGACTGGCTTACAAACGAATAACGTTTTCACACCAGATGGAGCAGTACCGATGCCAAACGGTAAGCATCACACCGTGTCCAAGTCAAGTTCTACACAGGCAAGCTCAGTGGGGGATGACGAAGAAAAACCATTCAAATGTAACTCGTGTACAAAGGCATTCAGAAGATCTGAGCATCTAAAGAGACACGTCAGAAGTGTGCACTCCAACGTGAGACCCTTCCCGTGTAAGTTTTGTGAGAAGAAGTTCTCAAGATCTGATAACTTGGCCCAACATTTGAGAACCCATAACAAGCACTGAACTGAACAAGTTGTCATGTTAGGTTATGCTGACTACCTGCCGTTTGTACAATATCTACAAGTATATACGATGTTGAGCCGTCTATGTTTGAATGTTTTGTTATATATTTATTTCGACAACATGTATGCCGGTGCGGTGTGTAGTTATAACAGGTTATAACACATTATAACACATTATAACAGATAAGAAAACACGTCAACAGTTGGGCGCGAGAAAATGGACGTGTTGACTTCCCAAAACGGAAGTGCCAAGTTGTAAATGTGTATATCCGTGTTGTGGATATTTTGTTGATGTTTTTTCATACAAATTTGTTCTAAAACAAGAACCAAAAGGGAACGGAAAAGGCCTGAAAAGGGGGGAAACAACTTGTGAAACTCTTCATAGACGATCTTCGCGTTCAGTGAGATTACAACAGTTTCGTCACTGACTTTCATCCGGCTTCAACGCTGATCTACGAGCGTATACGCAGCAAGAGACCCACCATCACCAGACCGGTATCACAAGACCTTCGAAATGGTACCAGAGAACGTACCTGATAGCATCCCAACGGTACGAGATGTTAATCTCACAAAGGATATAGCAAGTGGCGATAAGTTTCTCAACGAGTATAAGCTGCTTTCTAAACTGGGTAATGGACATAATGGTAAGGTGTACCTGGTACAGAGCCCTACAGATGAGTCACAGTATGCGATCAAGGAGATATCCAAAGTGACAAAGTTGAGCATAACCAATAAGGATCCAAAGGCACAGCTGAATAAGATCAACAATGAGATCGATATAATGAAGATCATACGGAAACATCCAAAGATTGTGAGGTTGTACAAAGTGCTGGATGATAAGAGTTTGAACAAGGTGTTCTTAGTGCTGGAGTACTGCTCACAGGGCGAGTTGATGTTTGGCGCCACTCATAACTATACGATACAGCGTATACGCTCCATCCTGAGAGACACGGTGCTTGGCTTGGAATACTTACATGGTTTGGGAATCATTCATAGAGATATTAAACCCTCAAATCTGCTGATGGATTCTTCAAACTGTGTGAAGATTAGCGATTTTGGCGTTAGTTTGAATAAGAAGGCTCTCAACAACGTTTCCAAGGCTAAGACGTTTGGCACTCCGGCTTTCCTAGCACCAGAGCTATGTAACGGTTGTACCAATGACAAGCAGAACGACAATCTTGACTTCAAAGTGGACATTTGGGCACTAGGAATAACGATCTACTGTCTATGGTTCCATGAATTACCATTCAATGGGACAAATGAGTACGAGCTCTTTCACCAAATAACGAATAATTCGGTCGCTCTTCCCAAACCACAGTCACATGAAGAGTACCAACTGTTTGATCTGCTTGCCAAAGCACTAGAGAAGAATCCACACAAAAGAATAGATACAATAGAATTGAAGATGCACCCATTCTTGACACAGGATTTGGAGCAACGGTCATCCATAGAGTTCTTGAGGTTTAACGAATCCTATCTGGACCCTCCAAAGCTGAATAATAATGTTTCCAGAACAGGGTCGATTCAGAGGAAGTTTAAGTCAATATTCAACCATAGGAGGAAATCGTCTGCTTCAGCTCAGGAGAGACCAACACTGTCTCCCAGTTTACAGCCCAAGTCAATGGAGCATGGTAAGCTTCCACCAATACCGTCAACTGCTTCACTGCACAATGGTTTGCAAAGACCACCGATGGGAATGTCTTCTTCTTCAAACTCTTTAAACTTGAACTCATTATTGAGGTCAAAACGAGATGTCCCCGATTACTTAGATGGAACAACGTATTTCCACGTTTTGGATTCAGATGATGATAGCTCAAGTGACGAAGACACAGACGATGAGGGCAACGATAACGATGGATTATACAACGATGAGGACACGCTGAGCTTACGTATCGGGCCCAAGAGAGGTAATAGCGCTCTCACTGTGAGGACCATGAATGACTACTTAGATATATGAAACATGTTGAAGCTTATTAATATTAATATCTCTAATAGAATGCTATCACAACCCTTTTGTTAATAACGGCTAGACTTGTAGTCTTTTAACCCAAACTAGCCTCCATGCAGAAATCAGAAACGCAATGCTAATGACAAAACTCAACGACGTTGTCCAGAATACGGGGCTTATACAGCTCGTGAGCAAGGATGAACCTGTATCAACGGTCCAACATTTGGCATCGTAAACAAGACCAAAGATCATGCCAAAGAGACTTGAGCTCAAAGCTGGACTCAGCATATAAAAACCATACACGGAACCAAATATTTCACTTCCCCATATCGATAGAACAATGGTTGGAAACAGAGTGAACAGCCCTCCGTATAGGAATCCAGATAACATGGAGATCATAAAGAAGTTATGCGTTGCAAATATGTCCAATGCGATGAACAACTGCGTGGCAAGTCCTAGCAGCAGGAGGCATAGGAGAATCCATACCCTAGAGATGGAATACTTTGAAGCCAGCAGATCAGATAGTGCACCTAAAGACAGACGTGCAAATGTTGAGAAGAATGCATGGACAGATACCTGGTTTGATATTGATGAATCTGGAGAGATCGTGTTGATTAAAGACCCCATGTTTGTGATGTACATCTCACAAGGTCCGATTGTGAAGAAGACACACACAAGTAGGAGATAAGCTGAGATGTCTTTCAGGAATCTCATAAACTTATCACGATGATGCTCAACTAGGTCGTCGTCTCCGTCTTCGCCTTCAGTGTTTTCTTCATATGTCTCACTTGTCAAGAGAGGTGATTCCTCATTGTCCTGTTTCTTCAACAGTATGTTCTTTTCGATCGTGACGACACTTGAGCTGAACCAGTTAAAGATTCCCAGTATCAGGTATAAGATGCTGAATAGTGTGAAAGCCTTTGATAGATTTAATTCACCTCTAGAGTTCTTTAAGAATGTCAACTTCAAGAGCTGGGCACCGATTAATGAAGATAGCCCATAACAGGTCACCGGGGCACTAATTATCAATCCCTTACTCTTAGGGTAGATTTTGGCACACGTCAATAGATTTGTGAAGTAGAAAGCAGAGGTGGCAATGCCCACTAGGGCAAAGCTAAGAGCCATGAAGCCATATCCCAAGCTGTGATCCACAGTCAGCTTTGCTAGCGTGTAACCCGGGGCAAACATCACCATACTCAACACCGCAAGTAGAACAGGCCCGTGACAGTCCGCCAGATATCCCAGCACCGGGAGTGGTAAGTACATCCCCAGACTGGTGCAGCTTCCAATGATATTGATCTCAAACTGGGTGTAGTGGTAATCTCTCTGTAACACTGGGGTGAACAGCGGGAATAGCAGCACAGATCCAGCACATAGGCATGATAGTATTGATACCGTGAATGCAAACTTCCGAAGAGTTCGTGTATCGTACACTTCTAGCACTGCACGGACATGCTTTGTGAGGTTTGCCTCGATCGTAGAGAGTGTCATAGGATACGGGCCAACCAAAGAGTCAGAGAAATGCTTTTGAAAGGAGGACAATGGCGGTGATGACGATGAGAAAGAAGATAATGATGTGAGCCCCGGAAGAGTCACCGGGCATCGACACAGTGTGGCCCTAACGGGATCAGTCCATATTCGGCAATTTCCGTTTTGGGACTTTTTACTTTTTGTTTTCGTTTCTTTTTTGATTTTCCAGGTGGTAACTACAGTAACATCAACATCGTAGAATGGCTAGGGATCAAAGCTTGTGAAGCTGAACGGTATTTAAATCTGAAGAGTCTGATGGTAGTGGTGGTCATGGAAGTCTAAAGCAGAGATAAGTCATTAAAAGAATATACACGTAAAAGTTTTTTTGTTGGCCTTTCAACCATCTGTTACTTTCCAATGCAAGCGACATACTTGTCAACTTCACCGGAGGATCCTAACCAGATACCTGATCTGTCATGGATGGCCTTTGGCAACATCTCCAAGATACGCTCGCCCTTATCGTTCACAGCCTTACCACCGGCTTGCTCCAAAATCATAGCCATTGGGAAACACTCGTACAGGATTCTAAGCTTACCAGTTTTCGATTTGGCATCTGCAGGGTAGGCAAAGAGACCACCGTAAAGCAAAGTTCTGTGGACATCAGCAACCATGGAACCGATGTATCTGGCGGAGTATGGCTTACCGTTCTCCTGAGGCTTCTTCAAGTCCGCAAAGAACTTTTGAACGTGCTCTGGCCAGTAGTATGAGTTACCCTCATTCACAGAAAAGATGGATCTCTGTGGTGGGATCTTCAAGTCAGGGTGTGTGAGGATGAACTCACCAAGTGATACGTCGAGGGTGAATCCGTTAAGACCTTGACCAGTGGTGAGCATCAGGTGTGAAGAGGCACCGTACATGGTGTAACCAGCAGCAACCATCTCGGTACCTGGTCTCAAAACGTCCTTGATAGAACCGACAGAGCCATCGAGCAACTTGTAGACACCAAAAATGGTACCAACAGAGACACCGGCATCCAAGTTTGAGGAACCATCAATTGGGTCACAGACAACAGCGTAGTTACCTGGACCGTCAAATACAATCAAGTCTTCCTGTTCTTCGGACACAAGAACCTTGACGTTACCGGAACCTTTCATGGCGTTGATGAAGATTTCATCACCAATGACATCCAGCTTCTTCTGTTGGTCACCAGTAGAATTCGAGGCACCAGACAATCCAATGAGGTTGATCAACTCAGCCTTACGGATGTTCTTTGCAATGAACTTGAAGGCAAACTGCAAAGCATTCAACAACAAGGTCAATTCACCAGTGGCATTCTGCGCAACTTTCTGTTGAGAGGTGAGGATGAATCTCGTAAGGGTGATGAGATCGGTATCAACGTGGTGCTGTTCTGAAGCAATATGGGACATTCTGTTTATGAACTTGTGAGAGGACAAATGTTTAGAAGAGTAGAAGTTCATAATGACAATGATCAGATTTTCCAAGGGGGATCCTTAACTATTTATACTTCCAAATGTCTTTCGCCAAAAAAGCAGAAATATGTACGCGTAAACTGTTCAGCCTAATTGTCGGATGTCCTGAACTTTAAACCTTCGACGACGGTTTTTTTGTGTTGTTTTTTCATTTGTCTTCTGTCCTTTTGCAGCTTTGTTTCTTGTTATTTTGGGGAGTGTCACGTACGGACGAATGTTTTTCCGGGGAAGATGAGGGCAAGGGGCGACGAAAAAACGTGGAGAAAGGCACAGGAATACTGAGCTGTACTTTCTATATCTAAGCTCATGGACAAACTGCCTACACTGTTGACATAGTGAGCTGTCAACTTTAAAATCCACATTATGTGTGTGTATATGAGCCAATGTCTTGTCGGATTGATTAGCCAGCCTGACAAGATGTTCTTGCTTCCTTCTATACGGTGTAGCTCCTTTTGTCTGCCTCCGAGCCTGGAGCTTTTCTGGATTGCCCTTCAGTGTTGGGGAGCATTTCAGGTTTAGCCGCCATCCGTCAAACTCCGGGTTGGAGAACCATGCACGTCGGGTTGGTATAGCCGGAAAAGAAATCCTTGTTAAGAAACGCGCTGTCTGATTCTCCGGGAAGCTCCTTCTTTTCAGGATTGTAACATTCTCACGAGTGGTGGGAGGGATATATGTACATGTCCCATCGCTGGCTGAGAGATACCCGCACTTACACAGATGAACCCGGAGGAACAACAGCTACAGAATATGTGGGTTTGTGAGATGCACTAGGTGGAACTGCCCACTGGTGCTAGCCACACATGACCAGGCCACCAGTAGACTACGATGCTTATCAACCATCACTGCTATCGAGTTTCTTTGGTATTTGAACTACACCAGGAGTTTGAGACAATTAAACATCTTCTATTAGTTGTAACTGTATATAAAATAGAGAACCCCGCCCTTTGCCCTCTTCCCAATCCAATCCAATGCAAGTTCTCTTAAAAGGAAGATAGCTGGCTCGACACAGCAACGGGGTCGTAAGTCTATGCTGGTGTTGTGAGTCCAGGCTTTCCGTCCTTGTGGAGTAATCACCTCCTGGTGTAGTGCTTTAGCTCGTTCAACATGGCTTCTATCAAGATCTGTGCTTTAAGGCTTTTGCCAACTCCAAGAGAACAACGTCCTTCTCCTTCTTTGATTTCCCATTGCTACTCTTCGACCAATCAGACCCACTTTGCTTGAACACTGGAACATCGGAGAACTTTGCAGCGCGTGCCTTTAGAAACTCTTCAATCTGCTTAGAGTTGAACTGGTTCACAGAAGTAAATTCCCCGTTGTTCTCACCAGGAGTAGTCTGCTGATGATTCTTTTTATGATTATGACCATGATGGTTATGATGATGGTGATGATGATTGGTATTATTACTGGTGACAGTGGTAGTGGTGGTGGTATGCTTTCCTAAAGTCTGCTCGTCCCGTTTGGATGTTTGGATCGAATCATCAACGTGCCCTGACGCAACCCCAGTAGCGGAAGATGCCGATTCTGAAACCTTTGGCTTGTCACTCTTCAACTTCCTGGCTGCAATTGAAGCCCAGGCCGAGCTGGGAGTAGAAGCAATCGGCGTGGCATTTGTAAAACTTGTACTACTACCTGTAGCTTTTGATGCATGTCCCGGTGTCGTTGTTGGCACTTTACTCAACTTCACAGGTGGCTTCGATGGGAGACTTGGGGCTCTCGTTAAGCCGCCGGGCGTGTTATTTGTCGTACTTCCCTTTCTGCCATTATTACGTACCTTATCGTTCTTCGCAGATGCCATTTATATATTCTTGATCCTCCTCCCTGGTATCTTCAATGTTGACCCTCCTCTCCATTACCGCTGAGATCTGCTTGTCGCTTTGTCAAATTTCTTCAACTTTGTGGTTCCTCGAAACTCTCCCACCAGCAACTGTGATTATGTAATCAGGCCGGGTAATGTAGTTTAAAACATCCGTACACCACTTTTGACCTCGTCTGAAGTTTAAGCTACAACGGTTGCAGCCTGTTCCATGGAAACACTACCAATGTTCATATAGAGCGAAGCATTTTGAACCATGTCGTGGCATAAGAATCTCACAGATCCAATAACCTCGTACGTCATTGTGCTTTTATGGTCAATGGTGTAGTTACAAGACTAACAATTTCATAGTAAAGCAGTAGCATCGGTTGAAGCACCGCTGGGGTTTAATGATCCCGTTAAGGTATGTACTTTATTCAATTGAAACTGTCTGTGTTTATGACTAACTAAATGATGAACAGGCTAAATCTACGGCACATACACAGCCCTCTCAGAGCCAGTTGGAGGAGTTGAAGAAGAAGAAGATTTGGGACCTTGCGATTGGTCCTGGAAAGCAAATTCCGATGAACCTGTTCATGTCCTGGATGTCGGGTTCTTCTCTCCAGATCATTCCAATAACTATGACTCTGATGTTGTTCAAGAATACAATCAATGCCATATTGAGCACTAACTCAATGTTCAAACCCCTGGAAACAAAGAACAATTCAAATGATATCACACTGGCAAAGATTGTATATTTTGCCTTAAACATGGTGATTATCGGTATAGGTCTCTACAAACTGGATACTATGGGCCTGGTGCCTCGTAAAACTGGTGATTGGTTAAGCTGGGAGGAACAAACAATTTGGTCTAATGTTGTTGTTTAGTTAAATCAAGTGATACTGTTTAGTCTTATGTAGTTTCTTCCTTCTCTTCCTTCTCTTCCTTCTCTTCCTTCTCTTCCTTCTCTTCCTTCTCTTCCTTCTCTTCTTTCTCTTCCTTCTCTTCCTTCTCTTCTTTCTCTTCTTTCTCTTCTTTCTCTTCTTTCTCTTCTTTCTCTTCTTTCTCTTCTTTCTCTTCTTTCTTTTCCTTCTCTTCCTTCTTTGACTTGTCGACAACGCCCGAACTCTTCACCCTGGAGTCTCCAATAGATGATTCGCTTTCCTTCTCAAATATCTGTTGTAAATTGTACTTCTGATACTTGTCATAGTTGTCAACAACACTCATACCGATATTGTTCTTGAAACATTCCACCAAGATCAACTTTTCATAGTTTTTTTAAATCAACCTTATGTCCATGCTCATGTCCAACACAACTGGCAACTTTCTGTAAAATATCTGGCTTCTCCAAAGTGTTAAAGTTTCTTGCACTCACCTTGATTGCAAAGGTGTGAGGCTCTTGACCTTCACTCTTATGGAAATGTGGTGCAAGGACTTTCTTTGCCAATTTCTCAACTTCCTCCATTGAAGCACTACAACTGAATGTAATAGGTGTCAACTTCTGCGTAAATCTCGTGCTCTTTGACTTTGAGTCGAATGCATCTTTACAGATTTGCTCAACCAGCTCTTCAGGACGAATCGGAGGTCTCGTCTTGAAGAACACAACACATTCACATCCAAGATCGATGTTCTGAATCGGCTCTTTCTTCGTTGTATCCTTCTTCTGCAGACTAGACAATTCTCTCTTCAATGACTCCTCAATGCTCAAGTTTTCATCAGTATCATCTTCATCATCAACGTCCCCCACAAGTGCATCGCCATAAAGCTTCTCTGCAGTTTCTTGAATCAGCATCTTCATCTCATTAGCACATGACTTCTCCTTACGACGATTGCACGTTGCGTATACACCAGAAGTTTGTGGGTCAATGATCCCAGGGTTCAACTTGTACTATTCGCCGTTAGTTTGAAAAGACAATGGCGTCTTATAACAACGGTCATTACTCACCTTCTTAGCACCGCCTCTCTGGTTACCATTACCTCTTCTCTTTTCTCCCATTTTGCTCTTGTTAATAGGTCTTTTCCTCCCTTGGACATAGCCATCGAGATGCGATGAGCTGTGCCCAATGTTGAATTTTTTTTGCATGCTTCGGTTCTCGGACATTAACCATACACGTTCAACTTCTATATATGTGTTTTTTCATTTCTAATCTAAATACGTAACTTGTTAATCAAAGAATATGCCTCCTCTGCTTTTAACTGGTCGAAATATTTCAGTCTCTTGCTCTGGTCCTGGTACTCATTCAGGTTTCCTTGTTTTAAGAGATTGATGGCTTGTCTCAACTTGACAAACATCGACTGAAGAGAGTCCCTTGAGGTGTTTTGATCCCGTGAAGGGTTCAGTTCTTTTGTAACCGCTTCAATGTAGCAGATATCTCTGTCGAAGTTAGCAACAGCAGCCCTGGTGATCCTTGGCTGTTCCATCATGTTGCCCCAAAACTCCTTTGCGATTAGATCGAATGCTCTAAATAGTAATAGTGTCTTCACGGAGAGTGGAAGCTTCAGTAATGCAGAATTGAAAAGATTCTGTAAGAAGTCACTGATATCTCTGATAAAGAACGTTGGTTCGGAATTCACTACATGTCCAGTCCAATCCCAATCAATCAACTCCAGAAGATCACCCATCTTGCTATCAACAAAGTCCATCATCTTCTGCTCGGTATCCTTTCTCGTTTTGCTAAATGCCTCAATGGCTTTTAAGGAGATGTTCATTTCATAAACTTCACTCAAGTCTTGCGATATCTCTTTAGACATAATGAGGAAGTACTCCAAGTTGATCAAATTTTGTGAAAGCTCCTCTCTTGTCAAAGAATCTTTCAACTTTCTCACATAATAGTTATTGATTGCATTCAACAACACATTGTCTATGTTCTCAACTGACATTCTGTTCACTGAAGAGGTGTCATACTTATAATACTCCTTCAAGAAGGCGTTTTGTTGTGTCATGTAATTGCGCACCTGTGCACAGGCCATAGGGTAGATAGTTGAGAAAGGTAAAGTCAACGGGAATTTGATTTGGTCCAGCGATCTATCGTCATCATACCAACAAACACTCGTAATCTTCTTGTACAACTTGGCATCGTATATGGACATTGGCATGGAATCATCATCCTCGGCAGAGTGTACAAACTCATTTGTAAATGCAAAATTGGCCAGTTGTGTATACTTCTTATAACATATGATAAGCAAAGAGTAGAATTGGTCATGATTCATATCATAACGCTCCAGTATGAGACAGAAGATACCAAGCATTCTTTTAATCTCGGTGATCTTTGGGATTTCTCTAACTTCGTTGAGGATAAGGTTTCTCAAATGGGTACAGATCTTTGCACTCAAGTTCTCCCAGAGATCATTCATGTTTATGGCAATCGTCTCGGGAAGTCTAGCACAAATAGTTCTGTAGAAGATCAAATACCCTGTAAGCTTTTGCATAAAGCTTAAAAGTTTTTCATTGTCTTTAACATACTCTTGGAATGCAAGATTCTTGCTGTCGCTCGGGACAAATGGGTAGAAAACTTTCTCTCTTCTTCTAGACAGCTCGCTGTTAAGCTCATATTTCAATATTTCATCTTCTCCCAACGTCTGGAAGATCAAATGTGTATCATAGATGAATGTGAATTTGATAAAACTTGAAATATGAGGCAGTTCATTTTGCACGTATGAGCTTCTTAGACTAATCTCCACTGGAGAATTGATCTTAAAACGCTCATACTCCTTTCTTTGGGTTTTAAATTCTTCCCACCGTGTGATTAGACTTGCATAAGCGTTGAAGTACTCCTCTCCAAAGCTTCCAAATTTTGAATCCAAAGTCCCCAAGTCTCTCTTCAACAGACTAATCGATTCATTTTTGATCAAGTTCTTCAAAATCGGAATCGACTCGTTGATGTTCTTCAAGAACTGGAAGTCTCTATCGAAGTCCTTGTCCAACGCATTCAAATCGTTTAAATTCTTCAAGGCACTAAAGAACTTGTTCTCCTTGATCAAGGTGTGGGTTCTGTCCGTGAGCTCAAGCACCTGGAGCACCTTGTTAAGGAGAATCTCAGACTCCTGTATCTTGTTTATATCCTTCTTCAACGCGAGCAGCTGGAATTTCTTCTCAAACGTGAGGTTCGAAGTCTTCGCCAAGTGACCGCCAATGTCTTTAATCTGATCGTTCATGCTAGCGGCATCAGTTGAGATCTCAGCAATCTCGCTCGCAGCAATGTTGATGCTCTCCTCCTTCTCCGAGACAGCTGCCACCAACTCGTCATCCTTACGCTCGTTCTCAGAAATGAGCTCCGCCACAAGATCCTTCACCGTGTTCTCCTTGAGATGTGTCTTGATAATGGGCACAAGCTGCTCCAAGTAGTTGTTAGAGCTCAACAGACTCATAGGGTCCGCATCCTTCACAAGCGTGAGCTGCTTGATCGTGTCCTGGGTATCCGCCGTGTCTGCCATTGACGTTTGGTTGATTCTATTTTAGCCGCCCAGGGTTCTTTGTTTGCTTTGTTGTTGAGAGAAGGGGAAAACAGGCGCACCCGCCGAGGTGAGCTAAGCGTTTGTTGTTCCAAAATGGAAAAATAAGGATCAACATTTCGCGAACTACAAAGGCTGGACAAAGGCGGGTAGGGGACGGCTGGAGTAGCTTACTATGAGGATGAGCGCGGACACGACGGTGACAATTACACCGTTCATTGTCACATAGACATATTAGTTAATTCTCTACTTTGCTTCTTCATTTTCCTTCCTTACCTCGTCCTTGTATATGAATTTATCCTCAAGGTAGTAGACCCTGTCCTGGAGGTCCTCGATGGTGGCATTCTGAGCCTCAACCATTTTGGCCAACTTCCTGCAGTAGTTCCTCGTAGCGGCGATATCATCGGCATATTCTCCTCTCAAGGTTTCGAGCTCTTGTCTGAGACGGGTTATTTCCGAGTGGTTGGTCTGAGGAGCTGTGGAGCCGTCTCTGTCCTGGGTGGTGAGGAAGAGCTTCCTCGTGGAGATGTTGTGGCCTTGAATATGATACACTTTCGTGACCTTTGTAGTGCCCTTGGCGTCTACGGAGTCACTGTCGCTTTCTTCGTCATCATCATCATCAGAATTGGCATCTTGTTCACCATCAATGCCTCCCTCCTCGAGCGTATTCAACTTCTGAGCGTTGATTGTCTTGTGATCATCATCAATCATTGATGATTCTGGGAGAGAGAAAGAAACAACTTTCTTCTGTTGTTTGTCCTTGATCTTTGGCTCAGTCTTCATGGTGTTACCTTTATTCTCACCAATACTGCCCGTTGGTCTATCATTGTCCTTGTCCGCACTCTCATAAGTTCCACTCTTTTCATCCAAGGTCTCTGTGGACTTCTTGCTTGGCCTTCCAATGGGCTTCTTGTTTAATTTGTCAACCGGCTTCTCATCTCCGTTTCCAGCCACAGCTTCAGCACTTTCAGAATCACCATCGGCACTCAAAAGCTCATTATTAACCATATAGCGAACGCAAAGGGCAGAATCAAAAATCTCGCTTTCAACTTGTCTCCATGATGCCATCTCTTCATCACCGTAAAATTCAGATGATTGATCCCTCACGACAAGCCCACTGGGTAAAGGAAACTCCGGAATCCTTTTCAAGTTTGTTAGAGATGCTTTGTGCTTATCTACAAACTCATTGATAGCTCTTTGCATCATTCTAGATGAAAATGGTGGTCTATTAGGTCCTGTCATTTCCTTGGTTGTGGTGGTCATTCGATGTATCTTCGAGATCAATTTGTTTTCATCGCGAACCCTTATAACATCTTGTTGCACTTTCTTCTCAGCATGCATATTGTAAACCTTCGCTGTGTGCTCCGCTATATCGCTGATTCTCTGTGGGTTCATCAACCGTGAAATATAAATGTAAATAATGGCAATGAGATCTCTCTCTTTGGGGCTGTAATTCGGCTCCTTGTCCCTGACTTTCTTCTGCTCTTCGACTTTCCTTCTCTTAGATATGTTGGCCATGATGAACGTTCTCTGTAGAATACCCTAAACAGAATGGCGGCTGTGCTGGATCTGGTGTTGTAACTTGTTTACTTGAAGTAATGAACATGGCCTTAGAAAAACAGGCCGCGCTTTGATGAAATCCGGTTAAATATGTACCCTCGGATTATATCGGGGATTTTTTCTTCGGAAAGCATCACCGTGACAACTCACGCGATGCGACAGTGGGCAAACCTTATCTTTGAGCTTCGGACATTATATGAAGACGATAAAGGCTATAACAACTAGCTGTGATCTTGCTGTGAACGGAAAGCAAGAGAGAGATTCCCCCCAAGGACTTCAGAGTTTCGGTGCTGTATTCACTAAATTTTAAGGGTAAACTACAAAGCTAGGGTATTCCAATTAATCGGCATAGTCGCGTTGCCCATTAGTCAGTACTTGGTTAGAAGGCCTTGTTAATCCATACATACGTATCAATTCATGAGCAGATCCTACAAATGTGTTCTTAGACCATACGTTAAGCCAATGGATCGCCAAATTCAACTCAATCTTCATGGGTTCAAAAGCATGACATCAAGGCATATCTACAAGTTGATCCGTTATGTGTCCTTCCTTCTCGATTTACCATAAAGACTTGTAACTATTGCCTACAGACTCCTGACTCCCGGGTCTTCACTTCTTGTTTCCTGCGGATCATCCTATCTCATGATTTGCGATCAGCAAAACGCACATCGTGTCCTCTGTACAGCGCATGGTTTTCTTATTTAATTATATATGTCTAATGAAGACAAGTTGCAGATGTCGCATTGAAAGACTTTGCTTTCCTTGTTTGGCAGTTCAGATCGATAGAAGCTTTGTTTTGAACAAATTATTACACGAAGCGTCTTCCACGTTTCACTGGCACTGGGTAGCAGATGTTCGCCCATGCAACTCGGAAAACTATGATTTAGCGCTATGCGTTGTTCTTTGTACATGAACTATCGCCTTGTTGTCGTTAATTAGTGACGAATGAATAGCTAGGGGGGCATCAAGATGGACGACCGGCTAAGATCAATCTCATCATCCGTCTGTTACAAGTTGCAACATTTGTACTGATATCATATTGAGAACCCTGTTCTTCTTTCAAGGTCTGGAATCCGACTCCAGTCCCACGACTCTAAAACCAGCTGCTGTCTTAGTTCAACTTGAACTCTCTGTTCAATATCCACAAGCAAAGTATTGATGACGACAGTTGAGTTTGAAAACAAATAACCTCTTTGAAATTCGCATTCTTAGTAGTTTCTAGATATACAAGGGTATGGAGAAATCCCGGCCGTCATAAACCAAGCTGCCTGTTTCCCTGGCGATCAAAGCTGAAAAAAGAGATTTATAGAAGCATAAACAAATATACAGGTAAATTCATCAAAGAGTAACGTACACGGCTGTAACGTGCAGCAGTACGTGCACCATGGAAAGCTGGTCGCTATCAACACTGCATAAAGTGTGAAAAGTGAAAAGTCAGCACATGAATTGGGTGTTTTAGTTTCAGTTGAGAGTAATAATTACCGAGAAATAACCAACTAGAATATGTCTCTATCTTCCGGGTGTCGGTAGACTCTTAGACCTCATCTCTTGGGGATCAGAGGCTGCATTGCCATACATTACCACATGGCTTGATTACCGGGCATGATGTCACTGCAACTGTGGAAGCCATAAATCGTAATCACTATCCTCCTAACACTGTGGTCCCTCCTTGATAGGTCCGAACATATCCCAGGAAAGCAACTTGCACCAGCAAGATTACCTTTAGTTCCGGTGAATACTTACAGGATATGCTTTTCACTGCCGATAAGTTTCCGCTTCTGTCATGTGAGTTTCCGCAAAGCTCAAGGTTAATTGGAAAGTTGGCCCTAATCCCTAATGAAAAATCAAAAATAATCTGCTCATTTGAGCATCATGGAGGTCAATGTCAGTCATCGAGAGGGTTGTAGCCTCACCAAGTCGATGTTTCTTTGGTCCCTATAATTGTCACCCAATCTTAACAGCCTCCCCCTCCCACCCCCAAAAAAAAAAAGGAAAAAAACTGTCGAGTGCCTCAAGATCCGTAACTTGTCACCTGTAAGGTTTCACGTTTCCATCACAACATCTATGTGTTATATGACGTTCCTAGATTATACAGGGCTATCGGCTCTGTTGGAAGAGATCAACAGCTCCGGCATATTCTCTTACACATGCTCTTGACCTCGTATCGGGAAAGTTGTAATCTCCTGGGCTCAAGCTGTATAAACCCACTCAGGACCCACCGCATTGTTACGTAAGGTGTGGTACGAACATATCTCGTAGCAACGATTCTGGGAAAATACACCTGTAAAGCTATGTATAACCCGCGTCAACTTTGCTCGAAACACGCTTTTAATTCCGAATCTTGAAGAGAATTTTCCCGCAAGGTTTATGCATTGTTATGTGTTGCAGCGCGGTTCCTGGAGTTTTCGCTTGCGTCTGAGGGTCCCAATCCGGGAAAATGTAAATAGAATGCAAAACACGTTACTGGATATGGAAACAGCAAAAGCAAGAAATGAAACATGGTACATACGGTAGCAATTAAGCAGTTTCAAACTACGCTTAGTATTTCCTTTGGTACTTGCCAATTCGTGGCCCATATATATAGTCAGCTCTTTCATTTAACTACCCCATATTCATCCCACACACTGTATCACCGTCCAACACATTCATCCCAGTGCACTTTTTCTGTGTGTCCCCTTGAGGCTGTGTTTTTCCATCTGTACAAATTCGGTATTCTGTACGCTGTTCTTTCTCTTTGGTCCCTTTCCCTTACTTGGTCAGATTACCTGTTTCCCTTTTGTCCCTTCCATTTGCCTGTGTGTAATACCATAAGCGCTGTATTTAAAACTTGCAAAGTTGACTGGGAAAAGGCAAGAAACATTCACCAACTCTCCACCACACATCCTCATCATCCGCTTCACTCCAAAAGAAACACATCCACTGCGTGTCCGCGCCGCAGCCTACGATGATGGACTTGGACTCACCAAAGGACCTCATGAAGAACATTGAGAACTTCTTCGGCAACGCTTCACCACAATCACCCTCGTTCCGCTTCGCACTGTCAACACGCCGCCGTCAGAGATCGCAAAGACAGCCCAAGATGGAAATATCTACAGGCGGTATAGCAAAAGTGCTTTCCGACTCGTTCGACACCCATTCGCCAGGAAGCGCCCTGGCCTTCGATCTAAACGAAAACGCTTGCATTAAAGAGTATGTATCATCACGTTTGTGACAGAGACCTGGCTTCCGCCCACAGGACGTGTGAAGCTTTGACCGTAAAGGACCCGTCGTCAGTGATTCCCGCCTCATCCAAACCTGAGACATGGGCCTGTTGTCTCATATTTCCCTTCAAATCCGCAGCCTGTGTGGCCTCCCCTGGCAGCCTGTGTGTCCCCTATCGACATTGGGCTCAAAGGGGAAATCAATTTCACGCCGAAAAGGGAAAAACAACAAAAACCCAAAGGACCGGTTTTAGGGAAGTGTCTGCGGATCTGGGAGAAAGGCTTCGACAGATTTTTTTTGGCCTGGTTTCTTTATGTCTCACTCTGTCTCTCTTTTTTTCTGAAGGGAAGAAATAAATTCAAAAGTACTAACACTGTTCGTCTTTAGAGAAGATACAAGGTCACCGCCATCCACTGATAGACTGCTTGAGGGTTTCTGTATGAAGTCTGGCAGTGGAAGTGAACCGACGGGGTCGTCAGGCCATTTCGAGGGTCGCCTCAAGAAGCCATCCCAGCTGGATGATCCTCTGTTCTTCGATAGCCCATTGATGCAACCTCCAAAGATATATGCGGATCCGGTCGACTTGGACAGAAATTCAAAGACAAGAACATCCTCATCGTCAATTAGAACGATGAGCTCGGTGTCGTCTTTGGAATCCTCATCTTCTTCCATCTTTTCAAGCTTTGCTAAGCCAGCATTGCCCAAGAGGCCACTTGTTAGGGCTAAGACCTCTATAGGCTCCTCTTCGTCATTTGATCTCACTTCAAGAGGTCGCTCGACTGAGACCAAATCTACAGACGATCTGATGAAAAAATTGCTAAGCAGTGTTAACGATGAAGATTTGAGCTTTGATACTTTGGACGTAAATGACGACGAGGATGACTTGGATAAGTTCTGCATGCCATCGCCCATTGCTGAAAGATCGATCAGTGATGATGGACTACACAAAAGGGATTTGGGCTCCCCATTACAAAAGAAACCTATAAGATCCAAAGTTCGTCGTACACATTCTATGTTTTACTCGACGAAGGAGATTACGGAAACTACAAAAACCTTTGATCCAACAACGGAACCTGGGTCTCTCAATGACGAGAATGCATCCGAGACTCAGTCGCTATTGGCTAAGTCGAAAATCGAAGTATTCAATATCAAAAATGATTCCATCCCAAGAATCACAGTGGAAACTCTCTGTAAAATCCTGGATGGACGCTACAAAGAATTCTATGATAGCATTGTTGTTGTGGATTGTCGTTTTGAATACGAATATAAAGGTGGACATATCAATGGCTCTGTAAACGTTTCGTCACAACAGGAACTAGAGGACAAATTTCTCCATAACAGGCCTGATAACGGTAAGAATCGGTTGATTGTCTTCCATTGTGAGTTCAGTTCATATAGAGGACCTCTTATGGCCAGCCATCTTAGAACCTGTGACAGAAACATGAACCAGGACAGATATCCTCACTTGGACTACCCAGATATTGTAATCCTTGAAGGTGGATACAAGTCTTTCTTTGATCTTCAACCAGCCAGATGTTTCCCTCAAAAATATGTGGAGATGAACGACGACAAGCACAAGACTGCCTGTGAGAAGGAACTCACACGATTCAGACGTGATTTGAAACGCGTATCGTCTTTCAACAGTCTATCATACACTGCATCTCTCCAACAGAGCATACATTCATCCTCATCGAGAGGGCTCCATAGACGTACTGCCACTTCAAATGCGGTTCTCTTCGGACGTCGTTCGTCGCTCAAGTCAAACTCGCTAGATTTCACACGCAGTAACGTTATGAATTCAAGCCTTAATGAAACTAACGATGAGGATGAAGAGAACAAACCACCAGCATCTTTGGACTTTGGATTTAAGTTTCCACTCTCCGAAAAACTAGCAAGAACTACTAGTCTTGCACAACCTCCTTCTGATGACAAGCATGAGGATTTCCAACCTTCCCAATTAAGCAAGAGAAAATTGAGCAGATCTTTCACCATTGCTAATATTTGATATTATCTGGTTCAGCTTGGAGCGTATTCCTGTTAACGATTTTCTGGCAGTACACTTGTGCATTCCTATTTTATCAGGGTTGGTATCCCAATTATTTTACTTTAATGAAATTGCATTTCAAGTCATGATAGTATGTAGTGTGTGTTGTGTAAGCTCTACGAGTGCTTACGTAGTGGGAAATTAAGTCGGCTATCAATCTGTGAATCTGAAAAGTGATCTTGTACACCTAGTGCAAAATAGCGGAGACATACGAGAAGATAACGATTCCTATGCTCAATAGATGTGCCATGACATAAAACATAGCAGCCAACTGTACAGCACCATCAATGCTGGCACCTCCATCTGCTTTGAGTGATATCTATGTTATCATCACGCTAGTGCGGTCCAATTAAAGCAGGTGCACATGACCAGCATGATTATTCTTTTAGTTGATTTATCATCTGGAATTGATAGCGTTCATGTTCATACCTTTCTGTGCTCTTTAGAGACAGCAAAAAGGTAGTGGCTTTACAGGAGTATGAACGCACTCCTTGTGTGTGTGTCTTAGTGAGATGTAGTAAGACACTTGATGAGGATGTTGCGCCCATCGTTGATGTCATGGTCGACAGACAAGTTGTACGAGGCACAGCGGACGGTGCGGTCGGCCAGAGATAGTGTGTGTTTTATTGTCCCACAGCCGGTGCATGTCTTTCTCGTGTACTCATCGTCAAGTTTTTGTTCATCCCACGGTTTCTGCTCATGGTTACCAACTCTTGACTTTCGAATGGTGGTAGCACGATGTTTTCGTAGGATGATATTAGGTGTCTTATGATTTTCCAATGATTGTCAGTCATTATGTTTGTTATTCCCTGTGTTGTTTGCGGCCTTGCTTTGACTTCTTCGCGGACTGCATCTCGCCTATCTTCCTCTTCAACCGCATTACTTCCTCCTTGTGCAATGAGAGGCGAAAGGAGTCCCCAGTGTGCTCTTCGAAGTTCAGCTTAATGTTTCCAGTTATATCGACGTCACAATATATCTTTCACCAACGGTAGGATGTATATGGCCCCAGTAAGAGTCCTCTGAATCTTTCTTGGACACTCTCTGGGATTCCTGTCATTATTGTTCAATCTTTTGTTCTTGGCCTTTCTTCTGTGATATTTTTAATTCTGTGTATAAAGCTGTACTGGTTTTATGTCATTTTGTGTTGATAAGAATTCAAAATGTAAACAATGCAGCGGAAATTAAAAACATCCTAACATTTTTACGATTGCTGGGGCAACGAAGAATCAGAGATATATAATGCAACACGTTGTGATTTATTTTAAAACAACCATTGATCCAATCAAGCTCAGACTCAGCTTATATGATACTGTGGTTATGTTCTTTTGTTTCCCTCGTCAGTTTTCCCGATTTTTGTTGTGTTGCTGAGATATAAGCAAATTTATGTGTGTTTCTTGACTATACCATATAAACTATGAATGGTGATATCTCAGAAAGCGTTGAATGTAACATCATCATACATTGTATCTTTCTTAATTCGGGTAAGAGCTACATTGTGGTATAATTTGGGGATATTTGAAGGGGGTTTGCTATTTTTATGAGTATCATTCTAAACTAATCATAACAACAAGAATAATCTTAATAGTAATAAAATTCAAAAATATAAAAGATGAGGGATCAAATTCTGGGAATTTTATACAGAACAAATATAATGGTTCAAGCAGTGCCTTTTAAACCATTATAGAGAAACACTCGAATCTTGAGGATTCATCTTTCATGTCATCATATCCCAAGAAGGATGTGATCACTATAAAGTGTTATAGTAAATCACAGCTGATATAATTCAGTGATAAATCCGGAAATCGAGTCCGAAGGTCGAATATCACAGTGGTAAAGACACACGCGTCGTGAGTGGACGGTCTACAACTGGCTCATGATGAGCAGAACGTCTGGTCCCTTCCGGACTGAATGGTAGGCAATATGATCCAGACAAGAAGCTTGTCAAATGTCGTTGTATGCTTCGTAAAATCTCCTCATTGGGAAGGGCTTTAATCTTTAGGCTTGAATTGCCCATATCAGTTTTGCTGTCATTTTGCCGTGCCTTTTCGTGCCCTGACCGTAGTTTCACATTTGGCGCTAAAGTCTACAAAAGTCTACAAAAGGACGCCTTTTTGGGGCAACAGCGGTAATCCTCCCCCTAGCGATATACCGTGTGATAGCGAGATGGATCGGCACCACAGTGGATCGGCACTACAGTGGATCTACTGATGCTGATAAGAGATAGCGCATAGAGGATTATCCGTGCAAATAATACTCTGCTTTGTAGCAGACGGTTGAGATCCAGGCATCATCAGTGGCGTCACTCGATCAGAGCATTACTTGCTCGTAAGACGGTAGAGCCTCTCTGCTGTGAGTGTTGAACTTCATCGCACAGAGGCCTTACTCAGGTGGAGTGGCGGTTTCACGTATCTGGAACTAAGTGTAGGAGAGCCACATATTTCACCACACAACACCGGTGACGACATTCATACCTCCCATTGTAGCGAAACCAGCACTGTGACAGACATCGGACGGCAGCTGTGTGGTTGTAGCTAAGACCGCGTGGTGATGGAAAGGGTGGTGTGGAGTCCTCGGCGATGAGTCGTGCAGTACACACAGTACACACAGTACATTGGTGTACAAGTCAGCCTGGATAGGAGGAGAAGGAGAGGATGAGGGTGAGGGTCTTTTCCCTCTGCTTGTGGGAGCAACAGCGCCGTGCATTCAGTGGGTGATGCCTACATGTTGGGGTATGATGCCATGGCCGTTGTCGACTCCTTGATGCTTTCCTTACGCCGTCTTGAAGCAATCCTTATCCTGTGTTGTCGTAGAGATAGATGCCGTTGATATCTGCAAATCCAGCCCCTACGGGGTAATCAGCCTAAAGGAGATGGACCTAACAACGATGCACTATTCCCTGAGCAGCACTGCGATGTTATGGGTGTTTAGTCCCGGAGTGGATAGACAATAGCAGCCAATGCACCAATCATACAACGCGGAACAAGCTCCGCTACTCCACAGGCTTTGAGTGCCAAGGTGACTCCATGTGAGGGCTCCTCCACCTCCACCTCGAACACAACTACAACTCCACCATCCAGGGACCTTGAGTGGTTTGTCCTTAGCGAGATAACTTTCTCCCCTGTACTACTTTAGCCTCACATGCAGGCTATAGCTGACAACTTCCGTGTTACAGGGCGATATGTTGATAACCAGTGGACACACGCAGCGCACGCTTCAAGCGTGGGAGGGGGAAGTGGAAATGGTGCCTCGCACGGTGGTGGCTGTAGTGACTGTCGTGGTGGCTGTAGTGACTGTCGTGGTGGCTGTAGTGACTGTCAGGGCGACTGTAGCGGTGATTGCAGCCATATTCCACCACGCAACGGACAATTCACACCATCCACTACAACGACACCATGGGAAGAACATCACAGAGCACCCCGGAGACCAGCGGAAACACAACCCGTTCTATCAACACGATCATCCACTTACATAATAAATAAAAAAAGAAGGTTTGTCTGTCCATGCAAACGTGAAGACATATGCACCGTAATAAGTCTCTGGCTATCGGACTTTCTTCCGGATTAATCCTTGAGCTCGTGATCATACACACACAGCGCACGGGTGATGCATGGCTGTGTGTTCCGTATCCAGGCCGTCGGCACAATGATTGATGCTGGCCTTGCCACTACGGGCCTGTAGGCTACAGAAGGGCAACTTGGCGTGTGTGTTTATCTCTGTTGCCCTTTAAAGTGCCGTTGCATACGCCAATGACACCGTTTACGTACGATTTGCTATCTTCAGTGGGTCCGTAAGCGTGTCAAATCTGTACGGCACTTAGCCATGATTGAATGAACTTGTAGGCTGATCACCAGTGTGCTCACACGAGTGCGATACCATGGATAAATGGAGGAGCGAAAGGCAGAGATGTCGCAATGGCCAGTGGTGTGTGGGTTAAAAGTGTGTATGAGAGGATTGATTGGGGAAAGGTGATCTACACGGGAAAGCTGTATATAAGACATGCAATACCCATGTCCCGTTTAGTCCCGTATGGTGTAGTGCTAAGATTCCTATTAGGTATCTCTTATCATGGGTGAGTCCATCGTAGAGCCTGAAGCAAAGTGAAGACTAACACATTTCCCTCGCTTAAGCCATTTCTGATATCTTTAAAGGCAAGAGATTCACTGCAGAGCAGCAGCGTGCTGCTTCGCAGTCTGATGTTGAGAAGAAGAACGCTTCAGAAGTCGTGGTGGAAGTTGCCAATAACAACACTTCTGACGATTTCGCTGATCAGTATGACTCTCTAGAGGAGTACAACGCTCGATTCCCAGAGCCAACTGAAGAAGAGTACCAGACTTTGCCGAGATCCCTGGGACATGCTCCATACGCAACCTACTTGATCTGTCTGATCGAGTTTGCAGAGAGAGCGTCATATTACGGAGTGAAGGGTAGATTGAACAACTTCATTCAACTGCCATTGCCAGAGGGAGGAAACGGTAGTGGTGCACCACCTTCAGGTACACAGCAAAACGCTGGTGCGTTGGGTCTCGGTTTACAGACAGCCTCTGCAATGACGCTGCTTCTCACGTTCTTTGCGTATCTGACACCACTATGGGGTGGATACATCTCCGACAAGAGATGGGGTAGAATGAGAACCATCTGGTATGGTGTCTGGGTTGGTGCCTTTTCACACATCATCCTTATCATTGCTGCTATTCCGTCTGTGATTAGAGGAGGCCATGCCTTAGCACCAACCATCATCGCTATCCTATCACTTGCCCTGGGTACCGGTTTGATCAAGCCAAACCTGTTGCCTTTGCTGTATGACCAATATGCCCACAAGAGAGACGTTGTGGAGACAAGAGAGGACGGTTCCAGAGTTATCATTGTTAAAGAAGCATCCTTAGAAAGAATGACATTGATCTTCTATTGGGCCATCAATGTTGGTGCTTTCCTGTCGTTGGCAACTTCCTACTGTGCAAAGAGAGTTGGATTTTGGCTTGCCTTCTTGATCCCAGGCATTGTCTATTTTATCATGGTTCCAGTGCTTTTGTTCTTGGCCCCACATCTGAAGAAGGAGACACCCAACGGAATCTCAATCATCGAAGAAGCATGCAAGGTTTTGAAAGTGGCATTCTCTGGTAACTTTATCAAGAGATTCCGAGCAAATCAGTTCTGGGAATACCCTAAACCACAGAATATGGTGGAGAGGGGTGCTATTTCATCAATTGAGGAAACAAATAAGAAGGGAAAGAAGAAAATCACCTGGACAGACCAGTTTGTCGAAGATGTCAGGGCCACCATGGATGCATGTAAGATCTTTCTCTTCTTTGTTATCTATAACATCAACGACGGAGGTATTGGTGGTATTCAGAACTCTCAAGCTGCTTCCATGACCACCAACGGCGTTCCAAACGATTTGATCGATAACTTTAACCCGTTGACCATCATTGTTCTTATCCCAATCTTGAACAACGTTGTATACCCACTTTTGAGAAGATGGGGGATCGATTTTAAACCTGTGTACAGAATCTTCCTAGGTTTCATGCTTGCAGCCCTATCTGCAGGTATTGGTGCTATTATTCAATGGAGAGTGTACGAAACTTCACCGTGTGGTTACCATGCGACAGACTGTACAATAGGAACAGGTGTATCCCCAATCTCGGTATGGGTCGAGACAGTTCTTTATGTTCTCCAGGCAAGTTCTGAATGTTTTGCCAATACTGCAGCTTATGAGATTGCGTACACCCGTGCTCCAGATCACATGAAGGGATTGGTCATGGCTCTCTTCTTGTTTATGCAATCCATTTCTGCTGCTATCTCCCAGGCATGTGTCTCTGCCCTTATCGATCCTTATCTTATTTGGCCATTTGTTGCTACTTGTATTGCTGGTGTTATCTCTGCAGTTGTCTTCTTATGGGCATACAAGGACTTGCACAAAGTGATGGAGGTTGAGAGATTGGAGAAAGAAGAGAAGCTGAGAAGAGCTTACTTAGATCACCTGGCTGAAAAAGAAGCCATTACTGCTGTCACAGCCAACGATGTCAAGAGCGTAGTCTCTGAGAAATTGGCCCTTGAGGAAGAAGTGTTGCAAGTGGATGCGGTTACAAGCACCCTAGCTCTCAAGAAGTGAATGAAGCTGGAATTTGGGTACTTTGTAATTATATCAGAATTGATACAGATTTATCGAAAACCAGGCAGAGTGTAGAACCAGTAACATGATATATCGACCTAGATGAATAGATCAGTACCTTTTAGCACGACCCCGAAGCGAGTAATTGTGTCAACCCTTATTCTGTCTGTGGGGCTAGCGATGAAATGGGTGTTTGAGTAGGCCCCACAGAAAGATGAGTTGACATATACAAGCCAGCAGTACGAGTTTTCATAATCCTTCCATTGAACAAGTACTTGTCCTTTATCCAACTTCTTTTTGGAGATCCGTGTGACTGGCATTGTGTCGTCGTGATCAGCAGAAGTTACAACAAGGTACCCCAGCAGTAGCTTGTGGTGATTCATGGGTAAGATAATCCACGATTTGAAAAGATTTGAACTGTAGTGGAGTAACCTCACACTCACAGTGTCGATAACCAAGTGCTCATGTACTCCCAACCTTGGGAAATTGAACTTTGTAGTGAGCTGGTTCCAGATGGTTGTGTTCTTCAATGGGAGTTTGAAAACTCCACTCTTCACCTTGGTGACTGATTTGTACCTTCTCTCCACATAATACGATATCTCCAGCTGAGTTATTTGGTCTTGTGTGAATTCCAGCTGCTTGTAAGCCAGCGAGACAGCTATCCCAGATGAAGCGTCAGCTTTAATTTTGAAGAGATCTATGAACGTATCGTCCATAGAATAGTCTATCTGAAGACAGGAGCCACCAAAGAATGCCTCTGTTCTGTTGATGCTATACTTCTGGTAATTCAGAGGCATCGCTGTTTGGAGTGAGTTGTTCACCCAGTGTGTGTTATAGACCTTTTCACCACAGACGTTGAAAAAATGTCCTTCTCCCTGTCCAAACACTGTAAAGAACCCAATAGCATTGTTGTAACTAAATATGGGAGCTGATATCTCACTAATATAGGTCGATACACCTCCATTTGGATAGTCTTTGGTCGGATCGCCTACCCAAAACTGCTTATCACACTCTTCATAATCATCAAAGTTTTTCTCATATGTCCATGCTGGGGCAAATATCCCAACATTAGAGGAATAAACCCTCAAAAGTTCCAAAGATGTCCCAATATCAAGTCCTCCCTTCCCTATACACGACCCTCTCCCCCAAACGTCAACACCCACAAGCAGCCTCTTGAGGCCAAGCGAGCCAATATTCTTGACGTTCGCCCTCAACGTTTCCTCCTTCCACCAGTAGTTGGTCAGAAACAGGTCAGTATTCTCAAAATGATCGTAGTTTCTCTCATTCACGCCATTCTGGTACGATATCCTATTTGTAGAGACAAAAGAATCATACCAAACAACCTTGGAATGCGGTATCGCAATGTGTAGTCTTGTACGGAGGTCACTTATGAACAAGGCAAGTTCCGACGGCGACTTGTTTCGAAGTGTAGTCTCAACATTTATCAACCACCCATCAAACCCGTAGTGAGCCGCAAGCTTCACCAATAAGCGAGAATAGACAAAGTCACCATCTCGCTTAACGAGTAACTCGTCAAGTTCGTCATCTTCGAAGATGAGTGTGCCCAATACTGGGACGCCCAGTCCATGAAGGGAGTTAATCCACGAAACTGGCGGTACAGTGACTCTATGATGAGAGAAGTATACAAAGGTGTCAACCAGCCCTGGGAACTGCAGCTTGTAATGAACACCGTTGTGATGCGGATAATAACCCCAGGGACAGTCATCTTCGCCCTTGTTATAGCCATTCTGGAAATCATGAACAACCATAACGCTCCGATGGTTGCTGGGCACCACTCTGGACGCCAGGCTCACCCTCGCTACACGGAACACGTCCACAGGATCCGGCTCAGCAGCTGACCAGGCCTCGAGGTCCTTCAAAGAGTCAAATCTCATACTGTGGAGTTGAAGCATTGCTGAACTGGCGGTTGCTGAACTGTGAGGTTGTGACGGGCGGCTAGGGGGTTCAGGGAAGTATTGACGATTGGAAAGCTCTTGATGGGCGAGAATGAACAGTGAAGGCACCTTTTGGTACAGATTAGCCATCTAAATCACCGGAACTTCGACTACAGAGGTGGTAAATGTGTTGTGTTGTGTTGTGTTGTGATAAACCCGTACATAAAAGAGTAAACAAACAATAAACACCGGGGTTAAGGCACGGAGATAATGGGGTTTTATCGGGGCAAAGAGCTCACGCTTTGGCATATTCGTCAACGCTCTTGATGTATTCGTAGTTGAATGCCACGAGAAACAGGTGGTTCTGTATGGTTGTGTGCTCGTTGACGCTGTGGGTGTGCCCTTCAAGCACTCCGTGCATGGTGCTCAGCCTATAACGGTAGATGTTCTCGGTGAGGCCCCAGTAGTGGGAGGTATCAGTGTTACCTGTGGTGATTGACGGTGCAACAACAGATGGTCTTGTGATGTTTGGGTAGATGTAGTCCTCCATGATGTGCTTAACGGACCCGGCGAATATTCTCCATTGCTCGTTGCTGGAAGGGGATATCCTTGCAGGTTCCAAACTAACTGGTGCAGTGACATTGAAGTACCCGTTGGAGGTTGGTTCAAGCAACGCTTCATTGTCATGGTATAAACCCAACGAGAACTTGTTAGCGATCGACAGGACGTTGTCTACGATCTTGTGGACTGTTTCGTTCACAGATGACTCTATGGAGATTCTGTGGTTGATATCAATGGTGACCAGCTCTGGAAGTGAATTGGTCTTGATTCCACCGTGGATGATATCCACAGCTTGTGAGGTTCTGACGAGGTATTTGAGCTCTTTCACGGTATCAGCGTAGTCAAGAACGTCCTTTTTAGCAGAGGGATCCCAAGTAGATCTGAAAACCTTTTGCTTGAACTCTGGAGTAAACTCATCAGTGTGCTGCGCAATGCATTGGAGATACTTAAAAGCTGGGTTATGCTCATCCATGATTTGTCTGAATGGTGTATCTTCAATGAGGGACACCAGTTTAGACACTATACCGATGTTGGTATGGTCTGGTGGTACAGAGGAGTGTCCACCAGGTGTAGTCAATGAGATCTTAATGTTCACAACACCCTTCTCACCAACTGCAGGTTGTGCTATCGGTGTGCCACCAACAACAGCCATAGCAGTGCCACCTTCATCGAGTAAAGAGTAGAGTCCATTGGCACCATATCTCTCATAGAGGTGTTCAGAGATAAAAGCTGCGCCCATTTTACCTCCAATCTCTTCATCAAATCCGTATGCCAAAAGAATCGTTCTTGAAGGCTTGAATCCCTCCTGTATCAACCTTTCAACGGCTTGCAACTGTCCAATTACCATGGTCTTAGTATCAGAGGAGCCACGTCCCCAGATATTTTCGCCATCAAAGAAGCCGCTGAATGGATCATAGATCCAGTCGCCTCTTGTCTCTTCACCAACGGGAACAACATCCTGATGTGCCATAAGCAGCAGGGGCTTCAATGAGGGGTCGCTTCCTTCCCAAGTATACAGCAGTCCATAGGTGTTAATCTTCTCCAGGGACAGAGTTTCATGGGTCAGGGGGAATTCTCCTCTCAGAAACTCATGGAACTTTACAAACTGCGTACCGTTTATTGTTTCCAGAGTATCACCATCAAACGTGACTGTCGGGTGCTGAATGGCACCCGAGAGCTTATCCACTGATAGCGCCCTATAAGAAGGATCATTCACAATGAACTCCACCGAGGAGTTATCCCTCTGGAAGTCAGATGGACGTATAGTCTCACCTATAGGGCAGTAATCGTGATTCTGGCTAAGCTGCGAAAGCACGTAGAGCGCACCAGTTATCGACCAACGCGGAATATACACCATTCTAGACCAGATATCAATGGCGTAGTAGACAAGTTACACCAGCACACAGCACATCCAGTAGAAGGGCAACGCTCAAGCAAAGAACAGCAGACAACCTCAGCACTAATCCACACCATCGGTGAAGAAGCATTGTCGGGTTTATTACCCAAAACGTCAAGCTGTGGGTTCACTACTAGGGGGGAAGGACTGAGGGGGAAGGACTGAGGGGGGTAGAGGTGGTCGTGCGCCTACGCACGAAAACATCCGCACATCACATACACTGGCCGATGAGCCCACAGGCACACTACAATGCCCTCCAGTGTCTACTGTCCATTCACGTGATCAAAGCCCCAAAGCCCCAGTTGCCAAAGGCTCTCCACGGCCAAAGGCTCTCCACGGCCAAAGGCGTCGAGTGTGCACAGTGAATACTCCTGTCGTTGATGGTTGTGCGATTGAGCTACAACAGATCCATTTCATAAGCGTATTAAGAGATTAGATAAAGCATATGGTGGGCAGAACTAAAAACATATAAATATAAAAAAGAAGGGGATATTAAGACGACAAGCCGGTTAGAGGACATTGTGGAAACGTCAAGAGAGGGATATCCTACTCTAATGACCGTTGAGGAGCTCCGATGTCTCAGCTCTTTGAGTGGCACTGGCAGAGACAAGACGCTTTGGAACAACCTCCTCATCAGTGGCACCAAAGAGAGCAGCAGTGGCGGCTCTCTGTTCAGCACCAGCAGTGATGCTATGAGTATCAATGTGGCGGTGGGACTTTGAAGTGGTGGTCTGCTTGAGTTCATACGTTTCCTTAGAAGTACCAGCAAGGTCATCATTCAATGGAGCATCAACTTCCTCAATACCACCATCGTTGTTGAATTTGACTTCCTCCTTAACTTGCTTGAACAGCTCTCTCTTTTGCTCCTCAGTAAGCTCCTTTTTGTACTTACCCTTGATCCAGTACATTGGGTTCAACTGTCTCAATTTCAAGTTCTTGAAGAATGGCAGGTGACCAGTTCTCTCTTCAAAGAGCATCAGCAAGACGACAATGATCAAACACAACCAATACAAGTTGTAAGCCAAAACAGAGCCGAGGTAACCAGTGTTTTGCCATCCGAGAAGGGCGTTAAACACATCCCAACCGTTATCCAACTCCGGGTTACAACAGTTAACGTGGTAGACGGACTTTGTGATATCGTAAGAACCGTTACCATCACCAGATTCAGAAGCATCACCACCGGTTTTCTTGTTGAAGGTGTTTGTTTCAAAGAACCAGACACCTCTGGAGAACAAACCTGCAGCGATCAGGTAAAGGATACAGGTAGAGATCACCAAAAAGATTTGCATAGATGCATAAGAGACACCATAATACAACAGGAAACCAGCCAAGAGACCACAGAGCAAACCAATAAACACTGGCAATGGGTAAGCTCTGGCAGAGGAACCCTTAGTGGTGATACCTGCACCGGCAACAAAGACAACGGCTTCGAGACCTTCTCTCAACACAGTGATGAAAGGAAGCAAAAACATGGCGTACTTCTTTGTCAAGTAACCGAGTTTGAATCTGTCTCTCTTTCTCTTTGGTGTTGCAAGCAGGGATCTTGCAATCTTCAATCTCCACTTGGCTTGCATCTTGTTGATTCTTAGCATGGCGATACCCATAAAAGAGATCATCACTGTGGCAATCATACAGAAAATACCCTCCCAAAGATCCTCAGAGTTTCCAAAGATATCATTCTGATAACGGTAGTATGCACCAATGAAACCACCACCGATGGCCAGACAGATGATCAAACCAGCAATAACACCCAGCCAAATCTGGAAGAGCAGCTTTCTGTAAAGAGCTCTGTCACCATCACCAATGGCCTGCTTCACAAACGAAAGCAGCACAGAGACCACGATGACCGCTTCAAGGGTCTCTCTGAGAACAACGAAGAACACAGAAACGTTAAACACCGCTTCACCAGACGCCATTGTATGTATGTATGCACTAGGGGTACAATGGGGGTTCCTTGTGTTGGCTAAGGAGGAGGCTTCTGTGCTTAGGGGGATTTACAGTCCAAGAAACGCCAACCCTGTAAAAATTTATACGCAGAAGCAGGAGAAAAAATTTTGCCAAGGTGCTATTGGGTGGATTCAAAAAATTAAGGTTGTGCCCCCCTTGTTGATTGGCTGAAAAGTGTTGAAAAAAAAATGGGTGTGCAGATGGTTGAGATATGCGTCCTCTACCGAGATGAAGGGTCGCCTGCGGCAAAAAAGTCGTACGGGACCGATGCTGTGGCACTTATCATTTCCATCTTGCTTACGTAAGGGAGATGTTCATTTTCATTACGTAATCAAGTGGGCGTGACCCTTGACAAAAGTTTATAGAGGCCAACAACGGCACCAGAATGTAAAACGAGTTCGCGGAGAAGCCATCTTTTTGGCGTTTGCAAGTGGCGAAAAGCTGCTGCGTATTGTGATTTGTTTACCATTTATTGTGATTTATCTGTGAAGGCAAGGGATAAGACGATAGCAATGGCCACAGTGAGATCAGGTTATGAGTCTCACCACGAGACTGTACCAATTGAACACCGCTTCAACCCATACTCCGACTCTGGTGGTACCATCTTGGGTATTGCCGGAGAGGACTTTGCGGTGCTTGCCGGAGACACCAGACACACCGTTGGATATTCGATTAACTCACGTTACGAACCAAAGGTGTTTGACGTTGGTGATAACATTGTGATATCGGCTAACGGATTCTCTGCCGATGGAAATGCCTTAATTCAAAGGTTCAAGAATCAGCTTAAATGGTACCATTTCAACAACCAAAAGAGGATGAGTTTAAAGAGTTGTGCTAGATTCATACAGCATATGCTCTACGGCAAGAGATTCTTCCCATACTACGTCCATACTATCATTGCGGGGCTTGACGAAGAAGGTAAAGGTGCGGTATATTCTTTTGACCCTGTGGGCTCTTATGAAAGGGAACAGTGTAGAGCTGGAGGTGCCGCTGCAAGTTTAATCATGCCGTTCTTGGATAACCAGGTGAATTTCAAGAACCAGTACGAGCCAGATGGAACAAAAAAGCCTTTGAAGTATTTGACATTGGAGGAAGTCATCCAACTGGTGAGAGACGCATTCAGTTCGGCCACGGAGAGACACATCCACGTTGGTGATGGGTTGGAGATTCTGATTGTTACCAAAGATGGCGTTAGAACTGAATACTTTGAGTTAAAGAAGGATTGAAGATATGTATACAATCGATATATGTACTGAGATCTATTATACAAGGGCATTTTGTAAATCCCTCAACTGGTGTATTAACGAGTCCTTTCCAGACCCCTGTAGTTGATCTATCCATTTTGATAGAGTCTCCGATAGTCTTGCCTTATACTCTTCAACTTCTTTGCTGGATTCGTGTAGTTGAAGAACGTTGAAGATGTTTGATATCTCGTTATCGGGATTTGTTGGTGCAGTGTATTTTTGGAAAGTGTTCTTATCATGGCTTTCAATCTTGTTCATCAAACTTCTCAACCGTTGAAAAGTGTCAATCTCCTCTGGTACCACAGTATCTTTCTCTTTATTCACAGAACCACCTCCCAGTATCTCCAAGACGGATTTCTTAGACTTTTTCTTCTTGTCTTCATCGTCAACGGCAGAATATATGTTCAGGTGTGTCAAATCATCCAGGAAATCGTTCAACTTTATGAGCTCATAATAGTTGTTATACACAATGTTCTTCGTAGTGGAACTTATCGTATTAATATTGAGGCTCAGCTTATTCGTCTGCGTTATCAAGGTCTTAAAGTCACACTTTTGTAAGTCCAGTTCGTCTTCTGGTGCCTGAGGTTCATCTTCGTTCGACTGTGCCGCCGTCGGCTTGAGCCCATCCTCCTTTTCAAGCCTCTTGAGCCTGTAGTACTCCTTCAGAGCACGTCTCCTCTGTTCGCTCTTTGAAGCTTTCTTATGCGATATCTGCTCCATTGATACCCTCTCAATTGCTAAAGTGGAGCCGGTTAAGCAGGTCTTTCTTGGATCTATCGGCCGTGGGGGCGGGTTGGGGAGTAGAGACGTTTTCAAAGGGAAAACGTATCATCACCGGTAGAGGACACAATACAGGCACTATTTCTGATCTTTTTTTCTTGTTTTGATGATGGAAGTTAGCTGAGGGAAATTAAAACCACCGTTCAGTTGACCTTAGCATTTGTTCTATACGCTGTAATCAGTGACGACACTACCTACGTAAATAGTAGTTTGTTTACTCTTCGTCTTTGTGGTTTGTTTACTTTTCGTCTTTGTGGCTTGTTTACTTTTCGTCTTTGTGGTTTGTTTATTTTGGTGCCATCGCCTTTTTTTTAACGCGCAGACGTGCGCGCGCATCGAAACAGAAGCGAAGGAACAAACACCGCCACCGTTTTCCATCAATCAAAACAAAGGAGGAATCAGTGTTGAAGCAAAAAACAAGCCAACTACCAAACATCACAGCCAGTGGGAGCCGCCAGTCATTGTAAGGAAGCGGAGGTTCAGCGCCAGGAAGGGAACGGAGAATCACGTTATGCGCTCAATAAGAGAGCGGTATGAACAACTGCGAAGTAAGGTGGATAACCGCCCTGTGGATGGTCTCCGGTCAGTTGTGAAGGGACTGCTTGGGTATCCGACTCCGCTGGAGGAGATGGTGGAAGGTCCCATGACACGAAGCCTCAGTGAAGGGTTGGAGGATGGTTTGGATGTTGCGATAGGACAAGACATGGAGGGGAACACAGAGTTGGTGTTGGACAGTCCGAAGATTCCACAGGCGTTGGTAGATGGGGTTCCATTGCTGAGAATTACACGTCGAAAGAAGGTACAGAGGATCTTTAAGGTTGACCTGGAGAAGGCGCTGTTGATGTGGAGTAACAAGGCGGTCTCGTTGGATAGGATTCAACAGATACGTGTTGGTGATGATGCCAGAAACTACCGTGAAGAGTATGGGGTTTCGAAGAACTATAACAATAGATGGGCAACAATCCTCTACAAGGACATATCCACCGGGAAGTTGAAGACTTTGAATATCATTGCTCCGTCAAGGGCAGAGTTTGAAGTGTTCATCTCGACGTTGGATCGTCTTGTTACAAGGAGAAGACAACTGATGAGATACTTATCCATACCAGATGAGAACTTTGCACATATCCATTGGAAGAACTATATCGATAAAGAACCACACAGGAAACAGTGCCTATCGTTTGAAGACATTGTGAAATTGACAAAGAGACTGCACATAAATTGCGATGAGGAGCACCTGTTGAGGATATTTAACGATACAGATTCTAACCATAATGGTTCTTTAAACTTTGAGGAGTTTCAAAAATTCGTTAAACAGCTGAAGCAAAGACCGGAAATCATCGGGATATTCAAAACCGTGACTAAAACTGAGACCATATCGTTTGAACAATTTGAAGGATTTGTATCGAAGGTGCAGAAACAATCGACCAAGGGCCTCGACAAGATCTTCACAAGATTTACGAGAAGTACAGATGGGGTTATGACCATTGACGGGTTTACAGATTTTCTATCGTCCACATACTCTCAAGCGACAGTGGATTCTTCTGAGGACCTTTCACATCCATTTAATGAATACTTCATATCCTCTTCCCATAACACATATTTGTTGGGACGACAATTCGGAAATTCAACATCGATTGAGGGCTACATAAGAGCTTTGCAACGTGGTTGTCGCTCTGTGGAAATTGATATCTGGGATGGCGATCACGGACCAGTGGTATCTCATGGCAAAATTACATCGTCCATCCCCTTGAGAGATGTGTTGGAAACTGTTATGAAATACGCATTCATACTCACACCTTTCCCTTTGTTTTTGTCTTTGGAAGTGCACTGTAAACCTGTTTTTCAACTCATAGTAAGGGATCTTTTAGTTGAAATATTGGGTGATGTTTTGGTGACTGAAGCATCCATCCATCACAAGTTTAAGCTTCCGAGCCCTATGGATCTAAAACATAGGATTCTTGTGAAGGTTAAAAAGACGTCCTTTGAAGACTCAGATGTCTCACAGAGCTCTTTCTCATCGAGCTCTGTGACATCAAGCTCTACAACAACGACTGCACAGGAAGAAGATGAAGAAGAATCACAACAGTCAAAGACTAAAATCAAAAGGAGTAAGAAATATTCCCAGATTATTCCAGAGCTTGCTGCTTTGGGAGTATACTCCCAAGGCTTGAAATTCATAAACTTTTCTCTTCCAGAGTCTAAGCAACCAAACCATATTTTTTCATTCAGTGACAGAAACTTCCAAAATATGATCAAGGATCAGGAAAAGAAGTATTTGATCCAAAAGCATAACAGAACTTTCATGATGCGTGTATACCCAGCTGGCTATAGGTATAACTCAACGAATTTCTCACCAATTATTCCTTGGACTTTTGGGGTGCAAATGGTTGCTACTAATTGGCAAACATACGATACAGGCCAACAGGTCAATGAAGCAATGTTTGACTGTGGATCCAAATGTGGATATAAATTGAAACCTCCGGAGTTGCGAAACATTGACCCATTTACGAAATTTAAGAATATCCAAACAAAGCAGTCATATGTCAAGTTTTCAATTGAGATCATCTCTGGACAGTTATTGCCTAGACCCAAAGAACTCAGACCGGAAGATCCTCTAAGTCCATTTGTCGTCCTTGAATTTGTCGAGTCGACCCAAATTGTTCCATTAAAGTGTACCGACTTGGACTCAAATACTGTAACATATATCGATTCGCCGGTCACCTCTACCAAGTCCATCAAATCTAATGGATTCAATCCATTGTGGAAATACAAGGTTGAAGGAGTCATGAAGGATGCTTATGGACTCAACTTTATCAAGTTTTCAGTCAAGACAAGGGATGTTGCAGTTGCTGTGAACTGCTTTAAACTGGATAACTTGCAGCAAGGATATAGACATATCCCACTGCATGATTTGCAAGGTGAAGAGTACATATTTTCAACCCTCTTTGTCAAGTTAAATTACGAAACGTTTACGAAGTAATGACCCCAAATATTATGTCATTTATGTATATAGAAGATTTAGAATGCATCAATCATATTGGCTTCTTTCTCCTGTGTGGGCTCTTCACGAGGTTTACCAGCCAACAGCTCTCTTCTTATCTCAGGACCAATATCCTTGTGACCTCTCTGACGTACAGTCTCTAACAAAAGGTCTCTTTGTTCATCAGTGATGTCGTTTTTGTATTGACGAGCAAAAGCGAGGAATGCCTTATGCCACACAACGGGAAGTTGTGGTACTTGCTTATACGTCTCGTCCTCCATGGTATCTTCCTTGATGTTTCTGAACTTGATGAAGTAGAAGAAACATTCATCAATGATTTGATATGGCAGTGCATACTTTTTCTCCAAGAGGACTCTGATGAACACCGTTGATGCTGGTGAGAAGTCCAGTCCAAGCAAATAGTTCAACGCAGCTGAGGAATGGGATTGCGGGATTGAGATCTTTGTGAGAATGGACCCTGCAATTGTAGCTTCTCTAACAGAACAGCCTGTTTCGACCAATGGGAAGAGGAACCCTTGGAAGAAAGCACCTGGCTTATACAACGCCTTCTTCAATGCCCTGTAGATGTGATAGTTCAAAGTGTGGGTTTCACTCTCTTCAATGTCGTTTCTGAATCTTTCAAGGAGGACATTTTCAACAAATCTCTGTGATTGCTTTGCAGACAGGTTAGACACGAATAGTTTAGTAGCCTCATAGACCGCATGTGGAGTCCATCTCTGTGGGTTTGTAACGTATAGGACATCTTCCCAATTGTTTAGGGATGGGATGACTTTGAACAGCTTTGGCAGTTTACCATGAGTGTACGTTGACAAGATTTCACCGACACCTGTATAGGCAGCGATGACCTTTGGAGGTAGCAGAACAGCACCTTCAGGTCTTGTGCTCTGATGAGCTTCAGCCAATTGTTGTTCCTCCTTTTGTCTAATACTGGCCATGATTTTGTCAGCCAAGTTATAGGAGTCATCCATTCCGTAGCTCTGAGCACCCTTGCTCTCCTGGAGGTACATCTCAAACAGTTTGGCATCTTCTTCGTTCAAGTCATCCTCATCGAATTCGAATTCCTCATCAGGCCCATAATCGGACAAGTCCTCGTAGCCCTCCTCATCCTCATCCTCCTCTTCTTCATCTTCATCTCCACCTTGAGCAAATCTCGCACCAAATGCAAATTTCCCCTGCTCTTTCAACTGCTGAGCCTCTTCCTTCTCAATCTCATCCTGCTGTTCCTTAGCCAATTGTAAGATCTTTCTAGATGCTGCGCTATCAATGTACTCTTGATCTTCATCCTTCTCTTCTTTCTTTTTACCCCTGCTCTTGGTTCTCAAATTACCACCTTGTGTTGTCAATTCCTTATAGAATGGATCATGACGCTGCTTCTGTCTTGAGTTACTGACTTTACCCATATTTTATACCCTTTATTCTTTGATAAAATGAGATGAGATGCGATGAGCTTTCGAATGGGTTCTAAAATTTTTTTTACCCTACACCGAAGGGCCGGATCTCGAGTTCCGGGTGTTCACCAATTTCCGAGGACAAAAATCGAGTTCCGAGGTCTATACGAATTCCGGGGGCTCTTCGGATCCCGGAATTTACCCTTTTTGGCCACCGAGAGATCAAAACTTCACCACGGAGGGGATCGAGGCATCAGCAAACAAAACAAATAAACAAACTACAACCGAGTAGCAATTGGCATCCTTCAAACACCAGCAACAGGAAACCGAACATGGCTAAACTCGACAGAAAGCGTGGATCTGATGATTCTGAGCGTCCGGCTAAAAGGGCAAGACATACCGGCAGATCTTTGAACTCGTTCAAGCATCTACCAGAGATCAACAAGATCCCATCGGCCAAATCAACCGAGCTGGATGTGTTTGTCTGGGGAACGGGATCGATGTGTGAGCTTGGTCTAGGTCCAGATGCAAAGACCAAGGAGGTGAAGAGACCAAGACTGAATCCGTTCTTGAAGGATAAGGGGATTGTGGACTTTGCCGCTGGTGGTATGCATACAATAGCACTTGATTCCAAGAACCAGGTCTGGTCGTGGGGTTCCAATGATAGTTTTGTCCTTGGTAGGGATACCTCCAAGGCGAAGGAGGTGCTGAAGGACATGGACGCTGCTGACAGCGACGACGACGAGGATGGTGATCTGAATGAAGAGGAATCGACACCTGGTTTGGTTGAAGGGTTGCCTCAGGATCAAAAGGTTGTACAGCTGGCAGCAACTGATAACTTATCTGCAGTGTTGCTCGATAGCGGTGATGTGTACGCCTGGGGTACCTTCAGATGTAATGAAGGTATCCTGGGCTTCAAACATGACGTCCGTATTCAGAAGACTCCAGTGAAAGTGGACGAGTTCAAGGACATTGTGCAATTGGCACCGGGTAAAGACCACATCTTGGGACTGGACAAGAAGGGTGTTGTTTATGCCTGGGGTAATGGCCAGCAGTTCCAACTGGGTAGAAGAATTCTGGAGCGTAACAGACTGAGAACGCTGGAACCAAGAGAATTTGGATTGGCTGATGTTACATACATCGCATCAGGTGAATTCCACTGTTTTGCCATCACACAGGATAGAAAAGTCCTGACATGGGGATTGAACCAATTCGGCCAATGTGGTATCTCCTCTGACTTGGAGGATGGCTCTATTGTGACAGTGCCAACAGAAGTCGAGTCATTGTCTGACAAGAATATTGTGCAGATCGCTGCTGGTGAACATCACACTTTGGCATTGTCTGAGGACGGTACCGTTTATACCTTTGGTAGATACGACATGTTCGAGATTGGTATCGCAAAGGACGACTTGCCAGAGGAGACCTTCAAGGATGTCCATGGGAAGCCAAGATCTGTGCCAGTGCCAACCAGATTGACAAAGATCCCAAAGGTGAGATCAGTGGCTGTTGGATCACATCACTCTTTGGCAATCTCTGAAGACGGTGTTGTTTACTCCTGGGGGTTCGGTGAGACTTATGCCGTTGGTCTTGGTCCAGCTGGTGAAGATGTGGAAACACCAACCAGAATCAAGAACACTGCAACTCAGGATGAAGACATTCTGCTGATAAGTGCTGGTGGCCAGTTCTCCATCAGTGGTGGTGTCAAGCTCTCTGAAGAAGAAGCTGAAAAGAGAGAGGATAAGCTCGAAGATGAAGAGTGATTTCCTGAACAAAAGTAGATGTATATCTTATGTATTAATACCACTATTGTTATACGTATAAACATGTTAATAAATCACACAGTGTTTACAACTGTTCTCTATCAATTCTCGTTTGAAGACCAACGTCTGCGAGGTGTAGCTTGACTTGATCCACGGTGTACTCGTTTCTATGGAACATACCAGCACCCAAAGCTGCGTCAGTGGTTGTCTTCTCGAACACTTCGGCAAAGTGCTCAGGCTTACCTGCACCACTTGAAGCTATCACAGGGATAGAAACGGCAGATTTGATATGGTTGATCAGCTCCAAATCATAGCCAGAGTTGGAGCCATCCTTGTCGATACAGTTCAACAGGATTTCACCGGCACCGAGAGCCTCTGTAGCTTGTGCGAGTTCGTAAGCACCCAAGTCTGTAGTCTCACGGCCACCTTTGACCGTTGTAGCGTACCAGACGAACTCCTCGCCGTTTGGCCCTGGGAACGAGGTCTTGATGGTCTTATTCTTTGTCTCTTGTGGATCCTTCACGTAGACTCTCTTAGGATCTACAGAGATGACGACTGCTTGTGCACCGTATGCCTTGGAGATAGTCTCGATTGGTGAGGAACCGTCGCCTTTGTTACCATTAGCATAGTATTTCAAAGCAGCATTGACAGCATCAGTACCAATAGACACCTTATCAGCACCAGATCTGAAATATAGGCCTGCAACCTCTAAAGCTGGGACTTTAGTGCCATCAGGGTCAACAACATCCTTGATACCACCACCGACTGTTAGTGGAACAAAGATGGTGCGTGCAGCTCTCTTCAACACTTCAAGCATTGGAGCGTCTCTGATTGGGGAGTTTCTGAATGAGGTGATGTTCAAGAAAGTCACCTCGTCAGCACCTTGGTCATAGTACTTCTGAGCCAATTCAACGGGCTTTCCCAAGTTTCTCACGTCACCACCTTGTTCATCCTTCTCACGAACGTCATACTGATCACCCTTTGTCACAACCAGGTCGCCATTGTCATTGGTTCTCACATCCAAACAGGCAATGATTCTTCTTGTCAGCCCGTTATTTGAAGGATCTCTCTTTTGTATCACATCTGGCAATGGAGTATGCTTCTTACCTTCGAGGAATGCCTTGATGACCTTGAGACCAGCAATGCCCGATTTCTCTGGGTGGAATTGGGTGGCAAAGACGTTGTCTCTGGATACAGCGCCGATGAATCTCTCATCACCGTACTGTGTCAATGCCAGTTCCCATCCTTCAGCCTCCAGTGTTCTCACCTGTTCGTCAGTCACAATGGCAGCATACGAGTGGACGTAGTAGTAACGGTTATTTGGATTCAAGTCGTAGAAGGACTGGTCTCCCACAATCTCCAGAGTGTTCCAGCCAATCTCTGGAACACTCTTCGTGGTGGCATCGAACTTCTTTAGCTCAAGGTCGATGTACTTCAACCCTTCAACACCAGGGCTCTCCTCACTACCGTTGAAGAGGGCCTGTAGACCAACACAAACACCCATAATCGGCTTGCCAGCAGCAATATGATCTCTGATAGGCTTCTCAAAGCCCTTGGTGAACAACAGCTTCACAAAATGCGCGTACGAGCCGACACCTGGCAAGAACAGCTTCGTAGCCTTAGCCAGCTCCGGATCTGTAGCGTCCTTGATGAGCTTTGTCTCATAACCGAGGAACTCAATGGCGTTTTGCAGAGAGCGTAGATTACCGCTCTCAGCATCGATGATATGGACAACCTCTGACATCCTTCACTTCGCTATGAATATCGTTTTCTTTGCTGTTCGCAAGCTCTGGTGCCCTGAAGCTGTGATTTGTCACGGCGATGAGTTCCATTTTGACTCACTCGGAGCAGCACATACTGAAAAAAAAAGTTGGAGTCATCAACGGGGGAAAAAGATATAAATGGCCGAAAGTAGTAATTCCCTGATTAGGAAACCGCGATGCACTGCGATACTTTTGTTCTCCAGAATGCCATATATACGAATCTTTGGTTTAATGCTGTGGATAACGAGGAACTACGTATATCATTGTGTACGTGATTGTAAACTGTTGATTGTAGTGATACAGTGATAATAACTCAGTGTGTGGTGTTGATGAATGCGAAGCTCGACCAGACCTATTTGGCAACGAGCTTCTGGATGGCATCATATGACTGTGTAGCAAAGTACTTCACATCTGAATCGCTGTCGTTCTTCAAAGTTTCAACTACTGGGACGATGAACTTGTTGACGTAGGTTATACGGCTTTCAATGTCGTCTGGGACTGGACGTTCTTCGCCTGGAATTTTGTCCAACAGGGTTTGCACTATGACAAGGTAACTCTTTGCAACGTTAAATCTGATGTTTGGGACCTGGTCTTGCGCCAAGTTGTTGACAAATGGCAAGATCTTGTCAAGTACAATTTCTTTATCAACCACAGGGATTAATCTGGTTAGGGTGAAGAGTGAGGTCAAACGGTAGACAAAGTTTGAAAGCGTAGTATCATCAGTCTTCAGGATTCTTTCAATGATTTCTTCATCAGCCCATTTCGATCCAAAGATCTTGGCCAATTGCTCCAGATTGGTGACTGCTGCTTCTCTTATGGAGTACACTGGGTCCCATAGCCAAGAAAGGACAAGGTTACCCAACTCTTCATCAAAGAAACCAACACCAAGCTGTTCAGCCAACAGTGGAATGTATTCAATGATTGCCAATCTAACTCTCCATTGCTTGTCCTTAGCGAGGTCTGAGATGGCTGGCAATAGCGATTGTGCCAGTAGATCAATTCCGATAACATCGTTAACAACTTTGAGTTTTGAAATGATGTTGAGCTTAACCTCAGGAAATTCATCTTTCAACATGGTCAAAAAGATTGGCAAAAGGTTTTCAATGACAACTTCCCTATCCAATAGCGGGGTGAGTCCAGTGATTTCACTCGCTAATGCACTTCTTACAATTTCTGATGGATCGTTGCTCAACTCCTCCACTTGCGGTAATATTTTCTCCAGGATAACCTCCTTCTTGACAAGTCTGCTGAATCCTGGAAGCTGTTTTGCAATTGCCTTTCTGACCTCACCTTCGTTATCCTTCAATAGTCCCAAGAACGGTTCGATCAACTCTCCAACCTGCTGGTCGTTTCCTTCGAATTGAACAGCCAATTGTTCAAATCGATCTGCAGCCATGTAGCGGACTCTCCAACTTGGATCTTGAATCAACTGCAATGCGCTATTCAACAAGTCTTGATGATGTGAGACGTCCTTTCTGGAGTTAAAGAATTGTAGAATTGATATCAGAACGTCCACTGATAAGAATTTCACAGAGTCTTGTTTATCAGTTGTGAGGGATTGGAACATTGACGAGATCAAGTCCCAATCTTCTTCGTTGGAGCAAGATGGGTTTTCTCTGAGTAAATCAACAATCTTTGGCAAGTGCGTTGCAGCGGCTCTTTTAACCATTGGACCTTCGTCATGGATCAGCTTCGAATACGTCGTCAACAAGCTCTTTCTGGTGGTTTCATCCACTCTAACGATAATACTTTGGAACAGACCAGTAGATGACACCCTACTGGAGAACCATTCTGTGTCTGCCAGCCCTTCAACCAGCGGGTAGAAGTTCTCCTTGATCTGTTCTATGGATAGTTGTGACGCAATCTCGTTCAAGGACTCCACAGCCTTATCTCTGACAACCGGCTCCTCAGTGGCAGCTAGAACCTCCAACACCGGCAATAGAATCTCAGCGTGCTCTGAGCCGCCGATAAGTGGCACAAAGTGGCCCAACTGCTCTGCCAGCACGGCAAACACCTCGTCCTCATCGTCCTGTGCCACTTCTTTCAGGAATGGGATCAACTCTTCTCTTGTTCTCTCTGGACCAAGCGCGAGCGCAATGGTGTCGAGCTTTTGCATCGCAGCAACACGGTTCGCAACGTCGTCGTGCTTGAGCTCATCCATCAGCAACGCCAACGGATACACGTCGTCGTTCTGTTCCGCCATTGTTTGTATTTGATCTCGCTCTCTTTCTTCGTCCTCTCTCTCTAGGTGTCTCCTCTACCTGGGCTTATACAATAGATATACCGGGCGCTTGGGCGTGTTTGGTGTACTGTGATGTGAATCGTCGAATTAGAACGGGGGAAAGTGCCTTCTGAGCCTAGCCGCCGTGGTTGGGTTTGCTTTGTTTTGATGTTGTTGTTTTTGTTTTCCGTTGGAAAGAGGAAAGGGGGTCGTCGTTTTCTTTCCTTTTTTTTCTTTCCCTTCCAGCGTTGGAGACCGCTGTGTCTATGTGTTTTTTTATCGAAGTGCCAGAAATCAGGGTTATCCCAACACCGTCTGATTGGTTCAAATCAGCCGCTACTATGTGATCAATTGTAGAGTAAACGAGTCAACTATGACGTACAAGGCGATGGTACGGTCGAAATTGGTATCCTTAGACACAATTGGATGGTTTCTTTGGGCGTGTCGTTGGCGTGTGCTCTCTGTTGCTGAAGGGGACGGAAGTAAACAGCAGCGGTGGCCGCGGAGCGCTGGGCTGGCGGCGAAAGAAGGCGTGGGCCGCCGCCGTTCAGCGAAGAGAGCGCGCGCGGGAGAGAAAATACGGTGAAAACACCCCAATCGGGAAACTTTCCCGATTGGGTGTTCTATGATAGGCATTTGTATGGAATGGAGGTGTATGTCTATACAATTTCAGCACATATATACACGGTGAGGGTGTGTTATACAGACAATCTGTGCATGGCACACCAGTAGAGAGCACCCATGAGCAGCACAGAGCACCCTGTGACAGGGAAGAGGTAGTATGGATATGACCCGGAGTCATAGCTCTGTGGTGGAGGCACGAAGGGGAATAGCGCGAGGAAGAGGTTGCTCACGAGGAAGACCAGACATACAGTCCAGTGAGATCTCCAGTCGGTGTTCCCCCAGTGCTCCTTTTCCCTGTTAAAGTGTAAGTAGATCAAGCCGCCAGCAACAAGCGCGTTTATCCACGTCCCTGGGTAGGAGTACAGGTTAATGACCAGCTGGTAGATATCACCATTTGGTGGCACAACAAGCACGATGACGGTAACGGCCCAGTGTAGCAGCAGTGAATAATTAAGATTGGAGAAGCACTTGGCAAAGGGTATCAAGTTCTCCAACGCCAGCTCCCTGTTGATTCTTGCGTGGCTAAACGATACCGCTAGGACGTTTCCGAGGTTTGATATTGAGATGAATAAGGGCAAGACCCTGGAGGAGAAGGTATCACCAAAGATCTTTCTGAAGTAGATACCTGCGATTAAAACACCGGAATCCTTGATTTCTTGGGATGGTATAACCAAATAGTACGATAGAATCACCAAGAGATAGAACAGCGCAGCGATTGCCACGGATAATGGTGCTGCAATCTTCAAGGTACGGTGTGGGTCCTTGATCTCAGAGAGAACGTAGTTAGCATTTTCCCAGCCTTTAAAGGAGTAAATCACTTGGAGTAGAGCGACCGAGACGTTATAGCCGTTATTGGTCATTGAGCCGGACCAGATATCCTTGAAGTTGTCATTCGGTGCCGTATCTTCAAGTGTGATGAACCCAGTGAGTACGAGCAGGCCCAGCATCACTACCAGGAGCAGTATCATCACTTTGATGAACCCCAGGACCGTGAATACCCTGGTTCCATGGTATGGATGGCGGATGTGCAACCAGATAACAACGGTGATGACTGCACAGCCAACCAATCTGTTCAACCACTCAGACACTTCATGTTTCCCCAGCGCAAATAACAGATATCTTCCGAAGGCATATGAGTTACCCGAGCTGAACCCCAAGAGTACAATTTGGAAAGCGTATATGCTTTCAACCAAACCCCTTGGTGATCTGTATACCCGCTGCAGATAGTTCTTCTCACCACCGTTAACTGGCATGGCCAACCCAAATTCCAAGTACACGCTCAGGCCAGAAAACGTCACGAGTGCACCAATGACCCACAGTACAAGCGATAGGCCAATCGAACCTGAAAGCGAGAGGATAAGCGACGGAGTACTGAATATTCCAGTTCCAATCATCTTGTTGATAATCAACGCCATAGTCGGGAACAACGTCAAATGCGGGTGATGGACATTGCTGGGGAGTAAAGGAGTGTACTCTGTCATTTAGCTATTGGAATCAAGAGCCAAGGAACCTTAGATCCTGCGTTATAGTACGGAATCTCTAGTCCGTTGGTAAAATGGTTTTAATCTGTTGTGTATCTTCGTAGTAATACGCAGTATAATGCGGCCTTGATACTGTGATCCGGTCGGCGCAGCATATCTCTTTTGTTAGCGCACGTGACCCATGGCTTACGTAATACAACAACATGTGCTTACATAATCTCTTATCTAAGGAAAGATGCCTCGGGTTATTTCTATTGGTGAGCCCCCGCGTTTGGAACTGTTCCATCTTACCGAACATCAACGAACATCAACGGACAGTCAACGGACAATCAACGGGTATCAACAGACGACGACAACGAGTGAGACGATGACGGAGTACCAGCAGTTGAACGGCGGAGTTCAGGATGCTCCTGAGAGTTATGAATCAGCGCGCCTTGAGGACTCAGTTGTATCTTTGCTCACACAGGAGCTCCAAATCACTGATGAACAAACCATTGCTGCCAACTTGTACCGCAAAGCTGCTAAGCTCTTTGTCAACAAGAAGTTTGTGGAATGCTATGAGCAGTGCGACCAGCTGAAGAACGTTGTCACTACTCTGGGACGCGAGGGAAAGGTTAATGACGAGATAGTCACCAATACCTGGTGCCTGTTTTTCAACGTTGTTGATATAATCTTGACCAAAGGTCAAGGAAACGCCACACTTGAGCGTGAACTACTATCCAACGATTGGTTCGAGCAGCTGTACGAGATGGATGTACTTGTAGATCCGAAGCTCGTGTATCTGTTGACTTTGATCAAATTACACAATGAGAAAACTAATCTTGCACAGCTGAGACAACAGGTTGAGATGTATATGATGCGTCTAGCTGGGGACGACACTACCTCACAGAGCGTGACTGAGCTCCACGAGTTGTATTTGCTCGAGTTGCTCTTCAAGATGGGGGAGTTTGAAGAGATTGAGCACATGATCAAGATGGATACCCATCTACAGGATCCAGATGCTGTGCTCAAGAAGTTCCAGGAAAAGAAGTTGGAATTTGAGAGGCAGGAGCAAAGGAGGAAAGACGATGCTGAGAAGAAGAGGAAAGAGGCTCTTGCAAAGAAGAAGGAGAAGCAAATGGCCAATGATAGGGCCAGGGAGAAGCAGATGCTTCAGGAACTGGAAAAGGCCAAGGAGGTTTCTATTGGGCAACAGAAGAAGGATAAAGAGAGTAAAGCGCTAAAGAGGTATTCTCAACAATCTTCAAGAACAGCCTTTGATATAGTTAAACAGAGATTATCCTTTTTCATGCACAAGAACACCATAATGGCTGTCTTCATGTTAATTGGACTGATTGTCGCCTTGAAAGCCAACCCATTCATGATTAATCCAAAGTTGAGAAGATGGACCAGAGCGTTCTGGGAAAAGCTCGGGTCCACAGTGGAGATGGCATTGAAAGTAACATACATGTGAGCATACATGTGAGCATACATGTGAGCATACATAGCTACATAGAGCATTGGAGAAACACACATAAGATCCATTAATTAAAAGCAAAGTCATAACGTCGTAAAGTATATAAGGATAGTACCCGAAGCACACCCATAAATCATCAATCTAGTTGAGGAGTGAACCGACAGATAGCCTCTTCTTCTGTTCCAAGTCTATGTCTATGAGACGATTAGCATCCTCTGTTCTTGGGACAAAATGGTACTGCTTTAGAGGCGGCAGTGAGATTGCCTGGAAGTTATAGTTCGTGGGCAGAACCAAAGGCCTCTCAATACTGGTGATGGAGGGCAACGCGATGGTGCTTCTAGGAGAAGTTGCATCGGACTCGCTTCTGGAGATATGGATTCTTTTCGCAGGTGGACTCCGCTCATCACCATTGGCTACTTCCAAAGTACCAAAATTGAATTGAAACTGGGCCTGAAACTGGTGCTCGCCTTGGACTTGGACTGGTGGGGAAACCTCCACGTCATGGAGAGCCTTCTCTGGTGTAATTGAGCCCCTTGACTTGTTGCAACTGACAAAGACGGCTCCCATCTTGGGCCACTCACACGTTATACCCTTTGACAGACAAAACTTGCACGCCGGCTTCTGCTCATCACACTTCTTATGACGACGTCTGCAACACAGACATCCTGTTCTCGATCTCTTCGGCCGTGTGGACATTAATCTATGGAGAGTACGCTTCGATAGCAACCACACTACAAAGGCAAGAAGCCAACACCAGGAGATCCAAAGCAACGGAAAAAATGGGTCACAGGACTTTACTTATATATCTACATAGAAAGGGGACCATAGGAAAGCACCGTTTATGAGGTGACCAGGCCCTAATACATTGACGGCTCTCTTTACGCATCCACGCAGATGCCATCTTCTGTGCAGGCAGGGTAGAGTTTTCTGCCTTTCCAGCGTTTGTCCGGATTGGGAATTCTGAGCCTACGCTGGAGGAAGGGGAGTCATCTTGACTCTCCCCGCTGAGTCGGGCGAGAGCTGAAGCGGCGGAAAAGGGAACAAAATTGTGTCAAAGCCCAAGCAGCGAGGGAAGCCTACGCTGAGTCACCAATAATTTCAGTGCGCTGGCTCAAACTATAAGGCCTGGAGAACCGGATACGGTGCTTTACGCTTTGCACGAGTGGAGAGGCCAAGCTGTGTGCGGTTGAGCCCATGGCTCATTTTTCAAGCAAGATGAATTGGACTGGACAGTGTGGTTCCGAGTGGAAGGGAATGGGCTTCACCGTTAGCGGCTTGAGTCAATGACCCGTTCTGAGACGTTTCAGCCTTTCGGCTAGGGAAGTCGCCCGAGCCGGTACAACTCGTAGCACTTGCGTGTACAAGTGGACTCGTGGTTGAGGTGTATTTCTCTATATATAGAGAGTGTGTGATGGCGTTCACTATCCATTGATTCTGCACAAGAAAGTGATATGGTGGGTCCTTTCTGAGTTCACAGCGTCTTGATGCAGCCGCAGGCCCGACAGTCAATGCCATGTTTGAAGATTGCGACTATTTTGAGGGGTTGTGGCAATAGGCTAATGGTTGCAGAATATTAGAGCTATGGTTTGAATCGCAGAGAGTAGTGGGGGGTTGTAGCCAATGTCTTGAATTGTTGCACTAAACCAGAGTCAATATTTGGCGTACATAGTAGACGGTGAGTGTTGGAGGTCACGGAAAGAGCTCTGGTTAGCATTAAGCCAAGTTGAATCATCAAAGCCTGACTTGTTACACTACGCCACTTGCAAGTGGATTCACAGAGCTTGAGAATCCAATGTGGAGTAATGTGAGCTAGTAGTTCACAATTGCAGCACTTGTATCGGAGGCCTGGGGGTTCAGACCAGGTTCCTTGTTCGATAATATCATGCGTTCTTTCAGCTTCTGATGTCATGGACACACTCTGGAGAGATATCGGGCTGTTTTATGGACTACGTAGCACTTGTCCTGGTTATCAGGTTATTATTACGCTACAACTGGTGGTAGGTCCAAGTTGGACACTACTAAAGAGGCCTCATTTATGACTCGGATAAGTCTGTTTCAGCCAGTGCCTCCTCTACGTACGCATTGGGAAGTGCTAACCGCAAAGTTTGTTCGATCTGGTCGTCTGGAAAGACCCGGGTGGCTGCTGGATGCACTGCTAGCAATTCACAAGATACGACTGACCGGTCTATGTTAGCCGTAAAGCGCCTCCAGTTGGGTCACTCGTCACGGTCGAAAAAACACGCAGATAGTGCTTCACCAGTGAACACCTTGGCTTGCCCGTGAACTTCCGAACAACCAGACACATCTTTCCAAAGGCAATTGGCAAACAGCTTACTGTTGTATTCTGTCATTACCGAGGTATTGTCTGGGGAGCATGAGCACTTGAGCTGGTGGGAGAATGCAACTTTGCTTAAACTCATGTGGTGAATTGAAATTGAATATGCGCAAGCGGCCATATGGAGATAAGTTTTTCGCTTCGTCTCTATGGTTTCGAAAACTTCGAAAACCCACTCGTCGCAAGTTATCGTCAGAGATCTGGGCCAGAACTGTAGGAATCACACAACCACGGAGCCCCGTACCAATAGAACCATATGCTCTCCGCCCCCCTTGTTGTTTAAAACTCCCCTCCGTCCTTTTATAGACACCTGTCAAACATGCCGTTGGTCCAATCGTGGTTGCTGACCATTAGACCCTCATCCTTCAAGTCGTCCTGCGAAGGTAAAATTCAATGGTAATGAAACGTTCACAAACTCAAGCCATCCTGTGAATTCGAATCAATTGAGCATTTATAGACCACCAATCCGTCACTACGGACGCTTCAACACGAACGATGCTTCATAAGTGCTCCATGACCCGCTCTGGTTAAGGCTTGTACCTGCAGTGGCCGTACCGATCGAAAAACGCACAGCGAAAAGTCTCAAAGCTTCGAAATCTGGGGTCGCTTTTGTTTTTCTTTTGATGGGGAACTTGTCGGCGCCGCTATTTAGTGCGTAGAGAGAAGACCAATTGTGTCTAACTCTTAGTACAAATGGTGATCTCGCTGTGTATCCCAGAACCATCATTGGAATCATATTCTCCTGTGTATAAAAACACCCCACTACCTCCTCCAATTAGGCTGATGAAACCAACCATCAGCACTAAACAAACCGTCAACTCCGTTGACGGACTCCAAAATTTCACTGGCGCTGAGTGCTTTCCCGACGACGCTCATTTTTTCTGTGCTTTTTTTTCTTGCCCATGATAAATTTCGGCGTCGAGAAAATTCAAAAGGTCTTCCACAAAAACCTCTGAATTGTATAAACAAACAGACAAGACAACAAGGGTTTCCACAATGACATCGGAAGAAGTCGACCAGACAAATCGTAAGTGATAGATATCAGTGCCATCTTCTACTGGTGATGAAAGACGAGGAACATGAGGGCTCTCTGTGCGTGGCTTAGATCGTTGATAGCGATGTCCGTTCATGAGCCGCCGACCCCGACCTCATTAGCCGCTGAAGATGTAAACAACCATCAGCGCACACCTGGCGCTTTGAGGCTCTTGAACTAACATACGCTGTAGAGGTTGTCACTGTGACTGTTAACATTCCAGATGGGAAACCACAGAAGTTTGAGTTCTTCACCGTGAACACCGTTGGTGACATCAAGCAGTTTCTCGAGGTGAGCCAACACACCCGCCAACACACGAGCTATGACTTGGTGTTTAACGGTAAAGTTCTGGATGATTTCTCCACCTTGAGTGAGTTCATCTCAAATGCGAACCAAAAGACTTTGAGTTTGTCCTTGAAGCTGATTCCATACACGGAAAAGGCCCTCGAAAAGCATTTGATCAACTTAAGATTCATCGCGGGTATCAAATCTACAAAGTCATTCGGAATCAACGCCGGTGTTTCAAAGGCCTTCGACTTGGATTTGGAACCTTTCACCGAGGATGATAAGAAGTCGACAGAGGAAGAGGAGGAAGGTGAAAAGAAAATCGACATCCCACAGAGATCTGCTGAAGAAAAGGCCAAGGTTTCAGAGATTGTCTCCTCTTTCTTTGAGAAGCTCCCACAGGGCTTTTATACACCAACTTCTGTCATCACACCAGCTTTGCGTTCTTTGTACTACGGGCCATACAACCCAGTTCCATCGAACTACAAGGCTAAGGGCCATCTCGCATACATTGTTGCACAAACTTTTGAAAATGAGGTTGTACACATCACTGCAACAACTACAGGCTTCTATGCAAACAAGTCTTCAAACTCCAAATTTGACCCTTCCCCTCGTGAAAACTCTCCAAAGACGTTCACTTTGTTTGAGCTAATCTCAAAGCTCTCAAAGAACTTTGTCTCAACAATCAATGCAAACATCGCTAAAGTCAGTAACTACGATAGAGCGGTGGTTGCCGAGGCTGAGTGTGCATTCTTGGCTAACCCATGGATAACAAAGGCCCCAGTTCCAGCTCCAGACTTTGGTAGACAACAGTTTGAGGACTCAAGTTTCAAGGACTTCAACCACGAATACCAAGCTTTCAAGGACTTGTCAGAGTCAAACCTCCAAGACCGTATCCTCAAGGAGAAATTGCTTGTTAAATGTGCGTTTGATTTCACCACAGAGTCCACAAAGACTGCTTTGGATATCTTGAACGGTGCTTACACTCCAATGAACCCAGATGAACCAGTAGAGACTCACATTTATTTGCAAAACGGTATCTTTTACTCCTTTGGTGCAGATGTGGGTACATTTGCTGAAAAGGGTGGTAATTATGCGTCAAGAGCTGCAAGCAACCAAGACGTCAATGCTATCAAGTTCATTAACAGTTTCAACTCCAGAGGTATCTACACTTTGATGACAACCATCGTCGATTATGCTGGTAAGAGGGTTGTGTGTCAAACTCCAGTTCCAGGTTTGTTCACCTCATCTGAGGCAAAAGAAGTTACCAATGATGAAACTGGTGAAGTTGAAATCACTGAAGGTGAAACTTTGACTAGTATTGCTTATGGATTTGATGATTTGAGTGGTGAAATCAAAACTGACAAAGAGTTTACCAGCGCCTTGGAACAAATCAGAAAGGGTTTGCACTTTAAGAAGAAAGAACTCAAGGATGGCTCTCTTGTCACTAGTCCTGAGATTAAAGGTATGAGAGGTACCGACAAGCGCAAATACATTTTGGATTTGTACAGCTCTTCTCCGTTGGATATCGAATTTGTCGAAAAGAACTTTGACCCAACTTCAGAACTCTCATATCCACATAAACAAACTGTTATCCGTTTCGAGGCTGTTCAGGACTGGTGGGGAACTAAGGCAAGAGCTCTTATTGATGAAGAAGCCAAAAAGCAAGGTATTGATCTTAATGCCAAGTTACCTGAAGGTGAAGAACCTCCAAGTATTACTGTTGATCAAGACCAATTGCTTTTCTCTGTTGATGCCTTCAGTGGAGAGAACACAGAGGATTCAAATGTCCGTGACCTTTCCAAGTATATCACGGCTACTTTGATTCCAAAGTTCTTGGAACAGTACGAGCACGTCAACACTGTTTCTCCAATAGATGGTTCTGCCTTATCTTCTCAATTACACAAGTCTGGTATTAACGTTAGATATTTGGGTTACATTGCACAACAATTGGAAAAGCAAATTAAAGAGCAGGTTAAGATTGAAGAGGATAATTTGGCCAAAGTTCCGGAGCACAACAAAGAATTCCAAACAAAAGCTAAGGAAAGAGAGGACAAGGTTATTGCTGAATTGACTGCTAAGAACGAGGCTGAAAAGAAGGGAGAAAAATATGAACTGGAAGAAGTTCCAGAAATTGATATTGAAGCTGTTGAAGTTCCAAGCATTGACCCATCTAAGTTATCTCAACAACTTTTGGATACCGCTATCTTGGAGATGGTTGCCCGTGCATCCAAGCATATCTTGAGATCTTATTCCTCTGCATTGCCTCTTGAGCTGGTTGCATCTCTGGTCTCTCATTTCCACAACTTGTTGTTGGGTTCTGGTTACAATAGTTCACCAAAGGCAGTCGTCGAAGATGCGGAATTTTACCCAGAAGTTGATTTTGCTTTCACAAAGCTGACTCCCGACTCTGTGAAGGCCGCCATTGTCAAGGATGTCAAGATAAACTACAGATATGATTTGCCAGAGAACTGGGCTGATAGATTCTCTTCCAGACAAATTCAAAGAGAGATTGCTCTTAAGTTTGGTATTCAATGGAACCAACGTGACTACTTCTTCACAAAGGAAGAATACGAAGAAGCTGAAAAGGCTGCAGAAGCTGAGAAGAAGGCTTCCAAGACTAAGTTCAAAGCACCTGTCATTCCACTTAGAGACGAAGTCTTTGAGCCAAAGGACATCTCATTCGCACCACTTATTAAGGATACCATTCCTCGTTCTGGTACTGCCGAACAGTTCTCAGAGGCTGGTCGTATGAGTGTCTTGAGTGAAGAGGAGGACAAGAAACAGTCCGGTCTTGAACTCATCAGAGAGGCTGCCTCCATCTATGAACAGGTTTATGGTGAGTTACATCCTGAGGTTCAAAAGATTTACTCTTCACTGTCTCACCTGTTCCAGGAACAAAACGAGAAGGAGCAAGCTGCTTTAACTGCCAGAAAGTCATTGTACATTGCTGAAAGGGTATACGGTTTGGACTCCCATGACACCTTTGTCTCTTACTTGAACTTGGCATACTTGGAACTGTCTGCGGGCAAGGTCAACAATGCTTTGAAGGTTTACGGAAGACTTTCTCAAATTTGGGCAGATGTTTACGGAAACAAACACGTTTCAATCCCAACATTCTATGGCCACATCGTTAACGTTTTGCAAGAGCAAGGCTACTCTCAAGAAGCTACAACATTGACCAAGAAGTTAATTTCTTTGAGTAACGGTCTCCAAGGCGAGAAGAGTTTCGGCACTGCAAACTTGAACTACCGTTTGGCCTTCTTGTACGCTCTTCAAGAGAAGTTCAATGAGTGTATTGCTCTTTTGAAGGAAACCCACGCTACTCTTCGTGAGATTGCTAGTGACAAGAACCCTCTTACCCGTGAAGCGGATTCTCTGTTGAAGAGAATCAACGCTTGGAAGGAGGTTAACGAATTGAATGCTAGAGCCACCAAGGCTGCGGAAAAGGCACTGAGAGAACAAGCTGCTAAGGATAAACACAACAAACCTAAGACCAAGAAAACCGACAAGAAGCAAAACATGGATGATAAGAGCATCGACGAAGTCCTGAACTTTATCAACAACGGTTCTTCTTCTCGTGGTAAGAAACATGGTAAGGCCAAGAAATGAGATCAGATTCTTGTTTCTACATGTATATAGCGATTGAACTAATATAAATAGTGTTATTAGTGCTTAACGTCTGATCACCAAGTTTCTGACTGCTTCTGGTAAGTTTGACAAATCTTCCTCGTCTTCATCATCATCGAATGCGTTTGGCTTCTTGAATTTAGCCATTTTCTGTTCGTATTTGGCTCTTCTCTTCTCCTCCTCTTGTTGAATTCTCTTCTCCTCTTCTTCTGGATCATAGTTAACCCACAATCCCAAACGAGCATCAACTGCAACCGTCTCAGCATCGTAGAATGCGTCCTCGTTGGCAACTCTTGACATGGAACCTTCGTGAATTTGAACCAAACCTTGCTTCAACAGTTGTAATTGATAAACTTCGGTTTGACCATGGATGGTCAAATTACCGATGAACCCACCAAACTTGTCAACGTCAAAGAGTTCAATGGTAACGTCTCTTTGCAAGATATGCTTGTTGTTGTAAGCAATGGCTGTTTCAGACACTGGGCTTTCCTTTGGTGGTCCCATGACACCGGCAAGAACTAGCACGATTCTTAAGCCATCAACTGGTAGGATGACACGGAATCTCGTTGGACTAATGACAAAGTCCAAGATGGCGTTGAACTTACCCTTGTTCTTCAAAGATCTGAGATGAACCTTGGCCCTCGTGGCATCTGCAGAAGCCTCTGTAAGCTTGACTTCCTTTGGAACCTTTGGAGAATGAATACCACGCTTTTCCTTTGTTGCAATGGACTCAGCTTCGATCAAAAAATCCCAGCTGTCCGATCTGTCGTCATCACCACGACGGTGTCTAATCACAGTGGCATATCCGTTCAGGACAATCACCTCAGCCAAGTTCTTACCGTTTGGTAAGGTCGCAGTGACCAAGGGAGTTTCGTTTCTGAAAGCATCAGTGTATAATTTGACACGTTTACCAACGTTCTTACGAACAAATTCCCTTGCCTGGGGTAAGAATGCACCCCGAGGCTCATTTTGACGTGGTGCTCTGATGGAAGACAGATGCACCAGCTGTTCTGAGCCGTTGGTCAAGAACACGTAGAACGTATCAGGAGATACAAATCTCTCAATGGTTGCATCAATCGTTGTACCAACCTTGAAAGTTGAAGCAGTTGGAGAGCTCTGAGGCACCTCCGCCTTCTTCAATGCCTTCCACAACCCTTTGCCACCAGCTCTGGCACTCTTTTCAGCATTTCTCAGCAACTGCATACCCTGAGGTCCAATCAGCTGTGATTGCCAATCAGCAACCTCAGCATAACCAGCTGCAAGGATCTTCTCACTAATGTTACCGGCTGGATGGTAGATCTTGACGATTGGAACATCCGTTGACGATGTCCCGATGAAAGCGACAAACACCTTCTGTCCAACAATTCTCTTCTCGATGTAGCTCTTAGCATCGTCTCCAAACGGCTCTCCCTTGACCTCGTTCTTCGTGTCCGTGGACCTTGGAGACTTGAAGCCTGCAATCAACGTAACCAGCTCCACATCAGAACCATCGTCGAAGTAGATGTGTGTAACCACTCTATCACCGGAGATGGCCTTGTCAATGATGGCCTTGTACTTCAAATCCTTGCGGAATCTTCCCTTTATTAAGTCCATTGTGTCGTGTGCTCGTCGTAGGTTCCTGGTGTGCCTGGTGTGTCCAGTCAAGCTCTGTTGAAATTTTCAGTCTCGGTGGCCTCAACTGTCCTCCCTAGGCGGGGGCGCCTCAGCTTTCCTCTAGGCGGAGGCCCTGGGCGGAGGACCTAGACAGGCCACCGCCTAGGCAGGCCAGCGCTGAACAGCAGCTAGTAGGACTACAACGGGAAACAGTTCAACACGCCTTATGGCTTTATTAATGAGAGTGGTGCGCTCAGAGAGAGCAGTGGAGGGCTCTTTCTATCCGCAAGCTCCTTTTTTGCGTACAATCTATGTATGGTACCGTTTACTCCTGCTTAACACCACCTGTTCCAGCAGTCTCAGCGGTCTCGATGGACTGCTTATCGGTCTTCACGTCCTGGTCACCACCAAAGCCTCCAAACAGGGAAGGAGCCTTGAACGGTCTCTTGAGGTCGCCAGAAGCAGGCTTGCCGAAGAGATGGATCTTGACGATGTTGGACTCCAGTGCAGACTTAACAGGAGAGATGGATTGCATCACCAATGGGTTGGTGTACTTCATGTACAAGTGCATGAAGCCCATCATTGCCAACGAGGTGAAGATGGACTTGATGGAGGACTGCACCTGTTGCAAGTCATACTCCTTAACGGTGGTGACGGTGAGTTTGCCCTCGGTTTCGCCTGCCATGGTGTTTGGAGCAGAGACATATTTCAGCGTGGTCAGGTCGTTCTTCTTCAGAATCACCATTCTGGTGTACAAGTAGATGGACAACGTAGTCAAAGTGGCAACGGCGTACGCACAACGCACGTAGAAAACAACGTCTGGGTTCTCAAAGTCGAGTCTCTTCGAGACTTGCATCATGACAAGCATGATGACCAAGTTGGAAACAGCTGGGTTCATCTTTAGTGGGTTTTTTTTGGCTCTGTTCGTGGATCCAGATTGGTCTAGCGGGTTTGTCTGCTTGGAGTGGACATTTTTCGTTGGCCCGTTTGTCTTTTGATCGGAGGGGCGCGGCCAGAAAAAAAAAACGGGAAAAAACCAGTCCGAGGACTTTTGTTGCGCGTACCGAGAGACTACGCAGCTGGCGGGGACTTCGATATAATGATAATATAATATAATATAATCGAGGAAGATCACCATGGATTGATCTCGTTCTCGTTGCCCCATTCACGGTGAGCCAGTGATGACGGAACACGAAGCTCTCCGAATAGATCGTCATCCTTAACACTGCCTTTGATGTGGCTGTGTTCGTCGTCATTGTCGTTTTTGTCTTGGCCAGTGTGGACTTTCCCTGCCTCATCACCATCTTCGCCGTCGCTATCGTCCAGTTCGTTTTGTAAGGTTTCTTCTTCTGCCTGCTGCTCACGTAGTTTTGTTCTCTGTTCATGGATCTCATCCACAGAGTCCAGGATCTCCACTGGTAGAAATGGCTGGAATTTGATGGCACGTTCTTTGTTGACTCCTCCAATACCTGCGCCGTATTGATCAACCATCTCCAGAACAGTTGGAATGACCACTGGGAATTGTAAGTCCTGGTTCAGCAGCAGCAAAGAGTCCTTCGAAACGTATGAAATGCCTTCAACTGGGCTATTCTCCTTCTTGGCCTTCTTCTCCATGATTTTCCTCACTTGTTTATCAACCTTTGCTTCGTCAAGCTCATATCTGTACTTATCCATAACGGTCCACAGTTGAGCAACGTTCAACTTTTGGAAAGCAGAGATCATCCCGTCAACCTCTTCTGAAGTCTGTAAACCGGAAAGGCATTGTAACCATTGTAGGAGTTCAAAAGTTGGCTCCATATGGACAGTGACAATGTTATACAGATCAGTGTGATAAAACGCACTATCAAAGGTATTCTTAGGGTCACCATGGAACAGTGCAACTCCGTGTAGCTTTAACGTATGGTCTTCCTTGAGATCATCCTCCATCAGAGTATAAGGGAAGAGCTTCAACAGGTCCTGGTCCATATCTGGGATCTTTGGTTCTCTATCATTAGATCTGGCCCAGTCTTCAACTACTGAGATGTTCAATCTCAGTTGAATGGCTTTGGCTCTGGACATGTACTTCTTCTGTGACACGATTCTATTGAAAAGGGTACATCCTAACCAGTAGAATACTATGGACAAGGTCTGCTGTGTGATCAAAGGATGTGTGTTGTGCAAATCTAGAACGTATAACAAAGCACCAAAGGTTTGAATAATCCTTATAGGCGAAGGTTTCAGCTGCTCTTTAACAGAAGGTGGATACAGCATTTCCAAGATCTCTTCGTATGTCGATTTAGCATGGCTTTTCTTCTTGAAAAAGTTCCAATCGTTCTTATAAAGCGTGGTGCCAATATCTGGTATACTTGTATAGTTCAGAAGACAATCGTCAACCATGCCATTGAGCCTAAATTTGATGGAATTGGCCAATTCAATCATTAAAGACTGTAACGTTGTGATCAACTCTTGGAGAATCTTCGGGTATCTTTTGAAGAATCCATCATCACGGCATAGGTAAAAGAACAAAAAGTTCAGCACAGAGAGCCAGTAGCTCTGTAGAACGATATCACCTTCGCTGTAGACACTTGTGACGCCGCTCTTCGATGAGGTGTTCGATCTAATCTTTGTAAATGCCAAGTTCATAAAGTTCTCAACGAGAGTATCGTTATCCTTTAGATGGTCCGCATATCTAACACATTGGTATATCACGGCTGCTGGATAGGTGGTCTTGTGGGTAAATTTGGTATCCAAAGTGAAGATCAAGTCTAAGATGGCAAGGATGTCATAATCTGAAAAGATGATGTACTGGTTCTTCAGCAATCTGTTGAAGTCAAACTCATCACCCAAGAGAGAATTAGAGGTTATAAAGGCATTGTTGTCCTTGTAGAGCCCATCATCGAGATCTGGGCGTACATTCAACCCAGCAGTTTTCAACCTTATGCTATCCATCAATTCATCATCTTGTGCGCCGAATGCACCGTCATTTGTGGATTTGTAGAAGTCGTAGTTTGTTGGTGAAGAGGATGCCATTGCCTCATCCTTCAGCAAGCCATGCTCTTCAAAGAAGTCGTACATGTCTGAATCTGGTTTCAGCAGTTCATGAACAGTGACACCGTTCCAACCTTGAACATTTGGATCTGCCCCGTAATTTAACAGTTCAACAGCGATGTCCTTCCTGTTGTAGTAAACAGCCCACATTAACGGTGTATAGCCAAACAGCCCGTCTGGCGTGTTGATCATCTCTGTGCTTTTGTTCAGCATCAACGTCGTTGCAGTCTCATTTCCCATAACAGTGGCATAGGTCAAGGGGAACAGCCCAGACGAGTCCTTCTCGTTGAGCAACTTCACGGCATCTGGCGCATTCAACAGAGACAACAGCTTTGTATTGTCTTCATCTATCACTGATAGACAGAGCTCCACCAGGTGATCAGCAGCTCCCGAAGATTGGAGCAAATGTAGGGCCTTCTTAGCAGCTTCGAACTGGGCCATTTTGGTATCGGCTGAGCTTCCGATTATCGAAGTTGCGGTCTTCGTGATAGCAGACCAAGGATCGAGATCCATTGTTTCAGCGGTGAAAAGTGAAAGAGGTATAGATATCAGGAGATCAAAGGATGCGAAGCTTCAGTGTCAATTGATACCCAAAGGCTTTGTATTGTAGTGTATAATGTCGAGACAGTTTACCGGTTTGACAACTTTTGGGCAGCCGGGCGTGGGACGCGATTTTTAGTCCTCTGTCTTTTGTCCCTTGTCCCTTGTCCTTTGTCTCTGTCCCTGTCTGTCTTTTGTCCTTTGTCTCTTTAGACAAGTACACCAACACCTACACGTTTAACCACCCTATCAGGACAACCGTTCCTGTTTTCAACCGGCTCAGATAGATCGCAGAGCCAGAAGTGCTATCTAGAGCCTATGGCATCCTCGAATATACAACCCAAACCCGCAAGCAATACACGCCTTTACGATGGATCTGAAGCCCCAGTGTCTCAGTGTCCGGAACTGAGGGGGCAGTCCGGAGAACAGACCCAGAAGACAGGACAAGTCGTGTGCATTTCAAAAGATGCCCAACATCCCTACACCACTGGACAAACACGCCTCCCACATTGGGAAATATTCGTGGCTATAACTGTTCGGTTGATGTGTTTACCTTCAAGACCGGGAGCACTTGTTCAGTGAACCGTTGCTCTGTGCTTTGCTGATCTTTCCTGTATCTCTGTTGATAGTGACAATCAAGCTGGCTGCTGAGCAATTGTAGGTGTGATGGACGGCCACAGTAATGGAACGCAAGGGTACACTCTTCCTGGTGTGATGCACTACCTCCAGACAGAATGGGCCACGAACCATAGGGATCGTATACTCATGAAGAGTGAGCTCGAAGAGATGAAGTGTCAGGTGGCCAAGCTTACGAGTGAGAATAACAGCTTGAGGTACATCAATGCTAAGCTTCAAAAGCAACTGGACTCGCTCAACTGCGCTGATAGCAACGGCAAGGCTTGTGCAAGGGAGCAGGATCAGCTTGTGAACGGGTTGCAAGACTTTGAGCTTGCTCCTTTGATCGAGGCCAGAAGGCACTTGGAGGATAAGATGAGGGAAGTTGTGTTCTTGCTGAAGGGGACAGATTCAGATCTATCGTCGCAGCTGGAACTAGAGCGTCAAAGGGCTTTGCTAGTGGTGGAGGACCAGCATAAGCACGCTGCCGAGGTGGTTGATAGTGACGTTAAAAGGGTACTTACCCAATCCCCAGCTGTTCCAGAATCACCAGAGTACGTGCCTAATGGATTAACAAAGGATTCCGGTGATATTGACACGGATAACGAGACCGTCATTGCTGAGGAAGATGCAGACAAGACAAAACCAACACCTTCAAAGAGGTCTAACAGTTTTACACCGTCCAGACCCACCACTGATTATTCTAAACCCAGATTCACTTTGAAATCACACATATCTCAGATCAGATCACTGTCATCTTTTGCAAATTCGTTATTGACACTTGCATCTGGTGGCTCTATAATCCTGTGGAGGTTTGATGAGAAGGTGAAAAAAGATTCCATATCTCCAAAGGAGATCAAGACTTATTCGTCCAATTGTGACGATTTGGAGTTCATCAACTGGATAAGCAAGGATTATTTTGTCGTTGCATCGCACTCAAAGGTATTCCTTTGGAATATTAACCAGGATACTCCAGACCACGAGATCACTTGTTCCTCAAGGTTGACACAACTAGTCGCCAATGGGGACTTTGTCGTATTGAAAATGAACAAGTCGGTAAAGATCCTAGTACTAGAACACTCCTCCGATATCACATGGCTTGAGTTTGACGATTTGAATATTAGTGCTGAATCAATTGCACTGCGTGGATCCCTACTCTACGTGAAGATCCCTGGGAAAAACCTTGAGGTTTACGACATTTCTAACAAGGTCAAGCTACTGCAAACGATCTCCATTAGCGTTGATATTGATGGCATCGTTCAGTCGTTGTCTATTGACGATAAATTATTAGCATTGGGCACTGAAAAGGAAGTTGTCGTCTTTGACTTTACTACTAACCGAATCCTATTACAGCAAAGCTCCAAAGGTGTCACCCAGGTGTTCTTCACCCTGAGCCACATAGTTATAGTCGATAGGGATGGCTCCATATCCATCTTCTCAAGAGACTGTCATCTACTGGCAACTATGAACCACTACGACACGTTGTTGAAGGGGGTCAGCATTGAGCAACTCTCAGATGATGATAAAAACTTTCTACATAAGGCCACTGCTGTTGCTACAACGTATGGTGACGATTATGTACTCACAGGTGGTGATGATTGTATGATACATGGATTTGCTCTAAATAATTGATAATTAACAAGGATGTAATCGAAGTTTTGTATGGTTAATGTGTAGTGTTTTGCGCAAAAATGAGATCACGAAAAAAGATTACGCAAATTGGCGCTTCTCTCTTTTTTTCGCCAAAATTGTTTTCGGACAAAATTACCGGAACTTCACCATCTTCACCAACTCTTTCTTTTGATAGGAATATCCTCAACATCAGAAGACTGAACCCATGCCACCAAGGGTAAACACTGCTCAGCGTCGTCTCCTCAAGGAGTATCAACAGCTTACAAAGGACTGTCCGGAGGGAATTGTCGCAGGCCCAGTGTCTGAAGAGTGAGTTGTTACTATGGTTTGTCATTCCGATCTGTTCCCCATGGCTTGAGATGACTAACAAGGATTTTTTTGGAAACCAGCAACCTATTTGTATGGGACTGCTTGATTGAAGGACCAAAGGATACTCCTTATGAGAATGGGGTGTTTCCTGCTCGTCTTACGTTTCCTACAGATTATCCACTCTCACCACCAAAACTTGTGTTCACACCGTCCATTTTACACCCTAATATCTATGCAAACGGAGAAGTCTGTATATCCATCCTACACCCACCTGGTGAAGATCCGTTGCAGTACGAAAGACCTGAGGAGCGTTGGTCCCCAGTGCAGAATGTTGAGAAGATCTTACTCAGTGTAATGAGTATGCTCAGTGAGCCAAATGTTGAGAGTGGTGCCAATATTGATGCCTGTGTGCTATGGAGAGACAATAGAGAAGAGTTCGAAAGAAGGGTTCGAGCAGATGTTCGTAAGAGTCTTGGATTATAGAACTGGGTGTTACATGGTAGAAGATGGAATTGTTAATAAACTCTGAACTAATTACATGTTATGTACAATGAGCCCTGAGTTATAGATTATTTTTGGTCTTCGTTCACTTTAGCCAGTCTCTTAGAGTGATTTCTATATTCTAATGGCTCGTCAAGGAAACGAAGGAGTTTCTGGAATGCATTCTTTGGTTCACTATCGCACGTTTCCTCGTTGGACTCCATCGCATTCTGATCATCGCCCAAGTAGTAGTTCTTCTGGAACAATGAAAAGACAAATGAAATACACGTGACTCCAATGGCAATGGCAAAGAGATAGTACGTAACATCAAAGTATGCCAATCTGGCACCTTGTCTAGCTTCAGACTCAAATGGAAGTTGATAGATTGCAATAACAGACTCGAACAGCATTGTAACCTCCTCATCAGGCACTGATGATGGGATTCTTGCTCTTAGTGCTTGGGGTAATTTCGCCTGCCAAATGGCACCTGCAATAGCAGCACCAATGGCATTCCCAATGTACGACCATTGGGACCAAAGACTAATGACTAATGCCATGTCTTGATGAGCAACGGACGCTTGTGAGAGCACCCTTGATCCCAGTTGGGAGAAAACACCAATACCTGCGAGGATCTGAGTCCACACAATAGCCACTGTGGATAAATTATCATAGCGAGCCCAGAATGTTATACCACAGGAAATTACTTGCATTGAGATACCGAATATCTGGAGATATTTAGCCCTATGTGTCACTCTTTGAAGTAAACCTGCAATGACACCAAAGAAACAGAAGCAAACAGTCATACAGTTATTGAAATAAGTCCAATTCTTATACGACCAGTCGAAACAGACAAGTGCATAAGATGAGAGGTAGATCAAACGCAATGCACTGCCCATCTGATAGAAGAAGTCAATGACACAAGCCATAATGAATGCTCTGTTGAAAAGAACACGTTTTGGCATCGATGGATAAGGAGCAATGTAGAACTCATAAAGAGTATACAGAACCAAGAGAAGACCTCCAACTATAAACATTGCAATCAGGGATGGGTTTCTCCATCCATCTTGAGCAGTTGTTCTAAGGGAAAATGGCAATAACAAAAGAGCCCATCCAAAACCAAGCAGTAAAAGACCAAACATGTCACACTCAAGCGAAGACTTCCAAAGGAGATGAAGAATGCCCGAGGTACTTTGTTTTGGAGATTCAGTCACTTGTCCTTGGGCTGCTTGTGTTTTCTTTGCCTTGTGCTCCAGCCATGACATAGCAATCAACGCTGGTCCAATCACAACTGGCATGATAATACAGAACATACCATAACCCCATCTCCAGTTGCTTTCCAGAATATCTTCAACAATGTACCCTGTAATCCAAGCGTTCACTATATACGGAGTTGCAAGCATGGAAAGAGCCAAACCTCTGTATTTCAATGGCGTGATATCTGCAGACATGATTGTGTTCAGAAGGACAATTCCTGTTGCGCCAACACTAGTAAAGACGGATCCTGCGGCGTATGTGGTGATGTTTGGAGATGCAGCTTCCATTATAGTACCCACAGTGTAAAACACCAGAACGATGCCGTAGGTCCATGGCCTTGAAGTGATATCCGCAATCTTTGCAATCCAAATCTTTGTCACAGCACTGACGATGGAGTTAGCAATACTAATCGTGGACAACAGAGAATGACTGCTGAAGGCAGATGTAGCAGTTGGGGAGTAGTTCGACGTCGAATACTCATCAAGGGTATAGACATATGCAATGATAAACAAAATGACAAAGAAGTAAATGCGCAGTCTTTTACCACTTTTGGAGTTATCCATAGAAGCCTTGACCCATTCCATACGTTGCACACCACGAGAAATAAAAGTGTTTTCCTCGGGCATGCTCACGTCACTGATCTGATCATTAGTGAACTGCTCCTTGACTGAAGGTTCTGTAATGATGTTTTCAACGTCTTTCCCCATCTCCGATGCATTGTCTGGCACCCTCATTTTGATTAGAACTACTGCTTACTACACGCACAAGAGAAACCAAACAAAAAAAGCACTTACAAAGCCACCTTTATATAGTTACCTGGCAACTGGATGAACGGTTATTCACGCAAGGTTACGCAAGCAAAAATTACCTACAAGTATCACTTCAGCAGTTAGTCGTCCTGGAAATTAATATGGACCTTGAAACCTCATCTATATGTTGATCTTGGGTGTACATCAAAACTGTCATGTATATCATGCATAATCCCTAATTTCGTGCATAGAGTGAAAGCTTGGTTAAAAGGCTTTTTTTTTGATCGCCGTAGATAAAACTTTTCTTGTTAATTAGCGGGTGAACGTTTCACGCTGAAAGCTCATTGAGTAGCTGAAATATATGTGTATGCATTTCAGAGGAGACAAAGTGACTGCTTGTAAGATTTTGAGTTGCAGCGTTATGGTGAGGGAGCGTGGTTCTATAAACAATTTGGTGATACAATATCGTGGTGGAGCTCATCAATACAGTAGCAATTCTTCATTCAAAGACTCAATGGAGCAAGCAAGATCCTTTCAGAATTAGATGTCATACATCGTCATACACAGATGGTTTTGATAACTGATTGAAAACTATAGGCTAGTTGAAACAAGGTCTGCAGCACTGCGGTTTAAGCTTGAATGTAAAGTCTTATGACTGATGCCGTGGGTTATCTGATATTAATATTAGTCTCATATAGCAAGTATGTCAATCTTACATGGATTGGAAAGAAAAAAAGGCTTGGCCAGTGATGAAATTACCACTTCAATGGAAGGAAAAAGTACCTCATCTCATTCACACGCTTACTATTTGGCAAATTTCAAAGTTGAGCTGCTTCAGTTAACATTTTCACATGACTAATTATTCTTACAAAACATTTTTTAGAATAATTCGGGAAAAGACCATCATAACTAGTTCCAGTGTAATTGCGTATTCTCTACAGATGAGAACCACCTGTAAATAATATAAGGCATCGTAAGCTCGTAACTAAGCACATATATGTAAGACTTGTGACTTTTGTAATGCGGATCGCGTATATTGAGGTGGAATTTTTGCAGCAACTCGAAAGATTTTCTCAGCAAATAGAGAATACAGTTTTAACACATCCTGTGCTTGACAAATTTTCAGTGGTTAACACCTCAACAGCCACCGTTACAGTTAGTTAACGACCACCTGAATCGGGTGATACCTCGTACATCCCATCGACTACATGCGTTACTTTTTGAACAAGGTCTGGTGGGAAAACTTGTCGCTGGAACCCTTAACACGCTTGGCACAATCTCTCCAAGGCACGACGCCAATTGTCTAGCATCTGGTATTTAGCTTCCAGTAAGAACGTCGATTTCCTCAGAAGACTCTAATTCTAGAACAAACCAATCTGTATGTATATTGATGAGATCTCCACTTCACTTAGAGTCCATAATGTTGCGTGCACACAAATCTTCAAAGCCCTCACCCACCACCCCAGGTCCTTCGCTTCGAGGTACTGGAAACAAGATTTACATCCTCTTTGGGTGAACTGTACTGATGTGGACATGCAATCATAGATCTCAACCTCATTACCAACAGGTGACGGTACAACGTTCTAGTCGATAGAGCTCTTCGCAACGCAGGGCTTCCAGTATTATCGGTACACGCACGACCACTCTTTCGGTATTCACACAAGAAGTGGTGTTTGGATGTATCACCAAAGTGCGACGGGGGAAGCTGGGGAAATTTGGTCCTTACCGAAAATTATCTGAGCCGACCGTTCCCGGTACACTTTGCGTAGTTTTTTTCTTTTCGCATACTATTCCTTTCTCTTCTTGCGAGGCTAAAACGAAGAGAATGGCACGAGATGGACCCAAAGGTTTTGTTACGAGGGACTTGAAAACCAACTGATGCGCTGTATTGGAAGAGCCGAGATCGCATTTTTCTAAAGCCTTTCTACGCCTGTATGATTTGAATAATAGGGGCTCCATTGTCTTCAGAGGTGACAGTTAAGTCTGCTGGCCCCTATTTGAGAGGTGCAGTTGAACTGCTTCGGCTCATGATGCGATATATTACTGTCGCGTTGAAAATGCCTGTCTCTACACACGTTCTAGTATCAATGATGTAAATATATGATTGTATCGTATAGACTAGTAATAACAGGTTCGTAAGTTCATGAGATGAGCTTTATGAGCTCATCCAAATCAAAAAAAAAAAAGAGTCGTAATTCGTAAAATGATGAATATGGATAATCGTTAGAAGAGTCTGTGTGGAAATGCCAATTTCACATAGCAACAATCTCAGACGTTGTGAAGTTTGAGTGCATAGTGAGGCACTCAAGGTTCAAATCACCACTGGACATCTTCTGGTCAATGAGAGGAGTGTGGTGCTTGCGATGATGGTGGTGATGGTGGTGGTGATGGTGGTGTTCGTCGTCGTCATCATCAGACTCTGAATCTGTATAAGTTAGCGATGGAGTCTTGTTCAAGTCAACAATGTCAACCTCTTGTTCGTCGTCACTTGCAGAGTCCATCTCCTCCAAGTCATCCAATTCTTCATCAGTGAGATCGCTCATGGAAGGCATCTCTCTAAAATTTCTTGACGGCGTGTAATGCTCGTATGAGCAGTTCTTGATAGAGTATAATGGTGCCTCTTCGTCTTCATCACTGTCAATGTCGAAATCCTCCTCAGAGTCACTCTCAGAGTCGTACTCAATCTCTGATGTGTTGTAATGGATTTCTGGAATACGACGAGGTTCTTGCTCTTCCTCATCGCTGTAGTACTCCTCATCGTCATCTTCGTCCAACTCCTCCGCAATATAGCTAACATGCGTTATCGAAGGAGACAGTTGTGGAAGTTGGAGTCTCTTGGCCAGGTAGTCACCGTTCAGTATTGAAGTTCTGTGCTCGTGAATTCTGTCCATCAAATTATCCAGCATGTTTGCGTGGCAGACCAAGACACGCAAGTCATGGTCTGGACGCGATGCCTCTCTTGTAAGCTTGGCTCTAGCTTTTGAAGCCAGCAGGTATGTCTCCGTCATTGGGTTCATCGTGGGCAGCGTGTAGCGTCAATGCGTCTGTGTGTATATGTAATCAGGAAAAAGGTAAAGCGTGTGAAGTAACAACAGCTTGTATACTTCGGAAACTGTTTGCAGAGAGGGAAAGTCGGCTTGTTTATAACCAAAACCACTTGTCAAGCAGTGTCTATGTATATTTGTAATCCACTAAGGTTTGAACCATCTTGAAACCTGATTACAAACTGGATTTACATTGCCTTTTATTCCAAAAACTTGATGACTTGAAATGGCAATGCCGGCCGGACAATGCCCTTTGAAACCCGCAACCCGTACGGGAAGTATCCCCGGCACGCGGCCTATACGTAGATCTTGAAAAAAAAATGTGCGCTCTGGAAACGGATTGAATTCCTCTCTTTTTGCACGGAAAAAAAAGATCTAAGAGGCTGGTCCCTGGAGGACGGTATAAACCACGCATACGAACAGATGTGTGACAATGATGAATACTTCCATAGAGCTTACACCGGGAAAAGATGGTTATGATGACTCATTAAATGTACATTGAAATCAAATTCCGGCTGGTGGAATTAGTGGGTTTAGCTCGGATTTTAGACGTTTGTCATCGTTCGGGTGCCTGATTTTCTTTTTTTTTTGGGCCTGTTTACACTTGCGCATCCTAAAAATTTTTAACTCATCTGTGCGGACCTCGGCTCGGCTCATACAACACGTAGTTTCTCATTCGATGGAGATCCCAGTGTTTTCAAGGTTTACGATTACAGGAGAGGGTATGCCTCAAGGTGTAGCAAGTATTCAGGGTAATTGTCTATTTGGTAATATTTTCTGGGCTGAGATGAGGTGTCAAATGGTCTTATTCTTCCGTGGAGGTTGAATCATATTGAGGGATCTACAACGTCAGCGGCGTAGCTGGTGTGCTCGAGATGCCTATTCACATCTCGCGCCGGTGGTAACCTCGAGATAATCTGGATTTACTATGGGGGTTGTAGTGTGTGACAAATTTTGCATGCTGGTGCCTGGACAGTAATAGCTGATGTCACCACAGGCCGGTTTAGATTAGAGGTCTCTTTAATCAGGGTGAGTCATGGAACGTTATTATCCACTTCCCACAACGTCCATATCGTGACTATAGGGTTTCCGTAACGGAGTCGACCAAGGTTCATGGTTATCATACCTTCGAATGACCTCAGCCAGTACTCCCCCAACCTAATCTTCAACCAAGGTTATTCCCATGGGTAACACGCCGCTTTCCTGGCCATACACCGCGATAGGGAATTCTCATCCATCGCTCTGTCATGTATAGGCAAAACATTACCGAAAGAAGAAATGAATCCGATCGAAAGCCAGCAAATTACTGGCCCGGCTCAGATTTCTAAAGCACTCTGAGGCTGTGTGTTACCCGCAACCAACAGCTTGCTATAGATGATGCTATGTGACGGGCATAAAAGCCCATTCCGACCGTCTGTGTGGCACGTACCGGGAATCGCAGACATCAAAAACCGTTGGAGGAGCCGGCCGTTCAAAACTTACCGAAGCCAAGAACCGATCCGCTTGCTCAGGCCTATCGTTCTGTGGGTTTTGCGTTTGACGGCTTTTAGGGGGAGGAATAACTCATCGGTGGTCACTCTTATCATACCCCATGATTCTACTTTCCGGGGGCGAAAGGATGGCCTATGATTGGTGTAATCCTCATATTTGATGAGTTGTATCTTCTAACCCCCACGTCTGTGCATGAAAACCACCTCAGTGGACAGTTGCACCTGTACATAGCACTTGGTGGCACAATATTTTCAACACTTGACAATGAGATAGTTGAACCGCATCCTGGATCTACATAGCAGCACATGAAGCTCAGCTCATATACAACTTGATCGGGAACGCACTGAGTTAGCACACGTGAAAACCATGCGAGGATTGTTATAAAACCGTTGTATCTGTACATAACTTCCGCACAGTAATTTTTTCAAGCCCTTCCTAGTGTGGGTCAATTGAACCATTTGCTGGATCGACACATACATCTTGCTGCGGGCTATATCTACGGTCCCATATTTATATAATATCCGTGGAAGTTGCAGCCAGCTTGATCGATGCGATATTTCAGAGAGAGTGCTAATCCTAGTCAAAGAGCATTCAATAAATAATCCGCCGGCCAAGGACATTGAGAGAATGACGGCTAACTATGCAATTGAATTTCCAACCTGTGCCAGAGACACTACACTAGAGAACTTTAGGAGATTGAAACCGAACTTGACTAATTACTAAAGGAAAAAATCTATATACTTTTCAGTTCTTCTTCAATGCTCTTCTGGCCTTGACAGCATCGGCCAGCTCCTTAAGCATGGAGACGGTGGTATCCCAGCCAACACATCCATCGGTGATGGAAACACCGTATTTGAGGCCACTCTTGCCCTCTGGTGGGACGGATTGCTTACCTTCGTTGATGTGAGATTCAATCATGAGACCGATAATTCTGTCCTCACCATTGGCAATCTGCTTAGCAACATCAGCAGAGACAAGCGGTTGGTTTCTGAAGTCTTTGTTAGAGTTACCGTGGGAACAGTCAACCATCAACACACCCTTCTCACCAAGCTTCTCCTTGGCCTCTTGAACAGACTTGGCATCGTAGTTGGTTCCCTTCTTACCACCTCTCAAGATAACAAAACAGTTTTCGTTACCCTTGGTTGCAGTGATGGCTGCGATACCGTGCTTTGTAACACCCATGAAGTGATGTGGGTGAGAAGCAGCTTGGACAGCGTCAAGAGCAACGTCAAGGGTACCATCAGTACCGTTCTTGAAACCAATTGGGAAACTCAAACCAGAAGCCAACTCTCTATGAAGTTGAGATTCGGTAGTTCTAGCACCAATAGCACCGAAGGAAAGAAGGTCAGCAAGGAATTGTGGCGAAATGGTATCCAACATCTCAGATGCAATAGGGAGACCTTTGTCAGTCAAGTCACAGAACAATTGTCTAGAAACTCTCAAACCTTTGTTGATATTGAAAGTGGAGTTGACATCTGGATCATTGATCAAACCTTTCCAGCCAACTGTGGTTCTTGGCTTCTCCAAGTATGCTCTCATGACGACAACCAGTTCGTTTTGCAATTCATCACTGAGCTTTTTCAATCTAGTGGCGTAATCCATGGCAGCGTCGTAATCGTGGATGGAACATGGACCAACAACAACGAGCAAACGATCGTCTTCTTGCTTGATGACCTTGATAGAGTCATTACGTCCCTTAAGAGCAGTCTCAATAGACTTCTGGGATGCTGGGACTTCACTTTGCAAAAGTGCTGGCGACAATAGCGGTTCGTAACCAAGAATGTTGACGTCTTCAACTCCGGTGGTCTGTGCACGTTGTGTTAGTGTCGATCAACGGAGTGCGGTTCACACAACAAAACCAAACACTTACACTCATGATGAATATATGTCGAGGTACTTTAATAAATATAAGGAGGAAATCCTATACAATCAGAGAGGTAAGAGGAAGAAGAATGGATGAAGGTACGGTTTTTCTTCCATTTCTATGGAAAATTTTTGACTCATATGAAGCTGAGCTGCATGCTCGGCATCGTGGTGGAAGACTTTGGATGCGCGTGGTGGCCCTAGCGAGAAAAAAAGGGACTAAGCCCTACCACGCTAGGCTATTTTTGAGTCCTCTTCGGACTGAGAGGAAATTGGAAAAGGTGATGTGTTGCCCATTTTACAGTCTGACTTGAAGGGCAGATCGCAGAATTTGCTCATCAGCGACATTATAAGATGGTGTTGAGGTGTCTTGTCGACTTTGTAAGGAGACTGGGGCACTACTCTTGCTCAAAAATCCCAAATACGCCCGTATACCTCTGTAGTCCACCAAGTCCCAATGGTCGTCCTAGTCCCACTTCTTTTAAATCAGCCGGCCTAATTTTATGGAAAATTTTTTCACTTCGTCGAGTCCACAGCCCACGTTACTCAACGCAGTGGAATTTGGGAATTGTTTTGCTACACCTGGTCCAATATCGACAACTTAACGATGAATTTGGTGGAAATTGGACTCAAAATTTTCTTCTTATCGGTTACGTGTATGTATGTAACGTTTGACACCATTTTCACAATAGCAAGTTGCAATAGAACAGTGGCTATGGTTGTTGAAAGACCACCGATAGCCTTCGTTTGCCGAACTTTGGTAGGCACACACATGCTCTGGTACAGACACAATATGGTAGAGACACGATTTCTCCAGGGCGTCACGATGTACTATCATAACACACCAATGGCGTTGTCTGATTCTCCATATGTACAACGTTATGTATTCAATCTTGACATAGATATATATACATTAAGTATTATTCTTAGCCTCTGCTCCACCAACTACTCATCTTCTCCCTGTTTTTCTGGTTCTCCTCCGTGAGATTCTCGTCTTGCTTGTGAACCATCGGTTTCTCCTTCGCTGCGACAGTTTCTCTCGCCTTTGCTGCAAAGGCCATTTCTTTACGTCTCTGTGAACGACACTGTTCCCATGAAACAGTGCTTCCTAATAGTAACCCACCAACTGCCCAATTGGCCGCCTTTGAGGGTGATTTCTGCACCAAAAACACAACTGAACCTAGGACGGCCATGGCTGATAACCCTGTAAGACCAGCTTCTCTAAAGCATGGCATCTGAGACAGTCTGGAGAAGGAGAAGTCATCTGCTTTGATACTTTCAACAGCCTCCTTTAGTGGTAGTTGGGGATTTGATGGTCCATTGTTGAAACGAGGCTCAGTATCTTCGAGAAGAAGCTGTTGTTGTGTCGGAGATGTGTTTGGCCCGTCTCTTTTGCGTTCGGATGATCTCCTAGGTTGACGCGACTCAAAATCGTCTGAAGAGGAGTTGTCCGAAGGGCTCTTGGAGCTGAATGGCCATACCATGATTATAGATTGTTAACAGCTGCTTTTGACACCGTCATAGTCCGTTCAAATAAGAAAACTTCCTCTCTTTGTTTTTTGCGCTTTTTGCGAATCGCATGAGGGAGGACGGAAATTGAAAACCGCGAATATCTTTGTATAGGAAACAGAATCTTGAGGCGCAACATGAACATTGATTGGTTTGGAGATTGCCCAAAAGATTCGCCTTCTGATCTGTCAGTGAGTATCAGTATACTACAAGTTGGTGAGCCTTGTTGATTCTAAAAACATCGATCAGTGATTGCCTAATTGCTTCTCGCTAGCTAAGGCATTTTCTGAATTTGAAAAAAAAAAGAGCTCGCACTCAGGATCGAACTAAGGACCAACAGATTTGCAATCTGCTGCGCTACCACTGCGCCATACGAGCATCTTCGAAAACTTGAGTAAGTTGTGATGAAGTTGTGATGAATACATTGCCCTAGAGAACTGATGGATACTTTATTACACATATTGGCTCATCTACTTGACAGCCAGCTTCAAAGGTAATGGTATTGCCTCAATTGTTAGTTACACTAATCAAGTTTATTATCACAGATGGATACAAAAATGTGGGTTATATTATTGAGCCGGTATGTGAGGTTTAGAATAACAAAGCGAGCATCAATACGCTTAAAGATGCTGTTAATAAAGAACCACGCCCTTCAAAAGTCGATACCGTGGGTTCTGTAACAAACACAGATGTCCCCGTAGATTCAGACAAGTACTGTGTAACCTGTATGTTCTTTGTTATTGTAGATGTGATGTTTTCCTCATTTGGTATCAAACTACTGAAGGAACTTTCAAAGGTGGTGAGTGGTGGTGCACTTTCAGTCAAAGAACCTGATTCGTTAAAAACAGACGAGGAAAAGGATGTCACAACTGATACACTTCGATCGCTAGTGGAAGAATTTGGAGGTGAGGCAGCAAGAGAGATAAATGGTGAAAAGCTGGATGAAAGATCCCACGTCGTACTTGGACTTGTGGAAACAGCCGGTGTTGAGGAATTGAAGTCCAGATACTGAGTAAGTGATGTAATTGTGACATTCTCCGTGTGAGTTTCCGAAACAACTGTTGTCAATGTAGCTACGACTGATGTCGTATCGTGAGTGTAAATCGATGAAGAGGTTGGTGATAAGCTGGAAGACGTCAGAGTTGTCTCTTCTATACTTGGTGGAGTAGACGATTCAATGAAAGATGTGGAATCGTTCATGGAAGTAAGAACAGCTTCAGAAGACAATTCAGTGGAGGATGAAGTGATCTCTGTACTTGAGGACATCACTGAAGAGCTAGAAGAGGATATGACACTGGAGCTTGTATCAATATGGGTTGATGTGGTTGAGGATAAGCTTGTATCCGGTCCTGAAGAGGATGATGAGCTTGACATTAACGAAGAGTCGTTACGCACATGAGCAAATGTAGGTTGTGGAGGTGAAAGCGTAGTTGTGCAGCCTCCCGGACACGTCTTGACTGTCACCGTTGTTTGCTGCTCACATGTTAAACAAGTTGCAGAGTATGTGGTGGAGAAGAGTGAAGTGGAGGAAGTGGATGTGGACGGTTCATAAGAAGTGGATGTGGACGGCTCATAAGAAGTCGAGCAAGCGAGACACACTGGTGAGAAAGTTGTTCTCACCACAGAGGTCGTCAACGTTGAGGTGGATCTTGCATGAGAAGTTGAGCACGATAAACAAGTTGCTAAATAAGTCGTTCTAGTCAACGAAGTGAACAACGTTGATGTCGACCTTTCATAAGAAGTAGAGCATGACAAGCAAGTTGGAGAGTACCTCGTGCGTACTAGCGTCGTGTATAGAGTGCTGGTGGATCTCCCTGCTGAAGTTTGTGTAGCTGGGCTCGACAATGAACCACTTGGTATGTCTCTATTTTCTAGAGCAGGAGTTGGTTGAGCAGAGCAGTCAGTGCTAAATGGACCTTGATACCACGATGTGGCTACTGCTGCGTCTGTAATTGAAAGGGTAGATGCACTTTCATATGAAATATTGTCAAGCACTTCAGTAACCTGTCCATAATCCAATGCTCTAGTGGCACTTGGGATCTCGTCAGTAACTTCAATAAGCTCCTCTTCTCCGTTGGTGAATTGTGCGATAGCAACCTCTGCATTATCAAGATCAAACACAAGGAACATATTCTGTAGAAGATCTGCACCTATAGTAGGGGAGGAATCAGTTGGCATGAAGGAAGTGGCACATAAACGATCACCATCTGAGTCCATCAGTTCATAGCCACTGGAGTTAACTGCAGGTAATATGAAGGTCTGTGGAGCTAATTGAATGGTTTTTCCTGAGAAGTTGATGGTTAAAGGCTTTGCACGGGAACATTTGAACAGATATGTTTCCATGCCGTACGGGTATACCATATCAGATGTCAATGATCCTCCAAAGAGTTGGTTTATCTGATGGTATAACGACGAAGGTAAGAGACTGACTTGTGATCCTGTGTCAATATTGACTATGAATGAATTCTGGTTTGAGAAGCCACATTCTGAAGCTATTCCAGAGACATAGATATTCCAACCCTGTGTTCCAATAACTGGAACAGTCTCTAGAGTTCCTGTGTATTTTCCAGAATCCAAGCCTCCAAAGATAATTGCACCAGTTGATGTTGTCGAATCTGAGAAGACGGAAAAGAGACTTCTTTGAATAAGACCATTTCTTTGCAAGACGTATGGCAACACGGAACGGGTACTGTCGTTGATATAGCCAAGTCCAGCTATATTGGAGTAGTCATCCACTGAACCAGAGGCAAACAAGAAGTCGTCAATTGCCAGGCCAGACACTTGTAAGTGATCCCTATAGTAGTAACCTGTACCACGAGTCCCATCTGAGTAGTAGATGCTGTACTCATCTGTGGTATTTGTCGAAGTGGTAGAATCAGCCGGATCGTACGCACCGTAATAATCACAGTCGGTCTCAGAACAATGTGATCTCATTGTAGTGATTAAGTTAAATGATCCTGTATCAAAAAGGACAACCAACGTCTGAGCAGGAGTACCGAGCTCTATTTCACCATCGTATGAGAGAAATCCATTCGTGGACTCGACATTACCTGAGCCGAAAGAGGACCTTTTCTGGAGCTGGACCTTCAGCGGAGAAGCCAACACCACAGTGGCAATGAGAGAGTATAAAACAAGGGGATTCATGATGTTTGATATCTCACATCACGTCGAAAGATATTGGTTTGAGATGGGGAATATTCAGTGTTTTATATATGTAGGCGATCAGTCATGAAACAAACGGTGATATGCAAGTACTTCAACATGCACCCAGTCAGAGTCCTTGATGCATATCGCTACTTAACGATCAGTGATTTTTGGTCCCCACTGAATGGTATGAACATAGCTCAAATGATAGAGAGATTCAAATCCCATTAGTCTTCATTGGAGGCATAACAAATAGTGACAATCACAGGCCATAGACTTCATACATGATCAATACCAACCAATTGCAACCCCCAGAAGAACCCATTGACCTCGTATTGTTAGTTTAGAGCGGTGTTGTTGATGTTTGGTGTACCCATTGTTCCCTCCCAAAAGGGAAACACTAGACGATGCAATACAGTGTCAGACCCCAGTCCAGTGCCCTCAATTCACTAATTAAATGCATTTTACTGAGTTTCATGTGTCCATACTCTCTGTCAAGTGAACTGAAATCAGCAACAGAGATCAATTCTCTCTTAATTTGGAGCATTCGGTGAAGAATCCCAAACATCGTAGGATAACGAATAAACCAACCCGAGTAACCGTGGTAACCATGAAAAGTGACGAAAAGTAAACAAATATAAAATCATAAAACAAGTTCGCGGAAATGTGCGACGCGAAAACCCGAACGCGAACTTTTGCTATACTTTCGTGACGCGTCGCTCATATTCTTCTACAAAACAAAGCATCAGCAACACCGGGATAACACATAGCAGCAGACTGTGGCCAGGGTTATGATGACAGTTGTCGAGCCTATCCGTCGCTCTAAGCGTATTCAGGAGATCAAATCTTCCCAGCAAGTGGTTGTTGATGAAGATATCGAAGGTGACGAATACCAAGATGAAGATGGCGAATACTATGAAGAAGAGGAGGAGAAGAAGGGATTTTCGTTGAGGAAGAGGCGGAAAGGTACATCCAGTTCGTCCCAGAGAAAGAAACCAAAACATGGTGAGAAGACTGATGGCTATAAAGAGCTCCGTGAGAAGTTTGAAGAGCACTATATGTTCCAGGCTCTAGTTGATGCCGATGCTTCGGTTGCGGAACTTGCCAACGAGTGGGTTGACCAGTACAAGAACGATAAGGATTTGGCCAAAAAGGATTTGGTTAATATGATGCTGAATGCTGTTGGATGTTTCACCAAGATAGAAGAACATGATGTTGCGAACAACGAAAGTGCCTCTGAAACTGTTGGTGAGATCCAAACATTCTTCAAACGTCAGAAGGTTCATGAGTTTTATCTCTTGTCAAAGAAGCCGGAGTATAAGCATCTGTTGAAGAACTTCCAACACTTTATCAGTAACCTCATTCAAACTGCGGACGAGAGTGGTGTTTTATACAGCAACATTGTGATTGCAGAGGAAGATGAAGATGTTGAGGAACCAGATGATACCAATTTGATGGAAGATCTGCTGATCTGGCTCTCATCGTTCTCAGTATCGACCATAAGATCGTTGAGATATATCTCAACTTTGGCTCTATTCACTATTGAAACCACTTTGTGCAAAACTGCAAAGAAGAATAACACTTCTCTTGAGGACTTGAAGCACCAACTTCTTGTGGAAAAGGGTAAGAAGCAGACTGCGACGATTAAAAAGAGAGTCTCCCAGATCGAGGAGAACGTGGAAACTTATACAAATCAGTCGATTTTGCTCGAGAACTTCATTCAGGATATTGTCAACACAAGTTTTATCCACCGTTTCAAGGATGTGGACCATCATATTCGTATTGAGGCGATGAACTCTCTTGGAGAATGGATGATCTTATATCCTGAGCTCTTCTACAAAGTGACATATCTTAAATACCTCGGTTGGATTCTCTCAGATTCCAATTCAAGTGTGAGAATCCAGGTGTTGAAAACATTGGTCAAATTGCTCAAGCACAATTCAATCGTCGCCGGATTGAGACAATTTGTCGAGAGATTTAAAGGTCGTATTGTTGAGATGGCCTTTTACGACGTTGATAATAATGTGAAGAACAACGCCATTATATTGCTAACTGAAATCAACAAGATTGGGTACTTGGAGGAAGAAAGTATTCACAAAATTACCTCGTTGCTCTTCACTAGCGAAGACTCCAAAACCAAATCACTAGTGGCTACTTTTGTTTCGCAAGTTGAAACGGATCGTACAAGCGATATCATAGAAACTTATGAAATAACCATAGAGCAAGACCAAGACAAATTCACGCATGATCTGCGAAAGTTGATCAAGTACAATGCTTTGCTAAAATTGTTGGAAGAAAGCTATCAAAGAGAGGATCAACCAGAAGGGAACCCATTCATTGTCTTAGCCGATATCATTGTGTCTACGAAAAGATACACCAATCCTTGGTCCGACTTGATTGAATATTATACGCTAGATATCTCTTCATGTGATAAACTAAGTGAGACCCTGCGTGATATTCTCAAGCTTGATTTGGCGAAGCGAGTTATCTTACTGTCTCTGTTGAATGGCTCTCTCGCAAAACTGTTGAAGAGTAAGGGTTCGGATGAGGATTGTGTTGATGTTTCATCTAAGTTAGAAGATATCTTGAAAATTGCAGAACAAAGTGAAGAAGAGTTTGGTGTCTTTCTTCAGATCTTTGGTTTGTTCAATCCACAGTTCCTGGAGAATCTGAACAAATCCCAAGTCTATAAAAGTACATTCCAGGCAATTGCTAAGCATTTCAAGTCAAATTTTGTTGGATCATCTCAAAGTAAATATATTAACTTGTTTAAGACAATCCCCAACAACTCAGACCTTGTTTGTGTGATTGATACGAAGTCTGTCTTCAAAGACTTGACGAATGAATTGATCTTGGGATGCCATAAGTTGGTACAAGCTGATGATTTCATCATCTCACAGACTACAGCAGCACAGATCGAGGATGACTTTATCTCCAAATTGTTAGTCCTTGGGACTTCTTTCGATATATCTGATGCTCTTCCATATTTTGCTGAATTGAAGGATAAGCTGTTTAGTGTACTGCCGGACATGGGGCTCGCTGAAAGCTCATCACTTCAACAAATGGTTATATCCCTCTCTAAGGTCATACTCTCTTCTGTCTCGTGGAAACTAAACAACTTACTACAGTCCAATGAGATGTATGATATCGAAGAAGAACTGAAACCACTGCCTGGTATTCTTTTTGATGAGTGTGAACTAATCACTGAACGCTCCTCACCACTTACCTTCCGCACTGATCTTTCATTCTTGGTCATTGACCTGTACGTTCTTCTGAAGAACTTCTTTGAAAACTACATTCAGTCAGGAAAAGACAACCTTTCTCACACTTCTCGCTTTAAAGATCTTGAACTTGAATCTTTGAAGCCTCGAGATACTACTATTGCTAGCCTCAAAGATATATTCTTGATCAAAGAATCCAAATATGCAAGTTTACTTGGTGAAGTTCTTGAAAGAGAGGATGATGAAGGCATTGATTATAACAGTGTTGAGGCCACTGATGATGCAGTCGCATGGGAACTTGAGCGTGATTTGGCCCTATTCACATTGAAGATCGTAAGATTCTCTAACATGGGGTTCTTGCCAAATGACTTCATTAGTAGATTATCGCTCAATCGCTCAATCTTGGGTGAACTGTTTGCAACTGTTATTGAAGAGCAATCCAATACTCCACAAGCTGAACCAGAGCTTGAAGAAGTTCATGATGAGGTCCCTAGTATTCATCTGGATTAAAATTTATGTCAATAAATATAGCTTTATAAATTAATAACCATTATATAATATGTATCGTAGTCTCATGTGCAACTCATAACTGTCAATACAACTAGAAAGATCTGTATCTATAACTTTGCTCGTGCATGAAGGGCAACGGCAATGAAATACCCTTCTGTGAAGAAGCCGATGCAATGTTGATTGGTGGAAGTGTGATTCTTGGTTGTGATGAATAGCCAACATTAGCAGCTGTTGCTGGTTGTTGACTCATCGGTGGTTGTAATGATGGTATCAATGGAGCTGTGGTTGGCGATGGATAAATATAACGACTTCCACCAGGGGAGTTTCTACCACTCTGTATTGGTGATTGTTCTGGTGAGAGATGGCCAATCATTTGATCAATTCCATCGAGTATTTGATGTTTACTCAAACCAGTATATGAGTAAGATATCCAAGATCTCAAACACTGATGCAAGTTCCTTGTGATAAACTCGATAAATTGAGGAGATACTCTAGTGACAGAACCTTCAAGCATTTTGGCGATCTCGTTTTGAACATCATGCGTTGAAGAGGAACCCATTTCATAAATCAAGTAAACAATAGATTGAATTATTGGATTGGTCATAAACTCAACGTGACTGTTCAAGTTCGTGAATATCTTCAGTAGGCAAAGGTGCGTTTCCACAACAGACCAGGTGTAATTAGTTGGCAAATTCAATAGGGAGTCAAAATCAGAGTGCAGGTTAGCATTTGATATGAATCCAATAAATAATAAGGGATGGGATATAAGACCCAAATTGTTGTTGACAGAGCTGATCTTCAAAGAAGACATGTACTCAAGACAACAAGTCGCAACATCCTCCTCAGTACCAGCCTGTAGGAACTGTTGCAAATTAGAAGTATTATATTGATAAGTGAACTCCTTCAGTGTCACTCTTAGCAAGTTCCAGTGATGACGACTCTTTGGAACAACAACGTATTCCGATATCAAATCTTGAAATCTAAGCGGACAGTTCATCAGCAAGTTGCGCTTTGATACTGTTATCAGGTTGTTAAGAATTGAGGTTTCATCACCAGTCTCAGCGTTGATCTGTGTGAATGCTCTATTGGCCATTATAATTGCATTGTGAAGAAATGGTTTCGACTCAAACGAAAACTTGTCGTTGAATCTGGAAGCCTGAAGTTCGTTGGACAGTCCCATGAGCACACAATCTGCTGTAATGCTGTCTCCAGTTGGAACAGAAGGCAAACGCGTCAACGTATCGAAGGCCTCCAATAGGGTACAGTTCTCACCTGGAAGTGTTTTCGTCAAGAACTGTTGATGAACTTTTGCAGGGGGTTTATTGTAGCTCAGTGTGAAATTGGCTAGTATGATGAATATGTGCCAATAGTTAAACAATGGGGGTGCGTTAAGCTCCAACACCCTCGTTGTGGTTGTATCAAGGTACTCAAGTACAATTTCAATAGGCACAAGATCAAACTGTGATAGCATGCTCTTCTTCTTTAGCACATAGTAGTTGTTGAGATAAATATAGGAGATGAGCGTCAGGCTCTGGATGATAGCAGAGGGATCATTCCCAGCCTTCAGTACCAACAACCACGACTTGTTCAGCAGCTTCAGACAGTCTTCGAACTGATTTGAATCAGCAGCACCACACGCTAAGAGCGCATACAACAGGCTTGACTCCTCATTAAGAGCAATCATCTGTGATGATTGGATCACTGGAAGAGTCAAATTCGATAACGTTCCCCAAACCAGAAACAGTGATGACACCTTTGAGTTCAGCTCAATGTCCTGTACTCTGTTGAACTTCTGGGACAGCGTGAGCAGCGACACGGTTGTCTGGTCGTTGAATCTATAGAGAACTGAGCCATCAACAGTTACAGGCGACGAGGGTAACGACTCCGACACCTCGGAGCACGGTGATGGAGCCACTTTCATGGTGGTCACGGCTGGTGAAGGCGCTGCTTGTGGTGGTGTGCACGATCTCTGTGGCTGTGGAGGACTTGATTCTGATGGCGAGCTTATTGGTGCGCATCTAGCGCTGGGTTGTGGTGATGGTCTCACGGCCTTCTTCTTGTCCTTTGCATGCACAGTTCTTGTGTGTCTCTGCAATAAGTCCCTCCGCACAAAGGCAGAGTCGCACTGATCACAGCCAAATGGTTTTTCCTTTGTGTGGGAACGTTCATGGCGGGCCCTATGCTCAGATCTTGAAAATGCACGGGCACAGAATGAGCAAATGTAACGACGCTGTGGTGGCATGTCCTTAATTGGTGATCAACTGACTTTTTTAGGTGAGTGAGGTACTGTTCTTTAATGACTCGGACAGGACATTCAAGTGAAACTCAAAAAAATGTGTGGTTGACAGACAGCTTCGGATAAACTATAAACTGGTTCCAAAGTAATGTATTTATACTGAAAGAATGTCAAGAAATGTCTTTTGCTGTTAATGGGATAAGCTTTAGTGTGTGTGTCTACAGTCGAAGCAAGAAGATGATCAGAGGGATGAAAAAATGAACCCCACTGACAAAACGACGACGCATCCGGTCTCGGACTCCTGGGTCTTCTGTATGGGTATTTGTGTTTTCCGCACATTTAAGGTTCAGCCGTTCATGGTGTTTTTTCTTGCTTTTTCTTGGATTCTGCCTTCAAGGCTGTAGAATTTTCTCCTGTCGAATTGTCCGGTTTTGTGCCAAACTTTGGTAATGCATCCGCCAATTTTCAGGACGAAGATTTTCCTTTAGGACAAACCCCTCAATCTGTAATGGTTTCCCTATCATGTGGGGGAGGGGAATTTTTAAACAACAAGGATAATCATTCCTCGGGCAATACTCTCAAAGGACCTGTTTAGGTTCACGTAATGTTCACACTAGGCTACTTGGTGGGATATGGTCGTGCCTATATGTGTACGTACCCACGCACGAACGTGAGTTTGGTCTGTCTTATTCAGATCCTGTTTACACAAGTGTACCTACGTCCTTGAAATTGGGAAAGGGACTGGATCAGCATCGTCCCAGTAGTCGGCTTTAAAAGAACATGGGCCTAGGCAGCGTATACAACTTTGTTAACAGTCCAGAGCACTCCATGTCGAGAGAGGGGCAGCCAAGGAAAGACAATCAAAGCCTCTCACGTTATAACTCTCCCCCTCTCCCAGACTCTGGCATCCGACACACCTTCCTTTTTAAAAATTAAACACCATTGCAGTGGTGGTTCTCAGGGGTATGACAGTAGTGAAGCCACCAACTGTCCAAGCTAATTTCGGCCTTCTTTAGTCCTTCCTGCATCTGTTCCGCTCTCAGTCTTTTTCCAATTGGACGTCTGTCAAGTGGCAACGACGTGGAAAGAACACAATTTACAGTTGTACCGACAACAATGTAGCCTTACGTCTAGTTACCGAAAGAAGAGGTTGTTTGACAGGCTAACTGGGAGCCTTTGATCCTCTGTTTAGTTGTGGAGTTCTTTAAAAGAAGCTTACAAGGTCTCGATTGAAAGATCTTGATCTCCAAAGATTTCACCCGAGTCTAGCCTACGTCCGTGAGTTCATGGAATTAGCAACTTGCAATTCTCTGGACCTTCAGCGATATGTAAACCGTAGCATCTTCTTGACCCCTCCTCCTCAACGGTCAAATGCACATTGGTCGCGCAAGGATAAAGATGAAAGAAAGAAGATAAATCCGCTGTGGATCTGAGAATTGCTCTCCAATATGGTGGGGGCATTCGGCTGTTTCCCGTGCGAAATTGTCCAATTGTGGTGGAGTATCACTTTCGGCAGTCGTTCTTTAACCTGGTATATCAACTGTAGATCTCTCCACTCTGTAGCTCGTTGTAAAGAAATCGCTTATTAAAAAATCAGGTAGCGGCGCGTATGCTCGAGAGGTTGCTTGTAGCTCAATCTCTGTGAATAAAAACAACCATCTGCCATTAAAAAAGAAACAAAAAACGTTTCGGTATAGTCTATATTTCCAACCAAGTACTCCTTAAGCAATGAGAGGGTTTGGCCTTTACTGGGATATATGTTAAAAGACTCAACACCTGAACACACCCTTCCAAACTCCGGCTTTCAGAGGTGTAGGCGTTACCGAGCATGTTCTGATACTCAGTGTACGGATGTCTTCGTTATATTTCTCTTTTGGTAAATTTCTCTCTCCACGGGAAAAGATTAGTCTTGCTTCCGTTACTTTTCGCGGGGACCCACACCGTGGTTGTGTGAGACATTGAGAATTAGAGAGGGGAAGAGCTTGTGATATTAGCCCCCATCCATTTTGAAACACACACTTAGTAACCTGTGCTGTGGGAAGGATGTTTTAGCGGTTAAAACCTCTTTGCTTGACTCGCCGGGTTCCACGCTGATTAATCCCATTACAACAACCGATTATATCTGAAATCTCGGTTATCGGCAGCACACCATCATCAGTCACTCACAGCCACGATCAGTCTATGGTTGATGGCCCAACATTTCTTCCGACTTCGGTTGGTTCTTCCGCAATGTTTCTGTAGTCCTAATCTCCAGCTAATGTCCCAGGTTGTGTAGTCACTTGGAGCCCTTTTGTGTCCCGCTTAGCGTGAACTAATAAGATTCAGTTGCATTACTGAAACACATAGCGTCTGTCACTAAGTATGTGGCTGGTGAGGACTCGCGAGGCTTCTTCAGATCAGAAGTTTGGTTTCCAACCGCACCTAGAGTTCTTCATTCACATGTCGTATTGTCCAGTACAATCCAGTGTTGATGGAATCTCCATACACTGTACCAAAAAGCCACTCTTACCTCCACCAAAAATGTATATGCCTCCACAATTACCGCCACCGGAGATTTTAACTATTCTTTGGTTTTTTTTCCTTTTTTTGAACTTGAGAACAATCATGAAGCAAAAGGTCACAGGATATCACTTAACTGATCCTGTGATCAGTTTAAGGGTTGTCTAGTCAACATTGTTAAAATTTTTCAAGTCGGCATATTACTCATCAACAAAGGGGTAACCAGGAAAGAGATAATCACCACGACTAGACAAAGTGGTCACCCACATTAGAAAACGAGAATGTCGGAGTCGTTGTCCCTGGGGACCATCATATACACGGCTGTCAAGCCCATCTTCAAAATCTACCTCATCATTGCAAGTGGGTTCATACTCGGAAACAAGAATATGTTGACCGTAGAAACCTCGAGGAACTTGAGTGATATCATCATCTCTTTTATATTCCCGTGTCTTGTCTTCACAAAAGTTGTGAGCAATTTACAGAACAGTGACATTAAACAGATTGGTATCATCTGTCTCCTCTACATCTTGATGACTCTTATTGGTGGTATTGGCGGACTGGGGTGTTATTTCTTGGGCAAACCAATGTACTGGTTAGGTGGGTGTCTAAGCGTTGCGTTGATGCCAAACATTAGTGACTTGCCAATCGCGTATCTACAAACCTTCAGCACGGGTGCTGTGTTCACGGAGGCTCAAGGTGAAAAGGGTGTTGCTTATATTTGTATATTTACAGCTGTACAAATTCTGTTCCAATTCAACCTGGGTCTCTTTAAACTGATTGGCTATGACATTGATCAACAGAAGAAGCATGACCCAACAAAGAAAATCTTGAATCACTCTGAAAAGGATGTGAATAACATATCTTGCTCCAAGTCTATCCAAGAAGAAGATCTTAACGATGTTGACTCCTACACCAGTGGCGATGAGGAGAACCAAAACCAGATAGATAACATTGTTAGACCGTTAGTGCCAACAGCAAGCATACAGAGAGTGGCATCGAAGGTTTCTAACCTCTCGTTAAGGAAATGCCGCTCTCAAAACGTCCATGATATTATCAACGAATACTCACAGGCTGCTGATATCGGTGACGATGTCCATGCCGTCCCAGCAGTGAATACTGAATTAGTACTTGTGCCTACCCATATGGAACCAGCCGGGAACAAATGGAAGGGTAAAATCAAGTCGTTGTTTTGGTTCTCTGTGGATAACTGGCGTAGGCCGGTATCCATATCACTCGTGCTATCTATGGTTGTATCCATGATTCCCTGGGTGAAGGCTCTGTTTGTCTCTACAAACCAAGCGCATCTTCCAAACGCTCCAGATGGTTTACCCCCTCTATCTTTCATAGTCGACTTCACAGAATACGTGGCCCAGGCGTGTGTTCCACTAGGTCTTTTGATCCTTGGTGCTACACTCGCAAGGCTGGAAGTGTCACAACTGTCATGGAAAGTTCTGAGAACTCCTCTGATGATTACTGGACTAAGGCTCGTTATCCTGCCTATCATCGGAACCGCCATTATTGCAGGTTTTGCGCGTTATGGTTGGTTTGATGATGATGATATCTTGAGGTTTGTATCAACCATTGTGTGGTGTCTGCCAAATGCTACGAGTTTGATCTACTTGACCGCATTCTATACCCCATTGGAAGGCAGTTGGAGTCAAATGGACCAACTGGCGCTCACTTATATCATCCAGTATCCTGTGTTGAGTATCAGTCTCCCATTTCTTACAACGTATTGCATCAAGGTATCATTGGATTATTAGCTGCTACCGTATTTGAGTTTTGTTGTTGTGTTTTTCTTCCCCATATTGTGATTTTTATAGATTATTCTCACGATCATCGTGTTGCGATTATGTAGACACGAACAATCTGTTGACAGACAAACTACTTTTAAATCTAGCCATGATCACTGATCAGCGCCACGATATGTCTGAAAAAAGGTTCAAGTTCACCTAATTAACCTGAGCGGGCGCCGCAAGGATTGTGACCATGCGCCTTGTCTGCAGTGTGTACGTGCCACAAAATAAAACCCTTAAAAGTCTGGGGCACACCTCTTTTGAACAGAAAAAGAAGCATCATTATTTGCCTTTCATTTCAGCAAACATTCAAAGTCCCAAAAGACAAAAGGAGACAAATTGGCAATTGAATTGTGCACTTTGATTTTTATACACTCACACGCATAGACACACATTGGCTCGACCCTCCACTAACATAATGTCATCTTCGTCATTACAAATTGGGTCCGAGCTTGTGCCTTCAGTCCCGGGCTCCAGGGCTCCTTCAGCGGCCCCGACGCCAAAGTCCAGCTTTATCTTCGCCGATCAGCTTGCTGGATCCACAAAGGATCTGAGCTACTCCTTCATCAACTCCGAGTTCCTTGATGACGTTGACATGGAATTGCCGAGGGGGTTCAGATCAACAGCTCAAACCTACAAGACCACCTCAACAAGCGCATTCCGTAACATGACCTCCACACCAAGGTCTCATCACCCGACTTCGCTGCCAAAGTCATTACCAATAGACTGGAATCTGTTCAACAAGCAGTTTGAACTCAACCAGAAGCTCAAGTTATCGAAGCTGAAGCGTAAGAGGACGGTGTCTGAGGAGTTTGAGAACAACTTCGAGAACTTGCCCTACCATGTCATCGACTTCATCTCGGATTGTGTGGAATCGCAGTCTGACTTGATCAACTGGAGTCAGACATGTCGGTTCTTCAACAGGATGGTGAACAAGAGATTGTACTCGCATGTCATCCTGGTTGACAACATCAGCGACCGTTGTAAACACTACGATGGTAAGTATACGCTGGTTGACTCGAAAAACTATCCCAAGTTCCTTGCATCGCTCTGTGCCAATGACGAGCTCGTCCCACTCGTGAACGAGATTGTCATTGACACTTCCTCAAACCACTCCAGTTATGACTCCCTCGATGAGAACATCTATGCTGCGTTGTACGACATCTTCTTGACTCAGAACAACAACTTGGATGTGTTGCAGAACTTGGATTACAACAACCTGAAGAAGTTTGATTCGTTGTTGAACTACAACAGAGCTCATTTGATCAAACACAACTATAACAAATATACCGATTACTACCATGAGTCGGAAAATATGGAGGATCTCATTCGTAGAGATCTCCTACATTTGACAAACTTCCAGCTGCTTGACTTGAACGACATCAACAGGTTACCGGTTTCAGCGAAGGACGTGTCGTTTGCCCTCGAGCACGAATTCCAACGGAATGCTAAGTTCCAATTGACACTGGCAGGCTGGGATACTTTGCAAAGACTAACAACGTTGAAGCTACACACTCCTTATGCATTTGATCAGTTCCTCAAAGAGGCCTACAGGTTCCGTAATTCCGATACTTATCAACGTCTCGGAAACATTACAACGCTATCCATTGCAAACATCCATAAAGTTGACGACCGTAACCAAGAGTCTCGTCTTAGTTTCCACAAGTTGAACTCAGTTATTGACCTCTCAAGAGTTGAGGCCTTAGAGTTGAAGTTGAAATGTCATGAAAGAGTCCAGTGCAACTATTGTATCATGCAGTTCATGACTGATTGGTTCGAGGAGCTTTTATCCAATGATCATTCGAATTTGAAGAAGTTATCTCTCATCAGTTTGCCTCCAAGTTCAAACTACAACGTCAACACTCAATGGGATTCTATCCTTTGTAATGCTAACTTCTTGGAAAAACTAGGCGAGAACTTGGAGTTCTTCTTCATCAACCTCAACGATTTCCCATACATGCCAATCTTTGAAAAGACCAGTGCCCAAGAAGTCCAGGACTCCTTGAAACTACCCATCAATGAAAGCATCTTGAAGATAAGAAAGTTGATGTACACAAATATTGTCCATTCCTTCAAGAAGCTTGAACTGTTGGTTATGCCGGACTATTTCTACAACTGGGCAGTCTACAACAATATATCAGACCTTTCAAGAGATGAAAATGTCAACTTTTTGAACTTCTTGGATTCGTGTTTATGCAACTGCTGTTGCGAAGGTCGTCAGTTGTTCAAGGAGTACTCAAGACGTACTGCCTTCAAGGATTTCAAAGGAAGGTTCCAAACTGAATGGAGATATAACCAACCACAAGCCGTGACAAGTTACAACAAACTTAACGATAATCCGGACTCGTACCGTATCTTGTTCAACTACATGATTCGTGAGTTGAAGAACCGCATCCCTTTGAAACAGGTGAACACTGTTCAGTCATCGCTTGATTACCATAAGTTTGTGCCAAACGTTTATTCGAAATACGCTGTTATTCCAGAAGAGGACTTCTTAAAATTGACCAAACTGATTACCCATGGTCTAAGAAAAGATGTTCAAAGGCTTTTGGATGCCTTGCCAAACTTGAAGAGAATCAACTTTGGTGGAGTGCTGTTCAAATGCTTCAAGATCTCAAAGGACAAAGTTCGGGTTAAGGCGATGTACGATGATTTTGAAGAGATTTTCAACATTGTTCAATAGCCTGGTTTCTTGTATGTCAATTGACGTCTATAACATCGATCTGAACGTAGTCTCTTTGTCTTGATTAATGGTATCTTTGTTCTTTTACGGCACAGGTGTTGTCTCAGAAGGTGTGGCTGTTCTGGAGTATCAGTCGATTCTCCTTCAACTGTGTACTTATGGGGAATCATTTTCCGTGATACAGTTCTTCAAACGGATATCACTCGGCTGTTTCTAATAGTTCAGACACGAACGTATGGCTCAAGTGTGTCAACAAACCATCGAGTTATAACTTGCCTCGGTTTCCTTGTAAGACATTTGACAAATGTCTCAGAACCAAGTGCTAAAGCCAACAGGAAGGAACAGTACATTCCAAAGAGTTGTTCAGGAAGTTCCAGCAGGATTCTCAAAGTGTGTACATCATTGCTTTACACTATGAAATCACATTATTCATTTCTATAAATAAATCAACAATATTAAAAGAGAAATGCCGTAAATGAAAGAATCCGTATCTTTAAAAGAAACTCCAACCTTTTGATATAAGGGAACGTAGGAAGAAGAAATAGCCTGTGGTGTCACTTTTCACAAAGCTTTGGTATCATATATAAAGAAAAGAGTGTTTAAGCCTCGAAACTTGAGCCAGATGGTTCCTCCTGGTCCATCTTTGCAGCCAACTTTTCGTTCTCCTCCTCTTGTTTCTTCATCATAGCAGCATAACCGTATTGAGAACGCAGTCTAAGAGCTGGACCCCATCTCTCAATAACCCATGGCACAGGAAGCATACCAACAGCAATGAAGGCGAATAATGAAGAAGCCCAGTCGATGTGAAGACGTTCATACATCTGCACGGTGAACAACGGGAAGACCGACGCCAACACATAACGAAGTAAATTGTTTGCAGCCAAAGCAGAAGCCAACGAAAGAGGTGGGTACGACATTGAGAAGTAAATCATAGTGCAAAAGAAGATGAGAACAAGGCCGAATCCGAATGGTACACCTGCAATAACAGGGCAGATCCAGTGTACGCTTGTTTTTGAGGACCATCCCAGCCAAAACAAAGCAGCTGGTAGAGCAACAGCACCAATCTTTGCTAGCAACAGACGAGTCTCTGGAGGATCTACGATGAGTTTACCCTGTTCATCTCTTTTACCACGAGTACCGTCAGGGTTCTTCTTAAACCAGATGAAACGGTCAATGTAGATGTAAAGGGCAGTACCGAGGACAAATCCGACGAGAATACCTAGGAAGGTCAGACCAGATACTCCCAAGCTCATACCATAAACACCTCTGAAGATCACTGGATATGCCTCGAAGAAACCGAAGAGCACGGAGAAGACAAAGGCGATGTAGATGGACCAAACCATGACGATTGGTTCAACAAAAAGCATCTTCACTGGTGTCATCAGAGTGATAAAGAAGATGATCTTGATGAAATCCCACAAGGTACCTTGTGGCTTGGCTATCTTCAAGCCCCTCTTGATGGCCCTTTTCTTCAAGATAACTGGTTTGTAGGTCTCTGGTGTCAATAGCACAGGGCCTAGGATACCACCTGCAAACATGATATTAACCCACATGGTCCATTTCCAGCCTTTGTTCTCCGCAACAAAGCCACCAATGACTGGACCCAGCACAGGGCCCATAAACGGAGCGAGACAGAATCCGGCCATTGCAATGCCCATGTTTTCGAACTCCCAGATATCAGCAATTGTACCACCGGCAACAGCCATTGCAGGAGATGCAAAGAAGCCTGCAAAGAATCTCAGCACGAGAACGCTTCTAATGTGTGAAGAGAGACCAACACCCATGGTGAAAAGCATAGAGATTGGCAACGAAGAGATGTAAACGATTCTTCTGCCAAACAACTCTGACATTGGAGCACTCAATGCTGGACCAAACGCCAACCCAAGAAGATAAAAGGTCAAACCGGAAAGTCCCAACGTTTGCGAGATCCCCATTTCAGCCATCAGACTAGGCAAACCACACACGTATAGGGAAGAGCCAAACGTCACTTCCAGACATATCGACGCAGTAATCATTGTGATAGCCCATCTCTTGGTGTTCGACCAATTCTTAGGATTGTCCTTATCATCAGGAGAGTCCCAGTCCATTTCCCTGGGATTGACACCCTCCTCCTCCTCAGGAATCGGCTTGCCTTCCAACAGCGACTTTCTCGTGATCGTACGCTGAAGCGCAAGGTCAAATCCTTCAGAGGCGGTGATTTCAGGGTCAAACTCCTGGACAGGAGGCCCATAGATGGATCTCTTATCAGTCAGGGACTCGATTGTTCTTACTCGGGACAGTGTGTGCACCAGGTTCACAGGCTCTTGGGCAGCATCGGGCTCAAACTTCGCAATGCTGGAGGTCTCAGAGACCTCTGACGTTACGCTCTCAGTGTCAGAGCCGGAGTTTGCACTCTGCTGTGAGCTGGCAAACAACCCAGGCGCTTGTTGTGTGTTGGAGCTGGTAGCCTGTTGTCCCTCGTTGCCTTGTTCAGTTGCAACTGTAGTAGCCCCCTGTTCCTTACCGCCGTTGGAAGGGCTCCCCACGGTGGAAGCCGCCACGTCCTGGGCTTGTGTTTTGTTCTGTAGAGTCGATATCGACTGTGTATCGTCGCTGTGGCCGATGGTGGTGTCGTTTGCCTGCGCATCAACACTAGCAGCGTCCTCAGCGTCAGTACTAACGTGCGACACAGCAGACTCGTAATCAGACGTCGCTGTAGACAGTCCTGAGCTTGACGAGATGCTGTGTGTCATCGCCGATCTACCAGCACCGTGCTGGCGCTCCTGCTGGGCAGCGGCGGCTTGTCTGAGAGCGTCCTCCTCTTCCTTCGAAGGTCCTAGTAGTCCCATAACTCGTGCGTACGGACGATAAACAGCAGCTCAAAGGTATCAACAACCGTTCAGGATGGGGCCCGTCACGAGGAAACAGAGAAAGGGGAAGTGACAAAAGTACACACAATTTATTGGTTCTACAAAGATGGGGCCAAAAAGAAACAAGGCATAGGGCTTTAAACACACACACACGTTATACCAAAACAGCCCAAGCACTTCCAAACAGCCGGTGCATACTAAGAAAAGTTTCAAAGTGAGCTGTGATGCGCAAAGTTCGACGTTGTTGTCGACCAATTAAACGCCCGATGCGTATTTTCTGTCCTGTTTAGACCGAGGATCAAAAGACAAGTGCGGAACCCTTAATCGGGCAGCAAACCGCGCTGTCAAAAGAGGACACACAACAACACAACACGGTGGAAAAAGCCGGCTTCAGGGCGGTGAGATGTTTTGGTTTTTCTTGGAATTGGAGGTGTTCTTAACAGCGGAGGACGGGGCAGAGGGGCACAGGGGAAGAGGTGTTTGGATGTGGGACGGGTGTAAAATTAGAAAGTGTGTGGGACGGTTGCCATCTCGCGGTGCTGGGTGTTCTGTCGATGTCTTTGGAGCCCAGCTGCAAAACATAAATATACATGGAGACATGTAACACACAAGCAGGATGTGTGCAACTACAGCAACAGTACGGTTTCCATAGGAGAAACTTGTGTCGTCGTCTGCCGACTGCTCACAGAGGGAGAGAGGTGGCCGCAGTACTGGTTCACCACTGCACCAGTCGACCGGCGCTGGAACGAAGTGTGGTACGGAATCACGATTCCGTAGGCAGTGCGTGCCACACAGCACACAGCAAGCGTACAAAAGAGAGAGACGCACAGGGAATTATCCGCGGGCTCAATCAGCCTACGCGCGGTACGCGCAACATGAAGAACCGGTTTTTAGCACTGGGCAACAGATCTGCGTGGATCCACCGCCATATGTCCCATCTGCACACTTGGCCGTGGGACCATTTCCCAGAGTTTGGGGGCTACGGGGCCTTGTTCAAGAAGATCACCGCGGGCATTAAACAAGGAAAAACACACGCCCTCATAGAAAAGTAAACAATTATGTGGTTCTGGCTCTAACTCCGATGCCTGTTGGGGTGTGTTGCGTAGCGGTTGAGGAGGAGACGGAGTATCAAAATAATTAAAGCGATACATAAAATTAGTGGAGAAGAGACATCCACCACAGCTCAGTTGCTAATGATGGTGTGTGTATTGGGACTGTACACGTTTTGTGTAGCACGCCACACACACACACACAGTGAAGTGATATCAGCCGAACGCCTATGCCTTAGCCAATTGTGTAACGGTATGGTCTAAAAGCTTCAACTCCCTTCCTGTGCTTCCAATCGCTATCGTGGAGTCCTCGAGAATGTATGGATAGTTGCATGCGACTGAGCTTGGCTCGTTGTGTCCCCTTTCTGCTAGCCTTCTCCGCCGTAGCTTGTACAAGGGTTTTCTGTTTAGCTGGGGGGATGTGCATAGAAGGATGATTCCAAGCATGTGCGTGTATTGGTATATGATCTGGTCGACGCAAACGACATAACAATATAAAAATAAGCGTGACTGTAGAGAGAGGGGAGCTAGGCTACTGCTGTACAGACACAGAGGGTCTCAAGGTCATTCTTCAGGTTAGAATTCCACTGGTAGCTTGTCCTGAGATCTTGGTGGCTTTCAGCTTTGCTTCTCCTTCTTCAGCACGATCTCCGGTAAGAACCCAAAATGGTTGATGAACTCGTACTGGTCTTGTTTGCCAATGAGGAAAAGTCTCAGGTATTCCAAGTAAACAACATAGAAATAGACACCTGTTCCAGTCAATATGTGCCACCAGCTGTGTAATTCAAAGAAAAATCCATATGGCATGCCTAAAAATCTTCTCAAGTCAATCCAACTATCGCAGAAATGTACATCCATGTTCCACAAGAAGTAGCCACTGAGGAATATTGCGATTCCAAGGCCCATGGTTCTGAAGAGGTTCTTCTTCGCCCTCTCGTCATGGACGTTCTCCTCGGTAAGGAGGTAACTCTTCAACACAATGATGACGTTCATGATGGCATATGCAACTTGATGGATAGTTGGGTCCTTAAAGTACATGTATATTGCTGTCAGCAAATTCGCAGAGAAAATAACCGTTAGCAAGATAACCACTGAAGTTGTCGAGTCACGGCCTTCGCTGAATATAGACCACATCGGAACACATGTGGCATAGATCATAGGTAGTTCATCCAGAAGCTGGAACTCGTACTTCAAAGTCATATGGAATAGCCAACTCCCGACACCGACAAGCATGAATCCAAGACTTATGATGGCGAATCGAATCTCATGTTTGTTCTTCACCGAAGAATAAACAGCAAACACAGCAAGAAGGATGAAGACACTGTTGGACAACGTGTTCATAGCCTCTGCAACGTATGGTGAGACAACGTAGTTCTCCTCGCACCAGTCGATTGTGGATGTCACTTTATCCCAATAACCAGTCTGCGCCTCCAGAGGGTATGGGATTGAAAATGGAAGACCAAAAGACATATCGTGAGTAGACAATAGTATGGAGACTGTTCCAGCGTGAGATCGAATGTGTTTTTCGTTACTTGGGGCCTTGTTCGTCACTTGGAATTGAGATAAGAACTGTGTCAATGTACGACAAGTAGATGTAAGCAATCTAAGACAGAGACGATAAAGCGGGGGTTGCTAGACGAAACTGGAGTCTGAAAGTATAAATATTCCAAACTATCCAAATGGTGCTGAATCAACTGAATCAATATTAATAATCTAAGGGGTTAAGAGAGTATTATAAAATAGAAAGAAAAAAAGTAGTTCTGATTAGACCCGTAATTACCCAAGAGATTATACGTCTCCTCGGAAGATGCAGGCGATAAAATGGCACATGTAACCACAGAGACCGTGGGAAATTATCCGAGATGTTGCGCGTACCACCACCTCAGCCTTCTTTGACAGGAAATGGTTAAGCAGCACTGACGCGCACAGAGGCCAAGGTGCTCGTACCATGGGGGGCGTTGCAGCCAGAGTGGGCCTTTTGTGCTTGTTGATTTGTGTGCTTTGATCTTAACGAGGACCCAAAGCTCGTTTATCAACCATCAACAACAAATTGAGTCTTGCCACGGCGGCTGTGTTACTGTACGGGGCGGCTGAATACGGAAGCAATGACGAAGAACAATTTCATATCACCAAAGCTGAGAACGACCAAGAATTTGGATTGGTCGCAGCCATTGAAGACGTATCTCAAAGCGCTGTACGGGACCTCCTTAGACTTATCATCGCAGGTGTCGACCTTCTCGAAGCTCAGAGAATGTGTCAAGGATCACTCAGACACCAACCTCTCCCTGTTGAAGGATATGTATTATAAATACTATGGGCAATTGGAGCTATTGGACTTGAGGTTGCCAATTGGCGATGGTGTTCGTGTTAAATTCACCTGGTACGATTCGTATGACGCCTCAGAATCGCATTCTCAGCATTCGTTGGCTTTTGAGAAGGCGTCAGTGTTGTATAACCTAGGCTGTGTATTATCGCAGTTGGGTGCTGAAAAGACAGAAGAGGAAGAGTTCAAATACGGTTACCAGTACTTCCAGTACGCTGCTGGTGTATTCAAGTTTATCAGTGAGAATTTCCTCCATGCCCCATCTGAGGACCTGAGCGGTAAGACAATGGCATTCTTGGTTCCGTTGGAATTGGCACAGGCTCAGGAATCATTCTTGTTGAAAGTATTGGATGAAAATGGTAAAGTTAGCTTGCTCTCAAAGATGGCCCAAAGTTGTTCGGTGTTCTACTCCACGGCGTTGGAAAAGCTTGAACCTTTAGAAGAGTTTGGTGAATCTTCTTGGTCCAACATCTTGCAGTACAAGGCAAAGTTTTATGAAGGGTTAGCTTTTTATGAACATGCGTTGAGCATTGAGGAGACAAAGGTTGGTGAAGCAATTGTGTCTACAAAGTTGGCATTGGAATCATGGGCAGATTGTAAAAGCTTAGATCCAATTGGCATCGACTTGAAGGGATACATCACTTTGGCGGAGCAGAAGAGTACCACGCTAAACAAGGAAAATGACTTGATCTATCATGATCTGCTCCCTCAAAAGGAAACTATTGAGGTCAAGCCCTTGGATGCTGCGAAGGCCATTAGCCTGAATGATCAGAAGATTGAACAAATTATTGGTGAAGATATATTTGAAAAGATCATCCCTATGAATGTCCATGAAAAGCTCAGTTATTACTCTGAAGAAAAGGCCAAGCTGCTCCGCTCTCAAATTGAGAATAACCAAACTTGTGATATTGAACTAACTTCATTCTTGGAATATTTGAGACTACCAGGTTCTTTACAGGAGTTCAAGAATAGCGTTAACAAGAAATTGGATGACCGTCTAGTTACTTGGTCTCAAAAGGTGGCATCTTCCAAATTCAGTGACCCAGAGCAAAATATGAACACTATAAATTTCAAAAGGGATACCATAACAAGTTTGATCAAACAGTTGGAAACACGCCTAGATGGCGAACTGGATTCCAGTGCCTCTGGTTTAAGGGACGAATTGATGAACGCTAAACAATCTCTTCTAGCGGCGTCCAACTTGGATGATCAGATTTTTGCAACTATTAAACAAGATATTCCAAATCTCAAGATATTGAGGAACTCTTCCACTTTGCAATCCTCCTTTTTCAACGAGAAAAACGATGTTAGCTTGCTGGACTTTGATGACTCCTCCTCCTCTGAATCTGTTAAGCAGAGCATTGCTAAAATTGAATCAAACTTGAGAGTGTTGAATGCAATGAAAACTGAAAGATCTAAAGTTATCGAAGATTTGAAGAACTCGATTCAAGAAGATGATATTTCCAACATCTTAGTTTTGAACAACAAGAAGCTTAATGATAAAGAGGAGAAGGAACTCTTTGCTCAAGAGCTGACAAAATTCGAGCCTTTAACTAACCGTCTTGAATCAATCATATTCAAACAACCTCAACTCATCAAAGAGATTAAGACAAACTATGATTCCATCATCTCATCCAACAGTGAAATTTCAGAGAGGGCTAAAAGGATTACATCTTTCGAGAAATCATACTCTTCATTCCAAGACTATGAAGTCAACTTTCAAAAATCTATTGATTTTTATGACAATCTGTTGAAGTTTGTGAGAGATGTTGAGGCAAATGTTAACAAGTTTCTTGCCGATAAAGCCTCTCAGAGACAGCGAAATCTGTCACAATCATCCCAACCACCAGATATGCTGAGGGATCGTTTTAGCAAACTGAGTGTATCTTCACAAAGTCCGAGGGGTTCATTTGCTACGCCACCGACACCAACAACCTCTCAGAGCTATGCTGTTGCACCTTCTCAGGTTTCCTATCAAACACCTCCATCTCAAACTTCTTACCAAACACCACCAACCCAGGCTTCTTATCAACCACCACAACCTCAAGTGTCCTATCAGCAACCAATCCCCCCTTCCCAGCAGCAAAGGCCATCTTATTCCCTACAAACATCTGTCCCATCAACACCGGAGTATCCATCAGCTCAGCCATCGTATCCATCATATAACAATGCTCCACCTGCTCAACCTTCCTATCCATCTTATGATAAACCACAATATGCACAACCGCAGCAGCAGGCATCAGCACAATCGTTTCAACAGTCCTATCAACAACCATATCAACAACCATATCAACAACCATTTTCAAACGATAGACCTGCTCTACCACCGAAGGCCCCAACCGCTTCTCAAGGCCCGCGTGTATCGGTTCCTCAGCCACCTATTTTACAAGATAATAGGTTCCCTTTCTACAATGAACCAAGCACTTTCAATTCGGGAATGTACGATCAGTTTGCAAATCCCACGGGCACTGGGTCAAGACCAAGTTATTCACAGCCATACGACCCAAACAAGCCATACAATCCATAGGTCAATGTGATATACTTCAACGTTTTTGTTGCACATGGTTGTATCGCACTGTAGATATTTCTACAATTTCAAACTATGATCCTGTCGGATTCAAAATATATATGATTATCTAAACCTTTAAGGACATCAGGATTGCATCTGGTTGATCTAATTTCTGCTGACTATAGTACCCAGGGATCACCTCCTTCTCCTCAAACCCCAATCTCTCATACCACTGTTTAACCTCTGGTTGTTTAACCCAGACGTGAAGCGTAAGCTCGTGGACATAGCTTGTCTTTGCCTGTTCAATGGCATACTCAACCAGCTTCTTACCGATTCCCTTGTGTCTATAAGGTTCAAGCACTGCAAGAGATTCGATGTAAACACTCGTGGGCACCTTGTGGTGCTGTGGTACAATCAACTTGGCTTTGATTGCGCCTACGGGCACTTCACCATAGTAGGCGAACTTGGAGAACCCATTTAGCGAGCCCTTATAGAACTCCTCTGGATAGACTGTAGGAAGAACGTTTGTGTTTATCACCTTGAGAACATGCTGGTTGTTCACAGTTATATCGTCTAGCTCAATTGATGACATTGCGGGCGGTCAGATACAACACGTTTTCTCTTTCTGTCTCTGTAAAATGACCCAGTGATTGTATGCTTCACCACATTCGACGTCAAAGTCTAAGACGAAACCCGCGGAGATCAAAAAAAAAAACGCGTTCGCGAAAGAAATCCCGAGTCAAATTAAAAATCAAAAAACCCATCTATTTGACTCCGAATTAGCCGCCCATATGATAAAGTTTGTCTTTTGTTTAGCCGCCCACGTAAACGCATCGAGGTACGTCGGACAAAGAAAAAAAAATATCCCGGTGATTAAAAGATTTGACTCACAGTTTATGGACGTTATCTTCTCTTCATCTTTTACAGTTGTCGTTTGAAGTAGGACAAGGTGACATGGATAAGCAGAAGGAAACCGTGATCGAAGAATTTGACCGTGAGAGCTCTACGCATCACCAGATCAAGACGTGGGCTTTCCTGCAAAGCGTCTCCAAGAGACTTGATGGGTTTGGTGTGGAACAACGAGGCATAGAGAGAATCCAACCTTACGAGCGTTCTACGAACAAGCTTCGTCTGTTTGTCTCAGTGATTGGTTTCTGGATCTCTGCTGCTGGTGGGTTGTCTACAATGTCCACGTTTGTGCTCAGTGCAACGGTATTCGAATTGGAGTTCAAGCAGGCTTGTCTCTGTGGGTTGATCGCAATGCTCTTGGGTTGTGCGATTGCAGGTTACTGTGCCACTATGGGTCCAAAGAGTGGTTGTAGACAGATGGTCACTGCTCGTTATCTGTTTGGATGGTGGTTTGTCAAGTTCGTGGCCATGATTGGGTTTGTCGGTGTTGTTGGTTGGAGTATCGTCAACTGTGTTCTTGGGGGTCAGATCTTGGCTGCTGTTAGTGATGACAAAGTTCCTGTCTGGATCGGCATCATCATCGTAGCCATACTCAGTTTCCTGGTGTCTGTCTTTGGTATCAAGCAGTTGCTCAGAGTGGAGAAGTTCATCGCCATCCCGGTGCTGACTTCTTTTATGCTCATGTACATTTGCTCCTCAAACAGTTATTCATACCTATCTAAATTCGACAACAGTGAAGTTGACAGAATGACCATAAAGGGGAACTGGCTTTCCTTCTTTGCACTGGCTTACTCTGTCACTGCAACTTGGGGTACCATCACTTCGGATTATTACATCTTGTTCCCAGAGTCTACAAAGTCGTACGAAGTGTTCTGCCTTACATTCTTTGGCATCGGCATTCCTTCGACTTTTGTTGGAGTGCTAGGTCTCATCCTATCTACATTGGCAATGGCCGAACCAGACTATGCCAATGCTTACGATAAGCATGGAATGGGTGGTCTCTTGCTCCAGGGATTTGCCCGTTGGAACGGCTTCGGCAAGTTCTGTACGATTGTTCTCTTACTCTCATTGATTGCAAACAACATTGTCAATACATACTCCGCTGCCTTTGCCTGTCAGCTCTCTGGAGTGTGGTTTGCTAAGATTCCAAGATGGTTGTGGGCCATCGTCATCACAGCGGTGTACCTCGTCTGTGCTCTTGTTGGCCGTGATCATTTCAGTACAATCCTGGGCAACTTCTTGCCAATGATTGGTTATTGGATCTCTATGTACTTCATCATGTTGTTGGAGGAGAATGTCATCTTCAGAAAGTACTTTCTGTCTCTATTCACCAAGGAGTTCCCTCACGAGGACTCCACGGACTCATCAGAGAAGGACAACAACGTCCCGCTAGGACTAAGAGGCAAGAGACAAAACTACAACTGGAGCGCATGGAACGATTACGGTACTCTTACCCACGGGTTCGCAGCCATAGTTGGGTTCCTATGTGGAGTTGCCGGTGCCGTCGTCGGTATGGCCCAGGTCTACTACATCGGTCCTGTTGCGGCCCATTTCGGTGAATGGGGTGGTGACTTGGGCATGTGGTTGAGTATGGCGTTCAGCGGTATCGTTTACCCCCCATTGAGGTACTGGGAGTTGAAGAAGTTTGGTCGTTAGAGTATACAATAAATAACCGTTTCATTTGAAGCTGTCTTGCCCGGTATATAGATCACATGCGTATATCACTCTTGTGCTTGATTCTCGGCTACCAGCTTACCAACCACAGGGTACTTCTTCTGGAAGTGGGCTTCCCATCCATCAAGCGCCTCAATATCCTCCTTCTGTAAGTCATCCAACTTATCCAACGGTTGGTCCCAGTCAGGAACGTTCTCCAGCTCAAACGAGTTCAACGCCAGCCCTCTCGAGGCATCGTGTCCAGCAAAGTTGGAGTATGGACCGCTAGGCCCATAGAACTGTCTTCCCTGTGTGCAGTCGTAAACCGTCCCCTTCACTGCAATGAATATACGCTCATCATCGTGTCCGTTGTAGCGTGATAGCACACGAGGAGTGAAGAGCCCTTGCACAATCGGATCCTTCGAGGCGCCTGCGTTGGAACCCTCGGCGGTTGGATCAGACGTCTTCACTGGGAAGAAGAAATCCTTAATGAATGACATTTCGTCTCGAATTGGTTGCCGCTATGGTGGTGTTTCTGCTTTGATTGAACTGGTGATGCGTGAGAGAGCGAGCGATGGCGCTCGTTTAAGAAATTGTTGGGCGGGAAGGAGAAACAAAAACAGGTCAAGAAACATCCGTACACCAACGGTAACGGTACGCACCGCAGTGGGGAACCATTTCTTATCAGAATGTCTATCATCACAAGACAATCTTTGGTGGCAAGGACGATAGCGATAAACGGTGGTTGTAGAGATGTCTGAAAGTATTCCAATTGAGAAGAAGCGTGACGAGACGGTGGGGAGTGGTGCTGATTGTATGAGTGTTTCTCCAGAGAGGCAGGCTAAGACAGAGAAGCTGCTGAAGAGGGTGGACGAGATGAAGGCGCGTGTCAGAAAGACCGAGCGTGCTTGATTGAGGCTGGAGGGTGTGTTTGATTCGGAGGATGGGATGAAGTATGTACACTGTGGCAACATGTGTATCTGCTGTTGTGAGTGGTGTTTGCTCTCGTCTTCTCTTGTTCTCACAAGCTTTGATATTGGTCAGCTTATCAGGGCCAATACCTTAATATGTGGTGTGCGCTCTTGGATTCAACCAACACGTCTAATACACCAGTGAACCCTTTGTAATGACACTCAACTGTAGGATATACTCTTCGCTTTTAAGCCATCCTTTGCTAATGTGGTTGATAACAGCTGTAAGCAGACTCTGTTTTTTTAAGAATATACCCAAATTCGGGATGTTCCGATTTCAGGGCATTTTGTTTTTTTCTGGGTTTTCACCGTTTCCCCGGTTACGGTATTGGGATGGGAAACTTCACAACAACAACAAACAACAACAACAACGCCTACATTGGCGTCCGTAGTTCACTCTTCATTCCTCCTCGTGCAAGCTTCAATTAGGGACAGTGGCCATGGATACACTTAAGCTTGGTAATTCCTTTGTCCCGAAGACCACGCCTGTTCTGACTTCTCGACTTCTCTCACGGTTGAAAGCACTTGAGCTCGTCAACATTGCACTGCTATGGTTGACGATTCCTCAAACGGTACCCAAACCTACGGCAGAACTGCTTGAATTGATGGGCCAGTCCAAGCCAGAATTCATCTCTGCATACAAGCAATGGCTGGAAAAGCTGAAAGTACAGAAGGGCTCCATATCGAAGAGAAGGGTTGTGGACAAACTCATCGTGGACATATATCCCAAGGGTCTAAACCTTCTACAGTTGGCAACCTTGGACTCTCAACTCATAGTCTCAAAAACCAATGCATTCCAATGGTTCGTCACTACTGTCACATCACATGATGGAGCGAAGCTTGTGACGAATATCGATAGTCCACAGGATTTCTTACAGTGCCTTGTTGATACGTTGTCAACGGTGTATCTCACACATATTTACATCTCCAGGCACCCCCACTATCCTCTGATCATCATTCGCATACAGCTATTTGACTTCAAAGGGCTTAGTAATACCAGTGATGGGCTCTCCACAAGAAAACCGATCTTTGTCGGAATACCAATGAACAGTGATAAATTACTCATCAATGAAGCAAAGGGCATCAACGACACGGCAGCTGAATTTGTCGTACAGTCCTTGGAAAGTGCGCTATCCAAGAGCTTGAGGAAAGAGGTCAAGTTACAATTCAATGAGACTTTGAGACCCTTACAAAATTTGGAGAGTGCGTTCATTATCGCTGGTAATTCAAGGCATACTGAATCTTTGGGTCCTTGGGCTCCTTATGCTGCTGGTGAAGTTGATATTTCACCCTTTGATGATGTTAAGCTACATAGTACGTTCAAGAAAAATGAGCATCTGACACAGCTGGATGTCAACAAGAGAATCTCCATGATGAGATTCAAAGGAAGTCATAATCAAAATAAGGGAAAGTCCTACGAAGGAGGTAAGAAGAGATTAAAGAAGAATGACGAAACTGTGGAATCGCAACATGATGACTATGATGAAGATGGTGATGAGCACTGTAACGAGTATTCAAGCATCGTCCCAATACAAAGCATTGAATTTGACTTGATAGAGGAGTTCAAAGGCTCCAAACCAAGGGTCAAACTAACCTTCCAAGGCTCAGACGTGTTTGGTGGGTTACATCAGCTCTGTGATAAAGGTTTGGCAAACGCTGAAACGATTCCAGGCTGGTTAACAGGGGAAACTATAACCAGTGGTACAATAAGTGATGGTCGGTTTACAAACCAATTGCAGCTACCAAGTAACGACGGATCGTTGATATAATGAATATGATGTGGTGATTTATAAGAATCAAAAAGGCAACTTTGACAGTGCTCAATATTAGTTAAAAAATTAATCAACAATGTTTCCGAATTCAAAACTTAAAGGAAATCAATCTCTTGAATGTTAATTTCTTCTTCTCTTTGACTGCTTTTGGTTTGGTCGTTGTAGATTCTGCAGCATTCGTAGGTTGTGTGGTATAGGCACTTTGTCCTATTGGGTTCTTCAGGGTGTCATGAACAGGCCCACTGCTACCATACTCATGAATATCACTTTCACTGATTCCATTCTCGGCCATGAGAGTAGACCCATCAGTTCGGTCATCCTTTGCGGCAGGAGCATCAATAGTCTCAAAATGTCCATGGAGTTGAGTGTTATAGTTCTTTGGTGCTTCTGTAGCTTTATTTTCCTTGTGTATTACATCCCTCATAGTATGGAGAGCAAATCCTGTTTGTTCACGAGTACGCGTACGTTGGGCTGAAGATGAGGCATCTTTTTGTTCCTCCTCCTCCTCTTCTTCTTCTTTGGAGTTATGTGATCCAACAGCTTCCTGTATTTCGTGGGCTTCAGTCTCAACCGTTCCAAAAGTCTCCTGCACAGCAGGCTCTTGGGAATGGGCATAGCTCTCAACAATGGCTTCACGATTTGTGTTCAGGGCAGGTTCTTGAACTTTGACTTCTTCCTGTTTTGTAATATGAGTTTCTGTATGTTCAGGGTACATATGTTTCAAACCTGGGTGACCAAATGCCTTCTGGAAAGTTGCCAACGCAATAGACTTCTTCTTATGTTTCTTAGCATTCTTATGTTCCGAAACTTCATGAGACTGTCCTGCATTCTCAGAAACAGAATCTGTTCTTCTTGATTGCGGTGAATCAGCATTGGTTTCTCTTGTTGATGTATCCACTGTCAGTGCTGCATTGGTTAGAGCTGCATTTGTGCCCACATCCAGTTGTTGTGAGTTTATCGACTGCGTAGAGTCAATAGGTATAACTCTCTCTGGTGAGGCTAGGTTTTGAACATTTGTGGATTCAAACCCTTCAAATGAATCTTCTGAACGATGTGTTTCAACTTCGCTCTTCTCTTTCTTGCTAGACTTTGAAGGTAAGAACCTCTGTGTCAATGAAGAGATGGAGTTAGTTCTTGAAAGACTCAGTTTTTGAGATGAAGCACTACCCTTCTTTGACATAGGGTTGTCACCTCTCAAGGAATAGCTCTTGAAACCACCAGCCTTTGGTGGTTCTGGGAATTCCCTCTCACCACCGTAGACTTTCTCCATAGCAACTTTGTAAGCAATATCATACATCTGTTGTTGATCCAGTGGCTGCTGTGGTTGACCTTGTTGTTTTTGACGTTGCTCGGACCTGTTTATTGATTGGCTCATCCCACTCTGCGTTATCGATTTCCTTGATGGATTCACTGACTTGGCCTGTGGTCTTGTCATTGACTTTGCAGCTGGTTTCGATGGAGCAGTTTGTTTCAAGGCAGCGTTCAACGCTGATTTCGACACAGCCTTGGAAGACGATTTCAACTTAGACGGCAGGGTGTCATAAGCATCTGAATATATGCTACCACCATCGCTGATTTCATCGTCATCCCCAACCAAAATGACTTTCTTTTCCTTATTACTAGGACGCTTTCCATCCCCACTCTTTAAGATACTCCTGACTGGACTCATAGTCCTCTGTGTAGCCTTCTTGGTCCTTGTTGTTCTGGGTTCACGACTGTCAGTACTCTCATCCTCCTCCAGTATGCTGTCCAACTCATTTTCGCCATTGCTCTGGTATATCTGTGGAGGAGGTTGGAGAACGTCTTCTGTCTCCCTCTTAACGAGGTCATAGCTCCCCAGCGTCCGAATAGTTTCAGTGGTGATCGACGTTGTGCGGCCATACTCGTCCTTCGTCTCTGTACGCTTGATCACAATCTTCTCAGGTCTCACTGATCCTCTCATCGATCTCCCCCGGCTATTGAGAGATGACAGCGAGTCAGACCTATACGACGAGAGGCTCATCGTACGCCCTGTGCTGCTGTAGCGACCATGCTGACGACTCGTCGCAGGAGGGCCATAAGACTGTGAGTTCAACGAATACGTCCGAAGGGCACTGGCAGCCGCCATGTTGGAATTGTAATGGTCATTACCGTACGACTGTGGAGCACTGGGCTGCTGGTTAGAGTACCTACTCAGGTCTGGTACTCTATTGCTTGACTGCGAATTTCATGTTAGTCGACAGAGACACAAATGTATACACACACGAGGAAGGACACAGATCACATCACAAGCTCCTGCTCGCCTTCCTTCACGGCACTTAGAGAACGACATTGAGCTTACTCTTCTCGATTTCTTTGTACTGAACAATCCCATCCTTTGCTAACGTCCTTTGGCACTTGTTGTTTTGCTCTGTAGAAGGTGACATGAAGTGAAACTGCTAAAGGGAAAAAGCAACATTGCACTGTTTTTGTTTACATGCAGCACGCCCGGTGGAACTTCAAGGTCGGAATTGGCCAGAAAGACAGAGGAGGGTGAGATTCGAGGTATAGGCGGAAACAAGCTTCGTGGTAGGGTAACTGAACACCTTTGTGATTATGTAATGTGGCAGATTTCGAAGTGTTTTTCTGCAGAAGGGACAAAAACATCAAATGGATCTTTGGCCGAGCGGTTTAAGGCGCTCGACTCAAGATCGAGTATCGTAAGATGCATGAGTTCGAATCTCATAGGATCCATTATTTTTTTTTGGATTTTGCTTTTAATTTTGGCTTTTACTCGTTTGTAACTCAAATACTGATGGATTGAATGGTTGACACCAGCTATGTATTGTTGTACAGCCTGAGTTATGGTGTGCTGTTCTGATCGTCTGTCGCTATGAACTGTCCGCGTCGAAATACTCCAAAACTGCTTGATTTAATCTTAACGCACCTTCTTCACAGGCTTTTAAATTTGCCAAATTCGTAACAGTAAGTCTTATGAACGTTGCCTGATCTTTCAATCCACTGTCCCATGTCATTTCTCTACCCAGAATAACAATCACCCCTGCTTTCAGACATTTGTAATAGAACTTTTCCATTTCGACTTGAATGGAATGTGCTGAATCTTGCACAAATGGGATCTTACAAACAAAGAACATCCCACCATCTGGTTCCACTGGGGTTAGCAGCCCCAACTGGACAGACTTCAAATTAGCTATCGTCCTGAACCACGTGTCCTTTCTCCGCTTATACTCCTTTGAGACCTCGTAACACCATTTCAAGTAACCATCGTTGCCACCATCATTAAAAAAGTCAACTGTCTTCATGAGTACAGCCTGAGATATTCCAGATGCTGTCTTAGTAAATACTTTACTATAGTCCAGCAATTTTACCATGGCCTCTGTACGACCAGCGATGAACCCCAGCCTGATACCTGGACAGAAAAGCTTACTGAAAGTCTCCATTCTGAATACCCTTCCGTCAATGTCCAAACTTAAATAAGAAGATCTCATCAGTGAAGCCTTGTAATTCTCAAATGATTCCAGATGCTTAAACGAAATGTACCCGTCTGGATCATCTTCAAGAATGATAATATCGTATTTTTGGCAAATCTTGTACAAGGCATTCATCGTGGATACAGGCTGCGTAAGTCCCAAGGGATTCTGGGTTGGCACTGTGTATATGACCTTTGGCATCTTCAAATCTCGATACACGCCTTTTCCCCATGTATCCAAGATCTCTGCCAATGAAGGAATATCGATCACAGGTCCATTGGATGCCATAACAACTGGGAATGGGATCTTACGCACTCCTAAAGTCTCCATTGGACCAAAGATCGGCGTATAAGAATAGTTCTCCACTAAAATCGTATCCCCAGGAGACGTGAATATGGACAGCAGTTTTGTAAGTGAGTCCCCAGATCCTGTTGTTACAAGATAATCCAAATCATAAGGTGGCTTTTGAAGAGAAGTAAGCAAGTGTTTGGCAAGTTGGAGCACGGGCCCATGCCCTGCAGGTGGTCCGTATTGTAGATAGTTCTCCACTGTAGTGTATTCCGTGAGACTACTCTCAGGTATAACAACCTTCGAGGTCTCTTGTGAGCCTGGAGAGCTTCGAATGTGCAGATCTATCTGCTTTATAGGAAACAGCGAGACATTAGGCCTGCCACTACCCATATAAACAGGCTCCAGGTGCGCTTCCTCATCTGGAGGCAAGTACACGAAGTCTGTCTCCACAATCGCTCTGTCGTTGAAATGGCACGCAATATCCTTCAGCATTTGGTGCACCATCACCTGTATCGCTCTTCAAGTGGTAAAAGCTCCAATTGTAGCCCCTCGCACATTACAGCATGTAAACACACACAATGCTGTCTCAACCGGGTGCTTTTCGCTCTTCCTGTTCTTTGAATTTCCGCTTTAGGAAGTCAAATTAACCGCGTATAAAATTTTCCCGCGTTTTCGCTGTTCAAAATGTCTCAAAAGAGACAGGGCCCACTCTAAAATCATCATCAACTCCCCTTCCCCCCTGATTCACTGATCAAGTAAGAGAGGAAACAAGACAAAACAAATAACCAAACGCGAAGGAAACCACCAGAAATGAGCACAGTACAAGAGGACGTTGCCGCCGAGAATATCTTGAAGAGAGCAGAGCTCGCCAGGATCACGCGTCAGTTGAAGAAGAGGCTCTCGCAAACGAACTTGAAGGCTCGTTTACAGAAGAAGAACGGAACAACGTATAGCAGCTCGCCAGCAGCTTCAGTATTGAGCGGTGGCGGTTCTTCAACACGTATGAACATGTCACCCGCTGTAATGGGGCGTACGCTTGCCGCCCCAACTGAGATAGCGTCTTCCCATCAAACGAACGTGCTGAAAACATCGCCATCAAAGTTGAATAAGAAGCGCTCGCTGGAATCCGTCGTGACGGATTCGAGCCAAACAGACATTGAAAACGACTCTCCTGCTAAGCGCCCTGTGTATCCACCATCGTCTCCCATCTACAACGACGAGTTTCTCATACCGCCGGTGCCAAAGACTCCACCAGCTCAGAAAACAACCATCGAGTTCAACTCTGCATCTACAAACAAGACCCAGATCCACATATCAAGTCCTGCACAGTCCAAGAATACCGTCTCAACCCCAAAGCGCCAATCTACAAGGGATGAAGGCGCAGATCTCTTGATGTTTCTCGCAACGTCTCCATCGCCTGCTCAGTACAAGAACCTGACCTCTACACCTTCAAGAAGTATCAAGAACACGCTACAGGTCCCAACGAGTCAACAGAAAGGCGTCACCCCGGGAACTCCAAAGAACAGGCTAAAGACTCCAGGATTCAACTTGAACGACTACTTGGTCTTCACTCCTTCACCAGCCATAACAAGAACCCCTGGCGAGATGGGCAAGGACGTTAACGGTAAGCTTATCAAGTTTTGACTTTTGAGGCCATTTGTTGCCGGTGTTGCGTATACCAGTATGTTTTTTTTTTCAGTGTTGATTTTTCGCGTCGCGGAAATTTTTTTTTTCTGTTCTTTGAACGCTCCAGGTAATTTGGGTTTTTGATGGTGATGGGCTTGAAGACATCAAATGAATTTGGATCAGTTTGAATTGGAGTACCCAACTCATCACTCCTCTCAACAAAAGGAGGAGGCTAGTGGCCTACTGTCGTCACAAACAGGTGGCTTCCCACCGTCTTCACTTCCGGAGGGGATTCCCAGTTCATCTTACCCTGATTTGGTAGCCACATCACAACTATCCTCTTCCCAATTGGAAAGAATTGGAAGACCAGCTCGTGCAACTGTGTCTCAGAAACTTGAGGCTCTTGACTGGTATCATTCGCATGGCTCATCCCAGAAACGTACAGTATCACACTTTACCCAAAAGGGTACCTTTGGGATTACGAGGTCTTCTTTTAACAGATGGATTAATGATGAAGACCGTATAAGAGAGGCATACGATAAACTTGGAACTGATTCGAGGTCTACATTCAAGACAGTACACGAAAGGAAAAATGGTGAAGTAGACAAATGTTTGGAAATGTGGTATGAACAGAAACTGTTTGCAAATCAACATGTAACTGAACGTGATCTTATTCAGAAGTGGTTTACATTCGACAAGTTGTATAACCCATCTCAATCAGATGCAGTGAAAAAGGAAGTGAAATCAAACGGCTGGGTATACCACTTTAAGAGTCGGTTACAGCACAAAAGATCAAACGTGGAAACTTTCCAGCGTTCGATGGCTTCCACGACAAAGCTGCAAGAAATCACACATCTCCGAAAGCTTTTAGAACATGAACCTTCTAACAGTGTTTTCTTCATGGATGAATTTATGCTTACAAATACAGTAGTTCCACAGGATGGGCCAAGAGATGTATTTACCGTTGGAGTGTGCAGTAACGCTGATGGTACAGAGGTTTGGGATCCATTGATTGTATCTCCTTCTAAAATTGAGGGATGCTACCACTCTGGGATCGGCTTTACAACAGAAATCTTCTGGGAATATATCAAGCGAATAGATTCATCTTTAAATGGTCGTAAAGTGACGCTTCTTCTGGATAGTCTACATCAACATGTGGTTGCACAAAATCTGACCAACATCAAAGTAATATGGGTTAGGTTCTCTGCAAATTTATTCACAAACATTATACGATGGTTTAAACTTGAGTTCAAAATTATGCTGCTAAAATTTAAGATTCTTTTTTGGATGACTACAGGGACTGATCACTCTTTAAAAGGCGAGGATTTTGTGAAGTTGGTGAAGGAGACCAGTTCTCAACTTCGTGATCAAAAATCGTTGATCCAGCAGTGCTGGTCATTTTCAAACGTATTATGTGATGAAGGACAAACACATCTATATCAGTTCAGAGATCAAGAGGTGAAATTTGCAAGATTATTAAAATTGGCATTGGATGAAAAGATACTGACCAGCCCACTGCTGATGGGTATCGATGAGATATTATTCCCATCAGATGAAGAGGTCTCCAATACGATTCTTTCTGATCAAGATATCGTGGCTCGTGTGAAAATTCTCAACAGGTCGATGAATGAATCAGACCCGAAGAAAGGATCTCAGCAAATGTATAGCGAAGTTGGCAGCGTTGATGAAACTGACTTGGAGGACATAGGAAAACTTCTGATCTTGGCGCTGAAGCCCTTTTTCGACAATAATCCTGAGAAATTCATCAAATCTCGCGAAGCATTGAAAGTTCTGATGAATCAGTATGTGAAGGAGAGCATGGACCTGTGGTTAGATGTACAGCACTCTACAGAAACGCGGCAGAGTCTATTTGAAAGTTGAAGAAGACCTTCACCATGCCCACATATTGTGACCTAATACAACAGCTACGTCCTTTCTATTTTCATCCTTCCCTCTTCCATATACTTGTTTTGACTACTGGCTAACTTCTTGTTTTCAATTCTGCATATCGCTTGTATCTCGTATTGAGATGCACCAGCTGTGCAAAATCTCTCAATAGTTTTTGGAACTGTTCTTATTAAACATAAGCCCGGTCGTAATGCAAACTTTCTTCTGCATCTTAAATTTATAGTAGCTTGGCCATTTGCTTCCTATGTTGCCCGGCCATTGTGAATACCTACAAAGTACATACGTTAAAAAGATGAGTTATCTTCTTTCATTCCTTGCTAATTTTGTTCACTTAGCAACTGTTCGGCTGCATCATTGATGCAGATCAGTTAACCCGCGATTTCTGGTCTGTGCAGTTGTTTACTAAGCGTCTATACAGCTGGCTAATGACAATCCATTTATATCAGCTATAGATAATGGAGTGTCTTGAACTCAAATTATGTTTCATTAATATGGTAGGCCATGGTACTTAATAAACTTTAGACTTCAACCTAGTTGATCAGCGGAAAAGTGTTTATACATTCTTTTAAACAAGCTTGAACAAAGTCTCACAATCGTGTTGATTAGTCGATAAAACATCACATAGCAATATCATAGAACGACGACACTGTCCACTACTTGTAAAGCATTGGGCATCGTATCAGCAGGTTGATTCGATAGTTCTTTGAAGGATAAATGAAATACTGTTCAAAGGGCGTAGCACACTCTGCAATTCTCGCTCGAACTCGGCCTATCGTTAACGCAAGTTTGCGCTCTTCTCAGATCAGTTCGCAGGTTCGCCTGGGTTGTACGGAGTTATTAAGTTAAGTTCATTAGTCAACCTAGTTTTTTGCTGAATACGGCTGGTGTAGTCCTAACTATTCTCTCCCTTAAGAGACCACCTCCTCTAGATCGACATACACGTCTGCATTAAAAAACGACGGTCGCGTATAAACCAGTATATCGATCTTTAGCTGTATTGAACTGTTGCTGTGTTAAGGACCTGTTAACCTATATGAGAGGTTATCTAAGCAGCACTTCACTGGCAAAGATGTATACTACTTGAGTACGATACATTTCGGATAAAAGTAGCTTCAAAATATTTACATCGCTCGTATTATGCCCCCGTTGCCTGTTAAGGATGTGCACAGCGTACTATTTTAGCTCGTCAACAACAAATAGTTCCAAACTAATAGATGTATTTATGAGCACAAGAACTTGTGATTCTGTATCGGTCAATAGGTAAAACCCCCAACCAGAAGGGTAGTTACTTTCTACTTACGAAGCTCTTGAATCAAATGTATGTCACTCAAGCCATGCATTGCACCCCCAATGTACATTATATTAAACTACAGACACTTGTGGGATATTGGTTTCGATTATGAACTTTTCTGTGTATAAACTTTACTATATTGAGGTATACGCAACGTGTGAGGTTGGTAAATATGAAGCAATAACGTAAAGAGACATTCCCACAGTAAGACTTTGAACCCAAAGTACATTCCGTGCTATATTAGACATTCAGCAGATCTACTAATCTTCTTCCAAGTAATCAAATCTAAAATTATACTTTATTTTCAAAGCATCTAGAACATTGTACAGATTTGGAACATTGAGTGCAATGAATGGCGTCTTCCTACAGCCTTGTTGTGCTTCAGATTACCATACTGACGTTGTATCAAAGGGCTTTCAAGGCACAGGTGACAGTCCACTGTACTACAAATTACCACATGTTTAATACCACTATAGCTAGAAATAGATGGTCACAAATTCTGCGCTGTCTGGAGCGCTTTTGCAGGATCTACTGAAGTTCGTGGTGGTGCTTCTTTCCAGCTCTGGACCCACTGTACCCCCAAGAATCAGCCGTTCTGAGTGAATTATTGATTGCAGGTTCTCTAAGCAACTTTCTTTTCATATAACTCTTTCATTCTGGAGAACAAGAACAGGTTGCGTATGGATAGTACCCCCCCCCCCATCGTAAATGAGGGATCAGTTGAGCAATCGTGGTACTGGGCTCACACATTGTTTGGATTCGTCACCTCATGTTAATGTTACTATGTGTGTAAAACTGCGTACTGAACACCATTAGAGTTCAAAGTGCAAGACCATTGACCTTTGGCCAAGAGTTGATAGCTTTATCTGCAATTTTAGAACTATGGTTTTACAAATATGTATTACGTACATATTTGTGACTGGCCTCTGTAGCTCTTCTAAAATGGTGCACTTCGCTTAAAGACCTCTGCATAAGGCGGACCTCCGCTTCTTCTGCTGTCTTGTTGACTCCATGGCACCAGTCCCCTGTTTTCAGATCGTCTATTTTGAGAAGATCAGTTCCAATTCAGTTTTGCAGTTGTGTTGCACCATAATACAAAATCTGTACTTACCTCTGATCCTACATGAAGCGTCTGTTTGTTGAAATGTCAAACTTCAAAAGCATCAAGTTCGTCAATTCGGGGGACTGCACCATCCTCTGCATTGCTATCGAACAATTTCCAAGGATTTAGCCGTTAAAATTTGAAAACTTTCGATCTTTAATCTTCATATCGAATGACTGGGATGCGAATTACATGCAAATAGGTTATAAATTTAGTAATTTGGTCCCTATTACTGAAATTCTCGAGAACTACAACTTCTGTCTGGGTAATCATACATTGAAAAAAAGCCGTTTAAAATACGTCAATCGGCAATATGATGCTCTTACATCGAGTTTACATATGCGGATACAATGCGGCATTCAGATTGAGATCTGAACAGGAATTATTAACGTTTGAGCACCTTTGATGTTAGAGGCCTTAAATAATTTCATAAGCGGAACTGCCAATTCGGTTTCTCCAAGACGTGCAGGAGAAAGTTTCGACACGGACGTAGAGAATTATCTGCTTTTGAACACTTGCATAAGCTACAACTTAACCGAAGGAAGACGGTTATGATCTGCTACACAGTTATGAGAAGTTTTGCTAGATTGTTAGCTGATTCGAGACTGTATGCTTGATTTTGCCTTATGAATTATTCAATTGTGATTCGAGTATGACGTGAGCAAAGACTGGAGAGAATTTTACCGTGTAGTCATAATTACAGGGAAGTTCAAATAATTGTTGTCTGTTGTCGACTTCGAATATGACCAATTATGCACTCTATACATGAAAAACCATGCTTCATGATGTCCTAAACAAATATCAACTGCACCTCTTGGTAATCCATTTTGTATTTGTAATAACAAACCTTGTTGGATCGACTTCGTAGGTGATTCCCAAAGCAATGTGTCCAAATATAGAGTACACATGATGTTGAACTTACTTTTTGTCTTTCTACACTCTGCTAGAGGCAATGCACTTGATGGAATACTACATCACGCTGTTTAAGTACAAGCTGCATCACATGTGTTAGACCTTGCTACGTCGGTAAGTCGATCAGTTGGGATCTTTGATGATATACCATTATCTTGTATAAATATCGACTATTGAGTGCAATCCTCGTTCAAAAGTTGATTCTCACACTCAGTATCGAAACACGTTTCTACAATGAATTGGTCTAGCATCACTGGGATACTTGCCTTTTCTATTTTCACAGTTCTCGTTTCTTGTAAAGATGTTGATGGTGTATTCACAGCCATCAATTACATCAGATATAATAGCAATTATGTGGATGCCACAAGTTATTTGAATGGTGGACCAATGAGTTTCTATGATACAGAGCTCTCCTGGTCAATTGACACCTCCAAAGTTAACACTGGTGACCATTTTTACTTGAATATGCCATATGTTTTTGAGATCAGAATTCTAGAAGGTACAAGGGTAACTAACAACTTTGATATCTTGATGGATAATGGTCAAACTCTGGCATCTTGTACTGTTGATCAGGCTGGCGGACGTTCTTTGGAAACGGTAGTTAAATGTCAAGTGACTGCAAATCTTGACGATTATCAATCGTTGTCAGGAACTGTTGGCTTTTTAACTGTGTTTGATGGAGGCACTAGAGTTGAAACAATCGATGCAGCAAATCATTGGAAATCCGGAAGCAACGTGGTAACCTTCAATGGTGATATTTCCAGTTCTGTAAGCTTTTCAAACTCAGAAACTGATCAAAATCAATATTTCAGTAGAATCACTATGAGAGGTGATACAAATTACTACTTTGCTCCTCCAAAAAGTGTGTGCAGAAACGCAGGCATTAGAAGTGGAACTTTCAGTTTCTCGGTTAACCAGCAATACTACACAATTGTGAAGGATGATTCCCAGTTGTACTACACAACCAGTCTCAATAGCTTTGGTTTCCCAACAGATGCACATCCTGTGCAGATTCAATCAACGACACTAAGTCGAGATGGTTTGACCTTGACAATCACTTTCGGCAGTGTTCCAGCAGGTGCACGTTTGTGGTGGTCTGGTTACACTCTGAATACTGCAAGTTATGTATCTTACCAATCTGAAATCACTCTCGATGCTGAATGTGTTAGTGGTTATACACCAACGGTAAAGTTGTCTAGAACTCACACTCCAATCCAAGGAAGTGCTGGTGGTGATGGTTCTGGAGTTAGTAAGTATCACTCATTTACACTGTTGGCTTTAAATGCAACAATACTAACAGTTAGATTACAGACAAACCGGTGACTACCACTATTACTAAGACATACGATAAATGTACTACAATGACTCGTTTTGAAACCGGTTCTGATAATACAGTGACGGAAATTGTCAATGAACCTGTCTCTTCTTTGTGTTTTTCTTCAAGTTCGTCTTCTGAGGAAAGCTCAGAAGAAAGCTCTGA